TATTTTTGGGTTTTGACTTTTGAGTACATGTTTGGAATTATTTTGGACTAAGCCCCCCTCCAGCTCCCATTTTTGAAGTCCCTGTCAAAACAAGATAGGTTACAGGGATGGTCCTATCTCTATAGAATAGATGATGCTTGTAAAAAACATATCAAGCGTAAACAATAAATACAATAGAGAAGATAAACGCCATTGAAATTTCTTATTATAAAAAAACCAGATTTGAATAGGTGTATCATTGATAAACCACCGACTTCATTGTGGTATCGTATGAAAATTGTTTCACAGACAGTAAATAGTCTGATTTCAAACAGTTTCTCCCGTTTTGATGGAAGCAATCTAGAAATGTTGTTTTGCCAAGCATCCATTCCTGCTGATCATCAGTTACACTAGGTATGGTACGTTATTTTCAGTTATATTACTGCTTTGTGAAACGTCACTTTGGTAAATTATGGGCCTAAATAAACAAAGCTAGTATCTCCACTGAATTCCTTGTTAGTTCAGCGAAGTACGCATTTCATACACAACAAGAAAAGCCTCTGTAGAATCGACTTCCTTTCCGTGCCAGAGTGATGCAATTTATTTTTATACTTTTGATCTTTTATCATTACATCAAATACACAATTCCCTGCGTTTTGAGATTGTTTCGTCATCCCAAAAATGCGTAAAACAAAACAAAAAACGGTTAGTGACGTAGTTTGACCTTCCAGACTAGAGGAAGTTTGAGGGTCATCAAGAGTAAATTTCCCGACGAAGGCATTAGATAGAGTAAGATTTAGGTGTTTTTCACCTACCGACACGTTATTTTATCGATCAATAAAGGATTTCATGGACCAACTGAAGATTTGCCTACAAACTTTTGAAGAATTGAGTATGACAACAAACCCTACATCCCCTGCTAGCTACGCCCCTGGATACAGTAATTCCTCTTAAAATAGTTTTTTCTCATAAAGCAATATTCCTTGCATAGAAGCCCCATGACATTTTCATAAAATGCCCACGACCTGTCAAACTGCTTGTGACACAAAGGGAAATCAGTTTTTTTGCTAAAATATCTTTCCTTCTCTTTCTATATTACTCCACCGCGGTCACAGTCCCTACAGGATACAGTTACCAAAAAAATAGACTTGAGGGTGTTTAGCTAGGACGTGAACCTTAAAAATAAAAATATATCTTTAAGCGAGTTATGAATTGACGTTTGAGTGGCTGAAAATATGATTTCCCAACAAAGTCTGACAAAGTAGCAAAATTTCCGAATTATTCTATCCTAAAATCCGATACGGACGGAGGTAAGAAAGGCTAGACGGACGAAAAAATAGAATCTTGTAAATTTAGGAGATTATAGCTCCGTGTCCCCTAGTCATTGCGTCCATGGTGGAGAGTTGCCTTCCGATTTCTCTTTCTCACTCTCTTTCTCGCCTTTTTCTTCTCTCCCTCCTTCACGCCCTCCCCCCGTCTCTCCCCCCTCCGTCTCTCCCTCCTTCCGTCTCTCCCTCCCTCCTTCTCGCCCTCCCTCCCTTTCTCGCCCGCACTCTATTTATTCATCGCTTTTTTCTTCCCATTTCTTCTCTGAATTCCTTCCTCTATCTCTTTTTCCTTCTAAACGTGTTTACAAAATACCTTGACGACAACACGGACCCTAAACTATCATAAAAATGAGCTACGATTCTCTGCTTTTTGTTCTCCTCAGTTGAAACGCTCCACTTCTATATTACAGGACACAAGAGAACTTCCCAGGGTTCTTTCAAGGAAGTCAGTGAATACTTTTGCAAGAGCATCTATTACAAGCTTGGAGTCCATTCCCCAAAACACAGCCCCTGCATCATCTATTGTTGAAACCACAAGAGAGCAATCTCCTCAACTTGAGCTGCATCACATGGAAAGCTCCAATTCAATAGATTCGATTGCCAACGATGAAAACCAGACTAAGGAGGAGACTGACTGGGAGAATAAAGATGAGCTCCACCTTCTGAAACGGCTGGCTGAGAAGTATGGCTACACTATCGTTGACAACAGAAAAGGAAGCAGGCTAGGACAAAACCAGAAAACAGACAGTGTCGATAGTGCTGTCAGAGCTCAAAAATCTAAATCTATGCTTGAAAGAGATGACAAAATACAGCAGCAAGTTAATCATAGCACTGACCATAGTGAAAGAAAAGAGGGTGAAACGAATAGGTAACGAGAATATGCATCATCGGCTTCTTGAAGGGTATCACAAGCATGGGGTTTGACTTTCTCCTTAAATAGGCCCCCAAGCTGGATTACCCCAGGTTTTCAAACAAACCCACTGCCCAGTAAACAGCCCTCCATTCTAAATTTTAAAATATGCTACATTACATAGCACAGAAACCACATTTTACATTCGTTCTTGCTTATTCTGTTTCATCATAGTCCATTGCTTTTTCAATTGACTTTGGTTGCTTTTCTCTGACTGTTAATTTCCCAAAATCATATGAAGCTTAACTACCAAACTACGTCACAAGCCCAGACCCCTTAATGATTTTCGCGCTTCGGTAATTATTTCAAAATTGACAGCTGAGAAATTAGAACGTTTTCTTGATGCCTTAAAGATGAGATACATAAGCGAAGTAAAATTTATTGCTTTAACTTTATGGGTGAGCCTTTCATCTAAACAGGGAGAACAAACTCCTGTATCAATTTGTAAGAACCAAAACTTGACGAATAACTTAATTTGAAGTTGGAACTGCATTTTGAAAGGCATTAAATCCGTTTCTAAAGAAAAATTGCAATCTTTTCAAGTAAAGACATTCAAAGCTCGTTCTTTTCTACCTTTACCTCTCTCCTATTTTTCTTCGTCTTTATTCATTTTCAATTGATTATGATATCTTAATAACTAAATAGTGGAAACATTATTTTCATGACGTTCTTGTCTTCCAGAGTAAACAAACGTGCCAGCTTCATCAGGAAAATTTCGTTACTTGAGAAAAAGAAAGAAGGAAATAATGGCCTTCCTGTGGCAGCTTTAAATGAAACTGAGGTTGATAAAAATGAATCTGAAATGCACAAGAGCGAGCTTGAGAAACAGAGGGTAGGTGGTACAAGAGAGGAAGCTGTGCTTTCTTTTTCTTCAAAATCGAGTTTTAAAACACAAGAAATTAATAAAGACAAACCCAGAATATCTGAAACTGGTAAGATAAAAGCAGAAAGTGAGACAAAAAAACCACCATTTGAAAAAACAGGAAAAGAGGAACGGCATAGTAACGAAAACAGCGAGACACGAATAGGTCGAGTTGAACTAAACACGGGTAATGACGAAGCAAAACGAGATTCCAAATCGACGTTTGAGCGATGGTTGGAGCGAAAGTCTGCACAAAAACGAGAATCTTCTGCAAAAGAAAGCAGCCAAGGAAATGAAAGCGAAAAGCGACGGGACATGTGCGACCAGGCATTTAAGAAATGGCTGCAATTGAAAAAAGTAAGATACCGGAGCGCTTCTGTGTCGCCTAGGCCGAGTTTTCAAGAAAGCAGGCGGGAAATCAAACGGCCAAAAAGTGGCCTAAGTTTCGAAACGTGGATGAAAGGAAAAGGAAAAGTACAGCCTAGATCATCGAGTATGACTGAAACAACAACACATTTGCCTGTGAAAAGAGCATACAGCTCAGGAATAACTTACTCTGAATGGATCGATTCAAAACGAAGCCAGTTTAAACAGAGCTTGGGAAATGCGGAGGAGGAAAATAGCAACGCCGCGGCATCTCCGAACAGAGTAAGATTAAACGGTATAACATTTGAGAACTGGGTTGAAGCGAAAACTGAGCAATTTCAAATTGAACGTGTAGAAAAGGACACTGAAAAAATGCGGTTAGAATATGAGAAAGAAATGGAGTATGAAAGAAAACTGAAAAATTCGAATGTTAAGACTTTCGAGGACTGGTTGTTCGAAAAGGAGTTCGAAGATCGTATCCGGAAAACTAAGGAAAAGAAAGCAAAGAGAAAGAGTCGTAAAAATAAGACAAAATATGAAGAAGATTCCAATTTAGTATATAATATGTGGTTAATGAACAAACATTTAAGTGAAATGGAAAAAGAAGAAGAAAATTTAATTGCTCTACGTGAAGAATGGAAGCGAAAAAAGAAAATGCAGCTGAAAATTGGAACAGAAATGGAAAAAGCTGAAGCAATATAATAAATCCCTGTGACTAGTGGTTGGAGGGTAAAGATGGCTGGGGTTGTGGGGGTAGTCCCCCAACTCAACTGCTGCTGTAAGGGCTATGTGATTGTTTCTTCCAAAAAGTGGTAGATTAGTTCATTAAATAGCGAGAACGGCAAATGTATATCGACTTGTCCATATTTGGCTACTCTTATATTTCCCCAGTATACAAAAATGAAAAACTTAAGATATAATGTAAATAAACCTAACTTACGACGCAATGGGGTGAAGCGATACAAAGATTTAACTCACTGAGTCATTTATTAATTGGAAGTGAACTTCAGGATGGCCCAGAAAAGCAACAATTTTTAGAGTGCGAAATGCTGTATGAGAAGAAAAATGTGACTTTGTTTGTAGCTACAATATACATACACAATATTTGTAAACAAAGCAAGATATTAGCGATAAACATGGCATCTTTTTGCCATCATCTAGAGTTCCTGTATCTGAGAAATCTAAAGAGAAAAAATGTGTCTAAAAATGGTTTTGCTTTCCATGCCATCATGAGGTTTGTAGCTTTTCAGAATTGTGAATGTATATATTTTGTAGATATATCATTTAATGTAATTTTGTACATGCGACTTTTTTAGTCCTTGCTTTGTGCTTTCATAGTTTGTGATGGAAAGAAACTATATCGGGTAGCATTTTGTGCTTCAATGGTTTATTATCTTGGTTCAAGAGAATTTCAGTATATCATCTTACCAACGTCTGGCTTACCACGAATCTCTAATTAGATCTCTGAACAACTTTACTTCCAATTGCTAAAGGGTTCTTGAATATCTTTGGTAAGGGATGATCGACTACATCAGAGTGATTGCTGATTGGAAGCTTTACGGCAGACAATGCTTAGGATAATAGGTACAGCGAGAGTAATGACTGGCCATATTAGTCTAATGACTTTAATGATAGACACGTCGAGATATGAATGAATCAACTAGGATGAATAAACAGCTAATAATAACTGACCCATTGCTTGATGATTGTGACACAAGACCTAGTTTGTAGATCAACAAACTTTGGCTATTGAGTGAGTTGAGGATATCAATTTATGTTATGTTTACAAGAATGGTACAAAGAAAGATAGGTTGACAAAGATATTCAAAAACAATAAAATTTATTGATCTTGTTTAATCATAATATCTAAAATTTACTCAAGGCAATATAGAAATTAAATATTAAGATATTTCCCATGATAATTGCTTGATTTTTAAATTACGCGTCATTTTTACTGCGTGAATACCATTTACAAGGTTACGCAGAAAATTCGACAGAGACACGTCACACCTACATTTATTAAGTCACAAAAATTTTGAGCTGTTGCTTACATGAATATTATGAAAATATGACGGGATTCGAACATCTTGATTACTGATCAATCACTCTTATTCCGAATCGCCATCAAAAGAAGGTTTTTTTAATATATTTGTACTTCAATTTCATATTCATTACCTATTTTTACATTATATGATTTCTGAGTCGATTGAAAACCTAGAATCGTTAGAGGAAGCACTTTTCACTTGTTAAGTCACATTACATCTTGAACTCGTTTCACTTAATGAGCACAAGAGAGCTGCACGCTTGAGGAGATTGTCTGAAAATGTTCATTATAATTATAGTGTCCTTGCAGTATGGTATCTTGGTGCCAATCTATAGGGTTTTCCTGTCTAAAATATCTGTGTAGACATTAGTTTTTTATGCAGGAAATGTCAGATGGCTGCATAAATTGCCTAACTGAACTGCTGTCATCGTCGTGGGTACTTGAAAGAGAAATTCCAATATCCAGGTCTTCCTAGAAGCCCAAATAATCAGCAACCGCAGAAACTTTCAATTTATAAATGCTCAAGAAAGTAGTTTTCTATATCTATAGAGCATTCTGAACACAAAACCAAATATCATCCCAATTTTTATAAAAAATGCGCACGAAAATATAGATTGAATGAGTTCTTTATTTCACTCAACTGCTTTTATACATACTTCCCTGTTGTAGATTGAGACAGTAGCTGATAGCTGTTGACAAGGTTGTTAGGCAATAGCCTTCTTCTCCAAGGAGATAGCTTTGGAAACAAAAATAAGAGAATATAGAAAAACAGCTTTGTCACAGCAAAAGTTATGCAAAAACTGAGCAAGGAAAAACGATGTAACAGGATTACTACTTATGCATCAGTGTAAATAAATCTATCTATGAAAGTGGTTTCCGCATTTTTCAACATGTTGAAGACGAATTGGCCTATCAAATTCATTCGGGGCTAAAACCAGCAGTTTGCTTCTGACCCTCGTCTAAACCCATCCATTATAATTATAATGATAATTAATCACCGGGTGTATAGGACAGCGAGGGAAGGACCTAGCGATCAATCGTCACCATACATTTAGCTTAGAACAAGCACTGTCCTATGTACGAATAGATTTGAAGCGTATTTTTGCAAGAAGTATATCACAATCGTATAAAAAGCATGGAAATGATATAAAATTATGCACAAAGTTTCACAAAAGTGCTGCACTAGCGCATTTTAATTTTGCATAGTTTAAGTTCGGGCAGACAAATAGATGGCTTTCAAAAAAGTACCCACCTTTCATGGATAAATTCCTCCATTGCATGACACTCTGAAACCAATTGTGGCAAAGCTGTTTTCACCACAACATAGGTCAATATTGGAAGCAAATCATCGCACCCTCTGCAAAACAAATACAATATTAATAGTGTAGAAATTTGCTGTGTAACGCTGCTTACATCAGGTACCATGGGATGTTCAAACCTTTCTCTTTCTCACTCACTCAGCTAACTAACTTTGCAAAGAAATTTTCCAACCTCAAACCCTATCAGTTTGTTCTTACCAAATGACTTGGTATCTATCAAGCAGCAAGCAAACTGTTGTTGGGCACATTGTGAAAAGCATCAAAGGACCAAATGTTACCTGGAGCAAATATTGAAACCCTAGTCAATATACACAAGCAATACAAAACCTCTTCCCTGTCTTTGAGATGAACAGTGGTTTGTCTTCCAGTAAAAGAATCATCCCCGTCTATACAGCCAAACAGGATGCATCATAAACAAGGAACGGATTCATATTTAAGGGCAGGAATGCTTATTTGAGGGGGTCTCTCGTTAAACTTTTGACTGTTTTAGGGGAGCACTCCTATGGATGAATCTACCGTTTGAGAATTTCAAAACTCATTTTTCTGTTACTTCTCAAAGAATACTCAAGTAGATTCTCAAAGAAGATTAGACTCACATATTTGGAGGTGATGATTCGCCTTGCTTCTTCCAAAAATCAGTGGCACATTGGCAGATCAGTTTAGTTGTTGATACTAAGATTGAAACCATATAGAGATATTTAAAAATTTAAGGGTAGACAAGCCTGAACAATATTTCACAATAAACCAGTTACCTTAAGTGTAAAAAATAATTCAGAGAGTGTTTTGAATAAGAGCACGATGCTTGTTATCAGCATAAGGGCAAGCAAGTTAGGCGAACAGAGTTCCTGTATTTAGAAGGAATGGAAGAAGATACGTGAGTTATCATTCGAGACACTAGGAGAGAGTGGGCGTCAGAAGCAGGTGTGGTACCTCTTGTATTGTTTTCGGTAGCCTGAGATCATGGGGGCCTTTTCTGTACAATTATTTCATCAATAACCGTAAACGATGAATATTTCAGTAACATGTGGGATGAGCCTTAGTAAAAAAGTGCTTTTATCGTTGGCACGGTCTTGCCAAAAAGGGTGAAAGCAATCGGCAGGCATCACTCTTTCGGCGCGTGCTCTTGTTGTGATTCAGCAGAAGTCTTAAAAGAAATCCTAGCTTTCAAAGAAGGTCTTGCTACAGACGAAATCAGAGATTTACAATGCATACTGGAAGACATGTGGGGATAAAAATGTCAAAATGAATAAGATCTCAACAATAGGAAAAGGACGACATGAAGATGCCAATTTTTCTTCCTTTCTTCCTTTATAAAGAAATTTTTACTGTTCTAGCTGATATTAAACAATTTGAAGGCCATGCATCGTGTTTATCAATATCTGATTCCCAATGATGGTAAAAATTGCTGTTTCGACCACAAGCTACAAAAGATCAATGTTTTAAATATACGAACATAAAAATTTGAGTCAAACTAACAAATCGTGTCTCATATCGTATCAAAACAGAAGCTCAAGGTGCACAAAAATAAATTGAAAATGAGAATAAGGAACCTTTCTACATCATAATGTGCTAGACACTAGTGGCAAAAAATATACTCAACTCCGTTAAAGTAAAAAGAACTCACCTATGCACTCTAGCTTCTCCAATGGTGATGACAAGGATATAATTTTTCTCAGTTCATCAACAGCAACTTTGTAAGGATATGATGCTTCACATTGCTGAAATATAAGACTGACGTTAAGATCGAAACAACCGTGAGGATTTGCTATTAGAATTCACGAAAGGGCTCTAAGAACAAAGGTGAGTATGAAGGCGTCTATTTGGAGGCTGTAGACTGACTAATTATGAGGACAATTAACTATTTATACAAAGCGTAAGCAAAAGTAATCAGCATACAAGCCATTACAAAATGGTTACAATAGCTCAAGGTAATCGCTATCTTTTAAAACAAAATGAATGAAAATAATATTTTCAAGATAAAACAACCATTGTGAATGGACTGTACCTAAACCTGACAAAACTAAAATACGATGATCAATCTTTCTAAAAAGTATGACAAACAACTATATGAAACCTAAGCAGTTTCAATGGTAGTGTTAGACAGAAAGTTGACATACTAATCACAGTAAACACTGTTATAAAAAACAATCGATAGATACTAGAGTGGCTTAGGCCATTTGTCAATCAGCAATGGGCCATCTGTCAATCAGTAATGGGCCACCTGTCAATCAGCAATTGGCCAATCAAGGACAGTGATGCCACAGACACGCTTATTTATTGGCCGATAGTTGATTGACAGATGACTGAAACCACTTTAGTATCTGTTGATGGCCTTTCATGAGCATTTTCATACCTCAGATTCAAGAAGAGAGAATTTGTCTCTTACGAAGAACTGAGTTGGGTTACAATGTCTTCGCTTTTGTATAACCTCGTACAGGATCACTTCTTTTTTTATATTGAGTCGCCTGAAACAAAATCAAAATGGTCAACAAGTTATTGATAAGTGAAACGAATATTTCAAGGAAAAGAGCACCAGGACCAGAAAGCAGAAACGGGATTTGTATCATATACATCTAGTGCAATGTGGTATAATGACAAATGGATTGCAGCAACCGTCGAAAAGATACTTCGTATGAAAATCTGGGGCAAGAATCTTTCGGTTTCAATACGCACCCTTTGACTGTTATTCAGAATATTCAATGAGTTTATGAGTCTCGCACCTTGCAGTACAGTAGAAAGGATTGACTTGTTGGAGGGGCACCGTTCCTGAGATTAACAGGAATTAAAGGGAAAGTTCATGAAAACAGAGGATTTTAAAAGCCGTAGATAAATTTTCAATATTTTCATGAAAAAGTCAAATTTACAATTTACGTTTGCCAAAACACAGGGAGTTTTGTTCTTAATTTGTTCATAATTTGATCAACCGATATTCATCATAACAGTGGTTGTTCCAAACGTAATCAAAAAGGGGAAACAAAGAGAAAGCTAATGCATCGTTATAAGATTTACAATACTGGAAGGCACAAACTTACCTGAAAGCAAGATTCACCCACTGCCAAAGTGGCTTGAAGAACACGCTTTCCAACGCTGCATATGACTGGTCTCGTCCAATTGGCAAATCCAGCTCCTTGTACGTCACAACGAGCAATGAATGCAATTTGCCTTTAAAAAAGAAACGTTTATTTGTGTGAAGTATACAACGTTTAATATGCTTTCGCGTTGTCAGGCGCCATTTGAATACTAAATTGTCAATTCAACTAGTATTCTGAAAAATTGTATTATGTAATACAATTAACTGAAAAAACAACATAATAAAATGAAAAATCTTCTACCATTAAAAAACTATTAAACTATCACTAAAATCTGTATAAAAGGGATTAAATTTTTGTTTATACTTTGACTCTTATAGCTCATAATGGTTTTTAATGTAATGTGAAGAAGCCAAGCCATGCCTAGAGATTCTCCCACACTAAGCCACTCATATGTTTCATGTCTATGAATATAAAAGGCTTGTACGAACACATTCTACTCTTTTGGACACGATTTTAAGAAAACAGGCTCACTAAGCTATACTTTTAGAATGTTACGTGTTCAATCTCGAACAGCAGCAGCCTTAATCAGGAAATTAAATAAGCAACAAAGGAAATGCTTCTCCAGCGCAAATTTATTATATCATAGCAGCGATGTTGCCCATGGCGAATACAACGTGGAATTTCGATAGCGACTGGCTTTGAAAACTTTATTGTGAGATAGCCAGTGATAGCTTTCAATCAATTTGGAATCAAGTTTTGCATGTAGTTCTTGCAGTAGCTATGCTGCCTAATCAATTATGTTATGTGATTACACTACACCACATGGCTAGGCAATCGCAGATAAGTTGAAGTTAAAACCTGAACTGCGTCACGAAGCAACTTCAGAATCAATTGAAGAAATGAAATGCCATTCACAGCTGATCAATCATATGAACCGCCTCTAACTTAGATATCTCAATTAAAAAAATTTGCCTTACCGAGTGAAGTGTGAATTTCCTTAACAACTTTATCTACTTTGCTCTTCATATCGTCGTAATTTGAGGAATCGTTCAAATATCTTTCGAAGATGCGCCTTGAGATGACGTCAGAAACATCACTATGCTGAGAGTCATCCAAACCGTCTTTTGCACCATCTTCTGCCTCACTGTGTGCTCCTTTTTCTGCCTCAAAATCCCCTTTCTGCTCTTTATCAACAACACCTTCTTCATTCTTCGCATCAAAACTCTCGCTACTACTCTTATCTTTATCATTTGCTGCTAATTTATCTGAGTCCAGCGATTCTGCTTCTTCACTTTCTACCTTTAAATTATTTTTCATATCATCTGAACAATTAAGATCAGTTGCTTCTTGCTCTGACGAAAACTCTTCCTTCTCGCCAGCTTGATAAGCTGTAAAATCCTCTCTGCTACTTTCACATATCACATCTTCATTTGTATTTTTGTCTTTTTTGCTACAGCTGATACATTTATACAATAACTGTGATCTTGATTCATGCTGTGCTTCCGTCGAAAACCTATCCTCAGAGGCAAGCTCTTTGTTGCACTCTTCACAAGTATTAATTTCACCTTCGCTGCAGTGAAGATCAGCTCTAGACGAAACCTTTTCATCATCTGCAGCGCTTAAAGTCTCTTCTTCACTAATCTTATTCTCATCAGTAAAGCTTTCCACAGATCCTGCTATTGCCTTGTCATTCAGTCGCTCTGAATCATCATCCGCATTGCCACAAATAACCGATTGTGAATCAATAACGCACTTCCCTTCATCAAAATGACTTCCACCTTGCTGTTTGGCAAGTCCCTCTGTTTCACTAGTCACGATATATTCATTTTCATCTAGCTCACAATCTTTTTCTTTTTCCTTGATATTTCCTGTCCTTTTGGTATCAACTTGGATAGCGCATTCACAGTTTTGATTACAAGGTGAAAATTCATTCGTTTCCTGATTCCCGGGGAATTCCCTTTGATTCTCAGAAACTTTGCCAACTTCCTCCTCCAGTTGGTCCAAGCCAGAAGTTACTGCAACTTCTTCTGAGCTTTCTTTATTTTTTGCAGCTTCACTGGTCAATCCATTCTCATCTGGTAGTAACTCAAAACTATCCGATTCCATGCTATCCATCATAAAATCCTCAAGATCTTGGAAGGCAGACTCAAAAGCCCTAGATGAAGTCCCCATAGAATCAAATGAACTGTCGTTTGAATTCTCAGCTACATCAGTTATATGACTAAGTTTACCATCAGTATCAATGATTTCTTCCATCTTAGCACTGGTAGGCCTTTCTTCATTAGTCTTTTCTTCAGGCATTTTTGAATCTAAAGAGTCTCTATTAGCTACAGCATTAGCCAAGTCTCTTTCTGATGCCCCAATTGCAACTTCTTCATTCTCTTCTTCTCCAAACTCAGATCTATCATTTGCATTCTGGAGAACGCCGTCGTCTCCTTGGCGACTTTGTGCATGCGATTCGTTTTTCTCGCCATTACTTTCCAAGTTTTTTTTATCAAAGGTGTCGTTTTCTTCAAAATCAGGATAAACGGGACAAGAAAAATTTGAAACGATCAAGGAAAGTTCTCTGTACAATGCATACTGCATTTCAGCCATCTCCTGTCCTAAAGGGTGTTCTTTTGCACTAGAAACAAAAATAGAAGTATCATGTAACTAACTCGAAATCAAAGACAGATATAAACAAAATCAACGTTTGCAAGCTCCAAATATTCCATTAGAAATTGATAATATGCAGTTGATTTTGAAGTTTGGAGATGGCACAAACAAAGGTGAATTGTAACAAAGTAGCCCATCATTTGCAATGAGCGATATATGATGAAAGTATTTCAATAAATGGCTAACTTTACGTAAATATATCCAACTTGATTTAGCATTAAAACATTTATTATGACAAGAAAATATTGATCTGATTTTGGCACAAAAACCACAAGCCATGGCCCAATTTTTCCCAAAAGGCACAAACTCATCACTTTACACAAAAAATTACTCCTCCGAGCTTTTAAAACCAGAAAGGAATCGAAGCAACACTTCAAGCTACAGTGGACTTGAAAATAATTGATTGATGGCATTCACAGATTGAATCGTAAATGCCTCAAATTGTTGTAATGCATACCTCAAGACTGTCATCACAGTATCTTCTATCAATTTCGTATTCTCTGGCTCACTTTCCAGTTTTTCTCGAAGCTTCTGAGGCCATGCCTGATAGAAAACGGCGATTACATTCACAACTTGCCATAACAAAACTGTTACCATCACACGACAGCCATGAGGCTTTTAAATTGTCCAAGCATTTATCATATTTATATTACCACAAAAATTCATAAAACCAAAAACAATACCACTGCTATAAGATACAGGTCTTTTTTCTGGGTCTACGTTCTGAGATCTCAATTGAATTACAATACACTCTTTAAATACCAATGTCATAAACAGAAGGATCAAAGTTCAGTGATCAACTTTTACCTCTGGAAGGCTCCAATAAGTAGTTTCAGAAATATTCTCTCCTATGTAATTTGTCTTTTAGTATTTTAGTTTTAGTATTTTTGTTTGTTTTGTCGGTGTCATTGTTTTGTTTATAATTGTGAGTGTTCTTATGTGTAATCTGTAACATGTAATTTGTAATATGTTTAGCGAAATGATCACAGGGTTTCCATTCTCACTGTGGCATCGCTTCGTAGTTTGTTTGTTTTACAAAATTTTATGAGAATATAAAAAAACTTTACGAGCGCAAGGAAACGTAACTCTTTTCACTTCTACTTACAGTTTCTTGCTCAAATTCCAAAACTTTTGTATAAATCTTTTTCTCATAAGCAGCGTCTGTTACACGACTGCCAGTTGCCATAGAAATACGTCTGAAAACACAACCACAAACAAAGTCATTACAAACAAGCTTTAATAGTTCTGCTCGGTTCGTTTAAGCAAAACAACGTACTTATATTGAGAAAAAATAAAATTTCTTTTTTCAATAAATAAGAAGGAAAAATGTTCTGAGTCTATCAGATTGTTTGTTTACATCATCACAAGCAAATGAAAACGCAGAAAGGACAACATTTCTTATACTTCGGCAGCATTACAGTAAAATCCGGTTATAACGTACTTTAAGGGACCAGTGTATTAAGTACGTTATATCCGAAGTACGTTGTAACGAGGGTAAGTAAAAATTGACTAAAACCAAGCAAACCTTTTGCCGGGACCAAGCACACCAGTACGTTATATCCGAAAGTACGTAATAACTGAGTACGTTATAACGGGATTCTACCGTAGCTTCAAATCTTTGATTGATTAATACGGCAGACACATCTTTGTTCGGGGAAACCCCCCTAGATAACGAAAACCCGTAACTTGTAAACTTTTTCATATTTTTGAAACGCATCCTAACCGATTTCACAGCGGGAATTTTTAGTGCGAAGAAAATAAAACGATTGAAAGTAGCCAATATGGCGCTTGTTTACAGTATCTCATCATCTAATTAGTCAGAACCGAGGGTCAACCGATCAAAGATTTGAAGCTCGTGCTTATTTCAAAACCAGTTTACAGATGAGCTTGAAAAAATAGCCTGACTCACTCCTCTGCTTTCAATCTGAAATATTCGCGTCTTTTTTCCAACCTTTGCTCGAGCTATTACAAAGTCAAGGATCATTGTTGCCATTAGAAGAGAAATATCAAATAACATTTTCCATTATTGTTGATTTTAATGGACAGTTTTTGCTTTTCAGCCATGAAGGTACACAATTCAACTTGGTACAAGGTCTACACACTAGCTACATAAAGTGGAAAAGTATTGAGATCGAGGGGGTTTGTGCTAATAGCTACAAATTGGCTAAAATATGGTCTTTGAAAGAGAGAAACCTGTGTGATATAACTGCAAAAATTTTCAGTAACAAACCAAATCACAATGACTTGATGAGGAAACAGCCTGTGCTTGTGTGGCCATATCTCCGTAAATTTGTCACATCTTAAACTAATTTGCATAATCTGAGGTATTTCTAAATTCAAAAACTCTGATGATAATAACAATAATAATAATAATAATAATGGCTTTGAAAAACGGAGTTTATTATTTTCCATAATTCCTTGGGTTTTTTTGGGGACAGTGCAGTTCGATAAAACGCCGTTTTTGCAGAACGAATTTTCTTTTTTAGTAAACTTTGATTATCTCTGAGATTTTTTAAGGCAAGATCGTCTCGTGATTTTTTAGTTTTAACTCGGTCCTTAAAGCAGGCCTGTTGGAGATTTCGTAATTCAACATCGTGCATCCATGGGGCATGCGGTCTTGTTACTTTGATTTTCCATATTGCGCATGTTCATTAATTACCTCTACCATCAATATTTCTAATTTTTCATTTGGATCATCTACTCATAGACGAGACTAAATGGGACTTGCTCTGAATCCTTGAGGAACATCGTTTCGCTGAATATTCGTTCGTCTCTGATGTATTTGAGACGAGGCTCGTATTTTTGATGGCGGTCAATTTGAAGCAACCTTATAAAGAATAACCAAGTTATACAAATGGTTTAAATATACTGCCATTAGAGCTGTTGGTAGGCAGTACTAGGAAAATCAGTGGACGTAAATCTGAATTTTCTGATTGCTTAATTTATGCTTTTCGGGACACATCAAATGCCAAAACACCTTATTAACCAAACCATGTTCCAGCAAATAGCTCCCGATCCTGGAGAATCAACTCAGATAAAAAGGATACAATTTTACGTTTCGCTTCTTTAATTGCCATATCTTCGAAGGTTTTACGAAACAGCGAAAGATTCTGAAAGAGAAAGAGGTGTCATCAACCTACAAACAATGCAACCCTTCAAACCCATTCCACCCTTAATTTCAGTTCATCATCCGTTCAGTTCAGGGACGTCATGGCTTTATAGTTAGAAAGGCGATTTTTAACTATTGAAACACCAATCACGTTTGATTATCTGGCGAAACCTTGTGTGACGTAAAAACAGATTGAAATTAGGCAAATTTCATACATACATAAATTTCAGACAAATTGAAATTAGGGTGGGTCCCTTCCTAGACCCCTCGAATGTCACTTTTCAATTTAGGCACCTGGTTACGTCACTAATAGCTTTAGCACAAAAAATCAGATTTCAAGTGTATGGTAAATCATCAAAGCAATTATTTACCAATATTTTGAGAGGAATGACGATGAAAAGTGGAAAACCGCTTATAGAAGTAAGATTATGTAACAAATCAACAGTAAACATGCGCTTACGTAGTCTGCCTGGTACTTCTGCTGAATCAAACTTCTCCTGCGTTGATAGGCCTGAAACATCTGCTTATTCTGTATTCTCTCCACACTGCTTACGCGCCTAGAAACATAATTCACTTTCTGGTTGTACAAAACTACATTATAGAAGAGAATATGTTTTAAACTTCATAGACAAACACATGGCAATAAATTAACGTTCTAAGCATTCGCAGGCAAACAATAACAGAAGCATGATAAGGCTGTCCCCTGTTATTGTAATAGTTCATATTCCTGTTGAATAAATAACAAGAAGCTGCTAAGTAACAAAATATTTGAGAATATGTTGGAGTTTCTTCTGAACTTTTAAACTAAGGAAACAAAAAGAAAAACTTGATACCTCAGGGGCAAAAATTCTTTGAAATATATTGTGGATTCTGAGCAATGATTAGCATTGTGTCATTTGTAGAATGTGTCATAAACTATTTGGTGTAAATAATTCTAGACTTGATTTAAGAAGTGTCAAATTTAAGAAAGATTTACGAAAACAAACATAGGTACAATAAACATAGATACAAGAGCGGAAAATTGATTAAACAACTCAAAAAGTCCCCAAACAAAATGGTTTGTAATGCATAAAAGCAAACCTTGTTAATCCAGAGTTGAAAGACTTCTTCCTTGAAGGTGGTGTCGGTAATGAGTCTATTAGCCTTTCTATATTTTTTGAATCTGGGGTTGTTCCAAGGGAATTTGCTGCATTTTTTGGTTCGTTTTTAGGGCCAACATCCATGTTCTTTTGTGAATCATTATTTGGGGTGTCTTCTTGTTGCAAATAATCAATTTTCTTTGATTCCTTTTTTGAGTCTGTAAAAACAAGATACTGCGAGTGGGAAAGGTTAGTTCAAATTAAAATACCAAAGTGCAGCAAAAAGGATTGTGCCTTGTTTTTATCCTCTTGTTGTTCTTGTCGAAATTGGAAATAGAGCCTTGAGGTATGAGAAATATGTTTAACTAAAATTAATTTCATATATATATGAGTAGCCAGAGGTTTTTGCACTAGAACACCAATCTGAGGTGCGGTTCAGGGCTATAACTACAACTGTTGTTTAGGGCTTCTGCCTCTCCAAAAAAGATAAAAATCCTTTGCTTCAAACAAAAAATCTTTTTTGTTCCTATTTTCTTAAACCATGACACCCTTGCAGCCAATATATCCTTTCTGGGTAACTACGGGTTCCAAACCGCAGGCTCATATAGCTATTAAGCTGCCAGAACTCTAGTCTGTGGCAACAAATAAATATTGCTTTCTTGCTTATTTGCTTTTTTGCTTTTTTGCTTTTTTGCTTGCTTATAGATACAAATATACAAGGCTAACTAGATCTCAATCAAGTGAAGAATCAACAAGAAGAAAGCAAAAATCTTATTACATACCATTTTTGTGAAAAGATGAAACAAGATCAGAAGTTCTCCCTAGACAGTGTTCCAAAATTTTGATGAGCTTTAAGGTATCTTTATCACAAACATTGCCAAAATCTAGAAAGATGAAAATTCAACCTATATATAATTCATTAAAATGAAATACATGTAAAATTAATGAAACTTACTGTTTACCGGTCTGCCATAAAGTGTTTTAAGGTGGATTGCCTCTTCTCAGTATGGACAGAAAACGGAAAACGGTATACGGTACAAGCATGAGTATGCGCAGAAGATATTTTGACATTCAAGAACGGTATGCTTACCGTACCGCTTTCCGCTTTTGAAAGTTGAAATCAAGGCACGGAATTCCACGGAATTCGTATCGTTTGACCTCTCAACCAATCATGTTCAAGGCATTGTGTCATAACTTCAGCAACAAGCTATGCTTCAAACTGAGCCACAGTCATTCTGACACACTATTGTTAGTGGAAGCAGGCAGAGATGTAGAGCCTCCTTGTAAATGCCAATAATGAACCCTTTTCTACTTTTGCTATCCTTTTTGAGAGATTTTTCAAGAAGGCCCTTCTTGTATTTTTCATAGCAACACTTGTAATTTCATAGTTCCCTGCGTGGAATTTTTCTCGAAATGTGTTTCACTTTTCTATGCTCTTCTTGTATTTCTTCCTCTTTTAACTTTTAAATCTTCTTTGAAAGAAAAAAATAAAGTTGTTTAATATAAACATGCCTTCTTTCCCCTTCCTGGGTCATGTTTCATTGCAAGAAATTGTAATGGAAAGGAAGCCAAGTGGAAATTGATGGGCGGGAACTTTCCAAACCGTTTATCGTTTACCGTTTACCATTTACCGTTTACCATTTACAGTTTACTGTTTACCGTTTTCCGTCCATACCATGAAATGGAAATCCACCTTTATGTCACATAGGCTGAGGTGCATTTGTCTGATGATTGCATTAAAGTGCCACTGAATTGAAAAAAATGAAATTTTTTTTATTGTTGATTCTGGTAGACTAATCATCGCTGATTTCGAAAAAAAGTTTAGTTTTTTAATTTGGAGCCCACAAATAGGGGTTTCTGGGGTTCTTTTGCGAGTAGGTCGTGCGAAAAGAGGCTGGGGCGAGTGACGCATTCAGATTTATATAGTCATTTCAGCCATAGTGAGGGCTGTAAGAAGATAAAAAGTTACAAATTGTGTAAAACATGATACAAGCATGAAACCTGATAGAGATAGGCAGTTTGATACGCTGAAAAAGATGGGGTGTGAATAGACGCTGACAAATATTCCCTTGTGCTATTTATAGAGTGGGGTACTAGGTTCCAAACCTCTAAGCAGTAATTGACATAATTTAGCCATTAGATCGCAAAACTAGCATGGAACCTGGTAGTAATAGGCAGTTTGATACGCTGAAAAAGATAGAATATGAATTGACCCTGAAAAATCCCCCTTGTGCTATTTATAGAGTGGGGTACTAGGTTCCAAACCTCTAAGCAGTAATTGACATAATTTAGCCATTAGATCGCGATACCAGCATGGAACTTGGTAGTAAAAGGCAGTTTGATACGCCGAAAAAGATAGGATATGAATTGACCCTGAAAAATCCCCCTTGTGCTATTAATAGACTGGGGTACCAGGTCCTAGACCTCTAAGCAGTAATTGACATAATTTAGCCATTAGATCGCGATACCAGCTTGGAACTTGGTAGTAAAAGGCAGTTTGATACGCCAAAAAAGATAGGAAGCGAATAGACGCTGAAAAATACCACTTATGCTATTTATAGACTGGGGTACCAGGTCCAAGACCTCTAAGGAGTGATTGTCATAATTTAACTTTTAGATCGCGACATCAGCATGGAACTTTGTAGAGATGAGCAGTTTGATACGCTGAAAAGGATAGGATGCGAATAGACGCCGAAAAATTTCCCTTGTGCTATTTATAGACTGGGATACTAGATTCCAAACCTCTTAGCAGTAATTGTCACAATTTAACCATTAGATTGTGATACCAGCATGAAACTTGATAGAGATAGGCAGTTTGATACGCCAAAAAGATGGGGTATGAATAGAAGCTTAAAAATATCCCACCGTGCTACTTATGGACTTTTAATCAATTCCATTTAAAATGAACTTCTTTACTTTTTGAGGTCCCCTGACCACGAGGTTCTGGGGCAACTTATCCCATCTTGACGGCCCTGGCAATAACTGATGCTTTGACAGTGGCAACGCAAGTTGGAAAGTAGGAAAAGCGCCGAAAAATGTGCAATTTGTGTGGTTCTATAATAGATCAACTTTTTCCCTTGATCAGTTTGCTCACTTTTATTCATAATTTGTAAAGCTGTTCGTAAAAGCATTCTTATTTGACACGCTCAATAATTCACAAAAGGTAAATGATCGGCATGAAGTCTTGGTAAAAACTGCACGCAAAAAGTTTGCTTATTTCATATGGGTTCGAAATTTTCACAAGAAAATACCTTGCACATGTCTTGTAGTTAGATAGCTAGTGATATTTAGAGCACAAGTATCGCACTATTTCCATCCACTTCACGTTTTTTTGGTTTTTTATCGCACTCGAAATACAGTCTTCAGTACTGAAGCCCGCATCACTTCCGCGACTTATAAACGTTAATGCGTCACACATTCCTGAAATTCCTCACAGACCGCGCACAAATTTTCGCACACAAAGTCTTGAAAATCGCAACTTTGAAGCGTTGTAGCTTCAAAACACTTCACAATTCCGAAAAGCGAACTTCAGCATCGGATTCAGGAGCACCGACTTGACTTAGAACATCAATAAAAAAAATTTTGATTTTTTCAGTTCAGTGGCACTTTAAGCATGAAACTTGGAGTAGCTACATAGAACTGTCCTGATCTATACATCAAAAGAGCATGTATATAAAATTATATTGATGATAGTGATACAGCAACATCTTGATGTTCAGATTTATCATAGACATTATTAAAAAATGTTATTTTCTCATTATTTTTTTGCTCCTGCAAAGTAATAGACAGTAATACTGCAAATAATTGTCCTGGGGTGGTGTTATGCTACACAACATGCTTAAAGCAGAAGTAAATAGTCTAACAGAAAGAAAAAATCAACATACCATTGCCACATGCATCATCCTTAAGGTTTTTAATGATGTAGAGCATAGAGCTAAGGTATGAAATATATGCCTCCTGAAACCAAAAGAAAATTAGTCAGATGACTTGAAATGTACAAAATAGTTATGTTCAGTTAAAATTATTGCAGTAGGAGTCCCATTGGAAATTCCCAAATTAAATGAAAAGATAATTTAATGAAATTTGATCAGAGTTAATTTCACTAGGGATATCCATCATCTTACAAGTTGTCAAATAATGTTATTTGTTATTCTTGATGTATCTTGAGATGTGCTTCAACACTTTAGGCATCTTTCAGGATTTTTGAAGTTTTGATGCTTTTAGGTAGGACTCGGATGCAACAGCTCAGAGGCTAATCTTGTCCATTCCCTGCCTATAAATTAATTAAATTTGGGGAATTTGTGCAACTTCCCTTAGTAGCTTCTTTCTGCTAGAGGTTTAGAGGTTTTCTGATTTGTACAAATGCACCTTAGTTAAACTTGCTCTCTATGATGAGGGAATGTAGCCTCAGGACTGATTTGCTATGTCCATGGCTGTTTCCTGATGGAGAAATTCATGTCCCTTACCTTATATTGTAACTTATGTTCAAAGTTAGAAAACTAAAGCAGGAAAATGAACATCTTTATGAATGCATTTTGAATTATTATTGATTCGGGCCTTTTCAATTCACTCAATGGGTGATTGATTCGGAGCTTCGCCCTAACCAAAACCTGTGCAAAACTATTGGTGTAGGCTATTAAGACCCCTGGTAAAAGCATGCCTCTCCTGCAACAGACTGGAAGAGCATTTATAGGAAAGTTAGTTTTTATATCCAAGTATTTTTGAGTGAAAGATGAAGTTGCTAGTGAAAACAATGTATCATTGTTTCGCTATTCATATCAGCCAGTAATTTAAACAATGCATCTAGTAATTTGCTTAAAAAACAGCAGTAATCATGCTTTTAGAAAATTTAAGGCTAGGTAGCTCCTAATTTCCCCCCAAGGCCCTGGAGAACTTCTCCTTTAACGAATATTGTTGGGATATTGTTCAAATGGTGATCACCCTTCTAAGTTCATCCACATGGGCTGCCGGTCACCCTTGTTAAAATTTCTTCAGAAAAGGCCTAATATTGATATTATAGGTAATATTATAAAACCTGTGGTGGAAAACCCAAGATCCAATGTATGATGTTTTTATCAGCTCTCACTGAGAATCACAGACCGTACAAAACTAAGCTTAATATTAATCTGAACACATATTACACTTGTAGCCTATAACATCAAACTTTCCACTTTGGCTCTGTTTACGTCACTGGAGATTAATCTTATTCTCTAAACCCAATCCACTGCATAACAATCCTTGCACAGCAATAATGAAAAAAGGAGACGATATTAGCCTAATTACTATCACAATACCTATAGTCGTGATAAAATCTAAGGCCCTCATAAGTCATGAAAAAATTTATGTGCTTTTACCCGGACTTTTTCGCCGTTGTCCAATTCGATTGCTGATCTCACACCACGCATCGCCATGGGAAGGCAAGATGACGCGTAGACAGGCATGTTTCATTGCTATTGGTGGTAGAATGTGGCATTAAATTCCTCGATATGTTACATAGACAAGTGGTAAAACCCCTATACAAAATCCTGCTGTTTGTGGATGCCTCTGCTTGATATCGAGATTCAACGTCGGTCTTCTTCGAAATATCGATTTGGTCACAAAATGTGATTTGCAATGGTGATTTGGTCTCAAGATATGATTTGGTTTATTCTCAGAATTCAGTAAATGTTCGCGTGAAATACGAGAAGCCCCCCAATAAGAGGCCCTCCTACTCCCTGTGTGCAACTCAAAAACTTCCACGTTTTCCTTTAGGGGCGTAGGAGATTCTTGCCAGGGCCGCGGAGAGAATTTATGGGCCTCGGGTCAGGACAAAAATTAAATTATAAGGCATGCCTAAGGTAGACGCTTCTATGAGGTATAGGGAATGCTCCCCATGAATTTTTGAAAATTATGGTTGCTTAAACTGCTAGGGTGGCTATTTTGGTTGCTAAATTGCCATGATGGCTAAGCTGCGCTGGTGGCAGTGGCGTAGATAGAAGGGATCAGAGGGAGCAAAAACACCACTGTAGAGCTAAACTGTATTTTGTCGGAAAACCACTGCTTTTTTCAAAAATTCAACATGGTTGTCTATGTTTATCTTATTGCTATGTTTTGATGGAAAAACTTGAACCTAAATAAACATAAGAATATTCAATATATCAAAAGACTTTTTCAGTTCCGATGTCGTTATGTTATGTTGAGATTTATGAGAAAAAATAGAAGCTTGTTAGATTTTTTTCGGAAAATCCATGTTTCTCACCCCTCCTTTGAATTAGAAAGAAATAGAAAGTAACAGGTACAAATGATACGTTTAAATAACTGAGAATAAAAAACAAGTGGGCTAGGCACAAGATTTAGGGATATTTAATGGAAGAGATATAGTTTATCACAAGTACATTTAATACCTTAGGCAACTGTTTATTCTGTTTCCTTCCATATCGCACTGCTTCATTCAACCTCGCACTTCTTAAATACAATCGAAATACAATGTACGCATCAAATATCACACTTACGATACCTGATCCGCTGTTTGATATAATTTGAGCATAATTGATATCTTAGCACCATAATGCATGAAAATGTAATTTTCTTAGAAATTCTTAAAGTTTAGACAATTGAAAACGTTCAATTCATTAACTAAGTTTGACCACAACCGACCAACTGTTGCTAAAGGATGCGGATGCCATAGTGTAAATCTGTATTACATACATATTGCCCTGTATGTTGCCCTGCAATCACATTTTTTGGTAACATTCAGAAGCTTTTGAACTTCTTTAGCCCAAGCCCACAAAGATGAGAAATTATTAACAAAATTATATTTGACACTGAGGCAGTCAACGACTTCATAGACCTTTATCATCATTGTCTCTAATATTCTGTTATGTTGATATTGATGGAGAGGCTGGATTATTACTAAGAAATTTTTTTCAATTGAGTTATTATTTATTGGCCCCTAAAGCCAAGGGTCCCCGGGTCAGTGACCCCCCTGACCCACCTCTCCTCAGCACTGATACTTGCATAACTAGCGTTTAAAGCCATTAAAGGCATTAAAGAATACGCCTGCAAAGGATAAGGGCAGGAGGGGCAGTGTTGGTGCCGAGGGTAAATCGTGGAATATTTCTACTAACATAATCGAGTATTCCTAGGTGGGAGGGGGGTGAGGTTGGGGTAACATAATAAAATATTAACTTGAATACAGTGCCATCCATACAGCTGGGGTTTTTACCATTGTAAAATGGAGGTCTGAAATCGCGAGTAGTGATCCGAAGACGGTTTCTTGCGAGATGAAGAAGATACTTTAAAGAATGACGGTTTCTTGCGAGCGGCTATACTTTACCTTTCCGTAGGATTACCCCTCATTAGGTTTACATCATATTATTCATGTTGCGTAGTCATTAGTTATATAAGGTAACATTTTATGCTTAGTTATGCTTTTCTGGTATTTTCCTTGTACATATAACTATACGTAGTTAGTCAGATTCAAGAAGATTCGGAGAGAAATTCAGAAGGTATAGACATGAAAGGCTAAACGTCAGAAGGGAGCTAACCGTTTCGCCCCAGAGGCTTGCGAAAGCTCTTGCGGCCCAGTTTGCATTTAGGACAGACAGTGCTTGAGAAAGACTGCGCTGTTCCTCGTTATATATTTCATTGGATCGTTATAAGCATTAGAGTTAGTTCGCGGAGAACCGTCGTTGTTCATGTTAGCTGTTTAGATTAAAGTTTAGCCTTGGGATGTTATAAGATGGAAATGGAAAGGAAAAGTATAGCCGCTCGCAAGAAACCGTCATTCTTTGAAGTTTCAGTCTTCGGATCATCTCTCGCGTGCACAAGGAGGATATCCTAATAATCTGCGTAATATATAAAATACCTACGTATACAAAAAACCAAGTGAAATTGCTAAATTTAGCTCTATTACACCATCAAAGAGTCTAAACATAGAGAAAATGTTGACAAAATTATCCATACATAAAAATGGGTATTAAATGACCTTGTCACTATTCACAATATTTGGTTTCATAAAAAATCATGGCTGTGAAAAATGGGCTGGTTGTAAAATTTTGATTGCCCGCTAAGTTTTTATACCGATTTATCCACCTTAGGTTCCTGGAGTACTTCTGAGGGAACACATCGTTTGTTTATCATCTATTATCTGTGTCGCTTTCCCTCTTGTGGTTGACCTTGTCACAGACAAACTTTTTATCCTTTGCCTTTTTGTGCTGGTGTTAACATCTTTCTAATATTTTCTAAAACATATTAACATAACGAGAGTGGTCATCGGCTATCGATAAGATCCTATTGTACAATATTGTATTGTATTTTCTTATCTTTCAGGGTACTTCTAGCCCCCTCTGCCCCTCTTCAAATAGGGCAGGAGGGGCAGCTGCCCCTTCAGCCCCCTGTGTAGGCGCCCCTATTAAAGATCAGTTAATGCAAGATAAATCAACTTACAAACACTGATCTACAAAAGTTTTTTATAGATCAGTGAGATCAGTGTCTGTTAACTCGTTAGTTACCACTACAACAACAATATGCAAGTACCTGTCAACATCAACAACAACCAACTTCCTAGCGACAAACCGACGCCATTAGTTTCATTCAAGGAACTTTCAATATTTTGCTCTAAAAATGAATGCAGAAACAGACGACATCGATTTCACTAAACTAGAAAAAGAACTTGCAGCTGCTGTGGAGGCTGACAAAAAATATTCTCGGGAGAATGCTGCGAAATTCAGAGCAGTGGAACAAAGAGTTGGTTCGTATGAAGAATTCCGAAACATTGTTTTGGCATCTAGTCTTCAACCTTTGGAAAGGAAAGACATTGATGGCACATCTAAACGTCATCAGCCATTAAATCCTGTTTGTTCTTCAAGCAAGAATGACATGAGTCTACCCCAAGAAGAAAATATCGTTGAAGTTGACGATCCGACAAGTGGCAAAACCGAATCTGTAACTTCGTTTGTCAAAAAATGGAAAACGTCGTTGAGAACAAGTCTGAAACGATACCAGTACTTAATAAAATTAGACAGTTTGAATGCTGGTAAAATATTGGCCTCAGAACTAGTAGGTGATTTGATAGGAGAGATAATCATGGCTCTCAATGAGTGCTTTAGCTCGGTTTATACTGCTAAGATTTTATGTATTCTGAAAAACCTGTCTAAGAGCAAACGATTTATGCTGTCATTACAGTTTCTTAGTAAAACTGAAAAAAATGCAGCAAATGAATTATTTGAAAAGCTTACAGAAAATGCAGAAGAAGAACAGACAGAGTTGTTAAATGAACTTAAATTAAGGTACTTAGGCTAATATATATTAATGATTATGACAGTGCCATCAGAATGAAATTCATATTTTTCTCCCATTCAGTACAGTTTTATCAAGGAAATATAATACAGTTTGACAATTATTGGGGGCTCCAGCCCCTTATCCCCTGGCTTTTGATGGCCCTGTTATATTGTTGACTTTTTACGCAAATTTTATGAAAACCTCTCCTTTGTGTACAGGAAAATGTTCCACAAAAATGTTATTAACTCAGTATATTTCTATGATTTTCTGTGACCATAAGTTCTACAAAGATTCCCTTTGATTCAAACCTTTTAAAACCAAGTCATTAAGTTACATTCCTATCCAAGTTACAAGCCATTAAGTTACATTCCAATTTTAGAAGCCCATAGCACCAAACCAGAAAGTTTGAGTCAAAGCAGATCTAGATTATCAACTACAGCCCAGGCTATAGTCAGATTATCCGTGTTTCGTTTTCGGAATTCAAAGTTTCCTTGCAGTCCCTAAAATGTGTTTATTCTTTCTCTGATATCAACCCTATCAACATTTGAAAATATCATATTTGGTTATCAAATATGATTTATAAACATACAATGCTGGCAATGTGTCATCGCCATGCCTCTGAAATTTTTCAACCAATGCTACAGATAAGATATAAAACACTGAGCGCAGAATGGTCTAATTTATAGTTGGTCTGGGAATTTGCTCTGGAAAAGGCATCAAAGACATTAAAAACCCATACTACAATTTTTGGCGTGAGCTATAGTGAAGCTATAGTCAGGTTTGAAAATGACCTTTTCTAAAATGACCAATATAATATGAGTATCCACGGTACTTCACCGCTCTGTCTCCTGTAAAGCAACATTAGACTATAACTCGTGTTCCCTGTAATGTATCTTGAAAGGCAAGGACCTACTAGAAAATAGAAAAAAAACCAAAGGAATACTTATGAATGCGAAGCAACTATAAACATACATGGTTACAGCAATATAAACACAAGAAAGGCATGGTCCCAATCCCAAAAGTTTGAGCTATTGTCACCAAAAATCCTAGGTCCACCCCTGGAAATGTTTAGCCCATTGCATGCATAGCTTGCAATGACCCTTCAACAGAACTTTGCCCCTCCAACAGGACTTCATCAATAATATTATCATTTGTTCATTTAGTTCTCAGGGTGTTTCTCAAGAACATAAGAAATAAATTTATACATAAACTTAAAGCTTATTTTAAAGAGCTTATCCAGTGATATTTAATTTCATATGTTAGAAAAGATCAATTGAAAATGGAAAATATAAACAAAGGAATTCCTTGAATGTATATAAGATAGCTCCCTCAGTAGAACTTGCCAGATCCTTCATCAATTAGCCATTGGTGTATTGGCACAAAATGCTGAAGGTAACCCATCTGAATCCTAAACATTAAATACAACTTAATGGACTCAAGTTTCAAAGCAATTTAAATTTTGGGCAGGGAATGGACAAGAAAAGTTAATTTTCCCCACAATGAAGATGCTTACCAGTTTTACTTTGGATAAATAAGACACGAGAAGGGAACAGAAAGATAACTTCCTTAAAGTAAATAGTACCATTCAAGTAAAATGAGAACCCTTTGTGAAATCTAATGCTACAATATTCTAATAAAATTTCATTTGATCAGCATTGAAAATAGCATATATTAGTATCAATATAATGTTATTAAGCAAGCCATCTTTTTTAGGTCACAAGTCGACTTTTTTAAACTAGAGAGCCGAGTAAGTTGTCTCATTTCAACAGACTTGTTGTAGTTGTTTTTGCTACCTGATATGTCATTGTCTATGAATTTGGGTTTGATGCTAGCAAGATTTGTATTGCTAAAATATGTTTGGAATCAATTGTACTGTGATCACAAATTGGCTTTTATGTTGCACCTTAAATTGCTCTTCCTCATTCAAGTGAAATATGTAATGTAGGTAGGACTAGAATTCTTGCTTGGTATTGACTCCATTTATCAAATATCCTAAATGGCAGTTTGTAAGTCAGAGATAATTAATTCTGAAAGTTCAGTGGATAAAGATAAACAAAATGAAACAAAGTGCCATAAAATCTCTAAAGATTTAGACTTGACTTTCCTTTCAAAAAGGCTGACAATCATACAATTCAGTGTAGACAAATGGACTCTTACCAATTATTCCTCACAAGTACAAGTAATTCCAATTCAAGTCATACCCAAAAAATTACCAAAAGTTCTACTTTCAGCAGAAATTGAGGCCAATTTTCCTGCATTATAATTTGGTTTGAAGTTGACTGTTTCTATCTCTTGGGGGCAACCCTCATTATTTAAGGTTACCCTTGCAAGCTGAGAGGGAAAATATTTTGCTTGGTCAGAGTAAAATGGACATATTGTTTTTCTTGATCCACTGATCATCAATTTATCTAATATTTTTTTAGGCAAGTTACAAAGTTTAATGACCAAAAGCAATAGTCCCTTCCAAATTGAGAAGATAAGTGTAATTTAAATAGAATTAAATAAATCATTTATCTAGCTCAAATGAATAATACAATAAAATACACAGTGCTTTTGTTTTATGTGTGTTTACTCCTCTACAATCTGCAAGTTTGGAGTCATCAAAGTTAACACCCCTTTAACATTCATGCCCTCAGTAAATTGAGCACCTGTCCCAAAAACAACTAGCAAAATTGATACATATTTAAAATTCAACATGAGACGCTTAATTGCAGATATGAGATACATTGTTTTAACACAAGTTGTTGTTGAACAACTATCATCTTTAGCAAGCTTGTACTTTTGACCTAAAACTTTTATAATAAAACTATAAAAAGTCACTAAATGTTAATTAACATTGAATGAAATGAATAGCCTGCATGCAGACTTAACAAATGGGAGAGGTTGTGCTTTGTTCTCAAATAACTTGTTATTTAAGTTAATGCAGTTCAATTGATAACACCTCCTGACTTACGGTTGATATAGTCAATTCATTCATTGTTGAGATTTAAAGACATTAGGGTCAAATGGAGAAAGTTCTATATTTATCAATGATAATGAATCTTAGATAATAACAGCCACCTGTCTGTAATAAACATGTCTATGGAAATAGCAGGTGTAAACAAAGAATGTACAACAGTTTGAATTCTATGTTTCTATGATACAATGAATTATAATCAAGACTTGACATTTTATATTAAATATCTGTGAGTTTTCAAAACTATAAGAGCTATATGTATATGAGTATGATGCAAAGATACCAGTGTAAGTTGTATCTAGAGGTAAACAATTTCCATTGTGGCTGTTGTGCTAATGAAATGCATAAAAGTATGGGCTGACACACTTCCTTGGAACTTAATTTTGAAATTTCAAAACGGTTGATGTGTCAAACTTTGTTATAAAAATCAAGTATACTAATCTCCATTTCAAGAATTCAGGTTTTTTATGAAACTAAAATGACATAAAAGGGAAAGAAAGAGGTAAATAGATATTTCAGTTCAGGCAAAAGGGATCAGAAGTTTGCACTTTCATATTTCTATATTTATGAAGTTTCTACTCAGAAATACGGGAGGGAAGTTTAATGGGGGGGGGGGGGTTTCATAATGTTGCAGGGATAGGTTCCTACAGAGCCATTCATATGAAGGAACAAAGGAAATTTTTACCCCTTTACGCGATCAGTTCTCATTTTTATCAATAAATATGACATACTGCATGCCTGCACCTTGATCTAAATAAAGCAACACCAACTAAAACTCCAGCCTTTTTTCTCTATTTTAGCAAGCTATTCTATAAATAGAAGCCAAGAAATAAACTTTTTAGATGCAAAAAGTAAATAAGAATACATTCATAAAATTCAAGCCTAGTCAGCTGCATATTAATGTCACAAAAATCCCTTATGAAAACCCAATTTTAATTTCTAAATTACTACATACCTTAACAATTTCTTCGTCGTTATTCATAATGGCAGCCAAAATTCTAATTCCTACTTTCCATTTCCTTCTCATCTTTCACTCAATCCTACTTTTCATTCTGTTTGTCTTCCTTGTCATCCTTTTTTTCTTCGGCATCTTGACTTTCTCCTTCCTTTTCTATGTCCTCTCTTCCCTCTTCTTCCTCTTTCTCTCCCTTAACTTCTTTACCTTCTTCTTCCTTTTCATCATCTACTTTACCTTCTTCTTCCTTTTCATCATCTACTTTACCTTCTTCTTCCTTTTCATCATCTACTTTACCTTCTTCTTCTTTTGCATCATCTACTTTACCTTCTTCTTCCTTTCCATTATCTTCTTTACCTTCCTCCTTCTTTTCCTCAACTTCTCCTCCATCTTCCTTACCTTTTGCTTCTCCTGTAGAATCTCCATCCTTCTTTCCCTCATTACTAGCAGTCTCGGCAGATTTTCCTGTTGCACCTCCACCTGGGATTTTTTCTGGTGGCTTTTGAACCATTCCAAGATCAATCATACTTTGGGCCATGGCTACAACAGCCTCATTTATATCTCGACCTTCTATACCAAGTACATTTTTCATGCGACTATTATTCATCTTCCAAGCTACACCTATATAGGGATAAGAAGCCTTGAGATCCTTATTGAACCAACTAAAAAACCACAACAATGGTTTTGGTGCTTTTTTTGTTGGTACATTAAAACCTTTGCTGTTAAATTCTTTTGCTAGACTGTCAGCCAGTTGCAAAAAAGAGTAGGAATTGTTTCCTGCAGACAATATGTGTCTGTTCCCAGCAGCATCTGGGTTTGTGATGGACTTCACATGTGCCTCTGCAACATCCCTTACATCAACAATAGCAATACGAAGATCAGGCACGGCAGACATTTCTCTAACCAAAAGCTGTTTAATGGTTTTGAAGCTGGCACATTCTTTCTTCATCAGAAGGGGGCCTATGATGAAGCCAGGATTGATTGCTACCAACTCAAACTTGCTTTCGTCCGGCAATTCTTTAACGAAATCCCAAGCAGCTTTCTCCGCTAAGCATTTGCTTTTTTCATAGGCATTTGCTTTTTTAACATCTGACCAGTCTCCTTCGTCAAGTTCTTTCTTCAAATTGCCGACGAAAATTGCAGCCATTGAGCTGGTGAGAACGACTCTTTTGACACCACCCACTTCCTTGCAAGCCTTCAAAACATTCAGGGTTCCATCAACAGCTGGCTTTATGAACTCATCTTCGTGTTTTGGCGTCTCAGTGAAGAATGGAGAAGCAACATGAAGGACGTACGTGCAACCCTCAACGGCACCTTTCCATGATCCTTCGTCCAGCAAATCTGCTTGCACAAGTTGAAGTGGGTACTTTGCGTCAGGAACCAAATTCCTCAAAGCTTCACAAACTGTTTCATTCGACAAACTTCTAACTGTCCCTTTAACTCGAAATTCTCCATCTTCCAATAGCTTTTTGATGCAATGGTTTGCAACGAAACCTGAAGCACCAGTAACAAGAACACACGGGGCGTTTCCCTCCGCCATTTTCTAACAGTGTGATGCAAGGAATGAAAATTTTACGTACCCAGTATTGTGCTTGTTGTGTATGCCACACAGGCACCAATCCCAGAAGTCAAGGCGGGTCTTTTAAATATATTTACAGACGATAAAGATAACAGAATTTTGACCATGCATTTTTACCAGCTACCACCTGTGGACTTGGCTACACATGTGTCATTTGTTGAATTTTAGCAATCATATTAGTGGTTTTACTTTTTCCTCAAGTAATTTCCCGAAAAAATTCTTGTGTTAAATTAAAAATGTTACAAATTGGGTGAGGAATGACCAATGAACGATATTAAGTTTTGGAAGTTTGCTACAGATTTCTGCTGTTTTAGCATGGCTCATCAAGTTTAGAGATGAGAGAAAATTACTGTGGTTTGTCGGGGGCATATATAGTATAGATCTTTCAGGTTATGTGATCAAAATTCAAAAATTTTGAAACAGCCCTTTCTAATGTCATAACAACTCTACGAGAGTTATTAATTATACGGAGGAGAATTTATTGTCTTTTTTTCACTTCTTTGTTATCAGTTGGTGTGTACAAAATAGCTACAAAAGGATAATTAAAGCCAACCAACTAAACAAAAACAACGTAATGCTGTTTGGATTTTCCAAATGCATTTCAACAATTTCCTCTTAATTTCTTAGAAAATCTTTCCAAAATCCTTCTAATTTCAAATTCTTTCCTTTTTCCTCTGAATCGGCCAAAATTCCCGAAAAAAGGATAAATCCTTCCAAGTGGAAGCTCTGCATATCGCAATTAAGTGGCCTTAGTTCAAGTCCCCAAACTAAAATTATTGAACAATATATTTGGAGTCTGGGGCTCAGGCTACATACAAGTAAGTAGCAGTTTTTCAGCAATTAGTTCAATTCCAACATTGAGCTTGAGCGGGAATTCTGCAGCCAACGTTGCAAAATGTTATAGAGCCAAAGAATAGCAGAAAAGAAAGTGAAAATCACTTAGTCACGTTCTAAGACAAACTCCGAGAAACACCTCCTTTCTTCAGTAACGATTGAATTCAATAACCCTTTTGGCAAAGGTAAAAATAACCCTTTTGACATTCATGTGACTACCATTCTGTTGACCTCACGGCTAATGTAAGAGTAAAATTTTCCAAATCAGCAATATCATGGGCGCAAGCACCGCCGCAGAGACATTTCCGCAACACCACTGACAAGTAAGCCGACCAAAAAAACTAATTTGTAGAAGAACGCCATTCTAGAAACTGAAAAGTGACTCTTTATTTAGGTACAATTGTAAATACCCGCTGCCTTTTTTTACTCATGCAGTCTCTGGGCCTATGCAGAAATTTTTTTTATAAATATATAGATATAGTTATATATATATACATATATTAAGTAACTATCATATTGCTGTCTAGAGTGCTCAACATATCGGAGCGATTACACCTGATGATTGTTTACCGTGAAACTCAGAGTTGTGTCACAATAGTCTGTTTAATGATGATTTAATGAGATTTAATCAGACTTAATTTCACGAGGGGCTTTTGCATTGACTGTTACTCTTGAGTTGATTAATGACTGTTATTCATATTTTTGGTCTCATGTGCCACGCTTTCTCGTGGTTCTCTTGCATTTGCGTTACTCGTTTATTGATATTGCGAAGTAGTCTTGGCCTCCGGGGGATTTGTTTAGTAATGCTGGGGCAACATTTATGGCTCATGGTGGTTTTTATTCCCTAGGTAATTCTTGGGGGTATTTAAGGTTTTTGGCATAGTGTTGGTTTCACTTTGCTTGGTGAAAGGCGATGAATAGAGTGTGCTGTTTATTTTCCCGGCCTTCCCTCCCTCTTTTCATCTCTTGATTCATTCAATAAAATTTCTCGTACCTTTAGGCATTCCTTTATGCTGTTAGCATTTATTTAGATGCTATTAGGTAGGAGTTTTTTCTTGTCCATTCCCTCTCCTTTATCAATTAAATTTGGGGGTTATTATGGAAAATTCCAAAGTAACCGCTTTCTGTTTAAATCAGTGTTAGGTTTAGCGATTTGCACCGATGCACCAACGGCCCAACTCACTCTCGATGATGTGGGAACGTAGCCTCATGACTGATTTTCTGATGTCTAGGGCATGATTTCTGAGGAAGCTTTTTGCCCTTCATTTTGTTGGTATTTTATTCACGAGTTAGAAAATTAATTTCAGTCTAACTAGATATAGATATAAGTATAACTTAATTGTGAAAGTTTCTAAAGAGCTGCTTAACTTGTCGAAATTCTCAATTCAGTTTCTTATTTAGCACTTATTTATTTATATTGGGACGAATTCGTCGTATGAGTTTTACTTTATTTGAAGCTTGCTTGTAGGTCATCAAGGTTCATCTTAAGATTTTCAAGTCAACCATCAACGTAAAAGATCATGATCTGTAGACAAGACTTGAACCTTCTCGCATCTTATTCTTGCGAGAATCTACAATCCCGGACAAAAATAGAGTTCTGAAGTGTGACGTCGCAAAAAGGCTATTTTTCGAATTTTTGAAATTGAACTACATAGCTTAAAAGAACACCATGCAATACTTCCGATTATGCAAGTTCAGTCAAATATGTCTATAATCGGGTGAGATATGGCCAATGGAAGATTTCAAATTTGCTAACGAATCACTGTTATTTTCGCTCTGTTCAAAAAAGTTATGAACAGAGCCGATATTATAGAGGTTTGATGGGGAAAGAGCCAATACACATGTGGTTATATATATCTGCCAATTCAAAACACATTTGACTAATTTCATGATGCTCTTTCAGGTTATGGTATGGAATCTAAATTCAAAATTGTACAAATAGATTTCTGTGACGTCATCACTTTAGAACTCTATAGAAAAACTTTGTATTTTCTCGTTTCTTTGAAAAATAGCTTTGCCCCTCCCCCAATTCAATTTTGAATGCATGACTTTGAATAAAAAACGATAGGACTATAAACCCAACATTGCTTCGGGGGGAATGGGGGGATTTTCGAATTTACAGGGGCAAGGTAAAGTAGAAAATCACAAAAATTGCATTTTGTCTCAACATTTTTGTCCGGGATTGTAGCTACAGTTCTATAAGGATAGGTTTTTCTTTTAAAATCACCACCCTTACCCTTTGTCTTGGTAGGTTGCAAGTTTTCCTCTTTCTATAAAGACCTTGGTGGCCTTTGAAACAACATCTAACATCTCGCTTTAAATCAGTTGACCCCTGTATACTTCTGTAATTAAGGTTGGACGGTTTTATTTGGCCATACTTTGGGTAGCAAAGTCATTAATGTTTCTTATATTTCTCTACTTAGCTCTTTGGGTAACTTCATTCCATAGCCTATTCCAGGGGAAATTAGCTGCGGGGGCAAACCTTTGTTTTTTTTAAGTGGGGGACAATAGCATGTTGTTTAAAACAATGGAAAGTCATTAAGGCTGCGGGTGCAATTGCCCCCTTGCTTTATTCCAGTCCAACAGGCAGAAGCAGTCCTTTAATTAAGTTTCATGATGGAAATCTGCATGTTTGTACATTCAAGAAAACAAACATTTTTTCAATTCAAATTTTTTGCACTGGTCACGCATAAAATAGCATGGTATTTTTAGATCAACAGACAATGTCTTGCTAACCTTGCCAACTGTTTTAAGGTGGTTTCTTCAACTTGATTTCAAACCTTGGCCGGGATTTCTTACTCTACACAAGGCCATCGCTCGGTCCCATTTGTCACTTGTCAGCAAAGTGGGTAAGCAAATCCTTTAATTGCTACCCTGGGTACCAGAGCCTCGTGAATCTTGGTACAAAGTATTTTAGAAGGCTGCGGTGGCATTTAATGAAATCCTTACTCCAAGAATATTTCTGTGACTAGTTTTGAACTATATTTTTGGAAGACTAAATAATGGAGTACCCCAACGAAGTACTCAAACATGTCAAAAAACTCGTCGTTATTGTACTTAATTTTTTTTTAACAAATTCCACCTTAGCAACGTTCCTGATTCTAGAGAAGAAGTGCCGAGTGCTTTCAACAATATGTTTGGACTTTCTTCCAATCCGCGTTTCTTTGCAAAGCATCTTTGCATAGTTGAGTCAAGTGTAGTGTTTATGTGTCCGGCAGAGTTGACCCGAAAGGAGAGGGCAAGCGTATATTCAGCAAGGACTCATTTCTCAAGGCTAAGCTACAACTTACTACGACTACGCAGGGGAAACAGTTTACATTAATAGAAGCATTTATCACGAGATACGCATTACGAATTTTACGCAACACAGTCACGCATTTTAGGACTTAGGAAAGAAAAAATGAGAAACATAAGAAGAAATGTAACAAGTAATAAAAGAATCATCGCCAGGTTTTAATTTGACAAAGTGTAAAAGGTCCTCGTTTAAATTGTCTCAAAGGTTAGCAGCAGTATTATAAACTCTTTTAATGCACAAGCTAGACTTTTGAAAAATTTTCGTCGTTTGCATCAGTATTGGACGAAAATTATGACTTTTTGGAGTATTTCATTATTTTAAAATTTAGATGTTTCTTAATAGCCGTGCTTCCAGTTTCCTAATGTCTGACACTGGCACTTATTTGTATTTAAATATATATGTCCCACCACTCGAAAAACAATCTCCATTTGCTGAAACACTTTCAAATTCGAACAGAGCTTCTATCAATTCAGCTTTTTTAGCACAATTCAGATCAAAATTCTTTTAAACAACGAAGAAAATCATAGACCCACCTTCAGCAGGGTCAAAATACTTAGATGCAAGATAAAATTGGTTGGGTTAAATTATAATTTGAGTAGCTTTTATTAATCAAAGCTTTGTTAAGCATTGTTAAAAATTTGCAAGGGGTTTAACTAGATTTGTCTGCTGGAGGGTTAGCAGGAGCATCTTCAAGCCGTCATTCCAAGATCAATCATGCTTTGTGCCATGGCTATAGTCGCTTCATTTATATCACGACCTTCTATACCAAGTACATTTTTCATGCGGTTAATATTCATGTTCCAAGTTGTTCCTATGCATGGATATGCAGCTTTGAGACTCTTGTCAAACCAGCTAAAGAGCCATATCAATGGTTTTGGTACTTTTGTTGTTGGTACATTGAAGCCTTTACTGTTAAATTCTTTCGCTAGGATATCAGCCAGTTGTAAAATAGAGTAGGAATGGTTCCCAAAAGACAATATGTGTCTGTGTCCAGCAGCATCCGGGTTCGTGATAGACTTTACATGTGCTTCTGCAACATCCCTCACATCAACCATAGCAGCACAAAAGTCAGGCACTGCAGGCATTTCTCGTAACAAAAGTCGCTTGATGATTTTATAACTTTCACATTCTTTCTTTATGAGAAGGGGGCCTACGATGAAGCCAGGATTGATTGTTACCAGTTCAAACTTGCTTTCGTCCGGCAATTCTTTAACGAAATCCCAAGCAGCTTTTTCCGCTAAGCATTTGCTTTTACTATAGGCGCCTGCTTGTGTAACATCTGACCAGTCTCCTTCGTCAAGCTCTTTCTTTAAATTGCCAATGTAAATTGCAGCAATAGAGCTGGTGAGAACGACTCTCCTGACACCACCCACTTCCTTGCAAGCCTTCAAAACATTCAGGGTTCCATCAACAGCTGGTTTTATGAGCTCATCTTCGTGTTTTGGCGTCTCAAGAGAACATGGAGAAGCAACATGAAGGACGTACGTGCAACCTTCAACGGCATCTTTCCATGATCCTTCGTCCAGCAAATCTGCTTGCACAAGATCAAGTTGGTGCTTTGCGCCAGGAACCAAATTCCTCAAAGCTTCACAAACTGTTTCATTTGTCAAACTTCTAACTGTCCCTTTAACTCGATATTCTCCATCTTCCAGTAGCTTTTTGATGCAATGGCTGGCAACGTAGCCTGAAGCACCAGTAACAAGAACACACGGGACGTTTCCCTCCGCCATTTTATCTATGACAGCAGCATGAAGCAAGGCACTCGAGTCGAGGAAGCGATACCAAGATTGTTTATTGTTCAATTTTCATACCAAGATCACCTATTGTTTAAAGGCATTGTGTCGCGCTGTTCATTTTATTGAATTTCGGGTCCTCGAAATTAGAGAAGCGTGACAAATTGTAACAACTCATCGTTAGCATCATTAAGCGTCTTTTGTTACGAAATGAAAACTCACTGAAATAGAATTGTTGTTCTTCGTTTCGATAAACCATTGAACGGCGCGACCCACTGCCTTTAACGATTTTCTAGTTGGTAAAAACCAGACCAAAAGACCCAGGACTCTTCAGTACTAACATTAAGAAGGAACCTTAGCACCAGGGGGGTCTTCGACATGATAAGACAATAGATGATCACAGTTGACTGTCATCATCGCACCATGAGGACACATCAACTGTCAAATGCGCTTTTGCTCCTACTACGGCGTTCTTCCGCATATTATCCACATGTTATCCACATTATACCCGTCTATAATAAAGCTTATAACAGGGCCGCCGGAGCCAGGGGGGCCACGGGGGCACAGGCCCCCCCCCCCTGTTTGCAAAAAGTATAAATAAGTGCCTCTTTTTGAAATATATTGCGTGTATTTTTTCAATGCCAGATATTCTGCCTTTATAAACTAAGTAAAATAACATAACTCTGGACGTTGTTGGAGGACCATTCATTGAAAATTCCTGAAATTTTTACTTGGTCTTGATGCAAAAAGCGCAAGCTCCTGTGATTAACAATATCAACTGCGAAGGAGACTGTCAGATCCGCGAGAAAATTTCGTTAGTATGTCTTCAGCAACAAACGCATTAGTGACAGGTCCGGTCAAGTCCCCGGCGGGCACAGTCAGTTGGTCCAATGTATATCGCGTGTGTTCTCGAAAGTAGAAACTGGAGCCCTATCTCTGATTCTGGGATGCGTAAAATGTACCCTATTCAGTGACTTTGCCAAAATTGTGTAACTCTTTTCACTGATAATATTCAAGCTTGAGCAGGAATTTCTGATACCAATTCATGCTAGAACCATTATTTTTCTTAAACTTATGAATAGGCAACTTAAAATGCAGAGTTCACTAAATTTGATTTCAACAATAATCCCTTGTGGTTCTTGACATATATATTAGAAAAATCATAACTTTAACTGCAACATATTGCTTGCTTCGCAACATTGTGTTCAATGTTTTTTATGAAGAAATGAAAAAGTTGTGTCCTTGCAATGAATACATGCTAACAAAGATTTAAATTTCTTATCTAGGATTAGAACAATATACAAGACTAGACGTTTTGCAAAATTTGTTGTACTTCAATATGCCATTCATTTATCTAAAAAGTTATCTGCAACATCATATAAGTAAATTCTTTTTTTTTTTCCTCTGACCGATTAAGAATGCAACCCAATTTTCAAAATTCTATGTCCCAGAATTCTAGCTTTTTTCGAGTTTTTCGGTACTCACGTGTAATACGTTTTACCAACAGACTGAGTCCCCCCTCCCGGGATCAAGTCTAAGGAAAGTTAAAAACCTGTCTCATTCATAAGACTGACGAGATAAACCTAATCAATGTTACAAATTAAATTTGCTATGAGCGTGAAGAATGTGCCCGTACCTTCAGCCGATTGTGTGAAGATGACTTAACCATAAAATTTTTTAGCTTTTCTAAAAAATTCCATGGAGGCGAACAAATTTGTGTTTAAGTGGGGATGGTGCGAATTCCAAGGTGGACGAAATTGTTTAAATATGAAAGTAAGAAAATTAATATCATTATTATGTCTAACGTGTGTCATAATTTTTATAATTGTCTAAATTACCGTTAAATCTGTACCATTTTTGGCACTTACTAATTTTTGGGAATATGTGCTGGAGACGTGCTCACACATGTGTTGTGGGAAATTAGTAACTTATCAGTACGTATAGATTAAGTTATCCGCATGTTTAAGGAACCAAATTAGATACTTACAGATACAGTAAAATTAATAGACTCGTGAAAACAGAAATTAAGGAACCATAAATGCACACAACATCCTGCATGATGCACAGGCACATGGTTAAATCGCAGTAAAAACTGTAAGTCAAGCAGATTAGCATAGTAATCAGTATTATTAGATAATTGGAGCATTTTCATATAAAAGAAATAGAAACACTAAAGTAGAGTTAGAGTAGAGTCGCTCGAAATGTAGGTAAGAGACAAGCAACGTAGAGTCACGTAATAATTGTATGTGGAATAAAACAGAAAATTAAAGATGTACGAAAACGATATGGTATTTTTCTTGAGAAATTCGGTTCACTTCTGAAACCTCTTTCGAATCAGTAGAGTGAAGCAATTAATGCAACAGAATAAAATATTTGTGCCCTTTTTATTCGTTTTGGCCCCCCCCCCTGTTCAAACCTGCGTCCGGCGGCCCTGTATAAGCAAGCAAGACTTATCAGGGAAATTTTTAGGTACCAAAGTCTAAGTTCTCTGTTGTAAAGCAGACTAAGTTCTTTATTGTAGCTGTTGCTTCTCTTTCCTTGTTTGCTTTGGCTAAATTTACATAGATTTTAATAGTTGTCGCTAAATCATGCTCGTACTGTTACTTGTTGTTGATGTTAATTACACTCTTTTTTTATAAGAAAAATTTTATAAGAACACGAGCCTCAAAACTGGTCAAAAGTTAAGAACAAATTAAGAACAAGCTAAGGCTGAGCTTCTGCAAAATGCAATTTTGAACAACGTTTTTTCTCAAAATCGAGGATTTTTAGCGATGTGTGAGTGCTTTTTGGGTGAATATTCAAATTTTTCAGCAAATTAAGGCTGTTTCATTCACTTTGTTGGCAAATGAGGCCTGCACACCTTTTTAGAGCGAAAAAGCTAGCAATAGCTCTGCTTATACCCTCCTAATTTAAGAACAAATTAAGAACAATCCAGCCTCAGATTTTCGAGAAAATAAAGAACAATCAGCCTGAACTTAAATTTACTGGTTCTTATAAAAAAAAGAGTGTAATTAATTTTTCTTTTTTTCATGTTTACGTAAAAAGCTCTATTTTGTCATTCAGATATAGAGAGCTTTTCTAGGTATTAAATTGTGCTTTAATTAATTTAATTGATTTTAATTTGTTGGTCACACCCAAGATTTATTAAAACCACGCTTAAATTTGGCTACAATTGGTAAAAGTTTTGAACAAACTCATTAGCTTCACAAAATTTTCAATTTACTGATTTACTGTTGTTTATTGTTGTTTATTCTCGGCGTATTGCGGTGTTTCATATTTGCTACATTTTTATCGACTTTTCGCCGCAAGAACTCCTTGGAGCCCGTCGAGCAGCCTGCTACAGTGGCCTTTTCTTCATTCACACAAACACAAATTACCCAGAAACAATAGGGTACTGACAAACAACAGGAAAATCTATTGTTTAACACTATAGCCCCTGCTAGCCACATGGCTGCGCGGTGCCCGTCATCTAAAAAGTGGAAACGAAAGCCAGGCCAGGATAGCTAAAGCCAGGATAAAAGCCAGGACTGGCAACTTTTTCAGCGATGAAAGTTTTGACCATCTTTTTTATCATTTTTGAAAACAGAGTATGAAATAAAGAGAAAACAAACTGTTTACATACTGCTTGATTTTGTTTGATTCTATTTACTAACGTATTTAGGTATATTTCTATGATTTGTCTGTCATTTGCATTAATTCAATAGATAACTTTCTGTATCATTGCAATGTCTGCACTTTGGATGGGTAAACACGGCCTACTGAAAATACTCGAGACAAAAAACGAGAGAGAAGATGCACGTTTCTGTTCAGGAAGTAAAATTCTCTCAACCAATACAACAGCTTTTTGTTATTCACATCGATGTGCACTCTGAACCAAAGGTGACCCTTTTTTTCTTCCCGCAACGTCGTTCCCTAGTGTTTTAGCATGATTCCTCCCCTTCCAATTCTTTCTTAAAAGTCAATAATTTTCTGCTAATCGTCTAATTGTATACTTCTGAGCGGTAATTCTTTAAATTTTAGCCCCGGAGATGCATTTTTAACCATTCTAGAAGGCTTTATTTAAAAAGTTTTTGCGTCGGACCCAGCCATGGTGGGTCCTCCTATGTCACTAAACTTGATTGTTAGCCCCCCCCCCCAGTTTCAATTTTGTGGCGCTGTTTCTGGGTTTGCTTTATCCAGAGAAACAAACCTGTCCCGGGTAAGTCGAAATCCTCAATGAATAGATCAATGAATAGATCCTGTTTTCAGCAAATTAATTCCACGCACGAGGGAAGTCGTAGAATTTTTAGCTGAATTGTACTTCATCTATTTAACGCCCGGGTCGTTAATTTATTTTTTTAGTTTTTAGGGTGGGCATTAATTAGAAAGGAGCGTTAATTAGGAAGTGGGCGTTAATTCAAAAATTCCCGAAAGCAAATTTGTGTACCTTATCATCTGAATTTCTTCCAAGAATCTCAGAAAAATTATACAATGGAGAAAATAGAACAACCTCAAAACAACCAAACAACAATCTATCAAACATTTTATAAGGGGCATTAAAAAGAAAGGGGACGTTGAAAAGGAAGTGGGTGTTAACTAACTTCTTTCACTTTTAGGGTCGACATTTATCAGGAAGGGGAGTTGAAAAAGAAAGAGGGCTTCAAATAGATCAGAAATACTATTTCTCTTCAGGTGTGAGTTACCATGCTTCCATTCTTGTATTTATGTGGCTACTTTTGATGCCTTTGGGAATATTAAAGAAGTAGGAGTTCTGTCGTCTGTGTTTCTGCACGGAATTGTTGGCCCCTTGACTCAGATGCTGACTCAGATGAGCGTATCTAATTGTGTTGTAGGCAAAAGTGAACTTTTCGTGTCCATTCCTTTCACAGAATTTTAGGTTGCTTGTACTTGACGTTTAGGGTTTATATGGGTTTAGGTGTAGCAACTTCTACCGATGCACCAACGGCCCAACGTTACTTCTTTTGATGAGGGAATGCGACCTAAAGACCTGATTTGATGAGGGATGTGGCAATGTCTTCTGTGGAAGCTTTTTTATCTAAATCTCCGTTTTTCCCCGAGTAAGAAATTGATTGTTCCCCGAGTAAGAGTTCTTCTGCGCTTGCCAATAATTTTTGGTCTCGATCTCATAACCAGCCTTTATTAAAAAAGGCGGGAAATTTGCAATTATTTTTTTCATATAGCCAACGAGACTTGACATTCTCAGGATAGGAAAATTGAAACAGAAACGAATTAAAATATTAGCAATTTTGATTTTTGACGAAGTAGAAGCAAGAGGATCATGTATCAGTAGTCACGGCTGCAGCTCTTGCCGATGCGTTTGCATTCCTTTCGACACATTTTGGAGGGGATGTGGAATACTAGCAGGGTTTCTCGCGCCACAAATCGACTAAGAAATCCTCTTTATCCACGAAAACAGAGGCATCGTTGTTCACGCAACGGCACATGTTTTTATGGAGAGGCATAAACACACGGCACAATGCAGATTTGCCATCAAGCTGTACTCAAAAATGATAGAGCCGTATGTACGAAAGTCTGACAAAGTAAGGCAAATGAGATGAAAAGGATTACATCTCTTTAGTAAAACCTTTTCCATTTAGTAGAACACTTCTTCTGGTTCAGGTTTATACAGATAGCCGAAACAGTTTAATCAAAGGAAAAATTCTAACAAGAAAGAAGAAAAAAGAGTAATGTTTGCTTGTAAAGAATTCATTACAAATTATCATTTTAATTCTGATTCTACTTTTTAAGTGTACTTTTATATTATAAAGATTTCTATGTAGTGTATACAAACCTATGACAATATTTGCGAAACAATTTTTCTTATAAATTCATAGCAGTGGAAGGTTCTTCTTTATTTGGGAAGCTCTACAATTTGTGACCTCCGAAAGAGAATAGCCACTTTGGCACATACAGGAAAGATGGTACCAGCCATTCGTAGCCAGGATAGTACATTCCGGTTAGATACTTCAATTGACGCACAGACAATGGAGTTGAATCTAAGAAAAACTTTGACTTTAGAACATATAATCTCTTATCGCACTGGACTGGTATCAAACTTTCGAAATAAAAACATAGGCATGCCTGCAAATTTTTTTTATAAAACTGTGAATAAATCTAGTCTTAGAAAAACTGAATGGTTTAAACAACGTTCTGTTTCGTCGCTGCACTCTGTTCAACTGTAAACTTTAAGACATTGGACAAGGCTTAAGATCGGAAAAATAAAGCATACGATCAAATGACACTACGGAGATAGAGCAGTAACAATACTGGCATTTCAAGAGCACTGGTACTGAATGTGACGTGTATTCTGGACAGTAAATATAAGCATGCTATAAGGACCCGACAACCAACACAAACCTCCAACATCTTTTAACCCATACTCATTTGCCAGCTCAGCAACGATGACAACTTTCCCACTTTTTGACATCTTGTTCTTATCTGTAATTTAAGAGCCCATGACTTATAAGAACATACACAACTAGGACAACATCCTATCGTAACCTTAGAGGGTTTTCTGCGTCTCTCGCTTACTATGCATCGCATTTTACTGTTTGAAAATTCAAAGAATATTAAATAAAGGCAAACGTTAATAAATGTTTTAGCAGAAAATAGAAAATAAATCTATATTTTCTAGAAACCACCAGAAAGGTTTCGTTTCCAGCAAGGTTGCCTCCAAAATCATCATCTTTATCATCATTAAAAGCATCCAAAAAAATATACTTCAGCATATTTTGATAAAACTAGGATACGCAACTCACCTGAAGCTAATCCAACAATCACTTTTCCAGTGAGTGTTGAATCTTGTGGGTTGCTGAAGGCGGTAGATAACTAAAATGGGCAAGGTTTTATTAGAAGTTGAATTACGTGGAATTCGGCAATGATCAATCATATCCTGGTAGAATGACGGTACTAAGCAACTTAGATGTCTGCTAAAACTTCCTTCTCAGTATACCTACAACAAGAGCTCGGTTAAGAATCGCTTTGATGTTCCACATCCCTGCAAAGGTGCAATTGTGTGGCGAGGACGCACGAGGAAGAGGAAAGGAAGTTAGCATTGGAAAATCGATAAGGTAATTCTGAGGGGCGGCTGCTTATACACAAAATTTCCAGAGCATATAGTTGGGGTTGGTGGATGATTTTTGAGGTCGTGCTTGCGATTTTTTGTGAAAAATTGTCAATGAATCTGGATGCTTAAGTATTAAGGTTCAAAATAAGAACAGATAAACATTAAATTGAATTCTAATCATACAAAATATTACTTTTAAAAGCTACTCTTCCGTCTAAACCGTCTTAATCTATTCATAATGCATCTTTTTCAAGATAGGAATCTGGGGACACGACACAATCTACAAAGCCATGTACTTATTTGAACAAAAGTTCACGGGATTCTTTAAATTCTTTTAATTAACACCTTCAGGCTCAGGAAACCTGTATATTATGGGAGGCACCCCCTTTATTAAACCATACCTTGTCCTAGCTTTGAGGCCAATCAACCAGCCCCCTGTGTCATGCAATTTCATTGTTTCGGAATAATAGAAAGAAAATGGACATCGCGATTAAAGAAGACAAGCTGGGACAGATACATGGAAGTCAGACAAGAAGAAAAGTCATAAGTTCAACAGGTATGGAGTAGGTGATTGGAGGACACTAGAAAAATTTGCCGAAGTAGATGAAAATAGGGTGGTTGGATTATTTTGGCAAGGTTACAGCTTTTTTAGCGTAAGTTCTATAATTTTTGCGCATGGGGTAATGAACCTTGGTTCCATTGTTAATCTGTTCATCAACAAGTTCTGTAATCACTGCTCCAGGCCACATCGAGACCACACACACATTCTTCTTGCGTAGCTCTATTGCCATATCAACAGCCATTCTGTCATTCTGTTGGTAAAAGAATAAACAGCTCATACAGAACTCTCCAGGTAAGTAAGAAACGCAAGAAGAGTCGATTTACAAATACTTCTGGGAAGCGAAACAGATGCAAACGGATTGCATTCAAATGAGAACTTCTTTGTAGCAGACCAGACAGACAGCGGAACCAACACTTATTCACGCTCATAACCATGTTTATTAATAAAAAATGCAGAAAAATCAATGGGAAATGCTCAAAATGAGTGAATTTGAAAGATATTTTATATTGAAGAAAAATATTGAAAATAGCTGCCCTATCAACGGGACAGAACCTATCAACGAAACCTTAAATGATAAACACTTTGGGGGACTGTCACGGTCCTATCAATAGGCTTAAAAGAAAAATTTCCGGCCCCTAAGTAATCTGCACTTACAGCTTCTTTGCCGACACCATATGCCAAATTGAACAGATACCGAAGTCCCCCAGGGGACGATATGTTGACTATCAAACCTGAATTTCTCTTCACCATCATGTTTGCTGCATGGTGAGCGGCAATGTAATTGGACCTGCAAGATAAAATTGAACATTGTATGAATTTGCAGTAATGTGAAATGTCTTAACTTGCAGTAATCTGAAACAGAAAGTCCTGAAGCAATGAATAATATGCAGTGAAAGGTACCTTGTCCCGACGTTGTTTATTATATCCCAAGCTTCAATGGGCTGAAATAAAGAAAAATAATATTTCAAAAATCCGTTCGCAAAGAACTAAACATCAGAAAAACAAATATCATTCCGAAAGAAAACATTTGGTGACGCCTTTTGCAACCACTGAAAGAAATAAACATAAAGATCATACCTAGATAGTTCCAATACCGTCCTTGAATCGTCATAAGCATTTAGGCCTTACAAAGAACTTGTCAGTGTATCTAAAAGACGTGATAAGGACTGAAGGGGTTTCTGCTCCTAAAAGTTTTCACCTTGATAACTGACAAGCTGGTATCATGCTTTGACCAATATAACATGTATAAATGCCCGGAACCCCAAAGTTAAATTATGTACACGCATGATTTCAAATCAAACCTTAACACTTGCTTAAAAACCCCAAAAACTGTTGCAGTTGCACCTTTCCACGACCTGAAAACAAGCTTGTACCTACTTTTCAAATCAAGAATGGTTTTGTAGTTTCTACCTCAACAAAATTTATGCACCAATTATATTCCTGGCTACTGCCTTCAGATATTCTTATATCCACCCCTTGTTTGACAGCTAGGAATATGCATGCAAATAATCTACATGAGTGTTTGTGAAGTTTACCATCGGATCAAAACACGACGACGAATTAGCAGATAGAACGACAACTGTATCAATTTTAAAACATAATATCTTATAAAAATAGAGCCTTTGTGTGAAGACGTATATTATTATTCTAATCATTTTTAGTTTTAAAAAATTAAAATAAAAAATTTTTATAAAACTAAATAGCAAACCTGCTCGTAGAATTTTTTCCCCATCTGTTTCATAATAAACTAAAAAAGATTGTGAGAAAGGTAGCTGTGAAAAAGTGACACAATTTTTAAGGTGGCTTTGAAAAAAGCAAACATTTAGTAAACTAAAGCTTTTCGTCTGACACTCTTCACAGTTTAAAACGTTAGAACATAAATCTAAATTTTCAGAATCTTTTCAGCGCAATTTTGAAAGAATATATTTTTAATCAAACCGAAATATGTATAAAAATGAAACAAAGAATAGCAAAAGTGCTTACATTAACACCAGCGAATGCATTGTTTACAAGAATATCTAGCCGTCCGTCTTGTTCCTTCTCGATTTTTGTGAAAAGTTTCTCAACATCCTGATCATTTGAGTGATCACACTCCACTGGAACACAATTACCACCTCTGTTCTCTATCTGTGACGAAGAACTGGCTACATAAATCTACACTTACTGTAAATCCTCGAATTAGCCCCCTTGGGGGCTTATTTATTTTTGATATTTTTGGATGGGGGCTTATTCAAGGGGGGGGGGCTTATACGAGAGGGGGGGTTCTAAAATTATTGTACAGACAAGTGTTAAATTATAAAAAGACCTCGTTTATTGTAGTAGGAATTTCTTTATGAGCATTAAATTAATTACTCCCAAAAGTATGAATTCGTTGTGGTAATTCAATAAAAGGCCATAGACAACCTCAGATGGCAAAAATCATCAAATTGAGGGGTCCAATTCGAGAATTTCCGGGTGGGGGCTTGTTTGAGGTGGGGGCTTTTTCGAGGAGGGGGGGCAATTCCAGGATTTACGGTATTGTGTTTTGTTTCAACTTAGCAGAGGCAATCCAAGGATATTTATATATAAACCTATTTCAACTATGGACAAATTATCATCCGTGACTTATTTGGTCATACAAAACCTAAAGAGACTTGAAAGAGCAATAAGTTGAATAATATATTTTGAATTGAATCCAAGAGAAGAGTTCACATTATTCAGACCCCAATATGCTCAAATCTACTTACATCCTGAGCTGCATCACATAACGGAAAATCACCACCTTCCATTCTCCTACCTAAAAACAAATAAACATGAAATAATTAGAATAAACATTTCTAAACTGCTTTGCAGGCCTCACTTAAGTGCAAGTCACTACAGGTAAACAGAATCTGCAGGCACATTTAAAAAAATAATAATCAAATCTTTTTAAAACTACATTCATTGGATGTTAATCATTTTATTCAGGTTTGCCAGATGAGATCAACAAAAGAAGGCCAAATGAGTAACAAACTCAGGCCAAATGCACATAAAAAGGCAAAATGAAATATTCCCCAAAAAATTTCTGCTGAAAAAGGCCAAAAAAGGTCAAATTTAAGTAGTAGGCCAAAAACAAATTTTCCACAGGCAATTTCAATCTGAAAAAGGCCAAAATTGGAAAATTTGCTGCTTTCAATTTAGATAGCAACAGCTCCACTAAATCTACTCATGTCAAGAAATGCCACCACAAAGTATACAGGGCTGCCATTTCTTACTGTTCAAACAAGTTTTTTTCATCGTTTTTATTTGAAACTCTGTAGCACTGTCAGTGCCATCAACAACAAACTTCTCTTTGCATAATGGGTGGTTGACAATTTGTGCCCAATATTTTCAATAAAGCATGAACCAATTGTTTTTTATACTTTGTCATCAAACACTTCAAATGATGTCCAATAACATTGATTTGTCCCTATCTTATAAAGGTTGCCCTTTTCATGTTAGGGGGCAGTTGATATAACACAAGAATTGGCAAAAATTGCTTTTTACCACCCCATGATTGATTAGGCACATAACCAAACTGTTCAGTATGTGGTGAATGATTTTTTTGAACAATCATTAATACTTCAACAATTAGAATGATCTAGTAATTTGACTGTGGATAGCAGCTGTTGATGAACTATATACCTGTAATGTAAACTGTTGCCCCAGCTTCACATAACATTTTGGCAATGCCTTTTCCAATCCCTCTTGATGCACCAGTCACCAGTGCAACATACCCACTAAGCATACCACAAAACTTTGCTTCTAGAGCTGCCATCCCTCTTTAAGATAAACCTAGATGATATTTCTTTGAACCAGACACTGCATTGGCCTAGAAATAAAAGCAAAGAATAATATACATACTGCTTTGTGGACCTTAAACACCATTGCAGGAGCAGGTTGGTAAACAATTAACACAAAACAAGAAACAAATGCTCAGGGTCAGGTGCCAGCTCTATATTACCTGGAGCATGCAGCACCATCAAACATAGAGAGCACCAAGTCAAATTTTTTGAAAAAATGCACTAAATTTTAAGATAAAGCTAAAAAATGATAAAGGCAATCATCAACCATTTTTTATGCCCCTAGACCCTTTGCCAGACTGCAAAGTTTGGGTACGCAATAATTTTTTGCTCAAATCCCGTCCCCGCATTTTTGCAAATTTAGATCAACCCGAGCAGTTGGAACATGGACTTTCATGTGAATTCCGCGCATAGCCTAAGCTCGATCCCTAAAAGTGCTATTTAAAAATGAAATCCTGCAGCTTTTAACCTTTCATTTTGCAACATGATTTGTTCCTGTGCAAGCGTAAGCAACAGAAAATAATTCCCTGCGCACAAAAAATACTTTGCACTCTGGTCCCCTTGCACACAACCACAAAATATTTCATCAATGGCCCAAAAGAACTCTAGGATACTTTCATATAAAGTAAGATACATTTTACCAAGTTCACTTGCACGCGTGTAGATGCTTTTACCTCTCCAGAGCAGAGATCTAATCCAGTGCAGTGCTGTTTGTGTACATATGCCCTTTTTTATAGCATGTATGTATGTAAATCATTATGTATGTGTTATTTTGACATCAAAATAAATTACAATTTAAAGTTAAGAAAATGAAAGTGATCTTATTACAGATTTATAAAATTTTCAGGTGAAAGCTAAAAACGTAATATAAAAACACCCGAGGTTAAAATTGGCAGGGATATAGCATGGTCAATGCAACCTTGTTTCCATAATATGGTCCCTCGTCATAGCATTTATATGGCGAAGTACTGCATGCCTGCACAAATTGCCTTGCATAGATATCAAGGGTCATTTTTAATCATATCAAACACCTAAATTGTCGTCATTTCCTTACCAGCATTATGCATTAACAAGGAAATTTCAAGGTTCAAAAGTAGCAACTTACCGCAAAACCTCAACACTTATTTACAGAAGGTGATCTTTGCAGAATGACTTGCCTCGTATGGAGTATCTTCCGCATTACGCCATGAAGAGGCTGCAGTGGATTATGGTAATAATAAAAGCAATTTTTTGATTCGTTAATATACTTTCAAAATTTTGCTCAAAGTAGCCAAAAAATTGCATTATTGCCAATTTCAAAGCAGAGCTGGTCCGGCGAATTCCAAAAGGTTTACAGGGCCTCCGACGAAGGGGGGAGGCCGGGGGGCCATGGCCCTCTCACTATTTTGCAAAACAACAAAGCTTTTTTTAAAAACCTTTGTTGTGATTGTTATATTTTCTCTTGGCCCCTCCATTTTCCAACCTGCGTCGGAGCCCATGGTTAAAATCTGGAAAGGCCATTTTTTACCCTCCTCCCTAACAACAAGCTGCTGTGGCGGAGCCACGCAGTTACATTCGCGCGAAACGACTGTTCGCGTCCAAAAATGGCGACTGTTCGCAAAGTTGCAATTTCGGGAAAATTCACTGTAAAGATAACAAAGTGGCATGTGAAAAAGGGCCAAGAGGTAGTCAAAGATGCCAACCTTGCAAGCTACATGCAATGCAGTAGTGGCGAGAAGGCGTCCTCGACACAGCCTCAAGAACGGATACTGAAGTCAAGATTTGAAGGAAAGGTTTCAAAGATTCTTGCCGAGCAAGGCGATACAGTATCAGCAGGGTAAAACTTATTGTCATCATCTTTGCAGGGTTTCGTCTGATTGTTTAACTGCAAAAATTCACTTCAGTAGGTTATCTTTTTATTTTGTTGATGAAAGGCATTAAGCTGCTCTACTTTCTTTGAAATGAGCATCCCATGCCCTGTTCAAAAGTACGATTCGAAGTCTAGACCAGAGTACATTTAATGTCAATTGTACATCGAAGGTCCAACGGGGCATTTCTTTAAGTACAGCGAAAATATGAGCAGTTGATAAAACAGTATACTCTTATTTTATAAGAACAATTTTATAAGAACACGAGCCTCAAAATTGGTCAAAAGTTAAGAACAAATTAAGAACAAGCTGAGGCTGAGCCACTGTAAAATGCAATTTTGAACAACGTTTTATCTCAAAAACGAGGATTTTTAGCAATGTGTTGGTGCTTTTTCGGTGAATATTCAAACTTCTCAGTTTGTAAACTTTGTCGTGCGCCCGCAATATATTGCCGGTGCACTCAAATTTTCCATCCACGCACTTTTGCATCTTGGCCACACAAAGTCCCTATTTAATAACATTTCACTTTATTAACAATGCAAATTTCTTAAAAGTGCCTTATTTCGAACATGCATAGCAAAATTTTGAAATGAACTTGTTCATGCAACAAAGTTTCCAGTCTGGAACTTGTTTGTAAATGAAAGTTGTTGCACTCACTTTGTTGTCGAATGCGGCCTTAACACCTCCCCAGAGCGAAAAGCTAGCAACTGCATTTCTTACAACCTCTAGACTTTCCCAAAGTCTATTTTATGTTAAATCCGTAATGCATTCGTACTGCTGTGAGGACATATCTAAACTGCAGAAGAGACAATAGAAGGCGAAAGAAAATAGACTTTAGACTCTTGTAGGCTTATGAATAATTGATGAGCTCATACAATTGGAGTCGGACCACATTCGGTCCGGCGCGGTACTCTCTCATCTTTCAAAAGGCCAATTGATGTTGTTTGCAAACAATACACCAGGGAAGGCTGTTGTTATGGTTCCCGAAATCCAAGAGGGTCAAACACAAATTTACTAAATTGAAAATGGTGGCAAAGTTGCACGTAGAATGCCGATGCCACCCACGAATCTTTATTTTCACCTTTTCCAAACAATATACTTTTCCTATTTGATGTTCTTGATAACTCAACTCTCTTTTGAGCTGGAGATAGTTCAGTATCAGTTGGCAATCCTCTTTTTATTGATTTATTCGTGTATTTCTCTTTCACTAGTTTTCTCCTAACTTTCAATTGGTCTTTCTTTCCTTCCTGAACTTTCAAGCCATTCTGTATACTTGGTATGCGCACACCTTACAAATTATTTTCAAATCCCCATCTCCAACATCAAAATATTTCTCAATAAGCATACAGTTGCTTGTTTTTCATCCACCATTAGAAAATAAACGTAAAATATGATCCTGAGGGTTCTTGTATTTGTTAATATCCTTTGAACAAATTATACAAACCCATTGCTAGCGCTTTCCAAGAGAGTTAAAAATGTTTAAAGAGAGTTAAAAAATTACTGAATGTTTGATGGGAAGAGCTGTGGGAGGCTTTTTGTAACACCTATGAATATGTCTTGGTGTTAATCCCAACATCCTTAAAATGACTTCTTTGCAGGCGGTAACCCCCTGGACTAAGAGCGGAACTAATGAGAATGTTGTGAGCTCATTAATTATTCATAAGCCTACAAGAGTCAAAAGTATAATTTTCTTTGCCTTCTATTGTCTCCTTTGCAGTTTAGATATGCCCTCGCAGTAGTACGAATGCCTTATGGATTTAACATAAAATAGACTTTGGGAAAGTCTATACAACCTCGAATTTTTGAAATAATTAAGAACAGTCAACCTGAACTAAATTTCCTGGTTTTATAAAATCAATCTTTATAGTTTTGGCTGACAAGATAACTTTTTAGTAGCAAAAGTCGTTAAAATCTGTCCTACAAAATCTCACTTCAGTTGCTGAGGTGGATTCATCCCACCCACAAGCATTAACACAGCAACATTGTCTTGTGACCAAGCACCAATAATCCAGGCATCTTAATCTTCGTCTGTAGGCAACCAGTTATTTTCATTGATGAAAGTCACTGTCTGCACACAATTATAATGAAGGATATGTGCTGTGAATGTGGAGCTGACCTTCGACGGTAAGAAATATTCTTCTCTATGCATTCATTCATAGCTTATTTTGGTTTAGTAATTAAAACTTGTGTTACTTTTGTACCAGTAGTCATGAATTGTTTACATAAAGAGGATTTTCAATGTTATCATTTCTTTAAGCTGCAGATTACTAATGTTTTCATTTTTGCATGATTTTGCCTTCCAAAAAAGTTTTGCTTCCTTCCAATTCCACATGTGTTGTTTCTTATCAAGTTGCAAATCCCAGTTTTCTATGCATGTTTTCACAGGTGGTATGCTCTAGGAAACATCTCATAAGGCTTTTAATAAACTTTCTGGTTTGAAATTTAAGGGAAGCAAGTATCCCTGGATGTTTAACTGGACCTGTAGCTGCAGGGGTATCGATGGTTCATAATATCCCAGAGCTTCGTGTTAGTTTTGAGGTATGTTGTATTCCCTTGGATATTACTGCTGACCTTACCTAATGTGATACACGACCCCCCCCCCCACATTTGCATGACCCCCACAACCGCCTTAAATGATCAGGGTCTCTTTTCTGAGGTATTTTTTACTTTGGCTTAGATAATTGGAATGTTGGGTTTACTTATCTGTCTGAGGCAACTGGAGCTAGAATAGCAGGGGTGTCTTTGTAGCTGATGGTGGATTTGTTATAAATGACACCTAATTTAATTTTGTTTTTAATACCAAAGTTACTTTTAAGAATTATGATTAAAACATTTACAAGAGCTTGTAGATTTATATGTAGCAAGCCAGCTTGTGATCAAGTGTCAATTGGTGGAATATTTGATGGAATTCTCAAAAAACCTTTTTGATGTTATTTAGAAGTAAGTGCTCTGTTGCTATAGGAGGCTGAGAGGATCGCCAGATATGATGAAAGACAGCTCCTGAGAGCAAAAAAGTTGGCACTTGTTGTTGATTTGGACCAAACATTGATTCATACTACGCATGAAGCAGTGCCAAGGGACATTCCGGTAAGAGGACCTTTTTCAGACCCCTTGAGAAGTTTTCTAATGACTGTAGTCTACTGTGTGAATGGCGATGTCCAATTTAAATGATAGAATTAAGATCATTAAATGTGCAAGAACATTATTGTGTAATGTATTAGATGGAAGAAAAACAGGATGTTCTCTCCGCAATTTCATTTTGCATTGGTTTTCCATCGTCTTATTGCTTTGTTCCTGACTATTATCGTTTAACTTTTCTTTCGTTGTTGATTTGTTTACAATTGTTACTTTTACTATGTTCTCTATTTTATATCACCCTGGACATGAAGGAGACCCGAACGTAGAAATACCTATGAATTCTTACTGGTGATCTTCAAATGTAAACACATAATGTTACTTTGATATCCTTTTTTCTATGAAAATATTCCATGTATGATTTTTATATCTTTGTGTTACGAAGGACATTTTCCACTATCGTCTTCCGGACCATCCAATTGAATACCACACGAAGGTGAGGCCAGGTGCAAAGGACTTCCTCGAGAAAGCATCGAAGTTATTCGAGCTTCATATATTCACAATGGGATCGAGGATATATGCCCACACCATAGCGAGACACTTGGATCCAGATGAAAAGCTCTTTGCCCATAGAATCAGATCAAGGGATGAATGTATGGATTTCTTCAGCAAGTCACAGGACTTAAGGCACGATTTATATGCTTTTTCATGTCAGCCCAACAAATATCTCTGTCATCAAGACTCTTTTTGGCACTTTTTTAAGGGATTATAAAGAGTATTATATATATGTGTTGGCTTTGTTAAAGTTTTTGCAGCAACAGAAATAAGAAGATTTGTGTCTCTCTTTGTTCTCAGAAATATTTAGGTTGCTGAACTACTAGTTTTATGTTTCAATTGCTTTGTAGCAATTCTAAGTGGGAAAACCCGGAATTTTTTTAAGTTAAATCCTTCAGCGCTTAACTGAGAAACAGCGCATAACTAAACTACCCAAAATCGCTGGTACTCACAAACATATAAGCAAGAACTTTTCATACGTAGTTGAAATTTAGATTGCTTTCTCTTCGTATCGTGATTTTATTAATTGTGTGACGCTCCTAGTTGATCCAAAAATAGTTGATACATAAGTTCATCCCAAAGGTGTTTATTGTTCATCCCGTAAATCCAATATTTGAATGTTTTTTCTTTAGATATAAGATATTAATGCCTAGCTAAATAATCCCATGCTCGAATTCTTCTGATCATTTTGCCTCTATTTCTACAGAGCCTTGTTCCCCTGTGGTGATCACATGGTATGCATAATCGACGACAGAGAGGATGTGTGGAACTTCGCGCCAAATCTCATAACTGTGAAGCCGTACAAGTTCTTCAAAGGGATTGGCGACATAAATGATCCTTACGGGAATACGGGTACCACCGAAGCTCCTGCGCAAGATAGTCAGGCGGATGAAGACAAAGAAACTGAAGACCAGCCGTTGGATGAGGTGGAGGCAGTTGAAAACGGAGTTGGAAAGGAGGATGGGCCGGTTAATGGAGCTGGAGAAGACCGGGATGAGAAGGATGCAAGTGGTGAGAAGAATGAGATGAAGAATGGTGACAATGTAGATGAAACTTCCAACACAAAAGAGCAGTGTGACAAGGCTGATAACAATCAATGTGAAGCAATAGACGCGGATGCCGACTCTAATGGTATGCGGTGAAGTCCTTTTGTTGAATCTACCTTATAGTAAACCCCCCAAAAGAACCTAATCAAGAACCGACAGGAGTTTTCTCCCGTAAATAAATTGTGCTCAAAAATCAATTTTTCTCTAAATAAGGTTTCTCTCTAAAAGAGAATTGTTCCCTGAAGCATCTGCTGTCGCGATGGGACACCCTGATTTCAAGGCATTACCAACCAAACTGTTTTCAAAGAATCTTTTGACCCTGACTCTCCTATATGCGCCCTGAAACAAGTGCAAAGAAGAGTCCGTGATTTACTATTATGATGTACTATTCTGATCAGAAGTTTTAATGAATTCTTTCATCAGGTAGCAAATTAAATTATGGTCTACTTGTATGGATGTTTAATGATAGAGCAACTAATTCAAAGTTAAATCGCGTTCACGAAAGAGCACTGCGATGACTATGCAAATATAGTGAATTAGAGCTAGCCTAGTTGAAGAAAAAATATGGAACTATTCATCAGCACAATCTGCAACTGCTAATGATTGAAATATTCAAATCGTAAAACAATCTAAATCCAACATTTATGAAAAACATTCTTACTGAGAGAGATATTCAATACATTTTGAGAAATGAAAATCATTTGCGGTTGCCAAAAGTGAAGACAACATCATACGGGATAGAGAATATTCAGTACAGAGGTCACCATTTGTGGTCCTCATTACCAAGGGAGATTAAAGATTCCAATACACTGGTGGAGTTCAAACGAAAAATAAAATTATGGCATGGAAATACTTGCATCTGCAGATTGTGCAAAGTTTTCATTAAAGATCTAGGGTTTTTTAGGTTTAGTATGGACATTGTAAAGTAGATTTTAAATTATTTTGTTGATTAGCTTATTAGCTATATGTATTTTTTGTTCTCTTATGCCAACTTAAAAGGAATTGTTAGTAATTATATTTATAATAATGTCCTGACGTGGTATATCTTTTTAAAGATGGTTAAGGATTTAGCAAGCCGGTGCTGGATGCATTTAGGTTACATTGCAAATAGTCTTTCCGACAAAACCGATTTCAAACTGCGTCTTTTCAAGTTGACCTTTAAGATTGTTAGAAAGTAAGTTTATTCATTTGAGATATAACATTTTCTTACTTTTGCAGGAAGTAATCACCCCCCGGATTTGGATGACTATCTTTATTACCTTGAAGAAATCCTTGAACGTATTCATGGCGCATTTTATTCAACTACTGACTTGATAAAAACAAATGGAGGCCTTTCTCGAGAGGATCCGGAGATCGCCAGATTTTGCACTCCGGGAACAACGAATCCGGATACGCGAATAATTGTTCCAGCATTACGTCAACAGACGCTTCAAGGAACCAACATTGTATTTACTGGAGTTGTACCGACAAACGTTCCTGTGAAGAATAGTACAGTGTATCGAACAGCAGTAAGTCTTGGTGCTAAAGTAACCGACAGTATTTTATACCGTAAGAACACCGACAATAGTGTCACTTCTTCAGACTATACAACTCATGTTATTGCTGCTAGACTCGGTACCGAAAAAGCATACCGAGCGAGCAGAATATCCGGTATTCAACTCGTTGGTGTGGACTGGCTATGGTGCTGTTCTCAGAGGTGGGAACGAGTCGATGAAAGGCTGTTTCCTGTCCCCAATCGTTCGCGGGCCAACGGTGGAGATACCCCAGACTTTTCGAAGAGAGGTACGCCTATTCATGTTGAGGCTGAGAGAGTCACTGGAAATAAGACGAAACCCGTGTCAAAGCATAACGAAGAGAGTTTGCTGAATAATAAAATATCAACGGAGGAAGACATTCTAGATTCTCTTAACCCGGTCACATTCAGCAAAGATGAACTTGATGAGATGGATAAAGAGGTAGAAGAATATATGGCGAGTGATAGCGAAGAAGATCCGGACGTTTTAGGTAGCATATCCGGTTCGAGTAGCAGCGGCCGGAGCAGTGCCAATTCCAGCTCTAGTGGGTCGGGGCGGGATTCAGCCAGTTTAAAGCTTGGAATTACTTTAGATAAGTCAAGAAAACGAAAGAAAAAGCTGCACAATGAAATCCTCGAGGTCCGGAAAAAGAGGCTGGCACTGTTGTCTGAAGGCATAGACGGGGACATTTGTGGCCGTTCCAGTAGTAGCAGCAGTAATAGCAGCGGAAATAGTAACCTTAGTGATGATGATTTTGAAATTGGGGAAGAACTAGAGAAACAAATCGACTATTGATGTGTCTGTTTTGTTATAGTGAACTTTGTCGTATGTTTTTCAAAGTGCGGTATTCTTGTCAGTTTTGGCCTCGCAGAGACTGCAAGCTGGCACCAGTTTAATGTTTGTTTCCCGCGCATCGAGATGCACGTAAAGTGATTTGTACGATCACTTTTGGGGTCGCTTCTACCAGGGTTGTTAGTCGCGACCCCATCCATGGGGTACTATATCGAATTTCCATTTCGATTTCCCTTGTTTTGTTCTTATGGGAAATGTAGCTACAGTGTCGTCACATCAGTGTTTTCGCATGGAACTATTGTCAAGAAATGTTTATGCTCATTTTATCATCTGACTCCACCACGACCCCAGTGAAAAACCCCAAAACAATGTCCTTTTTGCATCTGGGGGTTTTAAATGAGTAATTTCAAACCAAAGGAACGCCTTGCAAGTTTAAATTTAAAATGGTGTATAAGCGTTTTGGAAATCCTCCTTTTCATAGACAAAATTATCAAGATACACCAAAACCAAGCCACCCTTTGCGTCCCATTCAACCAGATACTTTTCGTATCCACACATCAAGTAAAGGGTAAAGAAACAATAAAACAGACGACCTCCTAAATGCTTTTGCTGATGAAAAAAGCAAGTCAAAATGCTATTAAGGGGTAACTGGCCTATATTCCCGTTTAATGTCCTCAAAAGACGCCTTTCACACACACACATCCTTTATACCCCGGTCTGGGATGCTACGTCGGGATGTTCGTTATTATTATAGTTAATGTGTATTAGCTTGACACTGTCACACTACATCAGTGTTAGCTTGACTGTTTTATGGCTAAATGTACATATCTGATACAATTGAACAGTGCAATATTGAACTGTATCAAGCTTGTTCGTGGCGTTTTTGTATTCATTTTTGGTTATATTAACCATTGGCGGCAATTATTTGTGCGTGCCTGTACAACCCATTAGCGTATATAGCATAGATGTCAACTTTGCAGAATTATTTTTTTGCCAAGAATCTTTTTACTTGCCTACCCCCACTTATTACAAGCCAGTATATAATTGTAAATAGAGTAAATAGTGACCTGAATAACCCTAAATTTTAAGGAGGGCTTTATTCCTAAGGGCAGCTAGACAATTGGGGTGGCAGCTGATTGTATTTAGAGACCCGAGACATGAAGAGTTTGACTATAAGTATATAACTATAGCTGCGATGGTAATTAACTTGTACGAATATGACACGATGCCAACGTAGAGGGGTGCAAGGAGAGGGGAGCAAGGGAAGAATGGAAGAAGATTAGGGAAAAGGACGAGAAGAATAGGACGAGGGAAGAGATTATGTCTAGATTTGTTGTGTTGTTGTTAAACTTGTTCCAAATTTTTTTGAGATGTTACGTGAAGTTGTAAAGTCAGTATTCAATTAAATATAGTTGAAATCAACGTATCCATGATGAATTGATTTTTTCTTTCTCAGTCTGCTTGTCCATTTTAACTTCTGTTGCTCAGCTCGAAATGTCTCTACAGAAACAAATGGGTATTTCGATGCAAAGCCAAAGGGACAGCCTATTAGTACTGATTCCTTCAGTGGTGAAACTGATCAGCATCAGCACAGACGATAATTTGCATGATATTTTGGACAGATTTATGGCAGAAGACCCGTGCCACAGGGTCTAAAAGTTCTAATTGAGGAGGTAGGGCTGAAAGAATTAGTCTGTTTGAAAAGGGACTCAATTTGAGAGTTTACCTCATCAAAAAAGGGAAATATAGTTTGTTTACTGTATTGCCTAAATAAATAAACACTTTACTCTGTTAATTGTTACCCTTTTATATTTACCTATGCAATTTTTGCAGCATAGCATGCAGTACGAAAACTCCTTGCCTGGCTTTTCCATCTCTTCACTCCCGCGTTCTCCCGCGGTGAAGCCGCTTTGCACCTGTTTTGATCTTCGCGCACATTTTGCGTATTGTTTATGCGATGCTGTGGCCTAGGCGTATTGTGGAAAGATGGCTGACAAAGAATGAAAACGGAATTGACGCATACAGAGTATCTGAGGTTTATCTAAATTGTTTGTTCTGATTTAATTTTTTCTTTTCATTGTTTTACGCTATAAGATGGCTTATCATGAATTCTGAACGAAATTCTTTATGTCAGAATGCGAGAAGTCAATCGATGATTTTATAAATTGTATGATAAGAAATATCCCCCTATATATAAGACTCTAAGATTTATTTAGAATAACTTTATGCCCGATTAGGTATTACTAATACTAAAATTTCAACAACTTTCATATTTGTTTTCAAAAGATTTGATTAGGTAAGACAACAATGTTTTATAATAAATCGAAATGCTAGCTGGGTTCATTTCAAATTTGATATTTTTTGCTTTTATTGTTCATTGTTAATTGCTTAATTGTTCCTGATTTTTAAACTTACTTAAGCCTATTTATGTATGATACCTTCAAAATACCGTCAAGGGGACAGTAGGCTCTGATCCCTCAAATGTTAGATGTTATAGAAATCTTGTAAATAACCTAGTATGCCAGAAAATACTGTTTGAGTTGAGTGGAGTTGAGGTGTGTTTGGGTGAGTTGAGTTGAGCTGAGGTTGATTTGAGATGAGATGAGATGAGTTGAGTAGTTGAGGTGAGTTTATTTGAGTTGAGGTGATTTGAGTTGAAGTTGAGTTGAGATACACACCTTTGTTGTGAAGTGAAAATTACATTACAGGTTTAATGATAAACTGAGGTGAAAAGATCTTTACTTCTACCCTTCAACATTATTTGCATTTATTAAACTTTTAATAACATACTTTAGCAAAGGTCATTGTAATAAATATATATTGTTGAGATAAAAGAGTTTAATTTGAGTGCAGTTTGAGCTAATACAGTATTAGCTCAAACACTGTTTATCTGATTGTTGAGTGAGGGTTTTTGGTTGCTACTCTGATTTTAACATTGAATGTGACTAAAATAAGGTAATTTTAAGTGTACAGCAGAACAACAATCAGTGCAGGCTTTAAAGAAACCATCCATCGATCAATGTGTTGCTCCAAACCTGGCAAGTCCTATTTAAGGTGTGGAGAACACAGAGCCAATATTTTGCTACAGCAACAAATTCCATTGAAATGTATAGAAAAAGCTTAGTTCTGGAAATGGGGTTATTCGCTGCCCGCCTGCCCGGGCAGCATGAGGTTTTCAGCATTAACTGGTTTCAACTTAGTGATTCCAGTTCTGTGATCCATTTTTTGGCAAATATGAAGATAAAAATTTCCTGCATGTTGTTGTTTTGTAGTTGTTGTTAGATGGAATTTGTGTTTAGTTAAAATTTAAAAATGAAACTTTAACTTGAACTTGGAGCCAGAGAAGAGAAAATGTGCCTATTGTGTGTCTTGATTCTAACTGAGCTAAATTACATACAAAATTAACATTATGTTTGACACTTATATACAAAATGAATGTGCTGAGTAAAGATGTGTTAGGATGATGTATATAATGATGATGTAGTGAAGAAAGAAAGATCTAGACTTGGGAAGGAGTCAGCATGACTTTTATGTGTGAAGCTGTAAACAACGTTAAAGGAATGTCCTATGGTATTTGATGCTCTTAATGATAAAGGGGGATGTCATGGTGGTGGCCTGCTCAATGAATGTATAGAAAGTTGGTGGAAAATTGCCTAAGCATGGTCACTACAAACTTTTCCTGAATGTTTTGCGAGCATCAGGCACTTTATGACAGCCTGGTAAACAGTAATTTTCATGATTGTCAAGTTAAATTTTTCATAAAACTTGCTCTGAAAAGGTATTTGTTAAACATGATCTTATTTATTTGAGCTGACATTTGTTTCCTAAGGCTGTGCTATTTTTTTAGATGATTGAAATTCCATAAAGCTACCAAGTTAAATTTGCAAAGGAAAAAAGAGCTAGAAAATGCCTTTAACTGAAAGGCAACAGATGGCGCTCCTTTTGGAGATGTCTGCCAAAGAATTCCAGGAACAAAAAAAAGATAAAACAAAGAAAAGCGGAGAAACCTCTGGGAATAAAAGATCTGGATCATCAAAAGGAGAAATGCATAAAATTAACAAGAGGAACAAAAGAGGAGAAACACAGCTTCATCTGGCTGCAATCAAAGGAGATGTAGATGGAGTGCGTAGTTTGATAAAGAAAGGTGCAGATGTCAATATCACTGACCATGCAGGTAAACGGGATACCGATTTTGCAGTTTGTGGCTTTATAAACATTTCTGCATAGTTGATGAGACCATCAAGATCAGGGCTAGGCCTAGAAGGGTGGAAGATTCACAGCATTGTCAATGTCTTTTAAAAGAGAAAAATAATCATTCAGACCCCAAATCCAGTCTCCATTTCTTCCTAAAAATAATGGATGGCTAATGTTTATTCTAAGGTTAAGAATGATCTTTATTCTTTCCATTGTTGGTTTGTTTTGGATGTTGGCTTAGGCTTTGATTTGAAAATGTGACCAGGTGGCTTGGATGATATAGAAGCAACCTACTGTTTTGCTGGTTGTGTGTCTGAATTCCTGAGATGGCTCTTCTCTCTGTTAAATGTGACATATAAATTCACAGACAGCAACCTTACCACTTTCTGCATTCATACATTAAACATTTTCCAGACTGGACCCCACTACATGAAGCATGCAGCAGAGGGCATTATAAAGTAGTGAAAATGTTGCTTAAAGCTGGAGCTAATGTGAATGCAAAGGGACTTGAAGGTGACACTCCTCTTCATGATGCAAGTTCTAATGGACACCTTAAGGCAAGTCAGAAATATTTGAATTCAATTTGTTTGTCAAATAAAACAATGATTTTAAGTTTGAGAGTGATATTTTGTTGTGTAAAGCCATGTATCAGAGTTCATGCAAAAGAGAAATGTTTCTGTTCATCTCGTTGTTTGCATATCTTGTGTCATCTTGTACGTGTTCTGTTCTATCCTGCCACCTTTTTGATACCCAGTATTCTATCTAAGGCACCAAATACTGACAGCAAATGACATAACTCCATTGTTGTTCTGAGAAATTCTACATCCATTATGCTTTATAAATCATTATGGAATCTCTACGGGCTATCAGCTGCAGTATTATGTATCCTACATAAATTCTTAGATTTTCATTGTTTAAGCAAGATCAAGAAGAAATTCTTAAAATACATAAAATACACATATACATATATACATGAGTTGTTTACTCACTGTTAATGTAAGTCCAATTATTTCTATAGATAGCCAAAATACTTTTGAAGTTTGGTGCAGATCCAAGTAGGAAGAATTACAGTTTAGAGAATCCACTTGATGTTTCAGCCTCAACAGAAGTTGATGCTCTACTTGAAGAGTTCGCATCTTTAGCAGAAATAGAACGAGGTGACTTCCGATCACGACAACTGACTTTTTCATTCGTTGACAATTTACATAGCTAAATCTATCAGTTCTTCACCCATCGTCTTTTTTGAAGAAGAGTTAAATATCTGCATGTGATAATTTATTATAATTGATCTTGGATTACATATTGGAATATTTATGTATCCATTTTTAAGTAAAAATTTGCAAATGTGTATGGATTTACTAATTTTTTCCTGTTGTGTAAACATTTCTTGGCAGAAGCAATTTGTCAATTTTTGGCTGCATTTTTTGGGTAGTTTTATTTTTCTTAATTTTTTTCATTTATGCATTATTTGCTTTTTTAGAAAATTACGCGTTTTCGACAGAATCTTCATCTGAATCCAGCTCAGAAGATGACGTTTCTAGTGTTAGAAGTTCAGACATTGATCATTTGCAATCGAAGAGTACAGCTTTTATGAAAGAGAAACACGACAGAGATAATAATAATGAAAATTTTAACGAAGATGGCGACGATGAGGGAGATGATGACGACGATGACGATAACGAAAATAACTTCATTCCACGCCGTAAACGCAAATCGAAGCTTTCTCGGGTGCCAGGCTCATCTCAGAAGCGAATAATCTCGGATGATGATGAAGATAGTGATGATGATGACATCGAGTTGTCGCGTATTTCTGAAATGGTCAAGCGAAAAAAATTAGCGATGGCCGAAGAATCAGGAAAAGCAAAACAACCTGAAACAGGAATTTTGGTCAAAGGTGAAGGTGAAAGCCCCCGTACCTCAACACCGAAACACGGGCTGTCAGAAATACCTCCGGAGGAAAAACCCCCTCAAAAAAATTCTCCATTCTTAAAGAAAGTCGAAGGGAAACGAAAGTTTTCAGAAAATGACCGTGAAGTAAGTGTAGGCCGCCCAAGGAAAAAGTATAAGCGAAATGACAAGAAAATATCTTCAGCAAGTAACTTCGAAGAGGGGTCGTCACCAAAAGGACAAGGACAGGACAGCACAAGAACTCAGCCAAGCTTTGGCACCAAAGAAAATGATTCGAAAAATGGTGAAAATATTGAGAAGGAAAGCCATTCTGGGCACAGCGATGGTGACGCGAAAGACGAAAAGACGAAGAACACCAAATCTTCTGGTAACAACCCTTACATAAGTGATATATCTGATGCAGAAGAGGAAGAAGAAGGGACATCTTCTAAATCTCATGACAAAATTACAAGTGATATGTTCCGTGCAAACATATTCACAAATGTTCTTGATAGACTTTCAGATCATGGATCCTTGAACGAACCTAGCTTGTCACCTGTAGTTCAGTCAGATGCGGCATTGGCCCAATTCGATGGTGAGAAGAAGGAACATAGTAAAGAAACCAAAGGTGATTGCAAAGCAAGCAGCATTTTAGAATCAGAAATTACGGATAGTTTGTCTCAAAGATCTGATACGGTCTTAAGTAAAATCGATTCAGGAACTGGTAAGATTCAAAGCTCTCCAGAAGAGAGCGATCTTCAGTTAGATAGATCTTTCGAAACGAACAAGGCAAATAACAGGAAAACGGCTGCTGACACGCAAGGTAAAAAGGCCAGGTATCTAGAAGATGGTACATTATCGGCTGATTCTGGATCAGAAGAAAGGAAAACAACGGAAAGTGCAGCAAAACCCATGATAAATTTTGATTCTTCAAACCCGGAGGCTCTGAAGAAAAAGAAAGATAAAAAGATTAAAATACCAAGCTTGTCTGGGGATCAGGAGGCTGAAAGTCATTCTAAGCTTTCAAAGAAGAACAAGAAAGATGAAGTTTCAAGAGACGTTGGCGAGACTATTGAAAAGAGCATAAGTAAAGACATCTCTAATGAAGGTGTAAAAATAAAAAGTGCTGAGAAACTGCTTAAGAAATCTAAGAAGAAGAGGAAAGAAGAGATGAAGGGAGAAGAAACAGAAGACTCGTCACGGTTTGATTTCAGCCGGAAGGGTAAAGACAAGGATAACTGCTCAAAGTTTGAAGACAGAAGTGAACCATCTGTTGCTGCTAAAGTAAAAATACACGAAAGTGGGTCAGACACTTTACCGGAGAAGGAAGAACCCCTGTCACCTATTCAATCGTCAAAGCCCAAAAGTTTTAAGGGCAAGTTCTCCGACAAGACTTCCAAGGGCGCTATAGAATCGCAAGAGTCAAAAAATGATGAAAAGGGGAAAGAGATTAAATCCCACACACCTGTCATGAAAAAGAAGATCAAAATTATACAGAGTCAAACTTCATCAAATGAGCGATTCCTTGAGTCAAAAGCTGACCTGTCCAAGGAAGAGGAAGTGAATTCAAGCAGTGGTGTCGAGACTCAGTCGTCCAAGAATAAGAATGTGAAAATAGACCAGTTTTTATCAAGTAGTAGTGGTCGGACGTTGTCTGAGGGTTCCAAGGATAACTCTACAAAATCAAGTTTAGACGTAGCTAAAAAAGTCAAAAAGGAACCTGGTGCTAAAAGTGAAAAGACTATCAAACCCAAAGATAGTTTAAAAGAAATCCAGAAAGATCAAAAGAAGATTTTGGCCGATAAAGATGGAGACCCTCAAAGGGGATCACCAGAAAAGCAGAAAAAGTCTTCACAAGCGAAAAAATTCTCAAGCAAATTGAAAGATGGCAAATCAGAATTCAAGAAGATGCAAGATTCTTCTCGGGAGTCTGAAAAGAGTATGTCCAAAGACGCAAGGAAAAATGGTGGAAAGGAAGTTGCAGCTGAAAACTCACGGGACAATAAAGTAATTTCAGGTGACAGTCAGCTGAAAGCCTCGCCTGTTAAAGAATCCAGGGGAACCTCTTTGAAAGAGCTGAAAACAACACCTGTTAAAGGAAGGAGAGAGAGCAAAGAAATCGATTTGAAGATCTGGGATTTTGGCCTACAAAAAGTTGCTCCACCAAAGGTTGTAAAAATGTCGAAGATTAAAGAGCAGAAAAGAGCCCAATTAAAGGAGAATAAAGCGAAAAAAGAATGCGATTTGAAGGCCACTGATCAACAACAGACACCAGATAAGCTTAAGAAAACTGAATCTGCAAGCAAAAACCTTCAAAGCTCCGTCGAGAGACCTGATAATAAAGAATCGAAATCTAAAGAACCTGTTGAATCTAAGCGTGAGTCTAAGACTGAAGCTGTCCTTGTGACTGAAAATGCAGTTGTAGGTAAGCCCGCTGAATTGAAGGAGGATGAAAAGAAGTCAGAGTGTAATAAGAAATTGGAAAGCATAAAAGCAGAGCAGCAAGACGAAGCTGATAAAAGGGATAATTCTTCTCTGGGTTTGAGTAACAGAGAGGCTTCTCTGGGTATGGGTCTAGATTTGAGCAACAGAGAGGCTGAAAAATCTGGTTTTAAAGAAGTGAGAGCCCCAGAAGAAATTGATCTTGCTGGTGATAAGGCTGCTGCTACCGAGGATGCAGACAGGAACACCGAAGTTGAAATGGAGCATATTGGAAAGATTGCGTTGGAAGCAAGCGATGCAGTTTCAATGGACTCCCCCTCAACATCTCAAGTAAAGCTAGAAACTACATTAGGAAGTACAGATCCCGTTTGCAAAGTAACGTCTTCAAAGGAGGAAATCCCATCGCCTTCTTTGCAACAAAGTGCAGAAGAAGAGTTTAAGTGTGGAGATGCAGTACCAGTTGAGGCAGATAAACAGCATGTTAAAAATGGCACGGAGGATATAGACAAACAACATGATAATGGCGAAACATTAGATGAAGAAGATAAGGAAAAAGTATCATCAAATGAAGCTGAAGTGAAGATGGAAAATAGTGATGGCTTGCTGCTTAATGATTTTGGCGCAGTCAGTGATTTAGAGGATCATCTGGGACCGTTTCATGGCACAAAGTTGGAGGAGACAGACATTGATATCAAGGAGCTATCAAACCCAGAAGATACACTCAAAATGTTGACACAAGAAATGCATAGACAGGGAGCCCCTGTGCAGGAGAGTAAAGTATCAGATCAAGAAACCCATAATGTAACAATGACTGGCCATGATTTTACGATTTTAAGCGAACAAATTAATGAAAAAATTAAGCATCTCAGTAGTAGAAGTTTTGTTTCTGAATTGTCAGAGGAAGAGAAGCATATTGTTAATATATCTATGGAAATGGCAGAGAATCTCTCTCAAGATGCTGATCATGATGAAACAAGGATTAATTGTAATAGTACTGAGGATGATAGTTTGAAATTCAAGTCTTCCGAAATGCTAAAGAGCTCAAACAGTGAACATTGTACGTCACCTTCAAAGGAATTAACAGACCTTGAACAACCGATTTCACATTCAGAAGGACTCAGTTGCAATGTTACAAATGAAAACAATGAAATTATCCCCCCAGCCACGAATCTTAGCTCAAGTACTAGCGATATAACTGTCGATGTAGAGAAACACCCAGCTAGTACACAGTCCTCGCCTGCTGTTTCACAAACAAGTTCTTCTCTAGTTTCCAGCCATTTACCTGTTTCAGCTAGAATGTCATCAACGAGATCGCGAACAGTTGACTTGGAACCTCGTGGAATAGCCCAAGTTGTTGCTGATATTGACCTTAATTCTATTCCTCGCTGTATGCTAGAGAGCGGTAAGCCCCCCGAAAATGCAGCTGTTTCTGAGTCTGAGTCAGGCCTACAAACCCCTAGTACACCAAATATGAATGTTGCGCCCGCTACTGACGAAAAGCAAACAAAAGAATCGGCTGGTCTCCTTACTCAAGACAGCAACAGCAGCAGCAACAGCAGTAGCATTGATCGTCTGAAACGAAAGTCAGCTGTTCAAGGTCAGTCGTTGACTTGGAGAAAAGCAATGTTCAATGAACATCATTTTACAAAATTGTCCGTGCCAAAACATTTTCATGATTTTTCCCTCATAACAGCCGACTATTGGCAAGAAGATCCGAAAAATGCAACGATGGTAAGATCTTTTTGTAGTGTTAAGTATTTATACCGAGGAGAGGGGGCGCCTTCATCTTTGTTTTTGGTAGAATTTGGTTTACATTAAAAGCTCCATATTTGGTCATCAATTTCTTTGACGTATTGTTTCAAAGCTTCTTTAGTTGAAAATCATTGCACCAGTTAATTAATCATAAGGAGCCTGGTAACAGAAGAAGAAATGTTGATCCTAGCCTCAATTTCATATAGTCTCGTTCTTGTTGGTTGCCATTCATGCCATTTTATATTTCTCTTACATTCAAAGTTTGATAAGGCTGAAATATCACAACCTGGGAAAGATTTTCAGACATCATTTTTTGTCATACCCTTTGCTGTCAAATGAAATAGAGAGACAATTCTGTGAAATTTAGCTTGCCCAATACTTGTACGCTTTATTATGAGAAAGGGAAAACTTTGTCGAAAACAAAACTTTCTTTCTGGCAACCTAAAAATGACAAAGAAAAATAGAAAGCTGGAATTTTATTTTCGTATGAATTTTAACTTCATGGTTATAAGAATTATATGTCACAATTTATGTCTTATTTATTTTCTGCAGACGTCAGATATCGAGCATAAAGAAGTTAAAGAACTGAAAGAATCGCACGCAGTTGAGCTGGTATTTCGATCTTTTTGTCTTCATTTGTCTTTTTGTCCTTACTTTCCTTTGTTTCTGCTCAATCTCACCTAGTCAAGTGATTTTTAGTTTTGTCATTGCCGCACTTATTTTTGACAAGGAGCAAATTGTTTCTTTTGGTATCTTTTCGAAACTCTGTACATCATTTTTCTTTTTCGAGTTGGACTTAAGTTTTTGTGCGCACTACAAACCTAGTAAGTTTATGACTTGAAGAAAACTGATCCTTGTTACAAAGTCAACCTGGGTCATCAGTTTTGTAGCGGTAACATGTTCTGGACTCTTCATTTTCCTAAGGCCCTGTATGACGGTCAGAAATTTTTATCAGATATTCATCAAATATTGATATTGTAAAAAGTAGGGATTGATTTTCTTCGAAATTATTCCAAAATGTGATTTGAATATGGAGAGGATGGTTGAGTTGGTATGGTTGTGGACCACAGATCCAAGGATCTAGGGTTTGAGTTCTTGACTTGACCAAAACATTTACATAGAGTGAGGGGAGTTGCCAGCTCTCTGCGATTCCAGGCGAAGAATTCACGAGGTGTGGTCCAACGAAAGGAAGGACCATGACATTGCTTGATAAGCACAGCTACCTTGGGATGCTAGGTAAAGACAAATGCCAAAAAATCAGGAAAGTGAAAAATGTGAGCATTTTTTGGCGGTTCAAAATTTAGAAATGACTTTGAAAAAAGCAAGCATTTTACAACATACTTGAAGCTTTTTCGTCTGACACTCCTCAGACGCGGTATTGGCTGGACAACTATACCGGTAATGCGCTCACGTTTTTCTGATTGGCCTATTACGATTCACAACTGGGTATATATTTCCCATCTTGTTCTTATAGACCCTTATACTGACATTTAACACTCTGAGAAACGTCAGACGTGTTATGTTCTACAAAGCTTTTGTAAAATGTTTGTTTTTTTCAATGCCATTTTAAAATGAAGAATATCATACAATAGACAGTGGCGTCGCGTGACTATTCTCGCTGTGGGGGTGTAAGAGGTGCAAAACCATATTTTACCGACAGAAATTCTTTTGTTACATTAATATTCTGCTATAAATTTAATTCTACCGACAAGTTCTCTGAAAGTTGGGGGGTGTACACCCCCCCCCCCCCCCCCCCCCCCCCCCCCCCCCCCCCCCCCCCCCGCACGCTACGCCCCTGACAATAGAATATTCAATAATGTTAATAACTGGTGAATATCTGATGAACAATCTGACCGTGTAGCAGGGCCTCAGCACCCCTTTTCTGTCAGATAACTCCTTGATAATTCAGTGCCATACTAAATGCTATTCTAGATATCCAGTTGGTAATATTATTGTTTGTTATTGTTGTTTCTTCAGAAAAGGCTACATCTGTGCATGGAGCAGGAGCTTGTTCGGGTTGAAAGCAGATACCAGTCAATGTGCAAAAACAGAAAAGTAATAAGCGCTTGTTCGACTGTGATGTATCAGAAACTAGAGCAATACTCAAAACTTGTAAGTGCTGCTTAAATATTGTTTTGCTTTGCTCTAAATTATTTAAGATCCCTTTGCAAAGAGTGTCATTTCTTGTTCTCAATAGTACCGTATATTGTCTGAATAATATACGGTATTATTGATTTTTTATTGATAACTTATTTTTCCCTTGCCCTGTCAATAGAACGAGCATTCTTGGGAAACCACTTTTGATGGATTGCTATTTTCTTAGATGGATTGTTCTTCTCAAATAGAATCTTCTTTAACAAGTTGTTTTTATTTTGTGTTTTCATTGCGTATTTCTTTACAATTGGGAAGTATCAGTTGGAGATCCTCAGAGTTTATTAGGTTCTAAAACAGAATTCCAAGCAATAGTTTAATTTTTTGTTTTTTAATCCGTTACCTTGAGATTGCATTCAGGCAATTTCCGAGCCGCTTTAAAAGGTTTTTCAAAATATTGCTTTGTCAGTTCCGTACTTATCGAATTATGAAGTTGAAAGTGACTTACGAAAGATTTTGAAGGGATATTAAAGGAAATTGATAAAGATAGGGGCCAGTTCATGTAAGCATACTTATCCTACCTTTCAGCTCATAAGCAGGATCTCGTTTGTACCCTACAAAGATCGAAATTACAAACTTGAGTAGGAAGAGTGGATTTCACCTCCCAGCCAATAAGCTGGAATGTTGGATAAATTTGCTCCTATGAACCGGCCCTAAGTTTTCGACTGGAGAGTTTGTGTTAAGTGAGTTTAATATGAATGATACTTTAAAAGTATCGTTTTGATTTATTATAAGCACATTCACTATGCGTCATTATGACTTTGTGTGACGTCATTTGAGTTAAGGAAGTGAGAGTTTTCAAAGTAAAGCTGTATCCAGGTAAGCATACATTTAGAAATGAAGTCTGATTCCCTTTTCATCATACAGAATATGAAAAGCACCAAAAAGACACAAGAAGAAGCCAGTGTCAGCAATGAAGAAGTAAGAAGGAATGCCATTAAGGAAGTGTTGGACAAGTATATAAAAAAGGAGGTGAGTGCATTTATGTGTTGGTTGTGATTAAGTGGGCCAGCTAAGTACCAGCAGCTTGGATTGAACACAGTTTATTGTACTTCATGGTACTAAAAGTGTACTAAATAATAATAGAATAATATTAATAATAAAATAATGATAAAAATGATAATAATAAATAAGAATTATAATTATAATAATAATAATAATAATAATAATAATAATAATAATAATAATGGAAACATTTCATTTTCAATTCAACTTAAACTACAATTACAAATCTCACTATTACAAGGTAATTTGCAATTGGCTAGCCTGGTTCTACAAGAAAAAAAAACTATAACAATCGTAAGATAAAAGGAAAAACTGAGAAAAATAAAACAACCAAAATTAAAACGGATGTAATTCCGGATTTGTCCATGGTTTATTTTTGCAACAAAATATGTAGTACGTAGTACGAATGGCAATGTTGGAAAGTTTAGAGATGAGATACCGTTTTTGTTGTTGATCGATGGAGAGAGAGTCACACATTTTGAAGAAAGAGATGCAGGAATTGCCAAAGATGCCAAGAGAGCTCATAGAAAGATTCACAAAAGAGACACATTTGAACTTTCGCTGTAAGTCAGATAGGAGAGGAGCATACTTGCTGTGTTTTCTTGTTGCATTTGTGTCAAGATTGGATTCAAAACCAACAGTAAGCTCTAAGATGTATAGGTAATTGTTGTTAGTCTTCAAGAGAAGATCTGGGCGAAGGTTTTCTCCAGTTATGATTGATGGTGAAAGATAGCCAGGTATATCAGCGTAGATGGTAGATTCATTAACAGCTTTAAGAGACGTAGCTAGAAAGTTTAAGATAGAGTTATGACGCCAGGTGTATCGGCCTTGTTCCAGGTATGTTTTGCAGCCAGCAACAACGTGAAGGAGGGTTTCTGGCAGAAAACAGAAAGAACAATCAGAAGTCTGGCTCAAGTTCCACTTTTTCAAGTTTTTCTGTGTGGCAAGGGTATTGTTCAGGTACCTTATGGTGAAATTGAAAATATTCTGAGGCATGCTACTTTGCACCTTGGACCAAAGTTTGTTTATTTGTGAAAGATCCTGGTTAAAAAGATGTGACAATAAAGATCCTTGGGAAGTTAGAATGTTTTGCAGACGATAATAATAATAATAATAATAATAATAAATTCGTATTTACCCTAGTGTCCGAGCTAAAAGCTCAGTTAACATAAAAGGTATGTCAACTAGGCTTGTGTTATCCACCACATACATAATCACTTCATATAAACTGTGAGACACAAGATTTAGAAGTCATTCAATGTGAAAATGTAATATAGAACTTATTGTATCTGATCATACGCAAGGGCCGAGAGAAAATAGATTCACATGAATAACTTCTTAACCCTGTGTCTCCATATATAGTTGGCCATTATCAAATTTGATACCGAGCACCACTGTAATGTGCTCTTTACAATCAACTTATCTACTGACAATGATCTCATAACAGTCCAAACATCCTTTTTGATGCAACCAAGTGAGCCAAAGCAAAGCATTTTCAAATCCACCTCCCAACCTAACGACTGCAGCAGACTGCACAGCGGCTGATACCGTTTCTCTTTGGTGTTCAGTGCTTGCTCAAAATACAGATCGTAGCAGACAGTCACCTCTAAGATAATGCATTTACGTGACTGATTTTCAATGATAATGATGTCAGGTTTACGATGCGTAATACGCTGTAATTCATCACCATATTCCGTTATTATTGATTCTGCAAGTTTGTTTGCATGAAACTGGAAACCACTTATACTTCCTGAGATCACCTCAAATATTTTGTCAGATAATAGACAATCCTCAAATAATAATAATAATAATAATAATAATAATAATAATAAAAGAACAGAACAAAATGGCAAGGAGATGACGTCATAATCACATATTTTTGAAAGTTTCTAATTTTTACCGAACATAACCTGAGAGAACACTATGAATTACTCTAAATTTTGCCAAATCAGCTAGATCTGTTACAGATTCCTGATATATGGTTTCTAAAAGCTCGAGGTATACCAGTGGATTTTTATGTTCATTCTGATATGTGATCAAATGTGTTGTATGACGTCATAACTTTGCAAATCTATGTGTTAATCTAGCAATGCAATTTTACATTTGTTCGTTTCTCCTGAGTTCCTGGATAATTTTTCTTGCTCTCAACTAAACATAGTTTTTAGAGACAAATTAAAATCAAGGAGCCAAGGAACTTAGAGCTTTTTATCTATGTTCACAGCGATAAAGCCCTGTGTGCCGGGTGAAATATAATTTGTTTTTACCTAGCATCCGAAGGAAATATTTAGAAGAATGAGAAGCTCTGCGTATCGGACAGTATCCTGGTCTTTTCTCTCGACGTGACCATACCTCGTGTGATTCCTACGCCTGGAATTGCAGAGAGCTGGTGACTCCCCTCACTCGACTCATCCTCACATCTATTAGTTGTGTTTTATTAGGGCGAAATATTAGTTAAATTCTCTTTTGAAATGGAATTTGATACTATAAGTCGCTCATTTTATTTTGTATGGCATATCATCGATTATTTGTATCAGTTCCTTTTGTTCATTATTATCACCAACCCAAGAACCTTGATCATGCATATCCTGAAAGGCCATGTAACCAAAGTATCTTTTTGTAGGAGGATATGTTTAAGAGGCAAGAACAAGAATTGGCTGCTTTGGACCGTCGTATAGCAGTTGAGAAAATACAGCGACTTAGTGCTGAGGAGCTTTTGCGAAGGCATTGTCTCAGAGAACGTATTTTATGAGTTTTATATCATGTGATTTGAAAAAGTTGTATATTTTAGTGGGTTTTAATGATATTTTACAGGTAGCCATCCTTCTGCGTTTTTTTGTCTATTTGTGACCTCTCCAATTCAAGCTATTTGTTTCAGCTGTTTATCGTTAGCAAGGCAATGCCTATCAATTGTTTCAAATCCTTAATGTATACAGAATATTTTATTAACATTAATCAAAATTTACAATACAATTTTACTAGTAATACTACGTACAAAAAAGCTTTATAAGATTACAAGAACGACGCCACGAGTTTGCAATATACTATGACTAACCCGTGGCATTGCAAAAAAGTTAAAAATTACAACTTGTGCTGTGCTGTTCAGACTTGACAAAGTCTTGAGTCTTGATTGAGTTCTCGGGAGATTTGGCAAAGTTTTTAATTGGTATTGAATTGCATCCTCGTGTTCTTTTAGATCATATTTGTCCTTTGAATATTGTGATGTCACCAGTTATTAATACAAAATATCATTTAGACATGTGTACCCATCATATGTAATCCAAGTCCAAAAAATCTGGCTGATAAGTATAAGCAGGTACAGTAGACTCCAGTTACAGTCAAACCAAATGTTGCTTCAAAATGTATGACTGTAAACAAAGTGTGACTGTAAGCGGAGTTAAATTGAATGATTTTGCATGTTTGGGCCTAAACTTTATTTGACTGTAACAGGTATTTTGACTTTAAGCGGGGTGACTTTAAGTTGAGTTGATTTTAACAAGATTCCTCTTCCCTGAAGTAGGCATCAATGACCTTCCAAACCACCGGACAATTGTCAATAAACATACTGAAATTTGGTTCACAAATCACTTTTGCTTTTTTCACACCGTTAATCTTTGCCAAAGATAAAAAAGATGCAATAAACAACCAAATTGTGATATTTTGTGGGAAACGTTTTCTAGGCTCAGTAAATTAGAATACCTTGTGTAAAATTTGTGCGTATTATTGGTAGAACTATTGTACACAATACTTTTACCTCGCAGAAAAATTTTTATCCTATTTCCCAAGTTCCCAGAAAGGAAAATTGGGGTTTTCGGCATTGACTGGTTTCAACATGGGGATTCCAGTTCTGTGATCCATTTTTTGAAAATGTGAAGATAAAAAATTCCCGTACGTCTTATAACTATCGACTTCGCTCTTCACTAATTCGTCCTTTGAGATTTTTAATATATTAACAACACATTTATTAACAGACTTTTGATTTGTTTCTACATTTACAATTTGCCATGAATACAGACGCCAACACGCCACTGTCAGCCAGCACTACTGCAACTGCTGATACCATCAACGTTATGGTCGACTCGATTTGCTCGCAATTGAACTCCACCATGCACATTTTCAGGCTTTACCTCACTCAAACCAGGGAAACGACGCCACCAGCAAATAAGGGCGACTAGTGCTGGTGGTCCTGCTTCTTCCAGTCGCCTCTTTTATTTTACCGCTGGTACACGCTTCTTGGTAGATACGGGTGCTTATATAAGCGTTTTACCTCCTTCTGCTGACAAACAAACTTCTCAAAACATTTCTTTACTGGCTGTAAATGAGTTGCCAATTCGTACTTTCGGAGAAAAGTCTTTAACGATATCAATGAAAAAGGCCACAAAAATTTGAAAAGCATAAAATTAATAATTTCAAGAAATTAATAAAAATACTAGAGATAATCATAGGAAGCCTCGAATGAGTTGGGAAAATGTTCAAATATTGTTGAATGAAAGGATTGGTTTGTTCATAGTTAATAAAGATGAACTCCTCTGTTAACTTTAAATTATTATGGACCCAAAAGTGGAAAAACAGGATGCAAAAAGTTGGTGTTGCGTTGTAAAGGATGACACCTCTTCCCCACAAGACAATAGTTTAAAGTAAGCCGATGTTACTTTCCGATTCAATGCACGATAATTACCAAATCTATTGATATTGATAATGGAATCACATTGAAATGGAATGATGTTGATAAGAAATGTTTCCTGTTGTTTGTGCACATGTAGACCATGATAACGAGGCAGCATTTATTTCGCGAGAGGGCCTGATCCGATGCCATATTTTCGTTTCACAAAGTAGAAGTTTACTTCCCCAAGATGAGTACAATTGTTCCTTACTCAAACGAGGACCCCGAAAAGCTATTTGTTTGTCCTTATTTCAAGGAGCATGTCGTTCGTGCATGTCGATTTAACCAGCACATTCGCAAGTGTCAGAAGGTGAGTGTGGTATTGGGCCTAAACTACTCTTATTCTGTATAAATGTCTTGCGTCATCTCATTTGCTGTTTCAATAAACAAATGCAGTCTACACTTTTGATTGAGAAGATGTATATGCATTAAATATGCTTGCAAGAAAGTTAAAATTCAGTCAAAAGTTTGCATAAATTCATTGTGCCTATCCCCTTAGAAAGAGGTGGTTTTCAAAAATGGTACATAATTTTAAATCACCTTCTTCACTAATAGTTGCTTATGGAATTGGTAACTGAAATTTTTTTTGCTGCAAATCATGGCAAGTTTCATGGTCCAGGATTCTCTTTACTTGTCAATAAAGCAGGGGCCATGTCACAGACTTCAATTATTTAACTGTGTATTTGCTAAGCAGTGGCCATTGCACCTTTGGCCTCCCTATTTGCGTGGACCCATTGCACAATGCAGCTCTCCTTATCAATTGATGTTGTTCCTGCTTACATGATAACAAAATGCTATGAAACAAATCTTGATACCTGTTTGATAACACAGTACCACAGGCCTTTCCCTAAGATGCAAGCTATAGCCTGCACCCACACAAACCCCCTGCAAAATAAATTTGCGAGGTCTTGTTTCAGCCCGCACTGTTTTTCAAACCAATGTTCTCATTTAATCTGCACAGTTTAGCTTCCCAATGTTTGTACTACTTAATGCTAAATATGAGGGTGTTAGTAGATAAAGAGAAAGAGGTCTTAGGCATCTATGAGTTAATCAAATGTTAGCAAACCATGGTATTATCAGCTAAAACTTTCAATGGAATACCAAAATGTGTTTGCACGAAAGGAATAACATATAGCGTGATTATTACTACAAATAATTTAAGTGAGAAATGTTACACCATGCTGTAAAATAGGAAACAATTTCTTTTAAGTCCCAACATATAAACTAGGCATTTCCAAAAAAGGCACATTTGACTGGCAAAACCTAACAAATCTTTGCTATATTCCAAAAAAGATATGGCCCTCTTTTGTCTCGTTTTAAGGAGTGGTAATACAAAATTTGAAGATAGTAATAAACACAAAAATGCCTTCTTACGATGAATAATTTTAGAGAATTGGCAAGGTAATGTATTTTTTGCCTTGTCAATACTCAAATAAAAAAAATTAACAACAGTTCTGCAAGGACTAAATAGCCCACACAGTCAAACTGGCAAGGGCTTTTTGTAGCCTGCGTTGTTCTTTTTCCTGGAGAGGCCTGGTACCACTTATTGTACATTCTGATGAATACCAAACACACTTCTGACACCTTTATTGTTTTTTAGATCCAAGGTGGTGTAGGATACTTAATTTGTCCATTTAATCGATCACATCATATACCAGAAAAAGATTATAACTTCCATCTCAAAAATTGTCCAGATAAGGTGAGTTTTGTTTAAATTCATACCACTTTAGTATTATTAGTAACTTTGATATTTAACCAGATATCTCAAATCACTAGGATTTGCAGGGCTAGGTTATTTTGTAATTAAAATGGAAATAAGTTCATACCTAAAATAACCTTAAAGTTCCATATTTCTTTACAGTGTGATGTTTGTTGCTTTAACTTTATATGCTACATTTCTAGTATGTTCTTTCTATCAAATGTTACTACTTTTGTATCAAATGTACATCAACTTTTTTGCTTACTTTATATAATCGAACAAATTGAAACGTTAATCAACCATTTTAGATATATATTACTCATGTTGTTAGTTTAAGCTATAATTCATTTGAATGTAGAAAATTTTCAGATATGCAATAATAATGGTTTAATCAGCTATCTCTGCCTATGCACAATTTGTACAAAAAACATATTTTAAAAAAAGTCTTTAATAGCTTTTGATTTACTGTGTTTCAGTGTGACTTTTACATCAGTAATCATATCTAATAAATTGTTTCTTCATTTCATATTAGCATGTGATTCAGCAAGACATAGATGAAGGTATGTTTTAACAGATTGTCAGTACTTGTTATTATCAGGAAGGAGTTGCAAAATAGAAAAAAACCTTATGATTGCCCAAAAATTTTATGTCAAATATTTTGTTTGATTTATCTTATGCTACTAGATTATAAAGCTAGTATTATGAACAGTTTTTTGGTGGTACAGAACTTAAGAATGGCTTTTGAAAAAGCAAACATTCTACAGCATATTAACTAAAAGTAAGGAACCAATCGAATCGCTCAAAACTTTGCACATGGCCAGGACAGATGTTGGATGAGCAAAATGTGTCTCAAAATTTTTGTATTTGCTTTGGCCCATCTTTTATAACCAAATACAGCTATGAGTGGGAAGAAAAATTGTTTGCCAATTTTTGACAGGGTATAGGTTCAAAAGGAGGAGGGATTTGAAAAATCTGAGACACACTTTGGTAGCTAAGAATCTGCGCTTTCTGTTGATATAAGTCAGATTTTGTTACCTCAAACGCAAGGGTACAAAATAGCTTTTGAAGGTGGCATACCCATTTAAGCAATAAATTTGCCTGGAAAGTATCATTTTACAATCTTTGCCAATTATTTTGATATGGTTGTAATTGCCACATTCTTGTGCATCGGATGTTTTAGCTGATTCCGTTAATAGCTTGTTTTTAGGGAAAGAAAACCAAATATCGTGACCGTAACCGTAACCTGAAGCGTATCTTATGCATTGCATGTGACAATGAATTAAGTCTCTGCTTTTTAATCTATGTAAAAGCCTAAAGCATATATTTGTGAATACTGAACAAGCGCTGCTGTTCAAGAATTGGATTTTTTAGTCACACCCAGACTCATCAGGACTAAGACTTTATTTAATGCGTACACCATGGTCTTTAAGATTGAAGGTTGCCTAAAATTCTAAAAGATGCTAAATAGCATAGAAGATGCCTAAAGGTGTAAGAGGTTTTAACAATGCCAAAAGAAACTTAACACGCAAATAAGGGAGGGAGGGCTGGGAAAATAAAACATCCCACTTGTGTTGTGGCTTCACCAAGCAAGGTGAAACCCATGCTATGCCAAAACCTTAAATACCCCTAGATTAACCAAGGGAATGGAATCGCCACGAAACACATGTCTTATTCTAGTTTTACAAAGCAAATCCTCAGGAGGATGAAAAAGTCCCTGCCTTGCCAATAAACTATTAGAACAGGTACAAGAAAAACGCGAGGAAGCATGGCACAAGATGCCATTATGAATAAGATATAACAACAATATCAAGCGAATTAGTTAAAGCTCAAAAGCCCCTCATAAAATTAACTCTGATGAAATTTCATTCAATCATCATACAACCTTGTTCAAAAGAGTTAAAAAATCCTGTACCTGTCCACCTGAAATTTTTCTTAGGGTGAATTTTCCACAAAATTAACTAATTGGCCAATTTCTTTTCTAGCTCAAGGCATAAAGCAGCACACGCTACCGGCTGTGGAACATCACCCAGAATATGATAAACTAGAGTCAACTGAAGATTGGGATGCTGGTATTCTGCAGTTTTTTATTTGACTTAATCTGTCATTAAATATATTTTCTCTTGCTAAAATAATTTCCAGGGTATGTTTATTTGCATGACTTTGTTTTATTGGAAGTTGAAGAGATGTTGGCACATTCTGTTGCAACATGTTAAAGTGGACAAAACAAAATGGCTCATGAATTATTATTTTTTTATGTAAGCATCATACATATGAGAAGATCTATAAACCTTCTTTCAACAAAACAGTAAAACATATTTGTAGAAAGAACATTTAATGATACCTGCCAGGCTCTTAAAAAAAATATTATTAGGTTGAAATGACAATACCTTGCTTTGCATTTGCAAATTTTAATCTTCTGTTGTTCACAAAGTGTCTCATATTTCTTGACAGAGTTTGAGCATCATCAGCTTCAACAAAGGATGGATCAAGAACAACAAATGGAAGAAGAACGAAATGCGGAGGAGGAGGAGGAGAATCTTACCAATATTCAGTTGCTGCCTGAACACCCTCCAAACTGGGAAAGGTAATTTTGCCTAAAGAATTTACTACTTTCTCATGAAGAGTACCGTTAATAGGTTGTTTTCAGAGTAATTTTATAGCATTCCTATGAAGAAGAAGTACAATGGATCCTTGGAATGTTAGAATGTAGAAGGGAGGTGCCCACCACCTCATGGAAATTCTTCTACTCATTGATTTATGACAAGAAAGCAGAAGGGATATCAAATATCAAGATCTTTGTCACAGAGGACCTTTGTCACAAAGGAGCAGGTAGATAATTTCTTGTGCAAAGTTCTGGTTCAGTGCCTTGATTGAATTTGGTACAGCACTTTGGCACAGAGGGAAATAGGTCAAATCTGTTGTCCTGCAGTGTTTATGAAGTTGTATATGCTTTAAGGTATAGATCAGGACAGTTCTAATTTGCTATTAAAAGTTTCATACTTAATGCCATCATCCAGCAACTATTCTCATTTTCTTAGATCAAATTGATTGCTTTTATTTGTTACTAATGCTTCTAAAACAATTTTTATTCAATTTTATCGTTTCACACTTAGCTTGAAGTTAAATCTAAATTTTTTTGCAAGATAAAGTTGTTCCCCCCCCCCCCCTTCCAGTGATCAACCAGATGGTCCCAGGTGCAATTTCTAATGCTAAATCATGAAAACTAGCTCTCAAATTTCAATATCTTCATTTGAATTGTCTTGTTATTGCTCCTCATTTATCATTAAAACTGGTAGAATATGATTTATTTAACTTGTTTCATCTTATTTGTAGTATGACCAAAGCACAAAAAACAAATTACAAACGCAGATATAAAAAACAGCAAGAAAAGCTTAAAGAAAAAGGCTTGACACATGCAGATTTTCAAAAGTAAGTTTATTTTGTAGCAGTTATTTGCATTTTTGTGATTGTTTATCTATTTATTTGACCACGAGCAATTCAATGATCGGAGATAGATAGCATCCAATCTTATTATGAAATTCTAGCAAGATAACAATCTTTTAGAGGAAAAACAATGATTTAGGAATATTTTTTAATTTTGTCAGGACAGTGCATCAATATAAACATAAACTCAGCTATCTAAACCTCAATTAGCCAAGTATAACTTTTAGGATGATTTTTCTTATCCAAGTAAATTCTCAATTACCCAAACAGTTTCACATTGATTTATTCACTCTTCCTTCATCACCACATGACAAATCAATAAAAGAAAATTAAATGAAACTAACCCTTTGACACAATATATACATTTATCTTAATTTGCACTTTTCAACTTGATGCCAGCTGATACACAACATTGCAGGATCATAAAATATTAGACATTGACTGCATGCACAAAATATTTTAAGCAAACGTCAGTTACCCTCTACTGCAAAGCACTCCTTGAAAAGTGAATCACCATGTGCAGATATGAGCAGTAAAGAGCAGGATTTTTACTTGAACAAAAAACAGACACAGTTGATGCAAACACATAATTTTTTGTCCACATGAACAAATATTATTTCTTGGTTATTATTTTTTGATAAGTGGTGAATAGGAACACCCCAAAAAATGAGAATCAATCCAATATAATGCAAATGAATTAATTCAATTTGAAAACACAATATATTAAAATAGAATCATAATGTAAACTAATATTTACCCTGCCATACTACATAGCTGAGTTGTTCTATGAGAATATGCAAGTTATCAACTTACTTTCCTCTATAAGCTAGTTTGTATGATGATTTATACTGGTCAATTTTTAGATCAAAGAACCCTGAGGACTGGACCGAGGAAGAGAGGGAAGCAAAAATAAATTTGATGTTAAGTTTGTATCCTCCTCCAAAAGTAACAGGTATGGAATAGGGTAACATTATTAGTAATGTACTTTTTCTCAAAATCTCTGTGTTTTTTCTGAGTGTCTGTATACAGTGCTACAATACAATCAGACAATCACAAGATTAAACTGGTCAGTCAGGTGCTCTCTGTTATTTTTATGGGAGTCTAGGCCAATATTTTTTTGAAAGTATGGATTATTTTCTGGTATTTTTATTTTTCCTAGAGCAAACAATTTCATAAAAAAATTATAAATATAGTTTGACTTACACAAAGAAGTTTATGATACATAAATTGAGTGTAGTATCTATTTGGTTTGTCTTACAAAGTGTAAGTGAAAACCATAAAAAAAATTTCTTTTATTTTAAAGAAATATTCTTTGACTTGGATCTCACAGCCTTGGATTGGATTGCCATGGATTGACATATTATTTGGTGTGCCATAACCTTTGGTGAATCTCAAAGACTGTTGCATTGCTACTAGAGTTTATTTGTCAAAATTGATTGTTTATTCCTCGATTAAACTTTTTTTCTTCTACTACAAGGTAGTTTCAAAGATTACAAAAGTGTATTAAACCAATACTGCCAGAAAAACAGGATAAACCAGCCTAAGTATTATGAAATCCCCTCATGCTTCAGTGGTTTTGCTTGTGAAGTTATGGTGAATGGCAAGACATACAGAAGCCATGGCCATCAAACCAACAAAAAAACTGCAGGCCATTCTGCTGCCAAATGGGCACTCATGGAGCTTGAGGTACCAGAAGGTAAACACTATACAAGATGCATATTTCCCTTCAAAGTGAATTTTTTACTTCTTTTTCCCCTTAGGCATTACAGTTCTGTGTAGAAGACAAAATAAATGCTTATTGAAAGAAATATTTAAGCTTCGGCTGACTACCTGTAGAAAGTTCAGTGTTAACTAAAATATCAATGTCGTGATTTACTAAGTAGGAATTAACTTGTGGGTTGAGATTTGGGTTGGAAGGACTTGGTAGCCAAGGTGTGGTGTAGGAGGATTGAGAGCTTGGTTGGTGGATGGTTTGGTATGCTTTAACAGGATTCATGTCTTTGTCCTTCCTATAAATATAGTTTTATGAGATAATCCAAGCAAATAGACATTTTCAGTAAAATCAGATTGTAGAATACTTTTGAGAAAATTTTTTAATTTTTTTAGCGGAACAAAATGAGCTTAATCAAAAGCTTCGCCCTGCAAGAACAGCTGAAGATATGGCCATGTTGCGCTCTGCTCACGAGGTTGGCTTGCTACAACAGGCAGGGCACCTTCCATCTGTAAGCAAGCCATCACAAGAAATGAATAATCATGTTACTAAACGAATGCAGCAAGTGAAACCTCCAGTTACACCACAAGTTGTGTCTAAACCGTCTCCTCAACCTGTACCGGAGCCTGTGCCTGTATTGATTCCTCCATCTGCCTTCACAAAGCAGACTGACATTAATGGAGGTTTTGCATCTCCTGTAGCATCAGGAGTAGACTCTGTAAGTATTGTATAACTGGAAGATCCTTTGCCTTAGATTTCTATTTCTGTTGTATGCACTCTTTGCAAGTGCAAACTCTATCAGAAATATGCAACAGAGGTTTGTTAGCAGGAGTGGATTAGTAACTCATCACTTCAAATAAAATTGTTGCCCAATTGTGCTCCATTCCAATAGCTAGGCCAGGAAAGAGTTTAAACAAAAACTGTAAGTGACTAAAGGCAGAGTGTTCTTCTGGGAGTTATATATGATTTGATGTAGAACAGAAAAATTGTGTAATGGTTAAATTTAGTAGGTTGAATCTTTCAATAGGCAAGCAATATTGAGAATAGTTAAGTTTTCTTTTGAAGAAAGCTCAATGTCTTTTGAGTAGCAGCAGTGTTGCCATGGAGGGAGGCTCAGGGGGCTCAGTCCCCTGTTAAAATTAGAGAGATTATGGGGGGCAACTCAGTCTACCTAAACAAGTTAGTTCATATTTGGTTGGACGAAATCTGTGTTGGCAACCCTATATGAGCAATTTCATGAGGAATCTATAGTATAGGATTCTTATTCTTTCATGAAGATTCTGAAAAGTCTTTTTACATCATCGAATAGTTTGAATGATTCCTACACACAACAGAGAATTTTTAAGACATATTGGGTGTGGTAAGGGTGTGGTCATGGGTGTGGCCCCTTGAATTTGCCTACAGCACAGCCTATCTTCCTAACCTTTTTAGGACAGCACCCCTGAATAGCAGTAAAATAGTTTATAAAACTGGGTAGTCTTTTCAACAGATTGGAGTTCAATTTAATTTTAGCACTCTGAGGAATTTTGAAAACTTTTTTTAAAAGGTTCTGCTGCATAGAAGCCAAGAATTAGGAGCTAACGTATTTGGAAAAAGAAAACTTAATTTTGTGAAGCTTTTGTGAATGATTTGTGCAAGTCTAAAATTCTTTGAAGTGCAAACAGCTTTGTTGTCAGAAAAGAACAACAAATAGCAGTATTCAGTCTCTTAAGAAATTCTTATGCCCAAATATCATGAATTTTTGTTCAAAGCAAATGAACCTTAAACCAATACCCCAGCAAGAATATTTTAAGCTATCGTTTGATCGTTTTAAGCTGTTCGTATAATTTTATTATCATTTCCTTTTATTATTTCAAATTGAGTGCATATATTTGCTATTTAATTTATATATTTTATTTAAATTTTTTTATATTTCAGAATGATAGTTGGCAAACAGTTGGTTCCAAAAAGTCTGCAAGATCAGGTATATGTACTTCAAAAAAATATTAAATAATTCTATGGCACATCATTGCTGATAGGACCCAACATAGTAGATATATCTCAGATGGAACACATGAGTTGAAAATATTGGAAGCTTTTTTCAACACCATTCCTTATAGCCAGGAATTTACTTACTGATTTCCTGCCTGTCCTGGGATGAAACTTGAAAATGACCACCCTTGAGGCTAAAAATCATAACATACAGCCAATAACTTTAACCCAGCTTCTGGTGATGCAAGCCAGCTCAAAGTCCGACCAATAGACAAGCAACAGGCACCCTCGTCTGCACTGTAAATGGGAAACATATCTGTACCTTAGATAGGCCTAAGACCTCAAATCTGTTATTCTACAAGCTAACTAATCAACTTCATAAAAGAGTTGAGTCACCCTTTTCCCAGCCCCGCCCCATCAGCATTATGAAGAGACTTATATAAATGTTAGAATAATTTTTCTGTGGAAAAAATTTTGAACTGAAATCAACGCTTAACTATTTGTGTTATGCAGAAACCTTTTCCCCTCACTCTTTGACAGGATATTTATATAATGCAAATTATTTATTTTATACAATTCAGCATTTTGAAGGAAAGTTTTAAGGGTTTGCTTACCTATCTAGCTATGATTTCTTGATTTTAAATAAGATGAATTCGAATGGTTTTTTTGCTATAGAAATATTTAAGAGACATATCCTAAAGTACAGTGAACTCTGTTTGTAGTCATTACACGTAACATCACTTCTGGTTACAGTCACATAAAATTTAGACCCTTATATACAAAACTTTGTATTAAATTTAGCTTCATTTACATTCACACTTCTTTGTAGTCACAATTTTTTGAACAAAATTTGCAGTGAGTGTAACTGGAGTCTAATATAGCTGCATCTTGTTTGTAATATTGATCATATTTTATAGATTTAATAATTTTTAAAAAGAACAACAATTGCATTGCAATTATTTTTACCAGGAAAAGGACGCGGACGAGGAACGGCCTTGGCAACCTTCTAAACATTTTTCACACAGAGCACAGTTAAAAAAAGCACACACAGCCCTCCTGATGTGAGTTCGCATTTTTCTGAACCAAGCATGAAAGATAAAAAGCTATTAAAATTTTCATTTAATTTAATGACATTAGAGTATTTTCTTTCTTTACATTGTCAGTTAAATGTAAGAAAGCCCCATGTTTTTAAACTTTTTAGATATGGTGTTGATTTCATAACTGGCGGTGATTGTTCTTATTATAGGGCAAACAATAAACATAAGTTGTTTGCTTGGCTTTCAAGAAAATAATTTTGGCACATTTCGGCTCTATGTCTGTTTATATTTTGGCTTGTCAGTTAGACTTTGCGGGGATTTTAAAAAAACTAACATTTTAGTTTTAGAGAAGAAGTGTTTCATTAGGAAAGACTTTGATGATTCCATTATTCCACTTTTATAACATTTAGAAAGTTTAAATACAAACAGTTTTAGTTTTAAATTCAGATTTGTGTATAGGGTGTTGTTAAAGAATATTAGGGACATCTACTTTCCCCCGTAACAGTCCTGCTTTTGAATAAGGGGGGGGGGGATAAAAACAGGTTTGCATTTCTTGTCAGGGCTACCCAAGATTTTTGAGCATGTTTTTAAATGAAATTTGAAATATTTAGCAATTTGTTTGTCACTTTGTTGCCTAATGATGTAACAACATACCTTTACCTTTACATGTGTATTGATGCAGGGATAACAATGTAATGGATTGCAGACCATTTCAAAACCTGCCTTATAATGTCACCTTTATGTAAAATAGTTCTGTTTTGTTAAGATTCTTTGTCAATGGTATACACTGTTCTTATTTCCTTGTTCTTTACCTCCAAACCATTTTTGCTGATCGTCTTTTAAGCATGCTTTTTCCAGATCACTTCATTTTTAAACTCATAAAATGATTATCAAATTAAGTGTTATGTGCAGAAAAATTTGAAAAATTGCATGAAAAAAACATTCTATAAAAGGTAAATAGAGAGGATCTCTAGGTGAACTGAGAGAGGATTTCTAGTAGAGGGTCTAAGTTGACAAAAGGATAGGTTGTGCATTTGATTGGTTTTGTTTTGATCAATGAATATCTGAGAGAGTTGCAGAGATATAAACCAAATTTTTAAGCTTTTTGGAAACTTTTATGTTTTGTTTCAATTTGTCAGGAATCTTTGGGTTTCTTTTGATTTTTAGGTTTCCTTCATGCAAAATTTATTCTCCTCTTGTGCCCCTGCATCTGGATTCAACTGGCAATTCAACTGTTTGGGTGGGGGTAGCTAGTGTAGATCTTTAACTAATTGAAATATAGCTTGTGCTAGATACATTGGCTACATGGATCAGCAAGGTCACCTCAGAAATTCTGGTAAACTTTGTTGGCCGTGTACAAGTATAGAATTTACAAAGACACATGCAGAACTTAATCTTATATTTCTTGATAAAATGTATTTAAACAGAAACAACACAATACAAATTCATAATTATGGTTTTATACAGACTAGCTTTTTTAAAGGAGACTGCTTGCTAATGAATCAACTTTAAGGACATTGTTGTTCTAATTTTCATCTAATGCCAACCTACTTTTTAATACAACATAACCATTGTTTGTTTGGGCCAGGGAAGTGCCAACTGCTCTTTGTACTTTGAACATCAATGTCATAATTTTCCCTACGAGGAAAGATGGGTTTCCCTGTGTCAGTAAACTTTGTCAGCACTATTTGATGTGATCGCATCCAGCGTTTAAAATCATTTTTGGCATTGATGTCCAGTGTATGGATATGGTCACCAAATTTGTCTGCTGTTATTATATCAATGTCCATGTTTTGATAAACCATGCTTAGTAGTATGAAGTAGTCATCAATATGGCCATCTTCTTTCCTTTAAAACAGAAAAAGACAGTTCTCTTTTAAAATTAGACACCTGATGCTCCCAGTGTCATGATAGTCAAAATTTCAAGTACCATTAATTTTTATATGGTAGGAAAACCTGGCCAGTGAGGGTTAAGGTTATGTGTTGCCTGGAGAAAAATGATAAAATAATGATACATGATGGTTGTGTAGTGTAAACCTAAAAGACAGAATTAGATTTGATGATCTTAGGGATAGATTAGATCTAAAGAGTATTGGAATTTGTCACATTGAAAAAGAGATGAGAGTGCTTCGTTAAGTAAATGCAGAGCAGTTGAGGTAGCAGGTCCCTTGGGTGATGATAAACAGGTAAACTTTTATAGCTGAAGTTGCCACAGAGATTTCATTGTATCAACTGCATAACAAGGCAAACAACTTTTTCCTCTGTGGTATGATGACATGTTTTGCTAAAATACAAATTTTTTCAAAAGCATCACAGTTTTTACTCACAAAGATGCATACATCTTTTCAAAAATTTAATTCAGATTTATGAAGCAATTTAATATGAATTTATTCCCTTTTCAATGTCCTGAAACCATCCTGAATTGACCTTCACTTAAAACCCTGAGAAATCAGATTAAATAATAAACATAATTAAGAGTTAGTTGTTTTACATTTTTTCTCAATGATCGTGTGTCTTTAGGAACTTACCCATGAATCCCTTGTATGACTGAGTTATATTTCATATGTGTAAGAAGGAAGAAAAGCAGGATTTGCTGTCCAGTAGAATAATTTGTTTGTTACATTTACTCTGATGAAGCCCTGTATGCCTGAGTTCTATTTCACTACATTGGACTATTGCTTGCGTGCAGCTTTGTTCCTGACTTATATTTATTTTAATATACTGCATTTCACAAAATTTCAAATATTTCAGCTCTTATGATTCTAGTGAGAGACATTAATATTCACCACCAGGAATGCAATTGAACACACAGTAACCACTAGTGACAAACAAACTTACTTGTCATCAACAAAGAAGATTCCACAACCTTGCCTTCGTAAATAGTGCAAGAGTTGAACCATGTGGTAGTTTGGAAGATCTGTTGCCACCTCTTTCTCCAAAAGTGTGGAAAGTAATGGGCTTGAACACAAAGCCAGCACATGCTTTCTTTGATCGAGAAAATGTCTGACAACTCTTTTGACCTAAGAAGGACATAGCAAAATGCAAAGCTTGCTTTTGGAAACAAGTTCAAACCTTGAGATTTGGTAGGTTATTTTGCAGGTTGACCTTTTGTATTTGTTGTGTGACATTTTAGCTACATTTAAGAAGATGTAGTCATATTTCCAACAAAGTTAGATTTTTCAGTGCTAACATTGTTCTTATAGCATTGGTAATTTTGTATTAAGAGTTTTTATACTACTTAATACTACAGACCCTATCAATTTCAACTTCTTAATTCTGCAGTTCAGCTCACTTCAGTCTAATCAAATTTTACCTCTGAGCTTAATATCTTGTACTAGCTATGACTTTCTGAATATATATTTTTCAAATCAATTAAAAGAACAAAAAAAAGCAAAGCAGATACAAGCACATTTTCAACTAGTTTTTGCCCATACCTGAAACGAGTTGAATCCTCTGTCTCTATAATATGCAATATTAAGTACATCTAGAACAACATCAAATGGTCCATGAGTACTCAAATAATGCTTGAATTCATTGATCTTGTTCTGTGGATTGAAGGAGCTTGAAATATTAAAGTCTGGTATCTTTGAAACTGAAGCATTATCAAGAACTTTGCTTATTGAGGTTTCTGCAATGTCAAAAAGTTTCTTTTGTAAACTTTCTCTCCTTTCAATTGGTAAGGAAAACCTCTTTAACTGTGATCCGCAGCATTTGCAAATTCCTCTGGAAAAAATTAAGATTAAAACATATTCAAATATAATAAACAATGAACATCTATTGTTGCCTACTAATTAAACTAGAAAGCAATTGTAATTAGCCATCAATTCTTCATAGGTGCTCATTTTGTCAACTGCCTGCTTTGTTGTCTCTCACAGGGCCAGTACAGCCTTAATAATAAAATGAAATTTAGGATTAAGCTAAAAATCAATTTTAATCAAATGGCAGGATGTACGCAGAAATATGAGAATAAAGGGTGTTGTTGATACCTATCATTAAGAACTACAAGGACACTGTAAAATAAATTTGCCTTACCCTTAGGCATGGTACTGTATTATTCTTAAGCACTTTTATACTAACAATGCACTCTTTCTTGCTAGGAGAAATATTTGTATTGTCTTTCCCGACAGTGATCACAAAAGATAATAAAGGCTTTGCTAATAGCAAAAAATAATGACATACTTTAGGTTGACAAGGGATGTTCCAACTTTCCAAATTTTCTTTTTATCACTGAAAGGCAAAATAAAGAGATCTGATAATCGAAGTTTGATGACATCACGGTATGAGAAACTAATAACATGGCCATAACTGCCCTCGAGATTCAATTGCTATCAATGGTACTATAGAATATGATTCATTAACGGATTAGAAGGCAATCAACAGTCTTTTGTCCGAACAAGTCAAACACAAAGTTTTGTTGATGTTGACATTTGATTAAATATTGAACACGCAATGCGCCTCCACTACTGCCTCAAATGCAGTACAAAACAAGCGAACGAGCTGATGAATTTAAAGGTTTTTTTGGAAATAAAATAGTATGAGGCTTATACAGTTTATACCACTGCGTACCGCCCGTCTGATAATTGAAGTGCTGTTTCTGATATTTTTTAGTCACAACAAGTCAACTTTCTTAGAATCATTATCCCACTACAAATGAATTGTTCTTTCACATGTATGAATATAAAATATATTTTAGCATGAACTTATCAAGTGTGTAAATGAATTTCTGAACTACATCAGTAGCTTTCAAATTAAGGCTCTTTTTAGTATATATATTATTAATTCATTGGCTTTACTGCCAGTGAAAAATTTTGTATTAGGATCCCTGCAATAAATGTGGATAAGACTATAAATTACACATATTTTGATTGCCATGTTATGCCAGGAAAAATTCAAATAAACGATTTTACTTTTTTTCTAAGGAACTTCCTTCTTATCCTCTTAACATTCAGTTTAGATATTTATACCTTTCAAACCATCTTTTTGCTGACCCAAATGTCTTTGGTCCAACAGTAAAACCAGTGTTTATAAGTGAATCAAAAACTGATAGAACAAATGATCTTGTTCCTTCTCCTTTTTCCAGAGCAGTATCAATCAGTGACCCATAAAACTGGTCATGGAAAACTGTTTCAATTTTTCTCATTTGCTTTAACAGACCCAAAGCATCATTAAGATCCCCCTCCTTAACAGCATTCAGAATAATATGATGAAATGTTCTTGCATGTGGCTCAATACCAATAGATTCCATATTTTCTAAAATTTTCAGACCATCCTTCCATGTATTTATCCTTGTTTCATGGCGAATAATTAAATAATAAGTTGCTTCATTTGCAATGCAATATGATTTCATCTTGGAAGAAAGCTTGTAAAATTCATTTTCCCCTCCAAATATGTCATAAAAATTCAAAAATGTGTTCAAGTTTTCAATCATTTTATCTCTTAAGTCTGGCAATGATGTCATGTTTATAAAAATATCAACAAGGTTCCGAGATTCATTGTAAGCCTCCTTTAAGATCACAGGATTTGGCTTCAATTCAAGATTCCTGAATTTCTGAACAACCACGCGGAAAGAGTCCGAGTCATGACCTTCTTTAGGCCAACAAATAGTATCTTTTCCCGGAGTTTGGGAAATTTTTCGCGAGCATTGGCTCTTCGTAGTTGTCTGTAACAAGCTTTTTGGGTGGACAAGATATGAAAATCCATTGTTGGTATCGATACTCAAGAATTTCCTACGGATTCTTGATCGAGAATATATCTTCTTTGGGCAAAAGAAAGACCTCGTTTGTTCATTAAACAGGACTCGTAGCAACTGTTGATGTGGAGAGCGGAAACGTTGCGCTAATTCAAATGGTATGAAGCTCATAATTGGCGCTTCTATCTACTCATGAAGAATCTTCGATGAACTCCATCTATTTCGTTAAGAAAACTCGACTCTGATCCTAAAAAGATTGCATTACGATTTTTGCTTCGTCCTTGCAAATGGTACAGTTGTTGCTGTTCTCAATTCTGTTGCTGCTGTTGTCTCTGATCTATAGAAAAGATTAGTGGCTGTTGCCAATCAGTGAACTGAAGGTATTCCCGCCAAAAATTCGGGAGCTGAGTTCTATTTTCTCTTAAAAGCGTCCAACGGCTTGAGTCGGAGGGGCTCTAACTGTCGTGTAGTGCTATCAAAATAGCAAGGGGGGCTCTTGCACAAAATGTTGCTAAAAACAATAGCAAAAGTAGAAACTAGCTATCTTTTGGCATTAACAAGGTAGCCTGAGTTCCAGGGGGCTCAGGCTATAACAAGGGGGCTCAGCCCTCCGAGCCCCCTAGCACTACACCCATGGGCTCTAACCCCATCCAAAGTACTAGATTTTTCGGGAAACTTGGTAACTTTCGCTTCTTTGTCGGAATCTTTTGGAATATGTTTTCTTTAGCCCAAAACTTTAAACACTTATTAGAGCCAGGGGCGGTGCTACATGGGGTTGTGGGGGTGGGGGTGTGACACCCCCAAGAGTTATGAACCGGTTGTTCTTTAATTGGCAGATTCGGCATTTTTGGTGTTTACTTGGCAAACTTGGTGGTGGCACAATAAAAAATCAATGATTGTCGATGGTACATTAACTCCAAAAAATTTCGTCTTGACAAAGTTTCGGACAAATATTTTGACAAAATTTTTTTTGCCTAAATTCAAAATGGGACGAAGTTTTATTCACGACAAAATTTTTTGCTTTTGAGTTTTTTGAGAATTCGCATAGAAAATCTATTATATGAGGTCAGAAATCTTTCGTATGTATGCTTTTCAATGTCAACTTTGTCATCATCCTCATTCACACCATCTTCGTAATCATCTTTATCGTCGGCATCATCATCATAATCATCATCATAATTGTCGGTTCTTGAGCTTACTCTCGTTTTCACCATCGTTCAATAAAAATAGTTCTAACTCTTTTTTGTCGCCGATTTCAAAGGATTTCACCTCTGTCTTTTTTATACTCAACTGTATTATACTATTTCTTTCATTCGCTCAAGGTATTTGTACTGTTCAATACAAATTTTGAACTCCATCGAAATCAAAATTCCCAGGCCAACTTTTCCTGTTGGAGATGGGTCTTATGCATTTTGAATCTTTTACTTATATTCACACTTATGCTTTTAATTATACTCTGTTAATAATCGTTCATACCATATAGATATAGATCTCTTTTGACCCCGCATTTGCATAAACTGAGCAAATTAACGCTTTAATTTAGTTATCCTGATATGCTTATCTGTGTTAAAAAGCTGCCTGGGAGGGTAAGCCAAATTCAGAGCGGATACACAAGCCCCAAAGTCTCAATGGAGTCGGTACCTATGGCATTGAATATTAAGCAAACTGTATGGTCTTACCTCTCTTGCATGCTTGTTTCCAATTACTATTTCATTGTAGAGTTCATTATGTTGTAAAACGAAAGTATATAAGCCAATGCCTATTATTTCATCATGATATTGCTTTAAACAACTATTATTAAGGTTTTATTCAGATATGATTCTTCAAGATTTGGGATAAACGGATGATTTAAAAGAAATGATCTTCAAAATAAATGAAATTTTTTAAATTCTTATTTAAACTAGCAATTGTTCAAGAATCACAGAGTCAATGAAGAACGTTCTGTCATAATCGCCATCAGAGTTTGTCATAATTTTAGTTAATAGAAAAATCTCCTTTTTGGCAACCTGATATTTGACATCCCCCCCCCCCCCTGAGGAATTTTTCTAGCACCGACCCTGATATGCGTGTAGAAGTTAAACAGAGAACATTCAAATTCAACTTCAGCTTTTAAACTAATGCATTTGTTTTTGTCATCTCGACCTTCTTTATAGCTGATGTTTCTACATTTTTGTAGAAGGTTTATTCGTAAAGAAAAAAGAATTTCTATAAAATACCTTATTCAATACAACAAAGACATTAACATATTATACTTGTAAAGGAAAAAGCTTTACTTCATGTTGAAATATGAAAAAAGTAGTCTGCGAGCGATTTACCAACTCTATGTCTGCAAAAGTTGACATTCACATACAATCTAAAATGTGAAATGTCATGCCATACAACTAAGGTCCATAAAGTACCCCATTTTCTATTTGTAGAGCAATTAACTTAACCCCAGTCCTCAGAATGAAAGCAGTCGCTTGCGAGCGATGTAGCAAGTATATTTGCGCAAATTTGGGTAATTATATACCATCTGAGGTGTGAAATGTAAAGCCAAACAAATTAGTACCCAGCATTATCAATTCCAGACAAGTAGAGATGTCGAACTTCCGTCAACTCTCACTAAATACCTCCGTTGTATGGGCAAACAGATTAAGGAAAAGTCCTCCTTTCACGGCTGTTTTTACATAGCTTCGACAGTAAAAAAGAAACCTTGATGATAGCGATTGTTTGGAGGTGTTTTTAAATGTTAGATTCTCTTAGTAGAGGCTTCACTATATTCCCAAGATTAGACCTTGCTGTATAAAAATGTGCAACCATAGACTGCTGAGTTGATACAAACTCTAAGCTAAAGAAAAAAGCTACCTCTTCTTTTGTTTTTGACAAACTAGTTGGAATATTTTAGAAATAATCTGACAAGGAACTGCTCTGTCTGTTCCACGAATTCGCTTGGAGTTACTTAAGAAAATGTAAGGATGTTATTGCTTGATTTCAGATAACAGTTGATTGGACCCTCCTTGAAAAGAATATGTTAGTAAAATATTCGTTGGAGCAACCAGGGGAATGGGCTTAAGTATCCTCTCCGTCTCCAACTTTTAAAAACAAATATTACTTTCGATCGTAGCAGAGGGCTAGCATGCTTTGGCGGAAAGTTTTGCAAAAGCAATTCTATATAGCTTTCTAAAAGTTATTCAACTGCAGTAATGCAAAAAAGTTTACTATATGTTCTACTCCTTTGGAATCGTTGACACTTGTCTAAGCAAACAGTTGTGACCGACCAAGGTCCAAAATGTTGCAATATCAGGGTAACAATGATTTGATTCAGAGTCTGGATCCATTCAAACATTCAATTATATGTTAAGTTCAAATATAGCTCTTTATATGTACACATAATAAAGAATTTTGTGCAGCACTTTCTCAATGGCTCCTTTAGAGAAATTCAATGATGTTGTGACATCAGAGATGGTTGCCAGTTTGTGATTGGTGACGATTTTGCCATTAGTCTCCAGTCACAGAAAATACTTGTCAGAGACGCATTAGAGTGCCAGTTCTCCTTTAAAGAAACATTAAAATTTTTATATCTAAAGAATTTATTCTGCTATTTTTGAAATGCTTGTTGATGTGAGTAGCTTTCGTGTAATCACCATTTATTAGTTGCGGCGATAATACCGATTGGTACGCAATCTGGGCGGCGGTAAATGGCGATTTTTATTGGTCAGATCGTTACGTCCTCCCGCAGAAGCACACGGGGCGAGATTCAACACAAGGTTACAAAGATGGCGATGTTGGAAGAAGCGTTGATCGTGACAAAGCAAAAATTTGGCTCTGCCTCGTGCAGTCTCGTCCCTTTTACAACATGATAAGATTCTCTCCAAGCAGTAAAATGTATTTGGTTTTATAAATTTGATTTTGGTGTCAGAAAAGTGTTCGAGCTTAGATCTATCTGGGATTTAGGCCGAGGAAAGGCCAGCGCACGTTGACTGGATTTACTCCATTTCGTCCCACTTCACGTTGCCGAGTAAGAATGGCAAATTTCAGCGAAACTGAAAGCTCTAGAGCTGATGGGGTAAGATTTTCTTGTCCTCGATTTTGAAGAATTGTCAGTTAAGAGGATACGTGAAAGGCACCCTTGATCAAGACTCTTGATGGTTGCTGAACCATCAAATTTTACCTGCCCTCGTGAATCTTAGATCATTCGCAGTATTATTTCTTATACGAAATTTTGATGATCATTCCCTATCTACATAACATAATTAGAGTCGTAACTTGCTCAGTTCCTCGCTGATGCCCAATCAAAAGTTAGGATCTCAATCTGTCTAGATATTAAAGGATTTACACTTATCGTACTAGCTTCTTACCTCAATTAGCATCAAAACCTGGGTCAACCCAAAACCTGTCCTGTAACATCTGAGGGATAGCAATACATTGCAAACAATTGATAGATATTTAAATATGGTGTGTTAACTTTGTATGCTCAGCAGAAAACTGGGTACAAATCAGTGATTATAGATGGCCCAGGTTATAGAAGCATGCCCCTGTTATTTAATGGGTTTTGAGGTGGGCTTTACATGCTATAAGTTTTGATCCTAAATGTCTGAAGAAATGGCCTCTATAAACATCTACCTGCCTGGCTCTATACAGCTTTTGTTTCTATCATAGCTGCTGAAGTAAGATACTACCAAAGTACCCGTGGAAAAGTTAGACAAGCCTGTAAATTACTAACCTTGACAATTCTAACTGTCTGTTCAATGACCAAATTTGCAAATCTCTCTTGTCAAACGATCTGGTACAATCATTATTATAAAGACCATAGAAAGCATGCTTGTGGATAGCCAATTCTGAAAACTGTTGAAAGTATCTTGTGAAAGCCCAACTCAAAACCTATGAAATAGCATATAATTTTATGTTTACATATAATTTTATGCTTAACCATTTGTAAGGGATGTGTTTCTAGGATAATGCCAACTTCACATTTCAGATTTTACACATAAATATATGGTTTTTTACAGTTTATGCAATTTTCTTTTTCCTGGCTTTCCTCTGATCTCTTGATTGTTTATTTGATATGAAATTATTTTTGAAGATTTAATTTTTGTAAAAATTTTGGCTGAGTTCTCTAGATTGTTGTTTTCTATCATCAGCAAATTTGTAGCTCTCTGAAATGTTGGGTTAAAAGTTTCTTAAGTTTCTGTTATTGGGCATTTAACGAATCTTTACCAAGATACAATGAATAAACGTCTTTCTTGTTTTTTGTAGCTTCTCTTTTTTGGTGATTTTGATGAGCATGAATGTGGGAAGTACTTTGAGAAAGTTAAAGCAGTTAAGGTATGTTGTGTTTAAAACATATCTAATGATTAAGCAATACCTTGACTTAAATTTTGAGATAGACAAATGAGACAATTGGAAAAATGAGAAAGATAAGACAATTATTTGAACACATGAAATATGAGTATTTTCGAAAATTAAGAACAATTTACACTGTTTTGATTAAAACCATAATCGAACAAGACAAGATTCATTTCTCCATTTAAGGTAATGAAATCAAACTCTTATGATAATCTTTTTAATTGCACTCCAAGAAAGATTTAATACTTGTATAAACTTTCTTTGTTTATAGATTTTATGTATATACATAACAAACAGGGGCAGACACTTGGTCAAATATTGGGTGGCAAGCCTATTGTTTTAATAAGATGACATCACATTTACCATTGTTTTAGAACAAAAGACCATTGTCCTCTAAAGTATTGGGGGCCAGTCGCCCCCCTCACCCCCCAGGTGTCCACCACTGATTACTGGTCATATATAGACATTATTGCTGGGTGGTTGCAAAGTGTTATTACAAACCACTTTCAAAAATGCTTTAATGCCCAGATGATGTTCCAAGGGCTAAAGTAGTTCAAATACTAAGTGCCTATATCATTCATCAATATTCGTGGTGAAATTGATTTTCAATTGCATTTTTCTGTTGAGATGTGCTTAATTCAGCTTACTTTTCCTGTGTTTTGATATCCATGCTTTGTATCCTCTATGTCACTTGCTTGGGGGGAAAAAGATTCTAGAAATGTGTTAATTGATGAAATATTTATTCCACACAATTTACCCTTTTGGGCGAATGATGAAATTCTTGCATGATTGAGTTTGTGAGTATGTTGATGCAATCTTGAGTGAACACTTGTTTCAAAGGAAAAAGCCTCAATGGGTTGAAAATTTTAGATTTATTCCTTTATACACAATGTCAATAAAAGTGATTATGCTTGTTATGCAGCCAGCTAAGCAATAAGAGATTTTGTGAAGGAATCTTTGACTGGTATATTTTTTGTGCTGAAACAATATGTTTTAATTTCAGTTTGTCAGACTACAGTCACAGGATGGCCAAAGAGGTATTTTTTCTCATAGAAACAATTGTTTTAATTTAATAGCATTTTTTTCTCTTTTTTAACAATTTTTTTTCATTCATTTCACCATCAAAACATTGATTTGATAAGTGGTAACCTTTCCAGCTCTTTGTGTCAAAATAGTGAAAAGTATCTCATACCAGACAAAATTTCACAGTAGTGTTCCATAATGGAAACCTGTTCATTGTCCACCTCCTAGTCATCCTGCTGTGTTCTCTACTCTGATGATTGTTGAACCAGTTGGCTTTCAAATATACACAAGGCTATGTCTGTTTTCTATGCTATTCATATGTTTCATATATTTTAATTGTAGCTATTCTTATGTCTCTCAGATGCTGACCTGCCCAGTGATGTAAAGAGCTGTGTTGTTGCCTCAGATGAACAACGGGAAGGTGAACTATCTGAGAAATTAGATTCCATGACATTGGATGCTGAACCACAAGATTCCAATAATGGAGGTTGTTTTATGGCCTCAAACACCAATGCTGCATGCGAAGTACAACCATTAAACAATGAAAACGATCAGCATTTGATAGCTGGAGATGATATGTTTATGAGAAAATCTACTTTTGACAGTAAGTTTTTGTTCTTTGTGTACTTTAATTGACATAATGCTACTGCAATTATGTCACTGAACATGTTTGATTAATAGGAATCTCTCTTAAATAAAATATCAGAAACTTTTACTACTCTTTTTTAAAGTATCATTCTACACTACTCAAGAACAATTGTTAAGTTTCAAAAATACAAAATTTGGATCAGCAGATTCTTGAATCTCTAGCTATCCATGATTCAAGCAACTTTGTTTTCAGACTAACTTTTGTCTAAAACTTATTGCGCTGAAAATTTTTGCACTTTATGTCAGGCAGTTTTTTAATTATATGTTTTTTATCTGAACCATTCCTGCTGAAAATGGTTGCTGTCCGTGATTCTGGTACATAGGGTGCTAGCCAAATCTTCAAACTAATTATTGTACCTACATCTATATTATTACTTTGCAAGACCAATTAGTATCATTGCAAAGAGGTAACTGACCCAATGGTAATGCAAATATTTATGCTGTTGCTAGCCCTAACGAATTGCGGACACACCAATTCTCTACTTTTCATGAATATTAGCGCTCTTCTTGCTTAATGAATAGCATTTTTATGGTTTGGTTGAATAATGTTTCTGCATAAGTTGTATATACCTTATTCTTCAACATGTTTTGTATGATTTTCATTTTCTAGGCAAGAAGCAAGGAGATCAGAAGCCTGATGGTGATGCAGTTCAAGATAAGCCAGTTCCTGAGGGATCAGTTGCCCCTAAAAGCAAACCAGTTTCTTGGGCTGCATTATTCAAATCAAATTCAAATGCACCAGCCACAAATTTGCCAACTGTTGTATCAGTGAATTTTGAGGAATCAGAAAGCAAGAATTCAGGCCCAGAAATACAGGAGAATAGTTTCTCTGAAAAAACTCAAAGATCAATATCTGTTGAAAATGATCAGGATGCAGCAGCACTAGCAGGTGTGCTATGTTTTATTTTTTCAAAGGTTTATCACTATAAGTGATATATATTTAATCACTTTAACTGTTCCCAAAGTACCAGCCAAATATGCTCTTACTGGTCTTTTGTGGATCAGCTTAGCGTGGAACAAGTTATAAGTAATCACAAGTTATAACATTTTGGTCCTTAACACCTTGATCTAAAATTGTTTTTTTTAATATCTTGTAACCTACAATCCTGGCCAAAAGTTATTGGACTGGGCTGGAAAATTGTAGTATTTTTGGAAAAATACGCTCCCCGCCCCCCACTGTCAATGTTGATACGCTTATTTCTACTCTTTTCGATTGCTGTTACTTGGGTATTTAAGAGAAAACCAACATTGCTTCAGGGGTGGGGGGTTTTGATAATATTTTTAGGGTCAAGTTGCAATTTTAGTGGTTTTTTCACCAGTCCACTAACCTTTTGGCCAGGATTGTCTAATATAGAGGGAAAAAGGAGGAGATTAAAATTTACAAATCTTATACAGAAGTATCAATTTTTGTAACCTAAAATAGGAACAATTTAAGAAAGGTGGGTCCAATCATGAAGAATTTTATATTCAGCAAGCGAAAGAGGTCATGCAGGAATCGAATTCACAACTTGTGTCAATTCTACCTTGAAGCCCAGGCCTAAATCTAATTGATATTTTGGAATTGTCAAGCAGCAATTGAATAGAGATGCCATAAAGAAAATTATTACTACTTAGACAATGGTAAAGTAGAACCCACAAATTATTAGAAAAGTCGAATGATGGTTATTAAAGGGCAAATGTACTCTCGGGTACAGTTGAAAGTTTTTGGCGGGTTTGTTAAAGTCTAATTTTTTCATATTAGGGGGTCTTGAACACAAGTGTTCAGGGTAGAAAGATTTTCAAAATCGGGGGGAGGGGTTAAGGTGATCAAAATCTACTAGACATATAGTGTTTATGTATCTTCAAATTCATGTTTAAAAAATCAAAACTTGCAATTTGGAATTTTATAACAACAAATCCATTTTTACGCATGCGCTAATATATAATATTGAAAAAAGGAGCCTTTTGTGCCGTACTGGGAAAATGATCACGAGTTACCACGAGTCACCAACGAGTTACCGTACGGGTTACATTCTACATTTGCAGACCTCAGTATGGATGTATACGAGATACCAACGAGTTACCACCTTCTTTATAAATATAATATATATATATTTATTAAAAAAGTCATGGTAACTCGTGGTATTCCCATATAAAACCACTATTAAAAAAGGTAACTCGTTAGGGTAACTCGTTGGTAACCCGTTGGTAACTCGTGACATTTTCAAATAAACTAAAGTTGACATTGATGTCACTCATTGTCAGTTCTGCAAAGTAGCGAGGACAACTTGAAATGTTTTATGTTTACCTGCTTGTATATCATGGGTAAACTCGAATGTTTTCAATCTTACAGCCATTATTTCTTTTCTCTCTCGACTGAGCTATTGTATTTTTTGTTCTCTACAACTGACTCTCTTGCTGGGAATTCGGCTGCATTTACTCTGCTGTAGGATATCAGATAGCATTTGCCAATTTCTTTCTCTCTTAAACTTTCACATGTTATCAACTAATCTTTCGTATACAAAGATCGACGGCAAATTCAATGTACGTACTACAATAGCGAAGTCTGAGGCAAAACGCATTGTGTAGACTATTAAACCCATACTAACCCATTATTTGTAGTTACTTGACCAAGAAGGACACCCGTATATATATTTCCCATTTTAATTTTGCACCCTCCACATACGTAGAGAACTTTGATTCTAATCAATTTAGGTAGACATATCGCGTCTCCTCCGATTTTCTACGTCAAGTGCAGCTTTTCGAAATTCTTTAATTTCTATGAAGATTCAACACAAAATGCCCTAAAAGACCGGCTTCCTAGTTTTTTAGCATTGGACAACCATGTCTAGACGCCTAGTAGCTCTTTCCGATACATAACAAACCGCTATGATAGATTTTCATTCTGCTTAGAAAGCAGACAATCCTGGCCAAAAGTTATTGGACTGGGCTGGAAAATTGTAGTATTTTTGGAAAAATACGCTCCCCGCCCCCCACTGTCAATGTTGATACGCTTATTTCTACTCTTTTCGATTGCTGTTACTTGGGTATTTAAGAGAAAACCAACATTGCTTCAGGGGTGGGGGGTTTTGATAATATTTTTAGGGTCAAGTTGCAATTTTAGTGGTTTTTTCACCAGTCCACTAACCTTTTGGCCAGGATTGTAGTTTTTGAATGTCCCTGCTAATACTCAAAGGTTAGGGTCCTGATGCTTTTGAGCATTAGCTGCTGCTTCCATGTTATATATATTATATATTTATAAGCAATCAAAAGGCTAGGCAACAATCACTTGGTATGGTACCATTCATAGAGGGAAAAGACACAAGATCCTCTACAAATGGCACTTACAATATATTTAGCCATTTTATCACTCAAGCAAACAAAGGGACAAGGAACAAACCAAAAAAAGTTATTTAAGTTATATATTTAACCAAAAAAATATAATAATAAAAAAAATATGGGGTACGGTAGCTGCATTCAGTCAAATCGTTTTATTTCTTTAATAAGCGATATTGTAGCTTCCATAATTATTCTGGATAATTGCTCCCATGTGAACAGTACTGATCAATCTAAGATGAATTAGATCCCCAGCTTCTTTAGCCTATTCAAATTGCACCTTTTATACCTTTGATGTTCTGTTTCAAAAGCCAAAGCCCTTAGTTGTTTGCAATGTTACATCTTTGCAGAGACTTAAAAATATCTTTCCAAATAGCATTGATATGTTTTGTCTTCTTTTTAATATGTCAGATTTCCTGCAAAAGACTAGTCTTCATCCCAACAACTCATTGATCCAGCTACGTGGCTTGATAAACAATGGCAATTGGTGCTACATCAATGCTACTTTGCAGTCATTACTTGGTTGCCAAGCTTTTTATCATTTATTTAAATCTATGGCTGGAATCAAGCAGAAAAATGAAAAACTATCATCAACACCACTCACCGATACCATGTAAGTTAGCTTTCTCTATATTTTTCAATCAGTATTGCTCATTCAATATGTGTATTGCTGTGTTATGGTTTTTTCTTCTCCCCCTTTTTAGTAAGTATGACTGGCTTTGCTACAAAAAGCAAATCAGCCCTTTTTATTTGCTATAACATTTTAAATACCAAGGTTTGATACCTACAAGAGTAGTAGAACATTGAAAAGATGGCAAGACAGCTAGGTCTGTACAAAAAGACGAATGGACTGCATGACAAATTTCACACAATGAATAAATATTTTTCCTCACCTGCCATTTTAAGGATAAGTTTGGCTTTATTGAAAAGACTTTTGTATGTTTTATGTTATTGTTCATATTGGTAGGCTATTTCATAAACAGTGTATTTGTATGGGGCTATATGAAAGGACTGTATATTTGTTTCTAAAAGCTAAATGTTTAAGCACAAGAAGACACAAATCAATGTTATTCATGATTGGTATCGTCTTCTTATGTATGTTGAATTTCCTATAGCAGAGCACCTCTTTCTGCACATCTTAAGCAGAACTCACGATTGCAGTTTCCTTATGTTATTGCTTTCCTGCTAAAAAGATGTCATTTATTTAGCGTAAGAAAGACACTTAAGCATGTTTGTTGACATTGTCTTACCAGGAATCTGGTTTGTGCGCGGGAACCACCTGTCTTAGTCGATTAGAATTTACGAAGATTTGGCACATTAAGCTTCCTGGAAATTAAGAAAGCCATTCGTAACCACAGAATCTTTTATTTTAGACTATTTGAAGAATGATTAAAATAGTCATCAGTATTTTTCAGGGATTTGATTTGCTGTATTAATCAATTAGCTTTCAATCATCTTTAATAAACAGAAGAATCGATCAAGATTTATATATTGCAGTCTGTTACCCCAGAGTTAAGTTCTGCTAGAACAGACTTGTTGCTTTTTGAAAGTGTTTTTGTGCAAAATTGTGAAAGACTCAAAAATCGACTGAAGTTAAAGAATCCTTTATTCCACGCTAAGAGATTTCAATGTGACTTTGATTTCAATTTGAGATCAGTTTTCAAGAGATTTCATTTTGCGCGGTCAAATATTTGCTGACGTGACCGATTTTTATTGACAGTTTCTTTGGCCATGTTATTTTTATCAACTTTTGTAATCATACCTCAGAAAGGTTGGCAATCTGCAACACAACATTTTGTAAACCAGCTCAATACTGATCAACATTTTCATCATTATAAACTTTTATTTGCAAAAATGTATGTTTTCCTTTTTTTGTCTAATATTGCATTCAATAATGAATTTAATAATATCTTCCGCAGGATTCAGTTTGCAAATGAATTCTCCTTTTTGGACAATAGAGGTAATTATTTCCCGAAATATCTAGAATAAATCCATCGATTTCTAGAAAAGAGTTTCGTCTTTGTTGTGGGAAACTCTTCTAATTTTTCGAGCCACTTTTTTGGAAATCCTTCCGATCTTCTGAGCCTCAAGTTCACATGCCCCAAAAGTCAAATAAGGCACTCAGCATGCCTTAAAGGACATATTTTTGGGAGGGATGACTAAATGATGTCTCTAGAAAAGCAGGATAAGAGAAAACTGTTGGTAGCATGGCTGTTAGCTACTTGTGAGTATTTATGAAATGTGTAGTCGTATTTAGAGTAATTTGAGCAGATATATCACAATAATTTCTTCGTTTTATCATGCAAACATGTTTAATTTTCTTATGCTAAATTTGTCATTTTTCTCTAGTTTTCCAGCATAAAGGCAAAAAGACTGACGATTTAAGACTTGGCACATCTTTTGAACCAAAAAAGGTTTATGAAATCTTGTCTGTGCTGAAGTCTACTTTATCTGAAACGGTAAGATATTTTGAAAAGATCTTTTTTATCTTAAGCTGTGAACGTTTTTTCTAATTTCTATTTAGAATAACTCCGGAATGGTGAAACTGTTGAAAAGAATCACCATTTGATCTAGCATCTGTGAGTTTGCTTGAAATAGGAGACATGTAACTCTTTGGATGACCCAGTCAGAATTGCATTCAGAGCACACCCATCCCTTCGAAAATGTTTGATGTTGTGTTGTTATAGATTTCTTAAGGCGTTTGCCTGAATCTTTGATGTCTCTTTTATCTATCCATCTAGAAATTGGCCAAGCTTCAAAAATTGGCCTAGCAAGGGGTCCCAAATTATGGAGACAAGAAAGAGAAAAAAGTGGGTGCGGAGCTTGGTCCATGGAAAATTTTAACCTCCTAAAAACAGTTAAAAAACAGTCTGTTGTAGAAGATTGTCTAAATGATTTTTACTAATTTATCATGATTTTTCTAGGGAAAACAACAAGATGCAGAAGAGTTTCTTACTTTTCTCCTCAATGGTCTACATGAAGAGTTTGTCTCCTTGAATTCACTGGCACAAAATAGCAAGACAAAAAATCATTTTGCGATCAAGGGTGAGTATTCTGGTGTCATAGCTTAAGAACATTTTGAATCATGTGTGCATTTGGGAGATGACCGACACTATCATGTGCCTTCAATGAGAAATTCAATTCAAATCTTTCACTCCTGTAATGAAAATATACTTTAATATACAAATGATAAAACTGTAATAAACACAACCCATTAAATGTATGAACATATCTAGAATGGGACGTTAACAAAAAGGTATAATTACAAAACAAGAGTTGTATTAAGGAATTCACCTCTAAATTTGATAAGTGCCAAATAAATGCCAGAAACAAAGACCTATCAACCAATATATGGCCTAAGTGGTAACGAATTGTGATTTTTAGCCTTTGCTTGGTTTTTGTATTTTTCCGTACAGCACCCTGCTAGCTGTTTAGCCGCCAAACTTTCAAAGTAGAGTGACACTGTGCTTTTTCATATGCCGTTGATTTGCTTTGAGCTTTTATTGTATTTGAATTCCTCCCCCTTTCCTTTATGGTAGAAACATTCATGAATGGATCAACTGAGGAGGTGACTCCGCATAAGAGCACGTTTAAAGACCAAAATAAAGCAGGTACTGAAAAAGAAGAGGCTGCAGATGAGTGGGAGCAAGTTGGACGCAATAATAAAACTGCAAACCTAAGAAAGGTACACTGTTGTTGCGTTTTTTGACATTTAACTGTAGTGCTAAACAAGAACTAAATATTGGGCCTAGGGCACAAATACTTCAATCTTTCGTGCATTATATTGATATGTCGGTTTGCAAATGTAAGATCCGCTTATGGATGTTCAAATTCTTTTTTCAAGTTCTCAGTATACTGAATATCAATGACAACTTAATATACAAGACAAAGAATGTATCCCAGCAATACCTAAAGAACTAATTGTCGTCCTTCTTTTCTTTTAAATATATATTCAGTTCGTTGAACCGCGCTGCCTAGTTACAAAATGGCACTTCATCAGGAGTTAATTCGTAAACTTATCTTTCCCACTCTTACTATTTTGTTTGACTGTAAAAGTATCCAGATCAGTCATTGAATTAATCAACTGAACAAATTTGAAGGCTGATGTAGTCTGGCATTATCCTAGCAAAGAACTTTTAATTGATATACTATTAACAATGCTGGCTCCTATTCCACCATTTTTAATCTTAAACGTTGCTATATAAGATAACACTGATAATTTTCTCCTTGTTGGCCAGTAAACGTTTCATTTATTTCTGTGTCTGTTTGTCATCACAATTTGTATCATTTTCCTTAGTTTAGTAAATGGCTTTGATAAAGATCGTTGCATTAAGTCGTTTTCAAATATGTCTCTCAAGGATTTTTAACCATTTATGTTTTGACGTTTGGAAGCATTACTTAACTTACGTAATCAAGTAGCTACAATCATTAAAAATTTATTTGAAAAAATTAAGGATATTGAAATTTAATCATAATGAAATCAAACATGAACAAGATGGCGAAATTAGGATGAAAATGCTTGGAAATGCTTACACATAGATCTTTTAACTCTAAATCTGCCCTCTTGTCCCCAGACCTCAGCAAGCGAAACTCTGATCACCAAGCTTTATGGCGGCATCATCCGCTCTTCCGTGCACCACGCCGGTGCCAAAGAATCAGCAACTCTGCAGCCTTTTTTCACGATCCAGCTCGACATTCAGGTAAGGATTCATTTGTTGAAATTTTCAAACTCGTCTATGCTCAGTATTGCAATCTTCAATCCACTTCCTCCTGCTGTAATGAACGGGTTTTTCGATGGCTACGTAATCATACAACTAGGCCTAAAAATCTTTAAATTAGAGGAAATTACACAATTTAAATTAAAGGGAACGGTGCAGAAACAACTGAAAGAAGAGTTAAATAAGTTTGTTTCTATGTTTGAGCATGAAATTGGCAGTTGAAGTTGGAAATAGAATTTTTTTGATGGTCAATTTACTGCAATGTACAATAGGCCTTTGCATTCTTTGGAATCAGTGAAAAATCTTAAAGAGCTTTGAATTTGTTGCAACAAAAAGAGAAAATTCACAAATAAGCCTTTCATAATTTTTAAAGTTAGATAATTGTTAGTTAGTTAGTTAGCTAGTTAGTTAGTTAGTTAGCTAGCTAGTTAGTTAGTTAGTTAGTTAGTAAGTTAGTTAGTTAGTTAGTTAGTTAGTTAGTTAGTTAGTTAGCTACTTAGTTACTTACTTACTTACTTACTTACTTACTTACTTACTTACTTACTTACTTACTTACTTACTTACTTACTTACTTACTTACTTACTTCATTACTTACTTACTTACTTACTTACTTACTTACTTACTTACTTACTTACTTACTTACTTACTTACTTACTTACTTACTTACTTACTTACTTAGTTACTTACTTACTTAGTTAGTTACTTAGTTAGAAGACTAAAATTTCCAGTTGTTAATCTAGATTGGTTAAGAGCTTGGGCTTAGTTAAGAATAGCAATCATTATGGTTATTGTAGAAATGTTTAATTAGTTTATTTTCCAAAAGCTCCGGATTTTCTAATTTTTCTTTGCAAGCTGTTTTCTTATATTTAAATCTTTCTTTTGTAGGCTGAAAATATTTGGAACATAAAGGATGCATTTGAGAACTATTTCACCAAAGAAAGCATTGAAGGTTTTACTTCATCCAAAACAAAGTCAAAGGTATTTGATAGTTCATATATTGTTTATATATATATATATATATAATATGTAATATAATAATACATATATATATATCACTAGATTGAAGGAAAGTATAATAACTACATGGTTTTCTCTATAAAGCCTGTTTCGTCGAGATAATCAATCTCTGAAGAGTTGAGTATACTCACGAAACCAGACTGCTGTAGAGACTTTAAACATGTAGTTTTACTTTCTTCAATCTATGACTACAATCTATGATATATATATATATATATATATGTATATATATATATATATTGAACTCTTAATCCTTATCTGCTATTTAGCTGGAAGGCTAATTGTAACTTATTTTGGATCTAAATCTAAAAGCTGGTTAATTTTTAAGCTTCATAATTTCAACTTGTATTTAATCTATATGTCTTGTATGAAACTCTTCAGCCAAAGTTCAACTGATTTGCATATCAGTCCAGATATAACTACCAGGGATAAGATCTTATAAAAACGTTGAAATGCTTCCGAGTGGATTCCATTTTCGGAATAACAGCCAATTGCTGCTTTTCAATGATTTAATGCTGATGTGATACTCTTATGTTATGTCAACGCATTTTACATTCTAGATACTGCAAAATTTGTTTTTTGTCTTTTTCCAAGAGTCTAAATGATGTAAAACACTTGCTAGATATTTCTTTCATAGATCGACATATCCAAAGAAAATTATAGGCTTGGTAAACCTATAGAACATTTCCAGAAAGATTTAATAATAAAGTTATAATTTTTATAACACACACTCCTTTTTTATTGAATCTCACTTGAAAATGATAAATGCTTGTGTAAGTCTCATTCGTTCGTGTTTTGAGTCTTTTCTATCAGCCTTTTCTATTAGGCATCTAAGTTTCGTATTAATTTCTACTTCGAAAACTACAGGTCGAGGCGTCCCACAAAACATCTTTGGAAAAGCTTCCTCAAGTTTTGATACTACACCTGAAATATTTTGTCTATGATAAAACTGGTGGTTGTCAAAAGATACACAAGCATATTGATATCGCACGCGAGCTGGAAATTCCGAAAGGTGAATACTCTTTTCTTGAAATAAGAATTGTTTGTAATAACTTTCTTATGCGAAATTTTTCTGAGGAACCAGTTTATTCAATTTAGTTTTGCAAAATTCCCATTTGAACAAACATAGTCTCTATGTCTCAATCAGTTAGAAGTAATGTTTTTTAAAAAATGGCTTTGAAAGAAGCAAACGTTTTAGAACATACTTAAGTTTTTCGTCTGACACTCTTCAGAGTATAAAACGTCAGAACATAGATCTTGCTTGCAAACAAGATATTTTTCAAAGGCCCTTGTTAAATCTAGTTATATTTCTATAGCCAACAGTCGTGCTTTTAGCTAAGTTTTTCAACGATTTATGAAACGTTAAGGGCACTTTGAAGTCTTCCCTAGATGAGCACCCCTTTTGATTTCTGATGTTTCTCCTCGTTGAGGGTATGCGCCCGTATTTGTAACTTTTTTGTGTTCCTTATTTTGTTCTGTCTTTTTAATCTTTTTAAATTGCCTTCAGATGTATTGTCTTCGAGTTTGAAAGGAAGAGTTCCAGCAAACCAACGAACGTACGAGCTGTTTGCAGGTGAGTAAGCTGATTTTATTCATCCCTGGTACCCACATTATATGCAATGTAGGGATGGTTCTTTAAGGCTAGATCTTGACTATAAAGCAAAAGTTAATCTTAGTCTTCATGTATAATGACTTGAAATAAATCTAAGGGTTTCTTTCCTAAGAGTAATTTTTATTAAGTCCTTTTTGTGTGCTTATCAGAGCTCCTAATTAAAACGCACGTAGAAACATAGCCCTGCTAAAGATATTTATTATCTAGCTTTACAGCTGACAGCCTACAAAAATACTGTCTTGCTTGAAATTCTCTTTTCACGCTCTTATCTCACGATAATACGATGGTGGGTGCCCTTAATATTGAAGACTCATGCACGGGGGCAAAGAGTCATGAATAACTAAACAAAAGAGACCACTCACAATGAACCAAACAACGACCGTTAACAATCAACTAGAGAATTACAAAGATTGTGGGCTAAAATAATACTAAACCAAGGGAATTTTAAAGCATCAATACTATATGATCTCAAGGAACTTACATCGCAATAAGAGGTGATATTGTAAGTTGAAACGGAGCAGCAAGTTTGATACAATGGCTCGGAATCTATTTCAGGCCATATTTTACTTTGCTGGCATTGGCTGTAGAAACATTGAGGGTTAATACATACTTTTCAAGAAACAGTTCTATTTTACAATTAAATGATAGCTTTTCAACTGTGTATTTAATGTCTCTCTCCAGTTGAATTTCACCTCGGCAAACATGCAGCTGGCGGTCACTACACAACCGCGGTGAGGCACAAGGAGCCCCTTGGCTGGGTTTATTGCAACGACAGCATCATTCAAAAAACACAGTTCAACCAAATCACAAAACAGCACAAAGACAAAGTTCCATATTTGCTATTTTACGAGCGCGTCAATCACTTTGCTAACTAAAAACAGAGGCGTGCAATTAAATAAAATGCATATTTTTACCCCCAGATGATATACTTTGAAATGATGTGCAGTTTATGGTAATACTTGGATAATAATAGCTGAATTGTATTTGAACAACGGCGCGTTAAATTTTAATTTGATAATGCGAAGTCTTATACATGACACTTGAAAAGTAACAAATTTGGACTGGAGAATTTTCTTTGGAAATAAAGATTAATTATCCGTACATATATTTTGGATTGCTTTATTTTCTAGTGTCTGAAGTTTTAATGCTTAACAGTTTGCGTGGCATATTTAATCCGGTCCGAATGGAATCTATCTTAAGAGGGTTTTAATGCCTAAAAGGGTAGTCAATAAAGACCCTTATGGTGGATTAAGACAAAAGATAGACTGCGCCTATACCGTTATAATTCTTCTAAAAAATTGATGAAAATTCACATACTTCTATATTGCTTTATCTGTTACTGACACAGTCAACTTATGACGCTGAACTGGACTGGAATTTGAATGAGCCCTTAGTTTTACGTAATTCTTCCACTTTTAGAGAAATCTCATACAAATCTAAGACCAGATTCGTCCTATAAATGAATTTAGAAAATTTGCTTTGTGAATTACATTTGCAAACACTCAATTCCCTGTCAGCATTTTTATTAGAAGTGTATTATCCTTCATGTAGATGACCCCGTCAAATGGATTGCCTATCATCGTTTGAATTTTGCCTCTTCTATTTTAAGTATTTCAGAGCTGCGTCTCTGTTCAACTTTCACTGTGTCAAATCACCCAAAAATGATTAAATTTTATCACATCTTTATAAGGTCAGTCCTACATTTTTGTCAAACGTAAGCTAGCTCAAAATTTATTCGGTCACAAACTTTCCCCCAAGTTTTACCGAGGCACAAAATTTTGAGACAATGTTTTCTTGATTTCGATCGGAAATCAAAGTACAACTACGTCACATTTCTCATGCTAACAATTATATTCATTTTTAAATCCAGCTGTTTTGAAACAATTATATTTTATCATTTCGTGGCATTTTAGGGCACTTTGTGAAACTTTGAGATAAAGTTTTTTAGCAGCAGTATAAAATAAACTACAAGTTTCCTTCCAATTTTTCAGTCTCATTGCCCTAAGGCCACCCCTCTCTCACCTTGGGAAAAATTGTTACACCGAAATATAATGTGCCTGAGCGGCAGAGAAACTATAAAGTGGCTGAAATCATACTTGAAGGTCGATTACATAGAAAAATGTTTAAGCTACGTAACAAGTAATTCTAGGGAAATCTGACACTTGGTAATTCAGGGTTGCTGAGCCATTACGGAGAAGATATTCAAGATCTGTATCGCAGGATTTGTCTTGTATCTTTGCATTAGAAGACTGATTTACCTTGCGCTTTTTTAAATGCATTTATCTTTAAGATTTTTAACAAGAGTGGTATTATTATCAACGTTTGCGATAATCTTCAAAACAAATGTTTATATTTGTTCATAGTGGCTTTTAAATTATTCTCCATCAAGATACAAGAGGTCCTTTAAACACACTATGTTTTCGCTGCTTAAAAGCAGAGATATGCTGTGTGAATAAAAACGATTTTTGTCATCTTTGTATTGTAATAATGCAATGTATCTGCACTTCTCTTCACTGTTTGAAACTCAGGTAACAAAAGTTTTTATTGCACAGCATTTTATTCAAATGATATATGTTGCTCCGTACACCTCGATGTTACGGCGTTTATGTTGAAAGCTGTTTCGTTAAATGAATTCGTTTATGATTTTATCTTGTATCGAAAGCTCAGCTGCACTTAAAATGACTACACTACAAACAGAGTTTTTAGTCATTCGTTAGTGTTTTTAGTCATTCTGTAAACTTGTTATGCTCTCTGCAACATCTTCAGCTTAGAAATGGTATCTGCCTTAGATTTATATTTCTTTTTATTCTTTCTTTCTAGCTACATTCATTGGCGTAACGCAGTTTGGGGCATGTTAGTCTGATCACTTTAGTTTAGGACCAAAAGGGGCCCCAAATTATTTTTATATCTACATCTGTTAAGACTTCGCTCAATTTCTCCTCATTTTCAAAACTTTTAAAAGTTCTTCAATTGAAGCTTCTAAAACGTAGCTTCTCCTAGTCAACGAGGAAAATTTGTCACTTTCATATTTTGATATGGTGTTTTCACATGCAAAACAGAGTTAGGTAGGGTCCCATCCTTGTTCTTTCTTTAAGACCCCAGACGCCTCCGTTACGCCACTGTCTACACTACACTCTTAATAAACTGTGATATCCTGCGATTACGAACCCCACTTATTGCGAACTTATCGCCATTTTAAACTACGCTGAGCGCACCACCCTAGTGGGGGGGCGAGGCGAGTAGCTGGGAGGGGAATGAGTATGGCTAACGTTAGAACACCGTACGCCATTGATGATATCTTTGTATGCAAGGCTACTAGCATTCCCTCCTTTAGAACACTGGTAGGTATTAAAGATCCAACATTGATGGTAACCGCATGCATCTTTCTAATCTCCCCGCCCGAAGAAAACGACAAAATATTCGACCACTTCATTTTGCATTACATTTCCAATGAAAAATATGTAACGTGCCATTGCAAAGATCGCTTCTCAAAGAAAGTGATTCTTAGATCAGGCTTAGAGCAGTTTTCTTACATACCCTAAAGTAAGGAAACCAATCACCTTTTTTCCAAATCGCACCCCTATTTTAGGTACTTAGAACACAAGGAAATGAATAGGACTGGATCGGTTGAATAACGTGGGCATATTATGTCTTTTCAACCACATCATCAACAACTTTGCTGTGTTCATTTTAAGGCAAAGGCGCTGATATGTCACTTGTATCCTGTATTCCTTATGGATTGTCCTTTCGTTGGCTAAAGGAATATCATAGTCGTAATTTACTTTTGTTTTATATGAGTAAATGTGCATATGACTTTATGCAGTTTCTATGCTTTGTTTCCTAGATGCTGCTGAATTTTCATTAAATAGAGCCTTTGAGCCGCTTTTCACTGGTTTTGAAGAGTGTTGAATATTTGCAACTTCTTTTAGGTTTATGGTCTTCCACGTTTTATGGATACTCAAACCCTGAAATTGATGAATCTCTCTTGGGCACTAGAATAAAAATTGTTCAATAGTTTCTAATCCCAACATCTGTTTCTTTCTCTTTTTGTTCTAAACACTTGCAGTACAACCTTTTAAAACTAGGTTTTACAATTGTAACAATCGCTGTATTGGTACAAAAATTGTAACTGTATCCTAAAAATACTAGCCAGCTGAAGCTGATCTCAGAAACAATTTCACTCTTTGCAGCAATAACAACAACAACAAACGAAACAGCTGTACTCAAGTGAAGGAAATTATTGGAATGAAAGTAAGCCTGTTGGAGAATGGAATTCAGATTGGCAAAGAAGGCTTCACCAATTTTATCCCAAAGTTGGAAACCAATTTACAGAAGACTCTCTACTACTAGATCAAGGCTTTGCCCGCTGTTACAAAAAACAAAGTCAAGGAAGTCTATCCCTCTGCTGACTAGGCCCAAATTTGAACAGCGCCAATCAGGCGCTATATTATGGAAAAGGAATAATAGCATGGTACGTGAAAACCAGGGCATTTGTGCATTAAGGGTTCAAGAATATGTAAATAAAGGAACATGCATATTAACAATCATATTTAAAGCACAAATTAAAGCAAGTAAGGTGATCTTGAATTGAAATGACATTTATGGGCCGACCAAAAATGGACTTTTCTTGGTTCATCAACGGTATTCGGCCCTAAAAATCTGCGTCCCTCTTTCCCCCTCCTGCACACGATATATACTGCAATAGACTGCATGGCGAACTGAAATATGGGCCTAATAACGTTTCCCCGCTTATTCCTCATCGCAATGTTGTACGGTGGCACATCACTGGCAAAAAGGCCACTTCTTGTCAGTTTTCTAATATGATATAGAATCCAGTGTAATTTCTGAAATTTCACCAAATCTGCCAAAGATCAGTTAATGAATTTTGATGAAATAACCTCCTCCTTTACCGGCCTTTGAAGTTAAAAGAATAACCTCCTCCAAATTCTGCATTGAAGTGAAAATTTGAAAAAATATCTGGTTCTGCTGTTTATATGTTTATTTCACCTGCCAGAAAACTCAAGTTTACTTATACTAGAAATGCACCTTTACTTCTTCTTGGTAAATGTTCTTACATTGAATCAAATTCTTCAGAGTTGGATCTGTTTCACAAACATAGCAAACTAAAATTCCTCTGTGCACATTAAAATTTGCTTTTTGATGCACCTCAAAAGACAAAATTTGCTAATTTGCACACCAAGATCTTCAATTTCTGTGTGCATGACAAGCTTTCCAAATTTGGAAAACCAAAGGAGCTTATGCTTTCTGTACCTTATGAGTTGGAGTTTAATATGGTGAATGTTATCCAAAATTGTGTTGGGTGATTTCTTTCATTGGCTCCTTGCCAAGATTCATGTCTAAGCAATACTTTTAAAGTCTACAATAGGATTGTATAATTTGTAAAATTTGATACTCATAATAACAACAGATAGTGACAAACAATCTACAATCCATGATGGAACAGAATGTACAGTCCCATAAAAATGCAAGTTATATATAGCTAATATTTCCTCCCGGCATACAGGATTATATCAGAGTTTAATCTATCTTTTCTTAAAAAGTATTTCAACATGGAAAATTAAAGTTGTTGCTCTGAAATTCATGCTTTGTGTTGTATTTTGTAAGCTAAAATTTTATTATGTTAAATGGATATTAATTTTTGTAGGCCCCTGCAGCAGTGATTGAAAGCCTTGATTCATTGAGGAAAATCTGTGGTGCTGAAAATGTTTCTACTTCAATGTCTGTAAGAGAGCATCATAGTCATGATGAATCTTATCATGAATCTTTTATGCCAAATGCTGTGGTTTTTCCACAAAATGTGGAACAAGTAAGTGAAGTTGTAAAGGTGTGCTACTCCAAGAATGTCCATATTATACCATTTGGAACGGGAACTGGGCTAGAAGGTGGTGTCACTGCTACTCAGGTATATTTTGCTTTTCCCACTTTTAACTTTCTTTTAAATTTTTAAGCCACATCATATTGATGACTTCTAGAAACCTTAATACATAGAAGAATTTGATTTGTTAATGTCTTCTCAATTGGCTGGAGGATGTTTTTTAGTAAGGTGTTAAAAGAGGGTGAAATAGTTAGCACAATTGATTGGGGATGACAGCTCCTGTCACTATGGCAGTGAATGAGTCAAAAGGAAGGGATTAAAAAAGAGATTGGTGCCAGAAAAAGATACAAAAGTTGCTAAGTATTATTTTTGCCATGGGAGGTAAAAAGACATCTGAATTGTGTAATTACGGAATTACAATGAAATTTATGAGATTCCTAATTGTTTTTTAGCAAGCTCATATAAGATGTAAAATTTGTAAAAAAAATTGTTCATTCATCCATCAGATTGAAAGTCTGCTTTGTTGACCATTTGAATGTTGCATATTTAGAAACCAAAACATGAAAAACATCACTCTAGGTTGCAAAATTACCCTTCACATGGTCCTGTTCTTCCTTTTGATTCATATCTAGAGGTTTTCCAAGTATAGGAATTCACACTAAACTTTTCAGGGTGGAATTTGTGTTGATTTGACAAAAATGGACAAAATAATTGATCTGAACCCAGAGGACTTTGACGTCACTGTAGAGCCAGGTGTTAAACGAGATGATTTGAATCACTACGTCAAGGATGCTGGCCTTTGGTTTCCTGTAGGTAGGCATACCCTATGATTTGCACATGATTTTTCTCCAGAAGAAATCTTTGTGGAATTTTTATTGCTTTTTTACATGTTGGAGAATATCGAATGTAGAACAATTGGTATTACATTTGTGTAAGTTGCATAAAGCCTGTCATTGTTTTTACTTCAATTTTCAGTCATAATGCCTCTGCATATTGATTTGATGAAGATGCAAATTAGCTTTTTGTTTCAATAAGATTTTTGGATATCTGGTTCTGTCAGTATTTGAAGACAACTTTCCCTATTGAAAAAGCATAGGTTTTTGTAACTATGTTTGGCTGATGACTGACTATTGTGATGATAAGCTGGTCTTCGTCTGTTTTCATAATATTTGGGGGTGCTCATTGGAGAGGGGGGTCTTAAGAGAGAATATGGTAAGTGCTGTCCTAAGCACCAACCTGTAAGGCCTTTTGTGATGCACCATGTGGTTGGTAACACTGGCAGCTGCATTTTTGGCCTTTGGGTGGCACAGTTCCTTTCTCGATCAAACTTTTAGTTACAAAGAGTCATTTCCTTGGCTATGGTTAGTTGCATTCATATGATAACATAGGATGCCATTGAATTTGTTTTAACAAGAAGTTAAACCATCTCAGTTGACAAAATCCAAGTCTTTTTCAACTTAGCCTAAGTTAAGGAATACATCTTAGTAAGCCTCAGAAAAAAGTCACAACTTACAGAAAATAGTCTCAGGCTTTTAAATGACCTTACTCATATTAATTGGTTTGCTATGAGTATTTCTGTCTACATATAGTGTACTTTGCAATATAAGTTTGGAAAAACAGAATTAATTTGTTTTTAAAAATTTTCTGTTGACTTAATAGTAAGTGAAGAATTGGTAAGAAGTAAGCAAAATCTTTTTGGGCCAACTTTAATTAAGTCATCTTTTTAATCTGGTTTTTTAATGCTAATTACTAATGAAACCTTTTTTGAATTATTTTTAAATATTTTTTGAAGTAGCTTCAAGCTTCAACCACAGTTATTTGTTTTTTTTATAGATCCTGGGGCAGAATGCTCCTTATGTGGCATGGTTGCTACAAGTGCCTCAGGAACAAATGCTGTCAGGTAGGTAACATTTATATGTATTGTCACCTCAGACCAAATAAGATGGCCCACATTTAAACCAAAAATGCAGATTGCAGAGTGTTGTCAATTATATTTAAAGGGCTTCAGACTCCCTTTTTGTGGAGAACAGGTGTTCATCTTTTCATCATACTTACATACTAACATACTTACTAAATCGTATTCCTGAAAAATATTTTTATACTGGATATGCCTTTAACTGTGTTACTTTTGTCTCTCTATCTATCAAATACTGTCTTTCCATGACTGAATTGTTTTTCGAGTCCTATTAAATATTTTTAATAATGAGTCATGAAGCATTAATGTATGAATGAGCATGTCAAAAGTAGAATTTTCATAAAAGCAAAAAAAGTATTTATGGGCTCTTTCTATGAGAGCTTGAGAATGTGAGTTTTAATTCTTTAATCACCTGACATATTCAAAAAGATAAGATCCTTAACATAGTAAGAACTCCACTCAGAGATTAACTAAAATTAATGCTTAATTCGATGGCTTCTTTAATAGGGCTCAACCAGAACTGTCACCGTTACTTTTTTATTCAAGACTGCAAATGGGTTTACCCCTCACGCAAATCCACAATGTTGATACTGAACGTAAATTGGCAATACCAGATATCTTAAAAGCTGCAAAAGACGGCAATCTTTTTTAAGTTCTTCAATAACATCTTTTGTAGTTCAATAACGTAGTTTTTATCGTTTTTTTTCTCAGATACTTGGATTTTGGGTAGCGTTGTACCAAAATTTTCGGGACGACAGAAACTAACCTGTGTATTTGTCTCACCTCAGTTTCTAATGCAAACGCTTTGTTTGTTCTTATCTAAATTAACTTTCTTTCCCCATTTACCTCCATTTACCACTTCCATTCGCAAACTGAGCAAAATTAAACAAATATCACTACTATCACAAAGATCAAGTTTACCCATATATGAAGCAATTCAATCCCATTTAATAGATAATGTATATAATCGTGCACTTAACATACATCCCTGTCTTATCCCTGTCTTGCACCTAACCTTTTATTAGTTATCCCCTGTACATTTGAAACAATGTACACATGCATTTGAATTTATCGCTCCTCAGCTCTTTAGGCAAGTAACTGTGTCAGATGCTTTCTGACTATCGGTTTTCGTGTTGTTTGACGCTTACATAAGAATAACAATATACTTTCATAATACTGACGAATTACTTGGCGACAAGTGTTTATAGTTTGCAGACCTTAGATCTTTTACCACGAAATTCACCTTATGGGCATCTCAGGTAGGGATGTATCCTGTCATCTTAGGGCCATTATCTTCCCTGTAAAAGAAACCTGTGGTCTTTGAGTATATTGGTTTGCCATCCTTTGCCCCTTGTACTCTTTTCAATTTTTACCATGTCCCATTTATATACCCTGAAAAATCCACCGAGACACCATCGAGCCAAAATGTTCTAAATTGTCACTCAATGTGCTCATATTTTTTTCTCACTCAGTGTGATTATGATTATTATTCCGTTACAGTGATTTGACGGTAGCAAATTTTTTACAAGCAAAGATCGCAGAAATGGATTTTTAAAACCAATAAAATGCAAGTGGTAGTTTTCCCATAGAACACCTGACAATCTCTCACGGCAAGCTAGTGTGCCGCAACATCATCACCATCATCATCAAGTGTCACCCTGACAAGAGTCGGCGACCACGAGCTTCCATCTTTCTCTATCTCTAGATCTCCTTATAGTTTCATTTTCTCTATTTTTCCCTACCAAATTTCTAGGCTGTCCAGTTTCTTCTCTCATTGTATTTTTCTATTCACTTCCCTAACGATGGCTTCTAGTCCTTCCTTTCTCGTGTAGTGTCCAATAAATGTGCTGTCCCCTTCTTATTGTTCTTACAAGAGATCTGGTGGTTTCTGCGCGTTGAAGCACTTCTTCGTTTGTTTCATGTGCTGTGTTTGGTATTTTGAAAGTCTGGCGCAGTCATTTGTTGAAAATAACTGCCCTAACAACATTTAATTCCTCCTTTGATTTGTTCGGGAGATGAATAATGGCTGTCTTCCAGACCATGCACTAGCCCCCGTTTTGTGGTCATTGCACATGCGCGTTGTCTTTTGAAGCCCTGGCGGGAAGTTCAAGAGTTGTGCCGTCACAGACAAAACAGCTGTGCGAAAACCGCATTTGCCATGACCCTGCGACGCTGAATGGTTAGAACGGTATTGTTTCGAAACGAAGGACTAAAGGTTTCGTCTTCCGAACAAGATATCTTATTAGAAAGTTTAATGGCTACAGAATTTTAAGGTAGAAACCACGGAGAAGGCTGGTAATTAGCCAACTTGACGGCTTTCCATGAGAAAAATTACAGAAGTCAAGCAACTTCTATGGAAAGCGATCGGTTAATTATCGTTCATGTCCCTTCATTCGTGCCTCTGTGAAGCTAGAAATTTATACTTTTAATATTTGTCATTGGTTTGAAGACCGTTCATCGGGCTGATGTTGTTTTCAAAATCCTAAGTCTAAATTATACTGCTGTTTTTTTCTGAAGTTTCTTTCCAGTTATCCTTAGATTGATGTTGCTTCAGCGTAAATTCTTTTTTCAGTCTTCTTGAAGTAAACTGTCTTTTTAATGACAGATATGGCACAATGCGGGAGAATGTGATGAACTTAGAAGTGGTTCTTGCTGATGGGAAAATAATCCACACTGCAGGAAAAGACCGCCGCACCAAGTAATTTTTAGCTTTTTTGGTCTGATCTTTTGGTTGCTGAATGGAAAAATCCTTGCAGTCACATGTATTAAGCGAAGCTTGGAAATTTTAGCACTTACGTTAACTAAGAACGAGGCTTAGAATTTATCTGTCTGTAAATTTTTAAAACATTCAGGGGAAAACTTGACTCAGAGAAATGAAACCTGCGGTTATTTCAAGTTCCAACAAAGAATCACCGATTATCGCGACAGGCTAAGCCATGGTGGAGTTGGTCAAGTGAAAACGGGATTTCAGAATTTCTGTCACCGTATTTTCTCTAAAAAGCGCTCATCCTCGAAAAGTGCCCCTACCCTTCGAATAACCGCCCCCTTAATGCCATCGAAAATCTTGAAAGTGTCTAATTCTTGTTCTACAACTTTGGCAAGTTCTCATAGTGAGGTGAAGGCAGTAAGGTATTGAGGCAGTAGGGTAAGGTATCACCTCTAGGTTAGCATTGGGATGAGTATTATTTTCAAATCTGCGGCTTTCTCTTTGGCTACGTCTCTAACTTTGTATAAAGTAATTTTGTCTAAGATGCATTTAGCCTTGAATACTTGACTTGAATGCCATTCTAGGGAGATTCCCCTTCAATACCTGACTTGAATGCCAATCTTGTAAACAGCGAAAGTTTTCATAATTTTCAATGATTCCTATTGTTAAATATCTTACTTTAACTACAGAAAGACTGCTGCTGGATACAATTTAACAAATTTGTTTGTTGGATCTGAGGGAACACTGGGTTTGATAACGAAAGCTACGCTGAGACTGTACCCAATACCCGAAACAGTAAGGCTTTTCTCATACTTATTAGTCATACCATAAGGATGTTCCCATCCCTTCTCATAACTTATTGAAAGTAACGACTCAATAATGAGACCCAGTGAATGTAAAAGTTATTATTGTTTTAGCTTGACTGCGACTCGTTTGATAGGCAAGTGATCATTGAAATTGTCGATTTTTGTCTTGTTATACGATCAAAAATGAAGAGTCCAAAACAAAGAGATTTGAATATTCGTACGGACGACAGTAGATTCGCAAAATTTCCTTCAAAGGTTTACCTTGTAATGTGAAGCTATTTTTATATCTTGATAAAGGAGTGAAATCTTAAAGCTCTCAATCATAAAACAAACCCATGATATCTTATGAATTTACGCCGTATATTTTATTGAACTTGCTGTTTACCATTCTGTTATATAATGAAAGAAGCCGTATAATCATAGTCGTACGCGCTTTGGTGTACATATTATTGCATCAAGGAACAGTTACGTGATGATAGCATTAAATGGGAGACTGAATTGCAACTTCGAACCGCCTTATTCTACACCTCATGATTGTCTATCAGTGATACTTTCTGTGCTATATTGCATATACATTTTATGGCTGCTAAACAAATATAAACTTTAACTCTAGAATGCTAAAACAATTTTCCGTTAGATCGTTGCAGCTGTTTGCAGTTTTCCAACAATTAAAGATGCGGTGGACTCTGTTGTTATGATTCTTCAATGTGGGATACCAATTGCTCGCATCGGTAAGCAGGATTCTATCTTCTTGTAAGTCATGTTGACACCAGCTTTGCTTAAGTAAGCTCGTTGTATGTAGTAACTTCCCTATCCCATTACCTTGGCGGTTTATTATCGGCAGTGGCCTTTCTGAAGAGATGCGGAAGTGTAATCTCGCTTTCTAAAGTTAGATGGTAAAATGGGGACAATTTTTATTCTTATCTTTTTATTAGTCGGTAGATTTTTGAAGGCCAATTTTTAATTCGTCTTTCAGAGCTAATGGACGATCTTGCTATGGAGATGTGCAATAAGTACTCTGGGACAGATTATACGGTTGCCCCTTCTCTGTTTCTTGAGTTCCATGGCAGCGACAAAAGTGTCGAAGATCAGCTTGAAAAAACAAGTAGGTTGATCAATTTGCTATAGCTCATCAACTTAAGATTGTAAACTGTTGTTGCAGGACCTATGAAATGAGTTATAGAGAAGATTTCCTCCATGAAAAGGTTACAAGGCGTATGGTTTGGCCAAGTTCTGGACTTTTTTTATTGTCATAAAAAAGAATAACTGGAAATAATCACTACGACTTTTCCAATTTCATTTTACACTTATTAAAAAAAGTTTATTCCTTTTTAGATGAAATTGTGAACATGAACGAAGGATCAAACTTCTTTTGGGCAAAAGAGATGGAAGAAAGGAACCGTTTGTGGAAAGCAAGACACAGCATGTACTACGCCGCACTTGCATTTAAACCGGGCTGCAAAGTAAGTTATATGCTTAAAGCAATGTTATCATTTGTTCTAGATTTTAGAGTCGTTTTACCTATTTTGGATATTCTCCTAATAATGTTGAAATAAATGTTTTCTGCTTGGTTCCAGAAGTCTAATTGATCGAAGTCGAGGTCGACCCAATCTGCAAGATCTGTAAATAAGCAGAGCTAGATGGTAATTTATCACAAGTGATTATTTTCGCAGGTTCAGCGAAAGCTAGCTCAGCCCCCGGGGTAAAACCTGAGATATTATGCATGTATTTTTAAATCAAGGAAGTTTTCACGGATCCCTTTTGGACCGCGAAGCTAGTGTCATCCGAGCTCTTTTAGGCTGATCTAAAAGCAAGGATTCTATCGATGGGGGATCCACATCAAAGGCATATTACTTTACATTACAGATTCTAAAACGCTTAAAAATCTTTTCGAGATAGTGTTTTCCTTTTTACCTTTATGTGATATTTCTTTGTAGGTTGTCACTTTATAACACCACCCAGCGTATCGTATTTTTTGTATTTCCAAGGTATCAAATAGATTTTTTTTCTAGGGAATAGTAACTGATGTTTGTGTTCCGATTTCCAACCTTCCTGAGCTAGTTACGGCGGCAAAAGAAGACGCGGTATCATCAAATTTAGTCAGTAAGTCTCATTCTTCAGCTAGAACATGAATTCCGTCTGTTATACAAAACTGTCAGAACAGAACTGTGAGACGAACCTTTACTGGCTTAGCATACATTCATGAGGAACGGAGCGAGTGAGCTGGTTTAGTTATTTTCCCTATGAGCAGGAAATTTATCAATTTTAGAAGTACTGTAAATTTGTAAACGTACAAAAACAGTTTTATGTAAACAAAAAGATCAACAGTCCAGTAGATATGCTTTTTTATGCATCAAAACCTTGTTAAGAGTTGATAGTTTGTTCCCACTTCAATTAACTTCGATAGCATTGAGATTTTCCTTCTTCGTCATCATCACAATTTCCCAGCTCAACATCCTCTTTGTAGTCAACAAACCGATTTACTTCAGGCTCGGACAGCATTTTATGTGAAGTCCAACTTTTTGCCTTTCCTGTATAAGTTTAATATTGGCCTTTAACAATTTTTCTCTCATTTGATCTTATCTGTTTGCTTGGGGTGCCAAAGTCTAACGAAGGGGGGCTCTGTAAGGCGTCCATTCAACAGAGGGCACTCATAACAGCATTTCTGTTGTCAAAGGACATTTGTTTGCTTTGATAATTGAAAATTAGGAACCTTACACAGCTTTTATAACCTTATTGCTGTATTTGTTTTTTCCTGCTTTTTGTGGGAAATTTGGCAATAAAGAGTTAAAAGATGAGCAGCTCAGCGAAGTTGTTGTTGTTGCTAATAGAATATGTTGTTGCTGTTGGTATTAGAAAAATTGCGTGATTTAAACATCCATATTCCTTTTTCTGACTCTTTCTTAGCGCATATCCATGCTTACACAAAATACTCTAATTCTTTTATGATACGCAAATTTTTTTGCAGCTGGTATGAAACCATGCCACTCACTTTTGTTTGAATAGCGAATTGATTGAATTTTTTCCCATTTAAAGATTGAAGAAATTAACATACGAATCGCCATGCTCATTTTGGCATGGCGTAAGTTATCAGTTTTTACATTCAAACACGATGAAACTGCATAGCTTCTTTTCTTCTCTATAGCACCAGTTCTGGGCCATGTTGGGGATGGCAATTTTCATTGCTTTGTGATCGTCGATCCTAAAGACCCAGACGAAATTTCAGCAGCCAAGCATTTCCACGAGAGACTAGCCAGGTATTGTTGATAGCATCAACAAACGGAATACTAAGGACGATACCATAGAATTACAGTCCTTGCGAAAAAGTTTAGAATACCCACACTAAGTCTTAACTTTTTTCAAAAGTTGTTTTTAGATTAAACGTAGGGGATTAGGATTTTCTCTGAAAATTTTCTTTATGGAAGTAGAAATAAGTGGAGGGATTGAATTCTGGAATAAGAATTCAGGGAAATCTCAACAAATGTTCACAAGAGGATTAAAACCGAAGACGTGAAAATTTTTCCTCTTATCGTTAACTGTGGACAGAGGAGCTACACAAATTGTAAATTATCTAGTCGGCCTTTTTATGTAGCTGTTGGGAGACTCACATATTTGATTACAGATTGAATACTTTCGTCTCTTCTAGGCATGCGCTGTCTCTGAACGGAACCTGCACAGGGGAACACGGAATAGGAATCGGCAAAATGAAGTTACTGCAGGAGGAGCTTGGACACGACACATTCAACGTAATGAAACAGATTAAAAAAGCTTTGGATCCGAAAAACATTCTTAATCCTGGGAAAGTGCTTGATTTTTATTATTGAGTTTTATTCAATAGCTGCTTTTGTAAATAAAGAATTAAAATATGCTTGATAGAAGCTGTCCGCGAAACTAAATTTTATTCAATCAATTGACTCATTTCATCACATACACGAGTAAAGGTTTTATTGGATTTCTTTTTTGTACGCATCACAGATTTAGCATGTCTGTGTCAGAGGTGGAAATTACGGGGGTAGCTTTTGCTAAATGATCTGTTTAGACACAGTTTTTAGGGCTTTTGTCGGCAAATTTTTTCATTTGTCAACAAATTTGCTTGTTTTTGGAGGTTTTGCCCTCCCTACAATGAATTTCCGCCTCTGGTCTGTGAAGATAACTTATACCAATGACGTCACCACACGTGTAAAGAAAAAGCCAAACAAACAAAAATAAGTTGTCAATTTGTTCCTTGGCTATTTTCTATCATGATTGTTATAATTATGCACAATATTTGTTACAGAATCGTCTTAAGTTGATTATTTATTTTGTACTCTCTTCCTGCCATGTCAAATACAACAAAGTATGCTATTTATAATAAATATCAACCAAATACTTGACCAAATTTAAGTACAGATGACACAATCACCCTTAGTTTTGTTTGCCTTTATTTGTCCACCTGGGCTCTTTTTATCAAAGTTCTCAGTATGTTGATGTAAGTCTTGCAGTTTGTTTGCACCCGTCCTTTTAAAATTTTCAATCTGTCCATATTGATTGCTAAAGCTTCGTTTTTTCGAGAGTATCTTTAGAAGCAGAATTCAAGTAGGATTTATTCCACGTATCAGAATGACGTCATCTAGGTAAATCTTGAATCACATGACCTCATTTCATTCCTTGTTCATCTTTCCAGCAAGCAGGGCATCAGTTGATGGAACAGGGTGTTTGGCAACTATAAACAAGGTTCTTTGGCCAATTTCGACAAATCCAGTAAAGCAGCAAAATTTCAAAGTTTTCCTACAAAATTGATGCTTGAGGGGAGACTACAGGCCCCCTTTTCTCAGCTTCTGTGCACCTGCCAGCAGATTATCGTAACGATAATCTGCGGTCATTTTAGTGCTTTTTTTGTCCATTCATTTTTGTATTAAAAGGAATATTGAACAATAAACAAAAAAATATGACTAAAAATTTTAGATTGACAAAAATTTTAAGTTGGACGCCAATATTGATAAAAACTGTAAAAAACAGCCAAATATCTAAATTCCTTAAAACTCAGAGCAAAACGTATTGAGGACAAATGAGAAAATAGCTAACAATTATTTTATTCTATGTCATTTTAATGCCCTGGTGCCAGAGTCCCCATTATTTAGACCCCGTGCACACGAGAGCGGATCCGTTTGGGTCCGCCCCAAACTGGTACGGACAAGTCCTCCGTGCACACAAAAACTCTTCTATCCGATCTAATCTGGGTCTGCTATCCGTACCAGACTGATACGGATACAAAAAGCGTGCTCGTTTGGGTCCAATCCACTTGGCTCACGTTTGAACACCTGCATCGGGCCCAAACTGGTACGGATAGAAAACGAGGCTATTTTCTGGGAAAATCTTCCGAATTTTCTTCATGTAGATAGGCCTTAATAAATCGTTCTGTAATGTTCTCATATTTTGATCGAACTGTCTCCCAGTCCAGCGCATCAGCGAGCTTTTTGCTTTTATAATCGAGAACAATTCTCAACAACAACGCTGTTTCGTCGTCTGTCCAAATAGAATTCTCGTTTTGCTGCCTGTGGTTTCAGTTTGTTGCGAAGCCATGACCTTGTGAAAACTTTTTCTGCAATGAATAAACAAATGGCGCAAAAAATTTGCGTTCTTTGTGTAAATGCTGTTTTGTGCGCATGTCCTCCTTGAACGTGGATCCACTTGTATCAGATCTCATGTGCACGCAAAATATTTTGGGCCCGTTCCCGTCCCGTGTGTACGCAAACAATACTCTGGATCAGATCCAGTTTGGGAACGGACCCAAACGGATCCGCTCTCGTGTGCACGGGGTCAGAAATATAGTTCGAAACTAGCCACAGAAACATTTTTAAAGGATTTGCCACCGCGGACGTCTACAATATTTTATCCCCGGTAACCAGGGTATCATTTTAACAACTGCCCATTGATACTGATGCTATGTAACAAAGGAAGTCAGAAAAAATGGGAATTATACGCTTAATTCGAGTTAATATCCGCGGGGAAAGTGCACAGATTCCCCTTTTCTAGAATCGGGTGGTCCCACACGTATACCCTTAGTAGGCTGTCAATATCATCAAATTACGTCAGCTATTCGCAATTACCTTGTGGTGTTTTCTACGAGACCTTGCCCTAGCTAGCATTTTTGGTTTATCACAGTTATGCAGCACGAGTCACGCTATGTTGTATGCGGTTTTCCCCTCCCATCCCTGTCCCCTTGTAATCGCTTCTCCTTCTGCCTTATCCCGCTACATACTTCCTCCTGCTTTCTCTTGCCTTGCTTTATCTCGCACAAACATTCGATTGTGTGACAGGTGCAGTCTGATTGGCGGGGTAAAAAACTAAGGCAGCTTTTCCCTGGAACCAAACACTGACCATAAAATTGCGTCATTGCTCAGGCAAGACAAGGGCTGATGCACCAAAAGCCCAAAATTTTTTGCCTGCGATTAGGGATTTGTTTAGCATAACTAAGGGGTCCCCGCGTAGGAATTAAATCTGATTAAAACTTATTTGCATAAAAACGATGCGCCTGTTTTTTGCAGCCGTCCCATGCAAGTGTGGTCGGAGGTCGTCCTACGTCCTAAGGCCATCCATTTTCAAACATGGGGAGTTCCAAACAAATATTGAGCCCTATGAAAACGGGCAGTTGCTTTTTTTCAATTCTCGCATACTCTGTTGTTCTGGACGTTTGAAGCATTCGTTTTAGCGCTGTTGCTTGTTTTTTTCGGATTTCATTCCTCCTTTCACTATTTATTTGCCTAATTTTCAGGTTCTAGAGCTTGTCACGTGCTAAAACCCCAGGAGTAGCAGGAACAATTTCAAAATTTCCGGGAAAAGTTTCCAGCCTCTTTACCAAGTTGTTAATGCGAGGCAACATTTTATTTGTGACTGCAAGTGGGATGCTTGACAAGAAGTTTTTTTGCCACAGAATCAATTTCAAGTTGTTTGTCGAAGTTTTGACAGGTATGGTAAGCAGAAGGAGTGGGTTCAAAAGACTTTATTGGTGAGAAATTAACTCAAGTGTGGGAATTTGATGTTGCTTTCTTGATACATTGCACCACTTCGACGAATTAATAATGGTGTCAGCGTTGAGAACAACATGCCATTCAAAACTCAAACCACTTTTATGAAGCCATTAAGCGTTATTCCATGATTAAAACTCAATCAAACAAAACTTAAAACCATTGGCAACATTTCCAATTTAAATTTTGAGAAAAATATCTTTTTATAATATCAAAAAAGTAAACTTTTGTTTGGACAGTCTCGAAGCTTTGAAACCCTTGTAAAACTTGTTATATTCAATTAAAAACTTTTGCAGCAGGTTACTTTTGAACGCCACATGATAAATTTGAATAAACTTTGGCAAGATCACATTTAGATGTTTGTGATCCTAGAAGATCATTATTGGCCTTGAAGTTAGCGAAAAGTGACACTTTTACAGCCGTTTTTTAATGAAAGTTTTCTGGACACTGACGGGTCACTCTTTACGACTGTTTCACAGAAGTTTTAGTATTTTCATTCAACCAGGAGATGAAAAGCTGTTTGGAACATATTACTGTAATATTTTTTCCCTAAACAACATCGCAATTGGCTGGAAGAGATGGAGTTAAAGGCTACTGACTTGTTTTATTGATTTATTGATTGATTGATTGCAACATGTTACAAAATGGTATCCAAAATTAGGCCTTTTGCAGTGCGAAAAACATGCGACCAAAACTTTAGAGAAATACTTTCATAAGAGTCATAAAAAAAATTTTTGGGCAACCAAGCAGAAAGTAAGTATCTCTAAGTTCGACTTAATGAAATCTTACATGTTTGTGAAAAGAGAAACCGTTTTTGTTGCAAATATATTACAGGTACTCTTATCGCCATAGCTCAGTTTTCATGTTTTTGCAGTGTTGGCTTGAAAATAAGAAGAATCAAAGGCTATATTTGCATTTTTCAATTGCATTTCTCTACCTTGGTAAATTTTCCATTATTTCCCACCTTAAAGGTCATCTTAAAACGTTAATTTAACTTGCTTTTGCTATTTGAATTTTGGTTTGCTATAAAAAGTTTGTAGAGGTGCAGCCATTTTGTAGGGGGTTGGTGCAATACTTTTTCTCACCTACTTTATACCTACTTTTAAGCAAACAATAGGCCTGTAATCAACTGTTGAATTAGCTCTCAACTTTTTGTCACTTTGCTCTTGATTTAATGCCCTCTTAAACAAAATCTTAACAGTTAATTTGAATGCAAAGTTAAACTTCACTCTGACAATTCTGGAGGAATTTTGAGTATGCAGTTTTAAGACTTATTTACACAACAACTTTTAAACTGGGTTGAACTTGGGTTAGCATTAATCTGGGTTAGAAATTTTGTGGTGTAAACGCAGCTGACCTGGGCTGAACCTAGGTTAATCCAACCCTACTCTGGAGGTGGGTTGAACCTAGGTTTACCCCAGGCTAAAGTCTTTGAAATTTAATGTATGCACAAACTTGGGTTCACGCCAGGTTAAAGATCTGATATACTCCCATGCACTTTTTGAGCTATTCATTAAAGGAGGCTAACAAACAAAGCCATTGTCAAACAGAAGTTTGAATAAGCAAGAAATTTTGAAAATATGTGAAGCTAAGACAGAGAGAGGTCACTGTGGATTTGTATTTGTATTTGTTGCTACCTAGCATCCGGAGGTAATTTTTAAGGAAACTGAGAAGCTATGCTTATAGAGCAGTGTCCTGGACCTTCCTTTCGATTTGACCACACCTCGTGATTCCTACGCTTGGAATTACGAAGAGCTGGCAACTCTCCCCACTCTGGGTGAAAGTCTGTTCATGCCAGGGACTCGAACCAATGACCCTTGGGTCTGTAGTCAGCGCCTCTAACAACTGAGCCATCCTAGCACCTAAGTCATGAAATTATTGTGGAGCGATGAAAAAGTCATGACATTATTGAAATATGGGTGGAAGAAGGGATCTAGCAACAGCCAGATTCTTGTACAAGAAAACAGCCTCAAAAAGATTGCGAGAAGACTGCAAGGAAAGATCAATACATTTGTACCACAGTGAATTCACTCCCCACCTCCAATTCTCATCATTTTCGCCTGCCATTTTGAAAGATGCCAATGAAAATGATTCACAATGAAGCATATGTGTGGTGAAACTAACAGGGGTCAACCCAACTAACATGGGGTACACTATACCTTCTGTTCAACCCAGGTTGATGTTTACCCAGGTTAAAAGTTGTAGTGTAAACAGGGCTTTACTTTTTTCCAGTGGAATTGATATTTTGAGGAAACTGCTTGTTTAATATGACAACATGAAACACCACAACCTTTGCAGTTTCAAACTGACTGTCATGGGGTACATTTAAAGTCTCCTGTAAGGTAGCTAAAAGCAAAAACACAAGTATTTTCTTTTTTAATTTCACCATTTGGAGACTTGCTGACCCAAAGTTTATATAATCATTACAGCCAGCATGTTATTGATTCAGTCTGTGATAATGATTCTGATTTTAAAGCAAAAATTAACAACTGGGAACTCACGTTGTGCTTGTATTGGTGTATGAAGAAGAAGCATTAATTTCAAATCAATCAACTTTTAGACAATGCTTACTGCCAAAGGTTTCAAATGCATAGTTTACTAGATCATTTTCACCAATGTGATTTTGCTCTTTCTTGCTAATGGCTTCACTGTTGGATTTTTCATACCTATTCATTTTAAGTCATTCATTTTAAATTTTAATCATCAAATGTGAATTCAAAAATGTCTAAAAAGTCAGTTTCCCCAGGTATATGAAAATAAACATGACTTTGCTTCTATAAATATTGTGCTCTAGCACCCTGGGATGTTTTCAGCTTAGGTTGTTTTTAACCTTGTTTGTTAAATTATTCTGATGTTTTATACCACTTTTCGTAACTAAACCCAGCAGCTCTCAACCTTTCTGGAACAAATTTTCCCCTTAAACGCTTGATTGAAAGCAGTGATTGACTTCCGCCACTCCTCCCAGCCAAACCCAAGCTTTTAATTTTCAAGATTATAAATTAAAATAACACAACATTGTTATTTCCAATTTCCAGCCTGAGCTTCTTGCTAGGGTTGTTTCATGCTTGTCACTATTTGATCAAAATTTGCTTGTGTGATTTTACATGCCTATTCAACCCATTACAATAATCCCTCCAAATAAAGAGACCATTAAATTTTTGTAAAGGCTTGCTTAACAATGTACAAAATGCTTTATGATATGATTGATTCTAAGTTTTTGTAGCCCCCCTGGAAGACATCACCTCCCACAGGGACACCAGAGCAAAGATCTATTGCTTTTTTGGAAACTGAACAAATGTTCTCACGAGAAATTGCCTGTAATGATTGCTTTTTCAAAGTTTGAAGTTGCATTTTGTTGTATTTCCAGGTTACAATATTTCCATTCAAAATAAAAGCAAAGAAACTCCTTCAAACAAGAAGTGAAAATCCTTGAGAATGAAAAGACAGTCTTTTTTCCATCAGCTCTTGGCATTGTAACATAAAAACTATGGTTCTTTCGCCTACTTTCGTCCTTTAAACAATCAAATCAGAACTGAGACCTGAAAACCATTGAAAAAATGTATCTTCCTATATTTTAAAAAAAAGGAATACAATTTCCTGTTAGGTTGCTAAGGAAAATTAGAATGGTTACCATGACCTTGGCGTGGAATCGTGATTTCCTTTGGAATTCATTATATATTGTTGAGATATTGTATTATAGCTTTTCATTGCATGGCCATTCGCCTCCTTTGCACCCTCTTAGGAAGAGCACTTTCACAAAAACAGCCGTTTTGCCCTTTCTTTGCATCGGCATGAATGATGGCCACTTGAAACGGCATGATGGGGCGCCCACCTCTGTGGCGTCCTTGACCACCCCTCTAGATCTAAAATTCCCTTGTTGCACTACCGCCTATCTAACCTGTCGAATCACTTCAAGATGACATGTCAGCTTTTGGCCTTCTTTTTGCCCAAACGTACAGTGCAAAAGGAACATCTTTAGAAAAAGCCATCATCTTTTAAACTTCGGACCTTTTGTGACCTTATATCCTTTAAGACTTGGCAAACTATTTACGCATTTAGCATAGTCATTTTTGGTCCTGATTTTAGCTTATTGTCATTTAGTTCCTTTCCATGCTGTTACTCCCGTCTTTCTATTCCTATCTGTCGAATTCTATCCTCTTTCTACGTTTCTAGTTCTATTTTCTTTTTCTATCTTCATTCGATAACGGGCTAAGCCAGGCACTGCGCACCATTCTAAAAGTGGGTGGGCTGAAAAGGGCGTGACCGTGAATTTTTGAGGCCACCCTCTTAAGAACATTGGAAAACGCCTTTTTTAGAAAATGCTTGCTTCTCTCCACTTATTTATTATAAACGATCCGATTCAGAGAAGATATCAATTACTATAAAAATAGATTTAACAAGATAAGACACCAAGAAAATGAACAAAAAGGGGTTGCCAACCAAGACAAACTGCAACTACTAAGGATCCATTAGATTAAACTTTCCAAAGTTGCGTTAGAGAAAACTTTCTAAAAATTGTCTAGCCTTTAATTGCAAAAAAATGGGGGGGGTGTTGGGGCTATAGTCCCTGCTAGCCCAATGGCTGCACGGTGCCTGGGCAGAGCACGAAGCGTTGTTAATATAATTAGTTCGTTCTTTCCTCGTACAATTATATTTTAAATTTAAAGCTAGTTGTGGGTTTCAATTTAGTAATTATGTGCTTTGGTCTTCCTATTTATTTATCTTTATTTTCTTTACACAATGATATATTTGTGTAATGATAAATCTGTTATGATATGTTTTACAGGTGGTATCATTCCCAGGAGGATTCAGCAAATTGAACAAGGGAAAACCCTAATATGGATTTGAAATAAAATGAAAATAAATCATTGACTATTTGGCTAGTGGATTTTTGCTATCAACCATGATGTCGTCAACGACTGAACACAATTTGTGCGGAACTAGTGATGACGTAATAAATAAAGCTTTAGTTTCCATTCCTCCACAACGTGATTGCTGTGAGGGTGGTCAGCGTTTGAACGATTTAGATTGCAAAGAATCCAGTTACAACTTTGCAGATACCTCGAGACTGAAAAAGCCTCAATCATTGCACGATGTTTATGCCAAAAAGCATGAGATTGCTCGTGGTAATAGAACGATGTTAGATGGCGCCCACGTTTCATATACACAATGTTCGGCTATAAAGGAGGAAGAATCTTTGACAACCACAAGCTCTTGCAACAAGGTGGATGATGGTCGGCTTGATACTGATAGCAAGAGTCCTGGGGAGGAAACTGCTTCACCTAATGCAGTCTATAGTATGTGTGTGAAATGTGGCAAGTTCTTTTTGCCCTGTGATCTTGTCGAAAGTGACGCTAGCACTTTGTGCAAGCGATGTTCGTTTTTGGAGCCAGATACGTCTGACGGTATATACCTTGATAGTAGGAGAGCAAGTTCGTCGAACGAACGTTTATCTAATGATGTAGAGAATAATCTTAACGTTCAAAGTGGTAATCCAGAGGACACAGACGACGGTTCAAAAGAACACAGCTGCGATATCTGTGGTAAATCATTTACTAGGATTTATGGTTTGAAAATTCACGCAAGGATTCATAGCGGAGAACGACCATTTTCGTGTGGCATTTGCAGGCATTCGTTTTATACGATCGGGCGTCTTAATGCCCATCAACGTGTCCATACGAAGGAAAAGCCTTATAAATGCTCACAATGTGACGATAGATTCAGTTCGTCCAGTTCACGAGCTCGACATTTTAGGATTCACACAGGAGAAAAGCCGTTCAGTTGTGAATTTTGCGATAAAACTTTTCATTGTTCAACAAACTATGCGAAACACTGGCGCTCACATACGGGCGTAAAACCCTATAAGTGTGAAGTGTGTGGTCAGTCTTTTAGAGACAACAGTGGCCTCACAGTGCACAAGAGGCTACATTCAGGGGCAAAACCGTATGCATGCGAAACATGTGGAAAGTCCTTTCGTACTTCAGCGCATTTGATTAAACATCGCAGAGTTCATAGTGGAGAAAAGCCCTATAGTTGTGAATTCTGTGAAAGAACATTCAGTGATTCAAGCTCGAGAAACAGGCATAGGAAGCTCCACGACTAAAAGTAAATATAAAGAGGCTTTACTGGTGGTTCACTTATCAATATTTTGCATTTGGCACAAAAATGCGGCTAAAGCCCCCAAGCCCCCCTGCTCCGCGGTGCCTGTAATGGATATCATCTAGCACCAAGCTGATATAAAATGTTTCTTTTATCTTCTTAGTACGTATATGATTTTGATATTTACCGACAGGGGTGTAGTGGGAGTAGATAGAGTCAAATCACTTCCACAGAATGACTTTTACTGACAGGAGGTCGGTGCTAAAGATTCCTACAAAGTCTGACGAAGTAGCAATTTTTCCGAAGTTGCTCGAGGAACGTAGTGCTTTAGGGAGCCCATAGCCTCCTGGCCCCAGCCACTGCACCCGTGTTCTTTGGCATGGCATAGATTATTAATAGCTAGGTTAATTATTCAGATTAATAGTTATTTAATTTTTAAGCTGATATTTCCCAACAAGACAACCTTTATTCTATTTGATAATGAATGTGCGGAAGTTTGCATTTTTGATAGCATTTTTTATTCAAAAAGATGCACAGTTTCCATATTTAAATATATGATTCTCTGGTCCATTTTGGAGAAAATCAAGTATATGTATTTCATTGATATAAAAATACGTCGCCTTATGTAATAACTCATTTCGGATTTCAAGTCGTAAATTATTAGCTGAGTAAAAGGGGGCAGGAAGGCCCAAATTGTTATTTAAAAAACTCAGAGAAATAAGGCTAACCATTTCAATGCATATAGGATGGGTATGTTGATGTGGTTTAAACCAGCGGTTAGTTCTTTTAATTCATTACCAATCCAGTTTGATACTGTAGTCTATTAAAATCTTCTATAGTTGAGACGACCATAACAAAAGAAGATAATATTAAGCACACCCCTTTAATGTTACTGTGCGATATCATATTATCTCGGTATCAAGGTTAATCTCTTGTTTTGTAAGAACACATTGTCTAAGAACGCCGAGGCTCGATTTGCCAAATAAAACAAACAACCCAAGAACGTGCCCAGCATAAGATGAAAAATTGGAAGAAAAAGCAAAGTTTTTTGAGAATTTTCTCTTATGTTAACAAAACAAAGCATATTTTATCACCTAGTCAACCGTAGTACTAAAGATATCATGCGAAAATGTTCTTTAGTGGTCATAAATACAATTTAAAGAATTTAGCTGTAGTTATGGAAGTGTTGAAAAAAGAATGACATTTAGAACACTCAAGCTTCAGCAAAAATTAACTTGTTCTTTTTGAAAAGGTTGCATTAGATATCAAGTTTATCAGATATTATATGGTAATTATATTTAGAAAGCATCTAATGGGGGTATATAAAGATTTAAAAGGGCTAATCTCGGCGCTCTGACATTCAACTTTACTCAAAGTAAAAGCTTAAGATTTGCTATTAATTCATGGACAAACTACGTTAAGATATCTTTTTCAATACAAGAACGTGAAGAGTAAGATGGAAATTACAAGAAAAAACCAACCAGATTTTTGAAAGTCTAAAAAAACAGAGTAGATTTGTACTGAAATTGTCATTCGAAGCTGATGTTTAATGGCCTTATAGACAGTTCATTGTGGGTACTTGTAGACAAATAAATTCAACTGAAATAAGAAGAACATAAAAAACTCGAGCCAGAAATTATCCATGAATTAAGAACATCGAACCCCGGCCGAAGTTAGCAGATTCTTATAAAATAAAAAGTATGTCAGGCCGAGTGCATTGTTGGTTTTCACGTACAGTGTTGAATCTTGGGGACCGAAAACAATAATAAAAAGTTAGCAGACCTCAGTGGATGACTTATTACGACACACTTTTCAAGTGTCATAGCATAGAATTTACTGAAACTCAGGGCCACTTTTGCGTACTAACTAGGGGGCAAGGGCGCCGTTGCCCTAGTGGTGCGGGGGCAGCACGGGAGGCAGCAAAATGCCCTTTTCAAGAAATTGATATCTTTAAATGATTCATAGTGTCCTGATATTGATTCGTGTCCATATTTTGAATGCTAATGAAATCTAGGTTTCAAGCATCTCTTGATACATACATGCAAGAGAAAAGTCAATATTTTCCATTTGACGAGAACTGAAAATCGATTTGCGAAGCAATTGTCCAAAATAAAGTTTTCGTTGATGAGTTCTCTTTAATCTTCATGATAATGCTGAAGAGATTTTAGCTTGCCACCAATGTTGGCTCGCATATGTTCGATATATCAGTCAAGGCAACAAGGCAAGTCTGTTTCTTCAAACATTGGTTGCCAAGCCTCTCCCTTCCACAGATCCACACAAGCTGTTTTTTTAATTGTTACTTTAGACAGGGAAATACTTCTGTTTATTATCATTTTGGCTTCCTTGCATCAATTTGCTTGGTTGTCATTACACATCTAAATGAGCAATTACAAATAAAACCAAAACATAGCGCTTTCAAAAGAATGCAGATTACTGTAAAAGTCGTCTGTCATTAGAATAGAGGCGGAAATCAAAATAATGCTCAGGAAATTTATTTTTACAGCATTATCTTCCAAACCAACCATCTTTTTCTACAATTACAATTACCCTTGTGTTGGTTGAGATAACTATGAAGACTTATGGACCGGGGAGGCTGGATGGTGCGCGACTTTCCAAAATAGTGGCCATTTATAGCTTGCGGAGGTGCCCTTTTCTGCCTTCTCTTGCCCCCTTTCTTTGAAATATGTGCCTCATCGTATTTCTTATGCATTATTTATGTTATCGTAATTTTGTGTAAGAAATTGATATACTGCTACAGTTAGGCTTAGGATATGAAAGTTAAAACAATCTTCTTCGCAAAGTATACCCTGGGTGCCATAGCCACAACAAAATCAGGAAAAGCGGAGGAGCATTTAGCTGAGAGGAAGGAAAAAGTGCACCTTCCTTTCAGCTAAATGCTCCTCCGCTTCTCCGCATGGTTTTTTATTTCCGTGCTCGAAATTTTGTGGCTCTGGCACCCAGGGTACGCAAAGTACAGCTCAAATCTGATTCTAAATATTTCTAATACTCTCAACAATATCTCAATATTAGATAACATTTCATCAAAAATATTTTCGAAGCAAAAATATTCATCAGGTATACTGTAGTAAGTTTCAACTACACATATATGAAGACATCACGAGCAACCTGTCTTCTGCAGTAATAGAAAACACCCTTATCTTTAAGTTATAAAGCTCTGCCTGTTTTGGTGAAATACAATTTTAAGGACAGTCACTTTGTGCGTCCTGTTTTACTAAACATCCTACATTTTGTAAGATTGTGAACCATTTTCTCTTTCCTTGTAAACATTACTTGTGCAACAACTTTGGATAAGAGCTACGAAACGAAATGAAATGCTTCAACAACATTCAGTCAAAATTAATCGTGATAAAAATACTCTTGTTCGCTTTTCCACTTTATGCCTAACACGGACGAAAAATATATGCTGACACTTTCGCCGTAGTATCCAATTATGTTACTAATTCATCCTAGTTTAATGGTCATTTGCAGGCTTCTTTAAATGTTCATTGACGACAAAGTTGTAGTTATGTACACCAAGGTAACGTTGTCCTGATGTCCTCATCCTGGAAAGGTAGAAAGTAAAACGTTTGTCCCAGCCTCAGTTAAGTTTCAAGATACTATCTACACCTTTATGCAAATTAACATCCGTATATCTGAACGTATACATTTCATAACGCAACACCTTTAAAAGAAAATTTGATTAGTAGTTTTGGAAATATCAATTATTCAAGCTATAAAGCAAGTGGAAATAAATAATTGGACCGGTATTCTGCTAAAGTAAACGTTGCTCAACAGACCCTTCGAAAGTATCCTTCTCGCAAGGAGGCTTATCCCCCTCCAGTTGCTTATCGCATTTTATCTAAGATACTCGGACATCATTAATGCTATTTATATGGCAACTTAGTTTTATCTATGACCATGACAACAAACCAAAACTCAGATTTTGGGATAGTTGGAGGGTCATGGTAGCAAACCTTCTGATAGAAGATGGTACCTGATGATGATATGGCAAAAAACAATTCTGATTTTGTACGTAACTCACCACAATTCAATAAATGAATGGTCCAGAGGCCGTGAGTTGTGGTTTAGATTCTGATACTGTTTCCTTAAAGCGCCCAGCCCTAAAGTAAAAATTGCGATAAACAATGAAACAAAAGAGATGGGTGTCGATTTGTTAAATGTAAGCAACAAATATTATGGAAACTTTTTATGGACAACATTGATAAACTAAATAAAATTGTAAACCTCACTATCGAATAAGGTAGTCTCCAACTGGCTAACCTAATGTAGTTTTTACACATAAATTAAAATATCCTTTTTATAAGCGTAAACAAGTAGCAAAATCAAATTAGGATATACCGTAAATCCTTGAATTAGCCCCCTGGGGGCTTATTTATTTTTGATATTTTTGGAAGAGGGCCTATTCGAGGGGGGGGGGGCTTATACGAGGGGGACTTATAAAATTACTGTAGACATTAAGAAGACATTATTAAAAGACCTTGTTTATTTTAGTAGGAATTTCTTTATGAGCATTTAATTAATTACTACCAAAGGTATGAATTTGCTGTGGTAATTCAATAAAACGCCATATGGGCAACCTCAGATGGCAGCAATAATCAAATGGAGGGGTCCAGTTCGAGAAATTACGGACAATTCGAGGATCTACGGTATGTGTCAGAATTGTAAATGATACATTCAGTTTTCAGGCACCGCGAAGCAGGAGGGGGCTGGGGGCTTTAGATCATAGCATTCTGCGGTGCCTGAGTTTTGATCATAGTATTTTTAAAATGTTTTCTTCAAAGGGATTGTCAGAATCAAATTCAAACCTTCTTGTGATATCGCAATTCTTAACAATCGCCCCGCGATAGAACCCCCCAAGAATAAACGCCCGGACGCTTAATCGAGTGATAATTTGAAAGCATACGTGTCACAGTTTTCATTTTGATTCGGGCATTTTCTTACTTCTTGTATTTCCTCTTCTTCAACCAATGACAGCTCGTGGATTAGCGCGGGAAACATATAGTTTACAGAAGCTGCGAAGGCGAAATTGGCATGTTAAAAAACATACTTGGCCGGAGCATTGTATGGAGAGATTCTGTATTGGGGAAAGGGACCCTTGCCTGAATAAACGTGAAACAACAAAAGTCTCCTCTAATAATAACGCTCCGTCTAACAATAATTACATTAAAAATCTAAATAAAATATCTTGAATTGAGAAATCAACTGATTTCATGACTGTATCTTTCGCTTTGATGTTTTGATAAATCTAGTGAAACGTTTGAAGGCTCCTTGCCCTTTTTGTAGATCTGCTCTGCAGTGGCGTACCGATGCCATCTTTGGAGTATTCTTTTTTGCCAGTTTGAAGATGGATTACACGGCACCTTGACCTTGCAGGCAATGGTAAGAAAGCACAAATATTTGTAAAAAAACACAAAATTGATAAATATAGAGCGTTTATTTTTATACAAAATCTTTATATTTGCTGCCAAATGAAATAAATTAGAAATTAGCTTTAGGCAAGAAAAGAAAAAAAATTTGACTTACCTCAATGTGATATTTTGAGCTTTGAAGCCGTCAGAAGCCGTCAACTCAAATCTGGTCGTTTTAATCTATGTGAAGTATGTTGCCCAGACTCTTTGTTGATGTTATCCGGCATCATTGAATGAACCGCTCTCTCCCATCCATTTATTTATCACAATCCACGCGGGAGTTGCTTGATTGGGAAGAGGAGAATAACAGCTACAGATCTTGAAGAAATTTGTAAGTTTGTTAGTTTGATGAAATATATGTTTTTGTTACCACTACCAGTATTTAACATTAATTATTTCATGATTAACTGGCCTCATCGCTTACAAAACACGTGCTCTGCAAAGCCACGAGTACTACAATGGCCTAAACATATCTTGCGGCTGTTTTTGTCTGGAAAGTACAAAACTAAAGCAGGGCGTAACCAACCATGATTTCTGGTTGAATTTTATATCGTGTTTTTGGCTTTTCGGCCATAATTTTTCTTGTTCAATGTGCTAACTTATATTGTAGAGATGTTGTGGCATGGGCACCCGGTATATATAGAACTTCATTCATGGGATCCTATCGGGGTTTTTCAGAGTCTCCTCTCTTTATGCTTTCTATTTCATTTCATTTCTTTTTATATATATTCGCAGCATTAGATTATGCAAATTGCATCAAAAGATGAAGGAAGTTTGATTGAGTTAAAATAAAGTTACAAAATAATGCGTTTAAAAAATTAAAGGTTAATTTTGCTGAAGTAATACAGAATTGACATACAGAAGTAATTCCTTAGATCTTTCAAGCTGTATGCCTTCAAAAAGTCTTTTAAAAACAGTATCAGTACGATGAAATGTGACATTAACTATGCCTTCAGCCACCCGATGAATAAAGCTCTGTAATCCCATTCTTGTTGAACGTTTCAAGCGGCGACAATGCATCTACAAACAAAGTCGCCCTGAACATCAACATGCTAGAGGCGATTTAATTTCAGAACGATGCATTTCAATGAGCTAAATCCAGTATTGTGTTACACGGACATAAAAAGAAAGCATTCTTATAAATTTCACATACGGTACAAGTGTTGTCTCGTAAATTAAACTTTCATTCATGTTTTGTAAAGGCCGATTTGGGCAAATGGTAGAGACCTAGTACAACACCTATCTCACAACAATCAACATTTTTGTTACGTGAAAGGCTAAACATTGTTAATTCATGAGTCAAAATTCAACCACGTAGTTTAATGAGCTGGTCAAAACGCATTGAATTTGTCTTAGACATGGCGGTTTCCGATACCATTGTCTGCGTCATTGATTTTTTTTGGTTTACCAGCGTCACGTATGGCAGTGAGCGTTAAGATAGTAGAAATTACTTCAAGATATGTACTCTATTCATTCCGCTGTTCGGTAAGGGAAACATTAAAAAGGTACTTTTGCATTCATTTTCATTAACCAGAAAGGTGATCAACTGCTCACTGATCTAATTAATTTGTTGATGACCTGTTGTTTCTGTTCCCAAAATAAATCAATGGCAATAATTACCAGGCAGGTACTGTAATAATCAAATCAAGCCCCTCTCTGCCCTCTCTTTGTGGAATAGCCCCCCCCTCTGCTGTAATTTTTTACATTAGAACACCAACTTTGAGATCAGGAATAAAGGAGGTTGACTTAAAATGTTGGGGGTAGGGTTGGGGGTAGGGTTGGGTGGTGTTGTGTGGGTATGTCATGGCCAAGTCTGAAATGTAATAAACAGGTAAAATAAAAGGGGAGGCTACCTTTTCCAAAATTGTATATATATAGTTGAAAGTGGTTGCAAGAAATTTTCAATTTCAGAATTTTGTTCCAACCCTCTCATTTCTTCAACAGGGGTGCTGGAAGGAGGAATGATGATCTTAAGAAATCTTGAAGGAATAATTAAGAGAGTGCCTTTATATATGACCAAAGAGCACTTATTTTAATTCTTGATCTTGTTCATGAGGGCACTTGTTTAAAGGATTGCTTCACATTGATAAAATTTTCTTCACATTGATTCTTGTACCTAAAAAAAATCTGTCTATTACCATAAAATTGTAACTATGTTAAAAATTTAATAGATTTATTTTGTTATAGAACCTTGGCTCAAAACTTTCAAAAGCATCCACATTTTTTTCTAGTTTCAAAAAATTCTTCTTGTTCCCCTTTGACAAGTTCCCTGAAATTTTTCAGGAATAGTCACTTAAATAATCTTAACGGATAAGGCAAAGAGTTTTGTTCTCTGCTATGTTTTGTTCTTTGGCTGTGCTTATGGAATGACTTCAGCACTATTGTTATAAGAATCCTTTCAAGGTTGCTGGAGCAGGTTCTGGCCAAGACTGGCAGTCTATCTTGGAAGACCTTTCTGGCATGCTGGTTTTCATCTCTATTGATTAGCTAAGCAGTGGGTCTGACACTGTACTGCCTTGTCCACCATTCTTAGAAGGAAGTGTAGCTGTGCCTTATAAGTGCAAGGCTAGTGTGAGGATAAACAACACTTTTTCCTGTTGTGGGTCAATGGGCATCAACAAATGAATTAAAAATTTCTGACTGTATTTTTCATCAAAATCCAGCCTTGCAAATCCACTGTTTCTGTTGCTATGGTAGAAAAGCTGCCATATTGTGAAAATCTGAACCAAGCAATGGTCACAGGCCACAGGAAGCATTGAAGTCTGAATTATCTAATATTTTCAAAAAAAACTATTCTGTTGACTTTTTTGTCCAAATTTTCTAGATTTTCAGACAAGAGATATTACCAGGAGTAATTTAAAAGCAGCAAACAGGGTGCATTTTACAATAACAATGGGGTCCAGTTCCCATCAAGACAAGTTCCCATTGAAACCAATGTCACCTCAATAGATATGGCCTGACATTTAAAAGGCTGGTATTTTCCTCAAATAAGTTTGAAGGGGGACACCCCACGATTAGCTTTTATTCAAATTTAAGCATCTATTTAACTTTGATGAATAATGATTATACTGGGTGAACCATACACTTCAGTGTTTACAGTTCAATATTCACATTAGGGGGAGAGGGTGTCAAGAGAGGAGCAAAATTTCTGTTGCCATAAATTCATTTCTTTCAAAAAGGGAATACAACATGGGTTGGTAATTTTTGGAGGCTCCCCCTGTTGCCCCCATTCCCAACTTGGGATTGCCATCATTTTAAGTGTTCCATTTTGAATGTTGTTAATAAAGGTTTAAGAAAAAGGAGATGTTTTTCCCAATGCCCTCAGTTTTCCCCCTTGCATGTATGTCATGAGTTAGTTTAGATCTGCCTGGCATAAAACGTAACATGGTACCGTTTGCTTGCTGGATATGCGCTTGTACAAGCTTCCTTTCTTTCCAGTTAGAATAGTAAACAGTTTTGTGTCATCACATGATCAAATTCACTCGAGCGTAACTTGATAGTAATGTTTTTCCAGTTTTAGGCGTTGTTTGTGCGTTTTTTTAACCACGGGCTTTGATACGATACTGAGGGCTCCATCGAGTGACGCAAATTCTCGACGCGAAACCAAGCTTATGGCTCTGGTGTTATTTCTAAAACACAAGGTTTTATCTTTCAAATCGAAAGAATGTACGGAAAAAGTAATTGTTAAACATTATTCTGCAATATAATGAACAAAGTTTTTATCTTTACTTCCCATAATCCTTTTTTCTTCAGTACTATTTAGCTCTGACCCTCGGACATAGCCCTGACCCTCGGACGGCCCTGCCTGGCACTCTATCAACCCACTAACTAGAGGTTAACTTCCCCTTAAGTAACATATCTCAATTTTTGTAATTGATAATTCCCCTGTTCTTTAAGTACATGTCTTCGCTCTTTATGGGACTAGCTTTTTCGTGCCTATAAATATTTCATAATAACATGAAAAGTAGAACGCTGAGGTAAGAATACATAAGCTTTTTCTAAAATGGTGTCGCTTAAAAGAACCATATTGGAAAACTCGCGAAAATTTCGCAGCCTTGTTTCAGTTGAAAAATTTCGGCCACGGCTGGCTTTTCAATCTATTTGACCCTCTCGTTAGAGTTACCACAGTTATAGAGATCCAAATAAGCTTTGTAGAAAAGCTGTATGACTTATCTTTGTTTAGTTTTAAGAGAGCCTCGATTGCTGAAAGCAGCTCCTACAGTATTCTGACGTCATTCTTGGTCAATGGGTTGATTTGCCCAATCGTGAAATGCATGTTTTTGAAACCCGACCATCTCTGTAATTTGTTAGTACATTGGTATTGCTGAACTGTTATTATCCATTGATGTAGACTGCATAGTACAGGCCGTATCCTGCAATAATTTCTAATAAAGATCGGTTTTCATTATGTGCGTATAAAGATTCTGTGGCTGTGTGCAAACCACCAGAATGTTGCTAAGTGTCCGTTTGAACAGCTTCTTAGCAAGCAGGTTGTCAAGTCACGTGATAACAACAAAGTCGCATGCTTGAGAGTTGAAGGAAAAGAGAGTGATCGAGAAGCGTGAAGTCAGCCGTTCCAATCTGCCGGTCCTTGCTGAAGTTAGCTGAAGAGTAATTACTATTACCACAATATCGTTCTTCCGAATCTAAGGAATCTATGGGTGACAAACTCATTGTGGTTTTGATGTGACTTGGAAATTGGCCTTTGTTTATAACATCTCCATTTGTAATTTGTGAGTGAATCCAAACCCGTTTCGGCGTTGCTAACGTTAGAGCATAGTTTAAGACAATAAAATTCAGTAAACTTTAAATTCGTATTGTTTTTCTTTTAATTCCAATGATTTTATGAATGTATTTGCAAAGCCGAAATTGAAAGGTCATTGCCATGCTCGGCCAACGTGTGTTTTCATTAAGCAGGTATTATGAAGTTGAATTTCTTTACTTAGGCCTGTTTGTTGCCCGGATCTGTGGAAAGATTGTAAAATGACTGTTGCCAAAGATCCCGTACCCAAAGACCCAGATTTCGATCAAGATGATGAAAATGATGACGATCCCGAGGATGTCGAGATGAAGTTGATCGGCGATATTGATAGTTTATCAAGGACGACAGAGAGATGCTTGCTCAGTTTGAAACAAGGTGAGGATGATGACGAAAAACCTGTGAAATCAAGAGATACATGGTCCAACAAGACTGAGTTCCTTCTTGCATGTGTTGGTTACGCTGTCGGATTGGGAAATGTATGGAGGTTTCCATGGCTTGCGCAAAAAAACGGTGGTGGTAAGTTACTCTGTCTTATCTCCTCGTGCTTGCTTCAAATTTTGAAAACCGAGTAAAATCTTTCTTATATTTCTGCGATTGTATTGAAGCCATAATTTATTATTTATTTCTGAAGGCAATTGATTGTTACAATTTCTTTTGTTAAATAATTTATCGTATTTATGGGAAATTGAACTTACATCCTACCGTAGCAGCCTTCAACTTTGCCTTAACAAGTAAGCAAGGAAACAAGTTTAATAGAAGAGGTAATACGGTGATCACTTTCCAATAAGCCGACAACTTCCTCTTTCATTTTCTTGGTTATAATTGTGTGCGAACATCCTCTACTGCAACGTCAATGTTTCTTTGCTCTAAAGATAGAATAATAACTCCCTCGCTAAGTTTTGCATTGAATTCGAATTATTTTCTTCAATCGAAGACTTATATTAGAGAAAGTCTTTTAGTTTTAGTTTTTACCGTGTTATCCCCAACAAAATTTGGCATAAATCGTCATATTTTTAAAGAGTTTGTTGTAATTCCATCCGTAATTCTGAAGCTTGAGCCAATTGATAAGGATTTAGCGAATAGATCTTCAACGCTGTCACTGAATTTGGTTGTGATGTGCATGTGCAAGCTCTTATGCTTCTAATCCGGCTATTTTATTTTAATACCTATAACAATTTGTTAATTCTGTAAACTGTGTTTAAGTACCATGAAACTTTTTCAGTTGCATTCTCATACGAGTATATTAAGCCGGACGTGTTACGATTGCTTACCTGAGAGGTAACCGGTAGATTAATTCTGTGAATGTACCCCGAAGTCTATCGCTGTAGCCAACAGTTTCACGGGGCGTTTCATAGAGAACCCACTCCATTTTCCCATGGTCTGCCAAAAGGATATAATACAAGAAAAACATCGCCAGGGAAAGGCGACTGGATTATATTTCACTTTTTCATTTGAAAATACTAAGGCAGGTTATTGGAACGGCTACCTTTATACTGCTGGATAACCATCGTCAGCTTTTTTCTTTTTCGACTTTTTATGCTTCGACCAACTAAAGTTTAAAAAGCCCTGAAATTTTATGCAAAAATCCTAAAGGGTTCTCAGGTTATCGTAAATGTTTTTGCGTCTGCTTTTTCCCAGATTACTTTTCCCTTTTTCATTTTCCCACCCTGAGTTAGCCAACGTTTGTTTGTACACGTGATTAAATGCGTTGTTTGCTCATTCGTCACTCAGAAACAGGCCTCTTCCAACGTAGGCGTGTACAATCATGCTATATTTGATTCTGACGGTGATAGCCCTCATAACATTTATGCCATATGTGCAATGGTGCTAGCAAAAAAGTTCCTTATGTATAGCAACGTGGGGCTTTATGCAATTGCATGATCAAGAAAGAACTGTTCCCAACTTTTAAGGGAAGATCATATTTCGATTTCTTTTATATAAGCTTACCATTGACGCGGTAATTGATCGTGTATTCTGTGCCTTTTTGACCGAATGCTTGTCCCTAGTTAGCTTGCAGAGCTTAGCTACATAAGCAGTACAGCCTTTTACTCTCATGTGCTCTTCGCAAGACCATAACAAAGTAAAAAATCGGCCACTGTAGCTTACTACATTGTTACCAAAGGAAAGGGTGTGGTTTAAGGTGTGGCTTTTTGGTTGACTGGGACACAATCAGCTTTGAATAATCGAGGGATAAAAGCTGAAATTAACAGCTTTGGTATAGCTGGAAATACAGCTAAATAGGTCTATGTGTATGTTAATAAAGAAAAGGCCACCTTAGCAGGCTGCTCGACGGACTCCGATGACGGACGCAAATAAGAAACACCGCAACGCTACGAGAGTGAACAACAACAAAAACGCACTAATCGGTAATGGCTAATTTTTCGCCCCGGCATACGGTGCTTGGCAAAGAGACGTCTACTTCTAATTCGTCATATAGTAACAGTACAAGAAAGAATGATTAAGTCAAATAATAAAACACCCCCACTTAGCTATGCAAAAAATAAGAATCGAGTTCTATAAAAAAGAAGGGTTTGGGCTCACAAAATTTTCTCAAGAAACAATAGCAAGAAGTAGAAAGGTTCCTTTTGGACATTAACTGCCCTCTGAGCCCCCTGGCTCTACACCCCTGACAATAAGTATAGAACGATTTGGAGCAATTTAGTATGTGAACACTTTTTTGCGGTACAACTTTGAAAATGGCTTTGAAAAAAGCAAACATTTTTCAATATACTTAAAGCTAGTTCCTTTTCATTAAAAACTGGTCTTGTGTAAACATGTTTGCCTATCGGATAAAGCCTTATATTATTAGGATTTAAAACTTGGAGTGGAAATGTATCGCAAATATGCTAACTGGCTAATGGCCTCACAGGAGGGCGACAACTCCACTTCCCCCCAGTTGCAACGGCCCTGACTGTCTAACAGCCTTCTTGGTCTTTTGCCATCAACATAACTCAACTTTATACTTCACTAGCAGGGATGTATACTCCTGAGGTTTTGTTAAAGGCACAATTCTATATTTTGGTTCCACCGGTAGTCCGATGCCTCACACTTTGTCAGAAATCCATAGGGGACTCAAAGAAAATGCTCAAACTTGGAACTCCTTCGCAGATTCAAGGTGAATGCTCGCCACCCCAAAGACAAAATCATGTGCTAGATAGAATAAACGCCAATCTTTGAAAGATAGACACTGTTTTAAGGGCTTATTACTCGACCCCATTCGTTGTTATCAGAATGCCAACGACATCATCATGATCAACGCATGACAAAAGTTGTAATGACAGGCAAACCATAAAGAAGCAACGTCAAGGTCACATCATGCTCCTTACGTATTTTCTAAATAATTTATTAGTGGTTTCAAGGAAAGAATAGAAGTTTTATTTGAAAACTGAAATAGTTGATGCCTTGAAATTATCCCTGTTTTGCTTGCAATGTTTTGGGCGTAGGCGTTGCACACAGCAGCTTGAAGTATTAAATCGCTGTGCTACATATGAAGGAACACCCATGTTTCGCAGTCTTCAGCATATCTACAGGTTGATTTGCTTAAGGATTGACTGCCTACTCTTGGCCAGCTGTAACCAGTTTACAAAACAGGAATAAGTCAGCAAAGAGCGGATATAGAAAGATTTGAGAGCATATATCCCTAATAAGAGGTATTTCCTCTAAGTCTGGACACTTTGGAGCTCTACGAAGTCCAAACATAAGCAGCAATTATTTTCTCCACGAGGTATCTCCACAGCACAAGGTGTTTCTAGAAATCTTGCAACTGCTCTGACCTCACCCGTTAGAGAGGTGATCATGGCTTTCCAGTGTTTTCAGGATATCTTCCTGGGTAATAAAGACGCAGGGATCCAACCTTACATAAAAAAGACCAAGCTAATCACAACTGGAATTAGGAAACTGGGGTTGTTTTGAAAAGAACTTAAGGAGGCTTAGCGTTAGTCACTGCAGGACCCCTGGTTGTTTTAAAGACGTCTGTTGCATAAAATAAGTGTTTATCCAAACCTATGTAGGGAATTTTGTTACTAAAGAGAAAAGTAAAGCTAGTGGCGGAAGCAGGCCCCTTTACTTCAGGATGCAAAGTTCATTGAGCCCATTTCTTGCTCTTACATCTTCATTGCAAAATGTTTGCAGGTATGTTTAACCAGCCTGTTTCAAATTCTCACACGCGACTCTCGCGGTAAGGGGGGCTTTATATGGTGCTTCCCCGGGCTTTTTAAAACGGATTATCGCATCGGGAGATCGATGCTCGTCCTTTTTTAATTTAAAAACAAAGCGAAGCAAATATATCTGCCTGCATAGGGGACTACTTGATTGGCGAATCGAATCTCATGGTTAACCAGTCAGCCATTGAGTGAGATTCATTCATTTGATGCGTTCATTCATTCACTTCAAATGAATCGGTGGCCACGTGGCAGGCAGAGTTGCAGGTATTCTTGATCTTCGATCCAGTCCAGCGATAATCTTTTGTGCAGTGCCTTATAATGTTGATTCTTTCCTGTTTAGCACCTTGTACACCCGTTTACGTGTACCTGCTCTCGTTGATTGATAGTCACGTGACCGGCGTTGTTATGTGTTCTTTTGAGAGAAACTGTTTAATTACAAATAACATGTAGAATTCCATTTTGAGAGTGCATAGACAAAAAACTATATGTAACCACATCAAACCATGAAGCAGTTTTGTGTTTTCTATGTTTTATAATTGTTTCGTAGAAATTTAAAATTCGAAGCAATGAACACGATAAAAAAACCTTTCCTTGATCCGAACAAATGTACCAGTTGCAGAGAGAGTTCCAGTGCTCTATGATAAAATATAGGGCAGTGTTTCATCAAGAATGTGTTCTCTTTTCTTTACTTTTAACACATTCTCTCTATTTTCAATGTGTTGTCATTTTTCTAACTAAAGGTATCTTTCTTTCGCAGGCAGGGGCGTATCCCGTGGGAGGGTGTAGGGGCTATGATTCCTTCCCCGAGCTATCAACAGATTGTTCCCAAAAATCGCTAGTTGGATGGTAAAATTGCCTGTAATTAGCCAATACAGGAGCATAATTTTTCATTAGATTTACTCTTCATGACCCCTCGAAAACCTGGAAGGTATTCAGAGGTATTCCTTTATACGCTGCTGATTGCAGGGGTATTCCTTTCATTAGAACTATCCTCTGATTGTCCTGTAACACCCATTGTGTTCTCAGTTGTCATATTAAAGGCAATATTTATGTTACAGGGGCATTCCTCATACCGTACTGCATCATGTTATTCATCGAAGGATTACCGTTGTTTTACTTGGAGCTGAGCATTGGTCAAAGACATCACCTCGGGCCTGTGCCACTTTGGTCAAAAGTATCTAAGTATTCAAGTGGGCTCGGGTTTACTTCGGTGTTTACCGTGTTCTTCATGGCATGCACATACAATGTCGTTATTGCCTGGTGTCTCTACTATCTTTTTGCCTCGTTCCAGTATCCACTACCGTGGTCATCCTGCCCTACGTACGTACTTCAGTATTTTGACTGTATTTTGCCTCTTTTTCAAATGTTTGTGGTGAGAAGAAAAATTGAAACACAATATTTTTATTATTGGTCAGTGGATACATTATTTGTGATTAACAACCAGTGAAATGGTGACCCAGAAAATGTCAAACTTTCGTTCCGTGTATGACAGCAAAGGTCAAATATTAACGAAGTTCCGGGTCCTTATGAAGTTCCGGTATGAATCATGGTGAAATCCGGGTCTTTAAAGGTCTAACCCAATTATTACCCAATTTCTTTCCTAATTTTATCGCTACTTATGCCTTATCTAATTTTCTGTTTGTCAAGTAACGTACCGGTAAATTACAATAGTGACTTGATACTTTCCAGAACGAGCCGTATCAGTGGCAACCAAACGATAACAAAGCCTCTGGAGAAGTGCGATAAAGCAGGCTCAACGGCCTACTACTGGTATCACGTGTCGCTTGATATTGCGAAGAACATCAACCAAAGATCTGGTCTGAACTGGAAGCTGTCATTGTCATTATTGGCTGCCTGGGTTCTTGTCACTGGTTGCATGATCAAGGGTATCAAATCCACAGGCAAGGTAATGCACAACCTTGTTCTCCCTTAACAGTAATCCAGATTCCCTTCCAAATTGCACATTCTTTCTACTGGTAGAATTTCTTGTCTGTACCGTCAGTGAAAACTTAGATATTACAATACAAAAGAAAGTGTAACTTCGGGCCCATTCTCCTATATGAAAAAGAGCAATATTGATGCTCTACAAGTCTTGTTTTTTGCCCACCAACCTCCGAGGTATATTTATGTTCACTTTATATAAAGATTTATATCTATCCATTTATTTTAATGAAATGGTACTCGAAAATACCGTATTTACTCTTATTATCGCCGGGCCTTGAATAAACGCTAGTCTCGAATAAACGCCGGTAAAATCTTCCCAGTTTGTTCCCATTTATTTGTTGTCCGGCGTTAATTCGGATTTTTTCAAAAGAGTTTATTTCTAGTAAGGCATTGTAACAAATAATCAACATTGTTGTTTGAAAATTGGCAAAAAAGATCATCAAATGCGTTGGTTACCGTTGCAGACGAGTTGAATCCTTTCTTGATCTCGGTTTTTTTATAAAGAAGAATATTAGAATGAGATCGTTATTCACGCATCTGATTAAGATGAAAACGTAGAAATTTTCTATTTAGACTTGGAAGTTTATATTTTGTGATTATGTTTTATGACCTCTATAAAACTAATTTATGAAAAGTAATTACAGAAATATGTTTTTTCTCTTAAACCTCTATAAACTTTGCAGTCAGATATAAACGCCGGGCATCGAATAAACGCCCCAAACAGTCTCTTCATGTGATGTATGTGTTCTTTTCAAAGGTGGTGTATTTTACTGCACTCTTCCCGTATTTTGTGTTGCTCATCTTCATCATACGTGGGTTTATGTTGGAAGGCTTTGAAGATGGCCTGCGTCATCTATTCACCCCAGAGGTAACGTTATCTAATTTAATTATTCTATGCTTGATTAATCTCAAGTGTTAAATTTTTTCTCATGAAAATTCACTTCACTATCTTTTCATCGCCTATGCTTCATGTATAATTTTTACAGTTGCAGAAAGTTGCTTTGTATTTCAGTACACAAGAGTCATCTAAACAGACATCAATTGATTACATTATAGCGGGGTGGTCTGCCGCGTGTTGGAAAGTAAAGACGCCAAGGAGAAATAATATTTTACAAAATAGCTCTATTGTTTTGCAAAAAGGGGGGGGGGGGCGTCTTCGGAGGCCCTTAATTAGAGATACGTTGGAGCTGCACCTATGTTTATGAAATATACTTCTTGGTATGTACCGTTTTTTCCTCCTTTTCGCTATTTGAGTATTTCAACCAATTCGATTGTAGTGGGCGATGCTCAAGGATCCTCAAGTATGGCTTCAGGCTGCTGCCCAAATTCTTTTCTCTCTGAGTTTAGCAAACGGAGGGCTGATTGCTTATGCCAGTTACAACCCGACACATTCAAATACGCTCAAAGACACCTTCTTGATCTGTTTCATCAACTGTGGGACATCAGTTTTTGCTGGAATCGCAATGTTCTCAATGGTAGGCTACAGGTAAGCTCAATAATACTCAAAAATTACAATATGTTTATATATATATGTATGATTTTAGCCATAATTTTAAACACATTCTTTATATCCAGAAATCGGATTCACACTTAAGGGTAGGGGTCACTCGAAGGGTGGTGCTTGTTCGGGGCGGGGGTGCTTGTTCGGGGGGGGGGTTCTCATTCAAATGGGGGCACTAATCGGAAATGCTACTTAATGGCTCTGGCTCTTCCAGCCCCAGTGACTTTCCGTTGTTTTAAACGAAAGACTACCGTACTCCTCTTTTTATAAACAAAGGCTTGCCCCTGCAGCTAATTTCCTTTTGAAAAGGCAATGTTATGTGTTCCGAATGCATCCTGGTTAGTTCAGACTGTTTGAGTGATGATGCGTTGCAAATATTCCCGTTTCAAATTGATGCTTTTCACAATTGAAAGCCCAGTAACACCGTTTGCAATTGGTTTGATTGATTGACTCTTGATGTTTCTTTCTTCCACTAGGGCAAACTATCAGAACAAGCATTGTCAAAAGTATACGTACCCGCAAATTGATAAACGCATGGAACAGTTGCACCCAACTATCATGAAAGGCAACTCTAGCTACACGAAGTTCTGGAATGAAATTTATGATAAGGGGGTTCGTGATAATACTTACGAACTTTGTGACGTCAATCGATTCTTAAAGGAGGTTAGTTAATTTCTCTTTTAAGGAGAATATAATCTTCTCATACAACTTCGGTTTACTTTTGGTTTTTTTAATACCCCTTAACGTGGATTTTCACAGAAGTGATTATTTTAATGCTTTGTGATATTTGAATCCCGTTAAGCCGGACCTTCAAAGGGGTAGGAAAACAGATTGACGTAGCGAATGTCAAACTTTCACTGGATCAATATGGATCCGTATAGGTCTATCTTCTAAAGTTTTCCATGTCGTTATAACATAGATGCGAATGATGTGAAAAGACGGAAGATTTTAAAAACGCATTTTTCTTGATGGATCTGAGACTATAAAAACAGCCGCTACATTTCTTGGCTAACCATAATGTCATCTCTGTGGTCTTCTGTTTAAAATCCTCCCAAATACGATATTTTCAGCCTCATAGAATCTGAAACGAAGAGAGTTATTAATAAGATTTTGATAGTGCGTGCTTTAGCCACAAAAATTGTTCCCTCTGCTTGTTCTTCAGTTTTTATCATATTTGAATAAGCTTTCTGTGAAAGCATTCGTTTTAAGCATAATCCCAATGTTTGAGATCCAGCTTCTTTTGCTAAGGACTCCAGGATAATGCAGAGTACTAACGTAAAAAAGAAAACGTCTGTGGTGGTCTCAGTCTCCGAAATAAGAAAAAGTGGGTCTTGATGTGACCTGAGGTTCTGTGGCGACCCTAGGAAAGACAAAGTCTCCAGTCAATCCTTACGTTCTACTTGCTGACTTCAAGCAATTAATGGTTGGGTGTTGTCTTGCAATAGCGACACAAGTAGAGTGTCTTTTATGGTTCATATCCTTTCCAAGTCTCCTTTAGCACTTGTCCTATTTGATGAAATGGGATTCAGATTGAATGAAATTCTTTTTACGTCACAGGGCAGTGGTGGCACTGGCTTAGCGTTCATTACAATGACTGAAGTTATCAACCAGCTTCCTGGATCCACTTTCTTTTCCATTGTCTTCTTTATGATGTTGGTTACGCTTGGCTTGAGCAGTATGTTTGGCAACTTAGAAAGCATAGTCAGCTCGATCAAAGACATGCCTTACTTTAAGAACGTCAGAAATGAATACGTCATCAGTAAGTGTTTTTCTGCTAGTAAAAACAACTTGATTTTTAAGAGTTTTATTGCTATCATTGAGGGCAATATCATAGATTTTCAGCATTTAAGGATTAAAGATATAATAAGAAGTCTAACACTCCCTTTTGACCTCAAAAAATTATGACCTAGTCAAGAATGTTTGTTTTCTTGCCCAAGCAGCTGAGATTACGAAAGTCGCTTTTCAAGGCATATGCTTGTTCTCTAGTATATTTTGAAATGTTTTAGTTCCTTTGAAGCACTGTCCTTAAGCTACAAGTTCCGGAAAAACCAACAAAGCCAGTTTGTATATTGAATTTTTCTTTCACAGTCTCGATTGCAATACCAAGCTACCTGTTTGGTCTAATTTTCATGCAAGACTCTGGCGAATATATACTTCAGCTGTTCAACTCGTACAGCATCGACGTTCCATTGCTTGTGATTGCGTTGTGTGAATTACTTGTCATTGTATGGATTTATGGTGTTCCAAGGTAAAGCTAAACATTAATCACTATTTATCAATCACTTTAGTAAACAGCCGCATATTCTTTCAGAACCTGTAGCCTTCAGAAGGCAATTTATGCTGCTTAATAAAAGCACTTTGTTTCCTTTAATTTTCAAGAAAATTTTTTATATATTCAAAAAAAGTCGATTCCAAAAATCGAGTTAAAGATGAATAGAGTATTTATTGTAAGCTATGAAAACTGATGCTTTTATCATGGGTATGGAAAAATTTAGTGTACACAATTTTAGTGTATGTTTTATTTGATTTAACTTAACAATTTAACAATTTTTCTCACTAGGTTCTGTGACGATATTGAGTTTATGACTGGAAATCGACCCCATTTTATATGGAAAATTATGTGGAGGTTTGTCTCTCCACTTGTGATCGCTTCTCTCCTTATTGGTATGGTTGTCTCTTCTGCCAAAGGAACTCTGACTTACGAAGTCTGGAACGATGTGCAGGTAAGAATCTAGAGTATTCTTTGGGGAAGGGGAGGGGCAAGGGGGGATTATTCTGTCCAGTAAATTCTGGCAGCGAAAGCAGTGGGAGTCATGGTGATATAAACAATCTTTTTGTGGTACATACAGAATGGCTTTGAAAAAAGCAAACATTTTAGAACATACTTACGCTTTTCGCTTTTCAGAGTATAAAACGTCGGAACATTGATAACAACACTACCCTAGGAAATATATATGTATTCAGTTGTGGATCGAAATAGGCAGTTGTGGATCGAAATAGGCAGTTGTGGATCGAAACAGGCAGTTGTGGATCGAAATAGGCCAATCAGAAACGACCATCAGAGACGAGCACATGACTGTTGAGGTTGCCCAATTAGTCTTAAGGTGAAAACGAACTCGTTCTGTCTACACAAAAGCAGTTTTTTCATGTCTATGTAGATAGATTTCAAAACAGCTAGATAGAATGGCGATCAGGCTTTACCAATAATACGAAACATGTCGCCATTATAGATTTTTGCACAATCTGGGTTATGATAATGATGTGTAAAGTTTGTTGGAAAGCAATTTCTTCGAGAGATCTGTGATGGCTTACTAAAAGCTTTGAATTTATTCCTGAGTGGTGCGAGTAATTTTGCAATTGGAATTTCTTTGCTCTCGTATAGTACTTGCAAGACCTTCAAAAAGACCCAAGAGTTGTTCAGATGTGGCCATCGCGCCGAGAACGGGTCCATACACCATGGTTAATGGAAGCGAGACTAATCCCGTTACAGGGGTGGGGGTGGGGGCGGGGTAGGGAAGTTGTGTAGAAACAAACTACACAGCAACCGCTATTACCTCAAAAGGAGCAAGGAGAGATTCTGAAATTTGCAAAATTGTGATTTTCTAGAGTTGTCTGACTGGAACAAGTTTCGTGATATAAACGACTGCATGACTGCAACATGTTGAGTCATAGTGATATAAACAATCTTTTTATATCTCGACGATATAAATATTTATAATAATTCGACGGTGATCTTATTTCGAGGCGAAGGGCAGAGTACAGGTTTTAGTTAAGGCTTGTTGGGTGGAAGGGGGTACGTATTTGGCAGAGGAATGTGCTTATTTTGGAGAAAAAGGGGTTATTTGGAGAAAAGGATAATATTTGGAGAAAAGGATAATATTTGTGGGGAAGGGTTTCATTTGGGGATTTGAAGGAGCTTATCATTTAGGAAACACAGAGTTGGTTATGAACTGTTTTCTGCAGCTTTTTCATGTTTTCAAAGGCTTGATCTTGATTACATTAAGTACCAGAGCAACATGAATTCCAGCGTGGAAATAAAAAGTGGAACAGAGAAACGGAGTAGCGCCTAATTGATGTGGCTCTGATACCCAGGGTAGACCTTGGTATATATCATTAAACTCTACAAACCATCTCCAACTATGTTAATAGAGATAAGAATTGTTTTTCCATTTATTCTGTTTATGGTGATGTAGTGTATTGTTCTAAGTCAAGCAGAAAGTCCGTAAGCTGATGACGTAAGCAGATGGCGACTCGACATGTGCTTTGAGAATCAGTTTTGGATGTAGAAATCAAATTGGAGATTGCGATTTAGAATCCTTGAATTGCGAAATTGTTTGATTTTATCCCGGTTTCTTATGCTCGCTTGTCTCCCTTTTTAGATGATCCTTGAGAAAGTGCCGTACCCTGGATGGGCCATCGCAGTTGGTGTTATTATCACCCTCTTTCCCATTTTTTTCACTCCTGGCTTTGGTTGCTACTATTTCATTCAAAAAGTTCGGCAGAGAGATGAAATCAGCGTTCCAATCGGTGTTTGAATACAAAGTAGTTGTAGTTAATTTCAAATTTGACATTGTTGTGGTTCTAGAAACATTTCGAAGTTTGCCGTTTTCAACATCAAAGGGAGCGGAATCAGTTAATGTACAAGAGAGTCAATTTTTAAAAAGCCTACTGCCACTGCAAACTATCCTTCTGAATGGATTTTATAAATTATTTTTAAAACTGTTGTCTTCTAATCATAGTGGCAGTTCGGGTTTAGATGTGACAATCCGCTATTCGTATAAATACCATGTGCAACGTTACATCCCGAAAAGTTAGATTATTGATTTCCTCCAACTGTCCCATTCTTGATGCTAACGAATTTCGAAAAGAGTCTTACCACAAAATAAACATTAGTGGTGTTGAGTTCTTGTTTTATTTCATAAAAATACTAGGAAATAGCTCCGGGCTATTGTGCAGTATCTATTTCTTGGCCTTTCATTGCAGGGTCTACCTTGCTTCTACACAAGACCTTACCTAACATTAGGCCGCATACATCCCCCTCTGCATTTTAGTAAAAAGGGGCAAATATGTTTCTTCTTGAGTTACATAGCTGAGCTACATTTCAATATTTGAGTATGTTTTGCGTGGATCTTACTTTATATTTATTACTTTAACTTGCTTTCCATTAATTTATTTATTTTCGTCATTAATGGGGTTTTCGCCATCGTATATTCTATTTGCTTATAAAGTATTGAATCGAATTCTCTTTAAATAGCCTGGCCTTTTCAATTTCGCCGTTATTCCTGTACGTAGATAGAGTAAATCCTGCTCTGGCATAAGGGGTTATTTAGCCATAATCTCTGGACCGCATTCCGTTCTCGTTACAACCAACTGCTCTTGAATCAACCCAAGTTTTGCCATATAGCTTTAAACCCCAACAGACCTATCTTTACCACTGTACTGAATCCTGTCTGAAGGTGATATGCAGTCATTCTATTGATATAAGTGAGGTGCGAAGGCTTTTAAAATACCCCCTTTTTATTATGTACCTCGGATATATCTATGTTGTTATTTGAATCTATATCAATCTTGTCGTCGTGATATTCCCAGAATCTACTTGCGTGCGTATTATATGTATCGTAGTATTTATAAATCTATTTGTAGAAAATGCGCAATGTAGACTGTTGAGAACAACAAGGTACTTTTCTAGATTATTGTCCTTTAGTCTGTGAATGTTTCACCCTCTTGTTATCTTATGTAAATCTGCAGTATGAAATATTCTCCGCTAAGCTATTTTAGAAGGCAAGGAGGTATGCATAACTGAGAGTTTTTCAGTTCATGGGTAAAACTCCTTCGACGTCGGACCAGCATACATACTGGCGTTATGTTACTACTCATCTCCATTCCTCGCTGTTGCCCTACGTCGGCTTCATCTACCATTGGCTCGGAATACCTTATCACTTCCATTGACTCATTGCCTTAAAGTGTTACAAATACCTTTCCATTAATCCCAGTGGTGTAGGTTTCCCGCCGCATTTCATTCACCTCTCGTTGGTGAACTAATCCCCCAGAAACCACAGTGTGTACCGATATCTCAATAATTTCGAAAATACTTCGAAAATTACAAAACATCAGCTAACTAGCTAATGTTGATCGATTAAAACATTTGTGAAATAACTCAAAAACCTGTATATAAATGTGTGTGTTACTTGTATTTCAGTATGGTTTTATTTATCCTTACAACTTGTGAGACTGTTCTTTACCGTACTGTCAAAGTTGTTGTATTCTTTGTTTTATTTAAAACGCATTTTCTTGTAACGTTCTTTATTGTATTCAGCAATGTTTTTTGCTTGCATCTTGTGTTTACTTCCACTTCTATTATACGGGGAATATTGATTGTCTTAGAGTAGATTGGAATATGTATTCAAGCAAAAATCTTTAATCTTCATGATCTTTTTACTTTGTGCCTAGTATTATTAACAAGAATCATGGTGAACCCCGAATGCAGGCAAGTTTATTAAGAGTTTGATTTTATTGAATTGAATCTACCGAGGGTAACTTCACAAGGTTCATGATGAGATTTGTAACTTGCCATGCGTAATGATACTCAAAAAAGTGTCATGTTGAGACCTTTATATGGCGCTGGCTAGGGGGTATGGGGGGAGGGTAATTGCCCCCCTTCACTTTCTTCAAAACAAGGTCCACACATTTGCTAGGTAGGGGTAGATCATATTTCCTAAAGAGAATTATTCTGGTATACAGCACTGAAACGAGGCAAAAGGGGCATGGTCTCACTGCCAACGCCAATTACCCTCACTCTGCAGTGCAGTAGCTGGCGCCGCCACTAACGCCAGGAATTCCAAAATAATACGTATCAAAAATTGTAAGAAATGCCGAAGAAAATTTAGTAGTTCCGCAACTTTTTGAAAATAAATTTTCTATCGATACAAGAATAAAGAAAATGTAAAAAATAGCATATAATCTTTTGAGAGAATTGTAGGAAACTCAAAGTCTGATAAATTCAAACTGAGAAACATAAGAAAAACGAGGCAAATAATAGCCAAAGCAATGTTACCAAGGCAACTAGAAGGCTCGTCACCTTATGCTGCACTTCAAATACAAGAGGACTTTTTTTTGAAATACGGGCCACTCCAAAAATTTTCAGATATCATTAACCGCTTGAATTAACAGATATTCAAAGATAATTCTTAAACCGAGGTAACGTTTGGGTGATATGCTTGTGCATCCTGCAATTTACTTCAATTAATTTGTGTAAATTTTGTTCATTTCTAGCGCGGGAATGAAAATTTTAAAGGGCATTATATGTAAGATGAAGACCCTAAAAGTAAAGCAGAGAAGAGCCAACCATTTTCAAAGATCATATCAGAGACGGCAGCACTAAGAGTGTAGGAATGATGCTGAAAAACCAGTTAAAGTTGAAGTTGATAGAAAACGGCTGCCGAATGTCGAAATGATGCTGAAATACTAGTTTAAGTTGATTGCAATAGAGTTCCAGAAACATGAGACATGTAGAAAATAGCGTTTTGTTACCGTTGACGTAAGATCACGTGATCAAGAGAAGAACGAGTAAGAGTTTTGAGAGTCGCACGCGTTGAAGAAAAAGCATTCGAGTTAAGCTTCGGCCATCGTTTGAAATCGTTATAGTTGGAAACGGGTTCTGCAACATAGGTAGAACATCCAGATTATGTTTGAGATTGAGAACATGATAATTGGCAAGTCAGAGTGATTTAGGCCAGCATTTTCCCCATAAGACATGCTACGGAGAGTGATCGTGTGAGAAGTACCGATGAAAGGGGAGTGGCAAAGAAACAAATTTTTGTGGAGACTATGATACTATCATCTTAGGGGCTAACAGAGTGCATCTATAGAAACATTACAATATCGATTTGGTGTTGGACCACGGCAAATCAGGCATAAATTTCAGGAAATATTGCGCAAATCATTTAGGGACCATCATATCTTATTGTAAGTTCTCAAGAAGAACATTTTTCTCTAGTATTGGTAATTAGTAAGTGCCCCTGTCTCAGACAAATTCTTTTTAGTCTCCTACCACTCTGCAAGGCTTATCACAGCTACACCTAAGCCTGTATTTTTCGAAGAGCAAATTTTCGAATACTTGAACTTGATAACTATTCCAAGACAAGAACAGTTAGAATGAAAATTGACGCGTCGCGTGGAGCGAGCTTTGCTACCCTGATTATATACACTTCTTGATTTCAATGAAAGACGATAGAGTTGCTGAGAATTTTGCTGAACATCTTGGCGGTGATTTTCTTCAACTGATTGCGTAGCTGTTTATATATGCTGCAGGTTCAAGTCAACTCGCTTAGAATACTTAGGCTTCTGAATTGTAAACTTATAGTGGAGTTAGGTGCTTGGTTGAAGCTCTTTCATTGCCTGGTCTTTTTTGTAAAACAATGACACTTTTTGCACAACAATAGAGCTCTTATAGCAAAATTTTTTGGCATTCACCACTAATTTGCTCTTGGATCCTACATCGAAGCCCCTGTAGATTGATAAGCACTTCCGAGAGGCATGGTTGCAATGCAGAAGATTCAAAGTCAATGGTAACATTGTTTCTATTTGCCGAGCAGTGTTTTTCAGGTTAGAATGACATTTAAAACAGTAAATATAAATACATCGTGTAATGCATAAGGAATTATCATATTTTTAAGAACATCAATTAAAAAATCCGTCATGTCACCTGCCATTGCTTTGGACAGGTGAAGGTCTGTTATAATATTGGTATGAAAACTCTTGCAATTTCAGCAATACTTGCACGCAGAAGCATTTTCAAAAATGATTACTAGAGAAATTGACATTTCGGAAGCGACAGAAAAGTATATACAGTATCTAAAAATAAATCATGTAGATAGTGCAAAACGCGGTGATTCTTTTTGAAACGAGGCTAATCCAAGATGCAGTTCAGTTACCATAGGCCAAAATGGAGGACGTGAAGCCAGTCGTTGGAATGAAAAGACCGCTAGTTGAGGAGTATGATAGCGAAGAGGAAGTTGAGCAGAAGGCTAGAGTAAAAGGTACATTACATTTTAGTTAAATAAAGTTCAATACACGCTTAGCATTGTCAATATATAAACCAGTTAAGATAAATACTTGTATCAAAAATTAACCGTGACTGCTCCAACAACTGGTTGGAGCAAGTTTTGTGTTACAAGTCTGCAGAATTGGGCAAGTGTATACTATTGAAATTTTTTCGTCATTCTCCAATAGACGATAGTATGCGAGGATGGCTCAGTTGTTAGAGGCACTGACTACAGACCAAAGGGTCCGTGATTCGAGTCCCTGGCATGACCAAACTTTCACCCAGAGTGAGGAGGGTCACCAGCTCTCTGTAATTCCAGGCGTAGGAATCACGAGATATGGTCACATTGAGAGGAAGGACCAGAACACTGTTCAAAGCATAAGCTTTTAAGTGTCCTTAAAACTGCCTTTGGATGCTAGGTAGAAACAAATACAAATACAAATGCTTGATAATAGGACGTAGTCATATTCTCACAACCATAAAAGGGGTAGAATTATTTAATATTGCGGGCATCATTATTTTAAAACTATAGATAAAGGGGACTGCTCATTTGAATCGAAGCAAGGGTGGAATCCATGTAGACCTCATATGCTGGATATTGGCCAGTAAATTTTTGGTCTGTGCCGAAAGTTCTACATCTTAATGCTTGTGCCAAAAAGTTGTTTTTTTACTATGCATAGAGGAGACTATTAATCACCCTTTTCGCCACCATTGGTTGTTTATTAGTTATACACAGCAGTTATGTCATTGCTCTTGGGGAAATGAGAAAAGCCAATATTTTGCCATTTAACAGACCGCAATATACAAATTTAGAACATTGAGTGATTTTCAAAATCTTTTTTAAATTGTTGGTTGGCCAAACTAACTAGATTTTTTTCCTAAAATGTAGCTTATTTATCATTTAATTGTTTTCTGTAATTTGTTTTGTGATGAGATTTATCACATCACCTGAATGAATTTTGAAGCAAACACTGTTTTTATGATTTTTTGATGCAATAAGCAACAAAAGCTATCTATAAACTTCATTTTTCCTGTATGAAATAGCTAACGAGTAGGGCAAAATTATAAATGGGGTGCCCAAGTAGGCACTTAAAGTATTAAAGGGGTGCTTCAAAAATTGGTTTTGCATAAATAACGGGCGATTTGAGCATGAAGTGCTTCTGAGGCTATAAGGACACCCGAAAAATTTTATTCTACAATAATTAAAGGGTCATTTTGATATGTTCCTGTAGAAAAATAGAACAATTTGTGGAAGTTCCAACTGATTTTCTATGGCCTGGTCTGCCCAAAAGAAAATGTTTTCATAATGATGTAATGTAATGCTGAGCAGGAACCTCACATCAGTCTTTGGCTTCTGGCTTTGGTGCAGTGAAAATAACATCTCACAGGTATAAAAGTGACAGAAACCCCCCATAATACTATTTCAATATATTCCCTACCTTTTTATTATGTTAAGTAAAAAAATATACCAAATAAACCTTGCCTCTTTTATTGTTTTGTGCATTATAGGCTTATTGCCGATAGACCACTTCTGTTAAAACATTTGCAGGCAGGCGATTCGAGAAATCAAAAAAAAATTTTATAGAAGAGCCAAAATGTTAATAGTTGTCCTGTATAAACTTTCTAGTGTAGGATTTAATGATGAACATAGAACAAAAAACAGCTTGTCCATAGCTATTTTAAATTTTGAAATATCATTAATTTTCTCCGATGGGTCAATGAGCAGGCCTATTCTGTCCAGACTTCTGTGGTGTTACAGCTGTGCATATGCTTGCCCAAACACAGGCAGCAAAGGTCATGGAAGATTGAAAAATTGCCAGGAGGGACAATTTTGTATTTCTTTGCCATGTTGAAAAACAATTGAAGAGCGGACAAGCTTTTTTAAGACAAAAAATATTGTGTTTCAAAAAATATCTGGATATATGTATACCGATCTTTAAAACCACAGAAAGGACATATATGGGACATATATTGCACAAATGTTGGGAACACAATGCTTGTAATAATTCAACAATAAGTTATAGTTTACTCAATAAATTCAGCTTAAAATGCGAACTAAAATGCAAACTAAGGCACTCATAGGAAAGCAGTAAGGACATATATAACTCCAAAACTTCTCTGAGCCTTTAAACCTGTCTTTGCATATATCCATGCACCGCGCAGCCATTGGGTTAGCAGGGGCTATAGCCTACCCACTTTTTTGTAATAATAGGCTACAAAATTTGTTTGAAGGTTTACTCTAATGCAACTTTGGATAGTTTACTCCTATGTAGTAGCAGTTCTCACTGACTGGGAACCTTTTTTGTTTTTTTCTAGGTGTTTCATCTTGTTTAATGATATGATGTATTTTCTAACTTGGTTAGCTTGGTTTTTTATTACCCTCAAGCTAATTATATCTTTTTTATGGTTATTGATATCTTCTCTGAACCAGACTCTTTATGAAAATTTAATAGAAATAAGCAAGCATTTTCTAAAAGGAGCGTTTTCTGGCGTTCGAGAGGGCATGGCCTCAAAAAATTTCGGTCACACCCATTTCAGCCCCTCCACTTTTAGAGTAGTGTGTGGTCCCTGCATATGTCTTCTGTAGCTATAAACATATATTTTCAACATCATTGTGATTATCAATTTTTCTGCTGCTGAAATTTTATGATTCATTGTCACAAATATCTGTAAGCTATTCTTTTTTGTGCAGTTGAATCAAACCGAGGTCGCCACTGTCCTTATCTTGACACAATAAACAGGTATGTGTGGTACATTTAATATCTTTTCAGTCAATTTGGAAATCACTGATGGAAAAATCAAATTCTGTTCAAGATTCGGTCCTATGCCAAAATTTGTCGTACATGATTTTTGACATATGCTCTCTGCTGATCTATCTATTCATGCAAAAATTGACCCAAATTCTCATATAGATTAATATAGAATTCAAATAGTTTTTGAAGTGTTTTGAACCTCTCTTTAACCAAGTTTTTGAATGATGATTCGTCAGATAGGGTTCATCATTCTTTTAAATAGATATTTTACTTTCGATATTTGAATATTTCTGTACATGTGATATCCAACTAAGTTCTTATGAATTTTTGGTAATAGGTGAACAATATTTGTTTTTTTACTGTTAAAAATTTCACCATAGTTTTAGCTATAGAATAGTCTGTAGGGAGGTTCAAATGATTTATATTTATAAAAGCAAAGAAATCCATAGGAGATTGATATTTTGTAGCTTATCTAGCTATGGGTAGTTGATTATTGAAATGTTGACTATTCTTTCCTTGTAATTTATCATGCTGAATTTGTATAAAAAAGATAATATTTGAAATCAAATCTACTTTAAACTGGCAGCCTTGTTATTGCTAGAGGTAGAAATCGGAAACCCAAATTTCTTTGTTCTAAACTTCTAGATCAGTATTGGATTTTGACTTTGAAAAGCTTTGCACTGTTTCTCTGTCACATCTTAATGTCTATGCCTGTTTGGTGTGTGGAAAGTATTTCCAAGGTAATTTATGGACTTCTTTGTTTATGGCAATTTTTTAAGTTTGATGTCAAATTTCATTATGGAGCATAGTTTTCACAAAAATAAGTCACATTTTCAATCAGAAAAGGCAAATAGAGTCCTAGAGTGATGACACTGCAAAAATCTGTGTTTAGAAGTTTTGAAATTTGATCCCAAAACCTGAAAGAGCGCCATAAATTACATCTATCTATGCATAATCAGTTAAAGGTATTGCAGTTTGGCTGAGATATGGCCACATGTGCTCTTGCCCCATCAAACCTCTGTAATTTGGTCTCTGTTTGTATCTTTTGAGAAGTCTTCTATGTGCATATCTACGCAACGTTATCTATCTAGCTTATAATCATTTTTACATTTCCTTTTTTGTATTAGCTGTTTTCTGTATTCTGAGATTTATTATCAAATTGTAATTATAGAAATTATGCTAACTTATAAGTAAAAAATTGTGTTGGCCATGGTCCATTTCAGCCTACAGGCCTTATTATGTGTCAAAAATGACTGGGAAAACCAGCAAAAAATTCATTGTGGATAGAGGCTGTTCTTCTATTATTTTGGTTGTAAATGTTCTTTAGAAGAAGGAAGAATACTTTTAGAAATAAAGTCTGAAGTTTGTTGATTGACGATGGACTTGGTTTGAGATGTAGAAGAATATTTAAAAATCTTGAAGATATAGTTGGCCATTGTATTCATTGTGGCTTTTGGCTCAAACTCCCCTTAATGATAATAGATTCTGATTGCTAGCTGACTTATTTTAATTGTATTATTGTAAAGAATATCGTTTCACTAAACGAGACAAATGCAGTGGGTGCATTTGGCAAAATATAGAAGAAGATTATCTAGACATATTTGTCTCATTTTTCTGTAGTTAAGTTTGTTAATTTCATGTTCTCCTTAAATGATGCAGAGGATGATAACAAAGTGGCTTACACTAAACTGGAGTTTCAATTGTAGCCAAAAAGAGTAATTTCGACGGATAATTTATCTTGATAGAAATTTTCAGACAGATTTCGCACTGCTGTTGTGTTTTTGACGTTCCAAGAGAGATGATTTGAAGAGATTACGGCTTTTTTTTATAAAGCTCCCAAAATCGTACTCACGATGGTTTTCTTATAATCAGCGACGTTTAGAGCATTTTGTGCCCTCGTCTATACGTCTGTGGTCTCGAAGATGCCAAGCAGAGCACAAATTTTGGCCACGTTGATTACTGAATAGTGGATGAGCGCGTTGAATCTCTTAATACTACTTACTCTTCATTCCATGTTGGGGGTAGTGAGCCAGAAGCAGACTAAGGCAAGAGACAAAAGCTGCTGGGTACATAGGATTTTGACAGTGGCGAATCTATGAATTAAAAAAGGCTCGGAGCCAGCATTGAAAATTTGGATTTTATGTAGTAATCAAAGATTCCTTGTCGAAGCAGTTGCACCGTGTTATATTGTAAACACACTAAGACGTCGTATCCGAAATCACTATCTTCCCCGGACCGTTACTGCACAAGTATAAAAGAAATCGTCAGCTTAACGCGTCTCATCATTCGTCCTTAAGTAAAAAGGGGGATTAACTTTGCAAATTTCTTATTAAGCCACGTTGTCAAAATGTATCACGTGTCCGGATAAATAATACGTCCTGAGCATAAACCTGGTTGTAAAAAAAATTGAAATGCAGTTGGTTGTTATTTATTTATGTGCCTTGCTTGTATCATATATGTAGATTTTTTCTTCATCTTTATACCTTATTTCATTATCAAGCTTATGAGTTAGGAGTATCTTGTTCCCTTCCAGTATTATTTTACGTTTTTACTCAATGAAAATCTCATTAATAGTTAAACAGTTGCAAATATGTATTATTGAAGTTATATTTGTCATTTTTATTAATGGTAATATGACCATCTCTTATTAGGAAGAGGAGAACATTCCCATGCATACACCCACAGTGTTCATGTTAGTCACCATGTTTACATGAACTTACATACATTAAAGGTTGGTGCAGTTATAAAATATTATCAGTGTAAATGGACACACAAATGATTCAAAGTAATTGAATCACTGCTGATTATGAACTACGTAAGCCTTTGTTTCGGTGGATTAAATTTCTCAAGTTGTCTAAAACTTACTTACTGATAGGCGAAAAGATAAAATGTTAATCTGTATTCTGAAATGCCAGCAAATTGAGTTTTTAAGAAAATTCAAAAGAAACAGGGGCTTGGGATCAATATTTTCCCCATTATAACCTTTTCCAGAGTTTTCGACAAAACATTTTCAAGCAACCATTGATAACAGAAACCAAGTTAACTACGAAACATAGGTTTTAGACCTTTACATCCCAGGGAATGTCCCTGTAATTGTTAGATGTTTTTTCATTTTAAATTCTTCATGTCATCAGTTTTTAATATTTTTGTCTGCAGTTTTATTGCTTGCCAGACAACTATGAAATTGTCGACTCATCGTTGGATGACATCAAGGTAATCGATTTACCGTTTTCTATTGTAAAATATTGCTCAATTTCCATATAAATATTGAATTTTATAATGGATGGAAATGGGAATCTTAATGGAATGGAAATTTTAACATCGTTATTCACCTGCATAATAAAAAAAGGTTTTTTTATTATAAATATAATCATGGAATCAATTAGTTTGATTAACTTAATTGAAACTTATCCGCATTTTTAAGTAACGCTGATTAAATTTGTATTAACCTTTAATAACGAAAAAGGATAGCATTTCTAAATATTAACTTAAAGATCTGCATATTTGTTGGTCAAGATCTGCAACTTAAAGATCACCATTTTTTGAGAACAAAATTACTTTGTGATTTATCTGAAGCTACTTTTGTTTTGTATTTTGACAGTATGTGCTAAAACCAACGTTTACCAAAGAACTGATTGAAAGACTCGATTCAAACGGTGATATGTCACGTGCTTTTGATGGCACTTTGTATCTTCCGGGTAAGTTGATAGTTGAAACACGGAAATATTGTAACATAGTCAGATGCCTGGTGTTTTTCAGAGATGGAAGGAATGTGTTTTAATTGAAAATAAAATTAAGCTTTAGTAGACAGGGGAAATATTGTGGTTTGCTTCGAGTGTCACACCCATCACTAAGAAAACTTGAAAAGCTTGCTCCACAGGCTTTTGTCATATTTTTTACATTCATTCATGTTGTGCACTTCCTTGTAAAGCTTCAAAAGTCATACCGAAAGCCAGGACATCAATTTTCAATACAAGTAAAACATTTTTTTTATGGTTAGATAAAAATTTCCTGGTACCAATTTCTTGACCTCGGAAAGACTTTCTAGTGAAATGTCTGGGGAGATGTTACCGCAAATGACGTGATTCATACCTGCATTATCAACATGGCTTATTACTTGTTTTTGTTCACAATCGACCTGTAACTTAAAGTGACCTACGGCTTAAGCTCAGCCTAGCACTTATAGGTTTAATTAAGATTCTTAAGGATTGGAATAAAAGGAAGGCCAAGATATGTTTTAGAGGAAATTTAATATTTGGCAAATGAACTTAAGATTCTTGTTAGCAGTTTGTAGTAAGGAATCAAGATTGGATTACCTAACTCTTTTTTATGAGAACACTTTAAATTTTTTCCAGCCTCGATATTCTTAAGAATTTTTCGTTTTCAGCCTGAATAAATTCTTAAGGTATTTTTTTTCAAATCTGATATTGTTGCAAGGGAACATCGTTCGCCCTTACATAAAAACCACGCCCAGTTCTGCGATTCCTTTTAATATAGCGAAACAGGCAAATGCTGATAGATGAGAAATAGATATGCGAATTGAGGCTGATCAATATTTTTATTGTATTAATATAAAATTGGATGATTCTGGGCCTGATTATTCTTATAAGCAATTTTCTAATTAAAATATGTGTAAGCATTTGAATTCACGTTAGGGACTTACATTGGCGGTCTTCATCTGCGTTTATGGTTTTATATACTGGGGTCATATTGGTCGAATAACTTTGTAGAAAGTATTCAAACATTATATTAAAATATAGTCCTATTTTTCCTTACATCTTCTTGGTTCAGCTGATTTGTTTTTTCACTTTCCTTTTGTATGAAGTTTTCTTTTGACATCCCGTTTTCTACAAAAGTGAAAGGGCAAATGCGAAAAATTAACTTCGTTTTGTTTTCCTGTTTTTGTTAACCCCAAATTGCAATTTGCTGATTGTAAGAAACTAAAGGTCCTGAACCTAGATTTTTGTCAAGTTTTGAATTTTCATAAAGCTTCGGCCATATCTTTGGTTTTGTTTTAAATACATAGAATAGGGGAATGCTAGAAGGGTATAATTTTAATTCAATTTTTGTCAATGATTTCAAGCTTTGGAAAGCTAACTTGTGGTAATCAACCATGTTTTATTATTTTTAGGCATTGTTGGGGTCAACAATATAAAGGCGAACGATTATTTGAATGTCGTCTTGCAGGTGAGGTTCAAAGTGTAATCGCTTTTTGCAAATCCCGTTTCTTTCGAGGCCCGCAATTTTTAAAACCTTTTCTTTGTTACTAAATAACTTGATTATTGAATCCAAAGCTAAGAGTAATTTTATAAGAACACGAGTCTCAAAATTGGTCAAAAGTTGAGAACAAGTTAAGAACAAGCTGAGGCCGAGCTCCTGGAAAATGTAATTTTGAACAATGTGTGAAACCGCCTTAAAAACTTCATCTCTAAAACGAGAAGTTCTTATGCCATCTAGAGGGTGGGTTCTTTGGTGAATTTTAAAACTCATGAACAATAAAATATATCTCACTCACCTTTTTAGCAAATGAGGTTGAGCACCTTCTTACAGCACACTAGCTAGCAACTGCACTGCTTACACCCTAATAATTCAAGAATTAATAATAATTTAAGAACAAATTAGGAACAATCCAGCCTAAGTTTTTCGAAAAATTTAAGAACAGCCAGTCTGAACTTTTTTTAATTGTCTTTATAAAAAAGAGTGTACGCCTTTACACTTCCGGTCGATGAAGCTTAGACCTTCCTAAATTCACGAAATCCAGAAAAAGTTTATTTTAGTATGCATCTTTGGTTATTTTGTAACGTGCACAGCTGATTATAGTTTCCCATTAATCAATTCTGATTTCAGGCTTTGTCTTTTGTCACTCCGATTCGAAACTTCTTCTTGAAAGAAGACAATTACGGCTCAATCAAGAGGCCGCCAGGTGACACGATGTTTCCGCTTGGTAGGTGAAATCATGAAACTTCTAGCTGGTAAAAATATTCTATCAAAGAATGGAAAGCCTTTTACATGTTAAAGTTAACTGAGTCTCACCCCGAGCTGAGATAACGGAAATTTGGCTTGTTTACATGTGGTTCCCACGCCGAAGCAAGTTTAAACCCTACTGGTGTTAGGATCCAGTGCTCTATTCCTCTATTTTTCATCAGAAAGAATCTCTCAACTCGCCCGTGCTCGAGAAGATTTCTTTTCATATATGTATTCATCCCGGGACGAAATTTAAACTCTGATTAGAAATAGAACTTGGCTTGCCTTGAATTAAGATTTTTTGTGCAAACGATTGCACAGCAACGATTTTTACAGCGATGTTTCTGTTGTGAGGGCTCTGTTATTTGTCATTAACAGTGCCATTGCCAGTCAAAAGGTCAGTTTTATCTTGAATCAGTTTGGCATGATGTTTTTAAAGGTCTTTCGTGCTAAGTTCGCACTCAAACGTTCCACAAGCAAAACGAACTAAAGTTCACTCATAATAAGCGCTCTTTATGCATTTTAGCACCTCTCGACCTTTCAAAGCAGTTGAGGTTCTAGATAAATATTGCCAATTTCAAACTTTTTCCTCCTGCAATGTTAAGCCTGAAACCAATCAATAAATACCTGGAATTTTCAACAGTTGCTATTTATCTCTAACTTATAATTATTGTTTTTTTTATAGAATATCTAATGGTTCCATGTTTTTTTTCTTTTGTAATTGTTGTAATTTTCATCGGTTTTTCCAGTGCAAAGATTCGGAGAGCTCATCAGAAAAATCTGGAATCCTAGAAACTTCAAAGCACATGTCAGTCCACACGAAATGTTGCAGGTTTGGGAGTCCATTATTTTTTACTCAGCTTTTGTTTGAAAAATCACCTCTCAAATGTGGATTGCATGATTATCATGTCTTTAAGCTCTTCATATCCAAAAGCAATTTATGCCAAGTCTATGCTGCCCAAAATTATATAGCTTTCTACCAAGGGCAAATTCATCCATAAAGCAAAAGCATCGGAAGTGGCATATGATTTTTTATATGATTTGATGTTTTTTTACAGGTAGGGGTTGGAAATGGCCTTATACAGTTGTGTATAATGAAACGTTTCTAAGAAGAATTGACCTGGATCATGCCATATCATTTTAGAAATATACGCAGCTCCTGTTTCTCTGCTTAGCAAATTTACTTCTCCCGATTTTGTATTTTTCCAGGCGGTCTCTTCATGCAGCAAGAAAAAGTTTCAATTTACTGCCCAAGGTAATGCTAATATTTTCAAAGCATTTGTTGCCTATCAACCTCATAATAATCCCATATTACAAGCCTAAGTTTAGCTCACTTCATTTTGTTTACGTACCCAAGTCTATTTCGAGTATTCTAGGATTTGAGGTAATAACTTTTTGTCCAACACTTCTCAGAATATAAAAGGTCGGATATTAAAAGCTGAAGTCGCCAAATAAACCCTCCTTTGTACAAAATACCAAGATTGTAGGATAAAGCCGTAAAATTTTTCACTTAAAATTGTCGGATGTCGGATTTTAGTATGATGTGGTGTTGACGGCTTTTTATGCAATCGGAAAGGACTAAAACCAATTTCTCAGCTCACCCCGTAGCCCTTAATCGGTCTTACAGTCTTACGATTTCTGACCTTTGTTGTTAATATTTCTCAAACCTTTCTCTTGATATTTTACTCGGTATCCATTTTAGAGCAGACTTCATTTTTCGTTTATAAGGTCTTTTTAATGTAAAATTCTATGCCATGTGCAACGCAATACATCTGACAAAGTTTTTCTGTATGAAGAATCTTGTTATCTAATGGCGTTATCACATGACTTGTCCTTTTAATCTTATAATATTTTTTGTATGCTCTGTTGATACTAATCCGATATGTGTTTTTGACACGCCCTAGTTTTGATTTAGTTGCTAGCATATGTAGATACTATAAAACCACAGAAAAGAGTTCCTGATTTTAATCTACGGTTCACAACACATGCAAAGGGCAAATGTCTTGTACACAAAATATTCAGACTATAAAAATCCATGTCGCATTTGACATTGAAATTTCGAAAGAATTCAGCCTGTCTTTTATTACTGCAATGTCCAACCCAACAAATCTGGCGCCGCTTTAGACATAATTGTCTTATCTACTTATATGGAGCAGAAGGCTGTTACATTTTCAATTGTCGAGTTGAAATTGTACAATTGTCGATCTAATGCATTGACTGGTATAAGAGCTTTAATGCTTCTCAACATCTGAGTCACTAGCTGTTCTACTCTGACTCAATCTTATGTAAAGGAAGTTTGCATAATATAAAACGGATATTGACCAACAAATACTACAGATAGACATATCTTAATTGTGCCACTAACCTGGCAGGCACTCACTTTGTCTATACATCGGGCCTTGCTATTGTTTAATGGAAGCAGTGCTTATTTTACTGTTCTTGTAGCTCGTGCATATAGGTAGGAAGCATTTTAAAAGTAAGGGATGTGGTAGATGTGATCACAAAAGGGATGTGGTAGATGTTGTCGCTCTAGCAAATAGGCCCAATTGATCTGTTTTTGAGATATGGTAGAGAAGGTGCCCCTGTTCAACCTGTTTCCTACGTGTATAAGCTATTTAACAGGCCAATTCATATTTAAGGCTGATTTGATAATGAAATCAGTGTGTAAAGAGAGTCTCTATCATTGCAAATCAAAGGTACAGTTATTGCCTATGGTGCTACTGTTACCCCGTGTGATTTGTCATTCCCAGGTTTCCCGATTGACTTCTTGTCATGGTTTCTAAACTCGATTCATATCACATTAAATGGGACCAAAAAACCAAACAGCAGTAAGTACTTTTACTATATTACTATTTACTATAGTAAGAATTTGTTTTATCTATATGCTTGTTATGTAGCAAAGCACCTCGTGTATACACAAAATGTGTTTACACAAAATTACAGTAGTTTCAATACTCTTGTGATCATGGTGTGTAACATGTTCTAATCTTGCAAGGGAAGGTTTCCCAATTAGAAGTTTTAAAGGTCTTTTCAAGGGCGTAATGTGCCGTTGACCATATGTCACTATACCAGAATCATTTCTTATGATAGCAAATTAAATTCTATTTACACACTAAAACTTTGAAGTGTAATTACATTGCAGCGCATCCCTACCAACCTAATAGCTGTGTTTTCTAGCAACATTGAAGGTCTTGTTACTTGGCACAATTTTTTCATCAGATATTCATCACATAATTATATTGTCAAAAGGAGGAAGAGGTTTTCTGTGCACGAAAGCGAGGATATGCACGAAAGTGAAGAATATCTTATATGCAATGTGTTTGATGCATGAAGCTGACATATACCAAGGCCTTATGACGTTCCCCTATCGTTCCTATAATCAATGAGATATAATACATTTTTGGGACAGTGAATTGCAGTTCGAATGGTCCAAAAAGAACCATCACTTGATTTATATGATTTATCGATCGATGACTTTGATTCAAGGTACAATCTTCAAAACATTCAGAGGAGAAATGATTGTTCACAGCAGAAAACTCCCACAAACTGAGGTAATTTTCCTCTTCAACCACATCTGTACTTGAAAATTTCACGGTATATGTCCTTTTGAAATACAATACATTGCGATTTAAGAAATACATCACATTCCATATATTTGTCTTTTTTCTATCAAGTTGTTAATTAAATGAAAAAATGTATAAGAAAATTAATAATTTTGAGTTGCACTTTTCTATAATAAGATCATTTCTTTTCGTTATGTCGCTTTACATATAAATTCAAACAAATGAATTTTGTCTGAATTAGTTATTATGTAAAAATAATTGTCGGTTTGTTTTGCAAAATATAACAATATTTTACAATTTTACATTAAAGGGATTTAGAGGTTGTTGCTCATATTTTATCGTAAAGCGAAACAAGATCTTTTAAAGATACATAATTTTTTAGAGCCTGAAATTTCATTAAAATTGTTTTAGAAGGGCTATGTTTTCTTCTAAGTACAATCATCAACTATGGTACAATCCGTTGCGATTTTAGAAATTCTTCACATTTTCGTTTTTAGAGTATACTTTTTCCACTTTGAAGCCACTAATTGGATTTAAAAATGCAGAAAAATGCATTGAGATGTTTCATAGAATCAATTTTTTACATGTATTTTAATTGAAAATTCTAGAAAAAGAATAATGTTTATGGTGTTTTAAGCATTGCGCTCGCAATTTGACATCGCAGCTCCGGTATATTGACCATCTGGCTCGAAATCAGAAGAATGTAGAAACTCGATTTTTGCATTGGTTAATTTCTTTATTATATTGTTTACCTTTGTTCTCTTGATTTAATAGAACGAGGATGAGATGAAAAAACTCATGGAACTTGACGAATACAAAGGTGCCCGATCTTCTTCTCCAAAATTTTATTTTCATCACCTTAATTTAATTAGCTTAGGCTCCTGTTGAATTCCCCTTTCAGAACCATCAATTTCTTGAATCTCAATGAAGTTTTAGAGTGTGAATGTCATTTTGTTAGGCCTTTTCATGTTAATTATTTAGCTCTTTGTCAAAACACCGTCGCTTTTTATATGCAGTTGGTGAAATATTTATAATAAATTAAGTTCGCATAATATATTACTGATCTGTTTTCTGTTTGAAATCTCGACCAGCAAATGTTGATCTTTATTAAAACCCGATGTTTACCTAACCCTTTATCGGCATCTCATTCTAGAATTAAAAGTTTAAACAAGCTAAATTTCGCTAGCAAGTACCCGTTGAAGCTGCATAGAAACCAAACCGCAGTTAACTGAGTGCCATTTCTATAAGGTTTTTTTTGCCGTAAACAAATTGAACCTATCTATGGAAATATTCCCTCCAGTTTTTAGAGCGTCAATATATTTTGAATTTTTTTACGCAATAGAAACACTGTAATATTTTTCTTCGCAGAAACAAAAAGCCAGGCACCATTTCTGTACTTAACGCTTGATATCCCCCAAGCACCACTTTTTAAGGTATGTGGTCATACCAATTTTATTTTCAGTGCTTATGATGCTATCAAAGAAACCTTAATGGCATCACATGTCATATTTCCTCTAGCGCATTTAAAAAATCCCTCTTTATTTGCTGTCCTACATAAAATATTACCTAGTAGGCATCTTCCCCGAACAGCTTTAAACCATGTCTTGTTTGATTGTAAATAAATATGTTTGCCATTTGGTCTTTTTAACCTAGATGTTTATTCTAGACATAAAAGGGCTCTATGACACAATTTATGTATTGAATTGTAAATAGCTTGAATGATCTCTCTATAATATAATTTGTTTGGTATGTTTTTGTAGTGAAGGGCTCCTGAAAAAGACTTGCATTGTTGAAGGCTATCCTATTTAGACATATGAAGTGAATTAGACTGCTACATGAGTGGGGAGTCGTCTTAAGCCCCCAAAAGATGTTAGTTGGTTCCCCGTTGGCAGACAACCTATCTAGCCTTCCCAAAGACGTTAGCACTCCGTGGATTCCTAATAATTTGTTAATCTTATTCTTTGTCAAAATCGATAGAAGAAAGTTTCCATAGATTCCAGAAAACTCTCCAAGATGCTTGCGATTTTCTTTTAAGTCTATTTTGCTTCCTTCATAGGCAAATGTGTAGAGAATTCACCTTTAGCTCCATTATACTTGATCCACAACAATAATGTAGTTTTAGAGCTTTATTCTCTCGATGAATATCATGTTGTTGTTTGCTTTTAGTATGGTTGATTGAAACTTGGTTTATTTTTCATACTGCCTTGATATATATCAACCTACGCAGCGTTTGCCATTTAGCAATATCAAAATTTTTCCCATGAAAATTTTTTTTTTATATTTTCTTTTTAATTATATATTCTGAAAGTTGGAATCTAGCCTTTTCTTTTCTAGCCATATGCGAAATCATGAAGTTTTTAAGTCATGACGTGGCATTTTGAGTCAGTTTTCTCTGGTAGATTTAAATTTCATTAAATATAATTTCTTGTGCAGTAAAGCTTACTCTCTTTTTCGTTTTAGGATGAACTGGAGGCAAATATCATTCCACAGGTAAGATATTTCAAATACACAGTATCTTTTCAATATAAAACAGTTCTCTACCATTATACAAAGATGCAAAGTTTTCTTCAATTGCAGATATAATCAACGGAAGTAGTAACAAGTATTTTGTTTCTATTATTCATAAATTGTAATAAAAAATATTTCTTTATGATTATGATTAATACCTGTGTCATATCTCATTTCATGGCATCGTCAAGTCGAGTGAATTATGGCTTATTTGCCTAACTATAAAGGAGAGGAGAGTGTTTATACAGCTTTCTGTATCTTTTGCAGGTTCCACTCATTAATCTACTTCAGAAGTTTGATGGCGTGCAAGAAAAGGTATTATTCTATCAAGTCCGTTGTTATGATTTAGTATTGGTTTTTATATGATGATTTGCTACCCGAGTTCGCTGCTCAATTTCTCAATTCAAGTTATGTGAATTTCCTTTTTGAAACTCAGTTTCTACGTAAATCAGTTTCTCGTTCGAGACTCAGTTTCTACGTAAATTAGAAGAATCATCCTTTGGTCATGTATATCAGATTCTTTTGAAGTATCAGGTGAGTGAATTATTTGGAAGCAATGTAATCCATCGATCCATGTGATATGACATCTAAGTCTTCTTCATCTTAGGAATATAAAACATACAAAGAAAGTTTTGTGAAAAGATTCCAGCTAACAAAGCTGCCACCCTATTTGATAATCTTTCTCAAGGTAAGAAGTCACGTCATTTTGTTGTCATGTATGCAGTTCCTTCAAGCTTGATCGAAATTGTATCCTCTCAACACGACCCCCCCCCCTCCCAAGTAGAAAATATGAGGTTGCTGCGTCTAAAAAGTCTAGAAAAAAAACTTCACCTCGATTTAACTTTTGGGGGTTGCAGATGTTGTTTTATGGCAACCAGGCCCGTAGACAGCTTGAAGGGATTGGGGGGGGGGCATGGATATTCTGTATATAGTTATGGCAAAGGTGCATTTCTCCAAGGAAAGGAAGAGTTTAAGAAGGAAGGGTTTTCGCAAGTTATTGGTGGGGGCATCGTCTACCTGCCCGCTAGTGTCCACGGGCCTGGTGGCAACTGCTTTACAATTTAAGGGTAGATTTTTGTTGGTAGCGATTCAGACAGCATTTTAAGTTTGTTTCATTAAAGGTACAATATTTTTCAGATATTTCTAATTTTTCCTCGGCCTCTTTCATTTGTAAGTCCTAATGTGAAAACCCCTCCAATTATAACGTGCGCTTGTTTTTTTTAATGAAGATTTGGTAATCTGAGGGTTGCTACTTTGTCATTTTTGCAGAAATTTGTATAAAATGATTAGTAAGTAGAAACTATTTTTAAGCTAAAGTAGTAAGTAATATAATCTTTTATTTTTATGATAAATGATACAAATAGGAGTAAAACTTTTTATAAACTAAAGTTGTACAATTTACACACAATCAATTAGCAGGTAGAAGATATTTTTGAGGTAAAATATATTCTAGTGAAATTACACACAATCGTTGTTCATTAAAAGGCTTTGTATGAATTTACTAACCTGATAGATCACTGTATGTAATGAAAATATCAAACAGAAATTTTTATGGAATATTTTGCCATTTTTAGAGATTCAACAACAACACATTTTTCATCGAAAAAAATCCAACCATTGTCAATTTTCCAATCAAGTAAGTCGTCAGTCTTGTCAGTATTTTCATAATTAATTTATTTATTTGTAAGACTGAAATTTAAAATTGTTTGCTTTTATATTTCATGGGCTCCGACGCAGGTTGAAAAGTGGAGGGACCAAGAGAAAATATGGCAATCATAATAAAAAGTTTTGAAAAAACTCTATTGTTTTGCGAAAAAGGGTGAGGAGCCATGGCCCCCCCGGCTCCCCCCCTTCGTCGAAGGCCCGGTATTTTTGAGATGACTTGTAATTCTGCTTGTCTATATATTTATCTTGCATTTGAATTGTAGATTTACTGAGAGAAATGTGACAGAGTGACTCGACCAGGGCAAAACTCAAGCCCGTGACCAACAACACTGAACTTCGTTGCTCTACCGCTCAGCTACCCTGTCACTTAATCGTGAATTTGCTATTTTTGTCCCAGTGACAGTATGTTGGCCCAGTATAGTGTGCTTTCTCTATCTGCAATTTTCCATAAATACAAATCGTATATAGGCTCATTTTACCTTTTAATTTCCTCACTAGAAACTTGGATATGAAAGAATACTTGGTAGATGACCCGAAGGTAGTAGAAAAACATCCTCATACATCTTATGATCTCGTCGCCAACATATCACATGACGGAGAACCAGGTAGGAACTTTTCATGAATATTTCATTTCATAAAAACTTGATATTTGACTGTCTTTCAAGAAGAACCAAATACTGAATTCTTAGTTTCTTTTTGCCAGTAAATCTTTTTTATAGAGGCTACTTATTAACACTGTCCTAGATATCTGACTTTTTCATTGACTTTTTTTACTTTTTCACTGGTTTATTTCAACAGTTGGTGATTATGGTATATACTGACGTAGTTAGGTGGGAGAAAATCGCATCATATTTCAAGTAGTTTAACCTGGAGGCTATTATTATTGGTTTTAGCTGTCTGTGATGTATATCTTATGCAGAGATATCCAGAAACATGAAACTGGGCTGAATACTCGTGTGTTGAAAGCAGTAGTATAGGTGATCAGTTGACGTAAAAGAAAAGTTAACACAGACTAGTCGATTTTTTGTTATGGAAACGACATAACACTATGATAAGGAATCTTTGGGTTCGGCGCCAGGAAATTTACGTGGATTTAATCTTTTGATTTTAAGAGGACACTCTCTGTAATGAGCTGAAACATTAAGACACAGAAGTCAACAACTTTGGAGAACTTGGAAGATCTTGCAAGAGATCGAGACAAATGGAGGAAAATTTTAGGGAGGGAAATAGAGGCTAATGGAGCTAATCTCTGGAGAAGAAACTCTCCCAAAAACAAAACTGGAACCTCCAAAAAAGCAGATGTTTCTTAATAACATCCAAAAACGGTCACTCTGGCCATGTGTCTGTTTTATGTAGGCCTAGGTGTATATCTAACGTCAGATGTGACCTTAAACAAACTAGATGGTGCTAGTATCAACAGTTTTAGAGATACCCCCAGTATAGCTTAAAAGCCAGGATCTGCCTGTTATCTTTTTTTTAAATAAAAAGCATTGTAAACCTACGAATTATATGTTATATTGTTTTTTAAATATAACTTGAAATTAAGGTGAAATTGTACGAGGAAAATATGATCGAATTATAAAAACGACGTTTCGAGCGTAGGCCGTTATCATGTGATTATGGAAGGATAACGGGCTACGCTCGAAATGCCGTCACTGAAATTCTCTCTTATTTTCTTCGAATAATTTTGCCTTAATTTCAAGTTACATTGTCACATTACATTGTAGGACACGCTTGCTAGTACTTTTATGCGTTTTTTATAGTTCGCATATTAATCTATTGGTTATAAAAACTAATAAATTGATTGTATTTATATTTCAGGCTCTGGGAAAGGAAACTTTAAAGTTCATGTCTATCACAAGGTTCGTTAATGCTTTATTTAGTCACTACTGAGTACTGATTTAATTTGTGCCTTTCTATGTTTCGTTATTATTTCACTTTACGGACACTGCAACAGATAAGCTATTTATGTATTGCATCTATTGTAGCTTCCTAAGGAGAGGCATTAGCGAAACCGAGGCTCATGAAGTAAACATCAATCAGAATATCCTTATCTTTCTTAGTAGAGTTGATTTTGTTGTCAAATTTTATTTAAGAAGCCTTCAAATCACTTATACCATCATGCCTTGACGCCATGGTTCCTCCGAAAGTTTCGTTGAAGCTATTGGGACCATTCCGTTAGTTTACGGACAAATTTGATGAATTCAGATTTAGATTATGTCCGCTTTAGATGGTGTATCGACAGCTCTTCAGCCGATATACTATGGTTGTTTTATTTTCAAATTTCATTTTAATGTAGAGAATTTAGTGAAATTATGAAAAGAAAAAATGATAATTTGTTGCTTTCTTAAACATTAGTACATACAGGGGTCCAAATTTTTCGTAAACTGACGCGTCAACGTTCTCAAAACAGAAATGCAGTTTGAAGTTGGTGTAAATTTTTGTACACCTTCACCGGTTGGGTGCCAGATTTGATTTTGCGTATAAATTTTGATAAAATCAGAAATTTCAACCTCTGGAGCATGGCTCATTATTATGGTTTCTTTGAGGGCTATTCTGCTTGCTATTTGCCGAGAGTTCTTATTTCTCGCAGGGTTTTATTTATTGCGTACTTTGCAAAGCAATTTTAAGGATTGCAAACTCTTTGATAGCTATGTAGCACTGCACATTTATAGAAGCGTGTGCCGGCAATACGATGTCTTAGATTTAGCTTTCACATACGGTTTAAGATTGTTAGTTTTGCTATTTTCTTCGTTGCTCAGGATAAATAGCACTTCATGATATTTGTCCCCCCTCTGCTTGTTGAATAAAAAATCTGTCATTCCAGGGCGCTAAGCATTGGTTTGAGCTTCAAGATTTACACGTGAAAGAAATTCTTCCGCCAATGATCACACTTTCAGAGTCCTATATCCAGGTTGGTTTCTGATTGTCAGTTCCAAGACTTGAATCCTCTCGAACTCATAAATTCTTATGGGAACACGTTGCTACTAAGGACACTTTGACATTAAGAAATCAATATCTAGCTTGAAGTCATTCAAGAACAAGAAAAAGATTCTTTTTTCTCTTAGGCTTTCTCTTCATTCTTTTTTCTTCTAAAACAAGCTTTTTTCCCCCTATATATAAAGCCATTGCAACGTAATAGGGTATTATAATCAAACCTGAATTTTTTTATTAAGACAACATCACTTGCCCATGACCTCCTCTCCATTTAATGAAATTCCTGGCTTTTGGTCCGTTAATAATATTGTTATATAATAATATGGTTTGTTTTTAACGATTCCGGAGAAAATATCAATGAAATTTCGCAGAAGCGGCATATCTATGACTTGCCATTTAAAGTACTCAGTGTGCATTCTTGTTGAACTTTCACTTTTAGATATGGGAGTTGCAACAGAGCTGATCGGCTCTACATGCCTACATGAAGGCGACAACCTGGTGAAGACGACTTACAAAGAGAAGTGGTCAGAAGTGAAGACCAACGGTTGATAAATTCTGATGGGTTACAACATTGGGAAGAATACTTACAATAATACTAAATATCTTATTTATGGAGACGGATTGAAGAATCTTTCCAGTGTAAACGTGTTAAGATTCTTGTTTTAAATTTCGCCACATAACATTTCGTCCTGTTATTGTAGCCATGATAATCGACTTTCAGGTAAGAATCGAATAGAGTTTCTCAGTTGAAGTCTCAGGGTTGTTTGTTTCAGTCTTTGTGAATCCAACATTTTTAGTGGTAGCTTTTGTGGATAATAGAATTGATCCAGCAGAGTCAATGCCAGTTACTTTAACATATTTCTCTGTCGTAGCTAATATGTAGGGTGTGAAAGACTGTGGTCCTCGTGCTGTTTGACTTAGATCTTCTTCATCAGTCAATAGTTAGAGGATTTGCGTCTATTTTAAATGGGTGCGGTGGAGAGTTTTAAAAGAAACTATCCTTGTCCCCTTTGATGTACACCTTCACCTGTTTGAATAATTACGAGTAGGTTTTTTTATGTAGTAATCAATAATTTTTCACTTCTATTGGTCGAACAATATCCATTTGATCAGATGGTAAATCTCAACATAAATTCAGCGTAAGCTTTTTGGACTTGGTATCTGCATTTCTTGTTGGATAGCCATCAGAAATGGTAGGATGTAATTAAATGCTCTTAGATTTGTATACATATGCATGTCTTGCAGCTTTCGGTGCAATAATTATTGAAAGAGATTGCCCATCTGATTCAAAACAACGGAAGAAGTCTTTATATTCAGTTTTAAAATCTTTTCTCTCAAAATGGAACAGTTAGATAAAGAAAAGACAACCATGTTATATTTCCGACAAGATCTGAAATTTTCTGATAGAATAACTGTTTAGCTTTACAGGGGTTTTCTCGTGTAAACACCTGGGGGTCTATATGGTCCTGTAAAAACCACATACCAGATTGCACCCCAGCTTGTTTTCGTGACCAACGCATCATAGCTAAAAAGGTTCATATTTTCTGTGAATATAAAGAATTTCATTCTCTGTAAGTCATTTTCAATGTGTGTCTGTTGAGAAAAATTAGGACTTACACTTCCGAAAAGCTCCCGTGGTTTTGCTAGTTAACCTAAAATTAGCATATTTTCTTTTTTTATCATGAACATTTGATGGCAAACTAAGTCTATACGAAAACAGCGAAACATATAATTGTTTGCATCCCTGAATGTTTAGTATACGAAGATTTGGGACGAAATAATAAAGTATTGCTAAAAAAGTCGGAGGCAGCCTGTATAATAACTGGTCACAGAATATTTCAAATAAATCGTTTTGCCTCGGTTTCGTTTGCTCTCATGAATCATTCCGCAAGAGAGGTTGTAAACTGTACCTTACCTGAGAAGTGAGCAAGCTGATGAAGGCAGTGAAAAATGGTATGTTGATTTGTATTTTGGTTGCAATTCTTGATAGCTGCATCTCAGTAGATACAAAATGATTGCCTTAAAAATAATACCCAATCTTTTGCCTAGCATATTTATAAGCTTGTTTCCAGGTCGATCTGGTTAGACTAACAATACAGTCTATGATCCACGTGTGTGTCTGTGAAACATCGTGCCTACTTTTTTCATGGCATCTGTTTTACTTATCTTTATATCGACGTTTATCTACCGTAGCTAATAAAACCTTTTTATAGCTTTTTATGTTGTTGGTATGCAAGCTAAATCTGCTGAAATGGTTGCCAACAAAACTAGCTAAATGATCGATAGACAATTTTCTCGAGATCTAACAAGGGAAAAATGATTGAATTAGTTTTATGCTGTATGATATTGAACTGTTTTTTGTGCGAACAAGAAAAGACTCTCCCTGATACATATTTGCTCTTTTAAAGGCAATTCTTGGTATCCAGTTTGTTATAAGCTTCACAGCTGCACTGTTTATGCAGAAGTTATCACCATATTATTCTTTGGCAAGATGGATCTTGTGCAACAAGTAGGTATTTCAACAAAACAACACTTTGAAAAGCCTTTTGCAACAAGAACCTACTTTGATAAAACTTCTCCCTTGAAAAGATTTCAATTCACTGAATTGCTGCTCCAAGCTAGACTTTGCATGGAAGATCTTCTTCAAGCAATTTTGAATATAAGTGGGCAGAGTCAGCGAGGTTTGTGTCTTAATTAAAATAGATTAGTAAGGATTTTATTAAAAATGTTAGGTAAGGCCTTGTTCAAAGCAAGCTGTTAGGTTTTTTACGAAGGCAAGCTTCTGGTTGTAAGCTTGTGTCCAGTGGCGTAGCCTGAGCGCAGAACTTAGGCATGCAGTAACATAAAATATACGGCTATGTTGAATTAATGCAATTGTAATTTCAGCTTCTTAAAAATTCAAGTGGTAATTAATGATAATTGTGATGATAAATTTTGATTTAGAAAGTACCAAATTATTTGTACTCTAATTCTAATCAATTTAGGTGTCTATTCTCTGCATCAAAGGCTCAGACACAGGTTGGAAAGTGAAGGGGGGCCAAGGGGAAAATTATCACCCATGCGAAGAGTTTTTGAAAAAAGCTCAATTGTTTTGCAAAATTTTTCAGAATATCTCCTAGTGCTAAAACCGTTTTGCTAAAGATCTTATTCATATTCCTCAAGAAAAGGCATCACCTAATGCCCACCTAATGTAAGAATTTTTTTATGCTATAATGCAGCTGGGGATTCCCGCAAGGAGGAGCTCTACACATTATGAAATTGTTAACACACCGCAGAGCCTAGGCGAACAGGAGCAAAAGTTTCTGCTCATTTTCTACTCTCATAGTTAACAAAGATGACAATAATGAGCTGTGAGGGTTGTTAGAATTGAAAATGCTTACATGTGTAATGGTTTCAGAAAGTTGTTCCTTGCAAATCATCAACTGTTTGGCAAGGCTTGCGCTCTGGTCTACCGCATGCCCTGGTCCGTAAAATATACTGGCAAGCCTTTTGACTTGAATTACCGAATGCAGATCATGACAAATAGACTTTGGCCCCACTTTGACAAAACTTTTTCTCTTTTTAACAGTCACATAGGAAAGAAAGGAAAATAATGAATTTGAAATGATGTATCACGCAAAGAATATTCGCAAAAAGCAGCTTATAGGCAGAGAAATGTTGTAGATTATCAAATATTTGGGAATGCTTGTGCTCAGGTCAACTGCAAGCTCCAGTCCGGATAATTCTTACTTCTCGCATTGAGCCTTGCATGTTTCTCTCATTTTAGACAGGCAAAAAGAGTGATGTGGAGGGGCTTCAGTTTTTCAGATTTTTCAAATTTCACAACTTTTTAGCGATCTGTTTACTTAGAAAAATAGCCAATTGGCATGTTGGCACTGGAGTTCACTGCATGCTGGTCATGACCAGAAAAAGAAACTTTTTTTTGCGGAAAATGTTATGCATTGAATTTAACACTACAACATATTTATTACCGGTAGAAGTGTTGCAAGAATTCTATAATTTGTCTAGAATTTTTATGTTCGTGCCGCAAGCCTAGCATACATAGACGCTACGCCACTGCTTGTGTCTCATCCTAAAATAGTTTGTGATGCAGTTTTCAACCATGCTATTCATTGGTATAGACTTCAAAATTCAAATTATAATTGCAGAATGTAGAATACTACAGTTCAGTCAAGTTGATGCTAACCACCAAACTTTTCAATTTATGCACTGGTTTCAACTTTTTGTTCTAAGCCCCCTTGGGCTCAGTAGCTGAATTGTCAAGCTTTCTATTTGTATTTCATGAGATAAGAGTAACCCCAGTTATGCCTTTCAGAAGGGGTATATCTGTTTTCCTGATATATGCCTGTTCAAATATTTTTTACGAATGAGCCATAAGATATTTGGTTATAATTATTCTGGGCAATTTTCTGCCACTGGAATCAATCGTGCCTTTCATTTGTTGTAGAGGGTTTTCATCATGTTTTGCTGGGACTTAGCAGACAATGCATAACAGATTTGTAATGTCTATTTCCATAAATTTTTTAGAATAGATTTCATCCTTCCAATGAGAAATAAATTAAAAAAATTTTTTAAGGTGTAAAATTTTAAAGTCATGTTTATTTTTAATTTTTGAAAAATTTGTGTATAACTTGAACTTAAATTAGACTTGAGAAAGTTTATTTGCAAGATGGCATTGATTGGTAGAAAGATGCAAGTATAATTGTATCTTTCTCATTTTCCATGTCATTTTTAACATAATTTCTTTTTAACTTTAGATTGTACCGTTATTTATATCCCAGTAATGATGCCCTGAAAGCCCTTGCTGGCAGAGTAGTTACCAAGCCTGTTAAAGGAAAAAGGAACATAGACTCAAAGTGAGTGAATATCTTTTCTACAAGGGTATAAGCAGCTCTCTTGAATGAATTGGGTTAAGTAGTTTTTAAACTTTTTTGTTATCCATGCTCTCAAAATCAGTTCTGTGATGTAGTTGGTTTGGTTCAGGCTCATAATACATGCAAGGCATGCAATATTTTCATGAATAATGATACTTTTCCTGATAAATATTATATAACTAAAAAAGCAAAAAAAATTGGTTATTAGCACTGTGTTTTAACATTTCTTTGTCTGGTTTATATTTTATAATTTTAGTTTTTTGTTTTTCTAAAGAAGCTCCACAAATCTGCTGTTTCTTTTGCTTTTATTGTGTTTTTTAGAGTTTGTGAAAAGTTATTATTTTTTTCCTTGTATCATAGAAAAAATGTTTCAAATGGAGGACAGGTAGCAAGAAACATTGAAACATTCACCATCCCTTGTAACCTTGAGATAACACTTGAGCAAGCAAAGGTCTGTAGTGATGTAATTATTTATATAAATATTAGCAAAATATAAGCAAGCTCTGTTTTTTCACAATGTATCTTAGGTAGAAATGCATCTGTTCAGCTTTGATAAAATTTAACAGCAGAAAAAACATCTGAAGGCATCTACTTCAGAATAAATGCCAGGTAGCCAGAAGAATGCATAGCTCATACCACACCATGCCAGACCATGCTGGGACATCAAACCATATGAAACCATATCAGGCCAAACTTACTAACAAACTAACAAAACTAAGACTAGGTACTTCTTATAGATAATGAATAATGAAATTCTTCTTTCAATTAAACATTTAGAAAATAATTTGGGAACCTTTAACCTATTATCTCGCAAAAGTTTAAATACTGTTACCACCCATTGCCATATTGGTGTATTTCAATCTTCCTCTTATGTCTCATTTTACGGAGAAGTATACTTGCATCATAAAAATGTAAGATTTATTTTTCTTCCTAAGGTGGAAGAGGTTGATTTATACACACAGCATCGTTATCAAGATTACAGATGGCTTGTTGACATAAGCCTTTGCGCCTTTGTCGTCTATTCATGTGTCGAAATTGCAGTTCTTTGGAAGAGTGAAGTAAGGGCTCAAGAGTTCAATCTGAGTCTCGTCTGGTGTTTGATGATCGTTTGTTTTGCAATGTATCCATTTCACTTGTTAACAGAGAAGATATTTTCTATAGATACTAGGAGAATGTTTGGTATAGGGTAATATTAGGTATTTTAAGGTTGCTTCTTTTTGTTATAATTTGTAGTTTCGTTAGAGCAGGAAGGATGATTAATAAGAAGCAAGAGGAAATTGACACTGTTCTAGATGTGCAACCACTAAGGGGTTTTTAAGGGGCTGTATTTGCTTGGTTCAGTTCATCTGATTTTCCAAAAGTGGAAATTGACCTTCGAAACTGTCAGTGTATGATAGGCTGACAATGTTTTGTTGATTGTTCGTAGTATTCTTTCCCAATTCTACATAACCTCTTTGAATCTGGTTTTCGTATTTTGATCCTTTAGAATATTTAGAATAGATGTGAAATCTTAATCTTCAAGAACGATTTTTTTCTTGCAGCTTTCAGTAACTCTGCAAGGCCATAGACTTTTCAACTTGTACAGAACCCTCCAAAATTATTTGCACCTAAACCCATGTTTCTGTGATATTCCCATTCTAATATACTCTTCCAGGAGGTTTGGAAACGACTAAAGCCAAAAGCAATGCTCAAATTGAAATCTGCCAATGTGGCTATTGTCTGCTAAACTTTGTATGTTGTACTTCCTTAATCGTTTGAACAGAAAAGAGCTAGCATCTCTAACTGCAGCTTACTGGCATGGCCAGGATTCAGGTGAAAGAGCAATGTGCATATCGTTTGGCTTGTTCTTCCTTGTTCTCTCTATGGGAGTCCTTGTTATCGATGAATCTATTTTGGAATTTGGGCTGGAAAATGGTAAGTGGTCTTCAAACTGAAAGCCTTCATAAAAGGTCTTTAATCGAAGTAGTGGGAAACAAGAAGTTAAAAGTTGCTAAATTCTAAGCACAACAGAACAGGGGTGCTACTTTGCTACTTGCATCCTATTACGTCCAGTGACCATGGAAATAGGAGGGGGCTGACTGTCTAAATCTGCTAATTATTCTACAAATGAGTTTTAGACTATACATTGAATCTGTTTGTTTTTGGCTTGTAGCATCTGGAGCCCCCAAACTTTGACACCTTTTCTTGCGATTTGTAATATTCCGGCTTACTAGCCTGAAGAAGCTCCATAGTTCTCTTTCAAAATTTTTGTTACTAGGAAAGGTCCGATACCTTGAAAACATTAGATGGTCTGTTGCTTGTGTGGTCTGGTATTTGGTTCTACCGTTCAATTTCTTTTTATACAATAAAATTTTATGGAGAGGCCCCGTTACCCCGATTAGCAGTAGCTGTTCGAATTTATTGCCAAATGTTTGTAAGGGCCTGATTTTATTTTGAGTACTTACGTATAATTTATAGCTGTCAAAGTTCTATGAATTTCACAAGCTGTGGTATTCAACTGAAATATTATGTCAAGTAGGCAAAATTAGAAAATATTTAATGATCAAATATTTAGTGATTCACATTTGATAAGTATCACTTCAGCTTTTGTTGTGTTGTATTATTGAAATTTGTCTATGATATGTATATGTATATATTTTTTTACCAAAGGTTATAAGAGTTTCATGGATAATTTGATATCGTGTATGAAAGAGCTAGGCTTTACCACAAGGTTTGTGGATAGTTAATGTACTTTTTATTTACGAATAGCTCCTTTAAAATGTTTATAGGTGATGGTTTCTTCTGCATCTCAATATTACATATCATCAAGAGTGCCTGCTTTACAAAGTGGCAGCTAATTACGTTATACCAAAATGTTGCTCTTGACATTTGAATGCTAGTAATATATGGCCAGGATAGATATTCTTAAGTTTAATTGGGAAGATTGGAGACAAACTAAGAGAGGGATTTCTGTGGGAAGATTTGAGTAATATATGGGGAGGTTTCTTTTTTATTTCTATAAGAATGTCTAAAAAGGAGAGCTAAGGTTAAAATCAACGATCTGTTAGAGTTTTGAAATGGCTGATTATTATTTGCAATGAACAATGGTCTCAAAATCTGATGAATATATGATTTTTAGGCCCAAACATAAGAATGTATTGTAAATATATAAAAATAATTCTAGTATGTCTTAGAATATTACGGCAGTGTTTTAGAAAATTCAGCCGTCTTTAAAAATGAAGGATAAAATTAAGGTATTGCCTGCTAGAATAAATACTTGGCTAGATTTGGAAGCAAAATATGTTAACTATCAATATAAACTGATTTGTCAAGTATATATTGTCTTTAAGGCTGTCTTGAAAAGCTACTTAGATCTCTTTGCCTACATCTACATTACTTCACCTAATTGATAATTTATTTTGTTTGATAATGTTCATTTAGAGAGCCCCCTCCGCTATGGTCATTCAAACTAGCCCTCGCAGTGATGTCGGCCTTGGTTGGAGCTTTCGTTGGGTTCCCTGGATTGCGATTGGCAAACATGTACTTGGATAGTCTATATTACCACGAATCACAGCCTCTTTTTCAGTGAGTTTATATTTTTGAACTCATCCTGCCTCTGTTTGATTAAGATTTTGCCTTCGTGATTACAGTTTAACGATACTGTTCTTATTTTGTTAGCTTGATAATTTTGGAAGAGTAAAGGACAAATTCGTGTAACCTAAGAACATTTACTGGTTTCATAGAAACGGTATGATTTTGCTGCCTCGAAAAAGTGATAAACTCTGTGGTATCTGAAGATTTTGCAAATTTTTTTCTTTATGATGCAGCAAAATGCTGCATAGGTAACTCCGGGGTATCATTGAGCAGATCAACAAATTGACGAGGACACAAACATATGTTTTTAGAATCTTCGATTTTGAAATATTAATTTCAAAGACAACAATTTGTAATGGAAATGTGATTGATGCCCGTATAAAAAGGCAGTTAAATCTTTCCAAAATTGGCTAATTTATGGCCAAGAGCACAAGCAGCTTCCCCTTGGTTTGGGCTTGGTTCTAACGTTTATGAAGCAGGTCAAATCAACAAAAATTCGATTGTTAAAAGCAGGTTTCTTTGTTTTGAACGATTGATAAAATAGATTTTTAGATTTTTCCTTAAATTATCTGTGTATTCGTTTTACAACAGAATTCCTTTAACGCGTAGCAATTACATTTGATAAACACTTAGTTTTGTAAATATTTAATTGCCTTGCTGATGGTATTTCACGTGCAAATGATTTAATACTGAAGCTTCTTATCAATGATTCTAGCCAGTAGAGCTTTGTCATGGTATTTATTTTTTTCGTGGGTTTTAGGGTGCTCTTACATGCAGCATTTATTGGGCCTATTTTACCAGTTCTTGCTTGGATACGCCCTCTTGCAAGGGAAAATCTGGTATCTTTGGATGCTAACTCACAGAATTCGCTATCGTAAGTATCTGATATAATATGAGCATTTCGCTTTAGATTTTAAAGATTAGAACAATTCTTAATCAGCAGTGTGATTAAATGGCCGGAATTTCGGGAAACATTTCCGTCCCGGATTTTAGTCAGGACGTTCTTTCTCGTGAACCGCAAAGCTGTACTTTTCTTTGGTCCAAAACTTAACATCATCTTTAAAATCATTGTAGAGATACATATTATTGTTCAACTTGAATAATGAATTATTGTTTTAACCGTGCAATGCCCCCTTAGAGACAAATCATATGTGTCTGGCCCCCGTGCTCTTTTGAAAAGTGGAAGAAAACGTGCAACAGCCTCGGAATATTTTCTGTATAGAAAAAAATCAAATTCTAGCCATTATTTGGCTGGAGTTGTACTAATTTCTAACTGTAAAAAGTCGTTATGGTAACGTTCATAGAAGTGTAATCCCAGTTTTGTACAATTTAGCTTCTAAAGGCCCGTTCATATGAGGTTTGGTAGCTCACTCAGGCTAGGTAGCCAACAAGGATGTGATCAGCCTACAAAGTAATTTGTACTTGAAACGTAGATTTTGTACATTCGAGGGGTGGGTTTGCTTAACTAGGCTAGATCTCACTGCTGAGCCGCGCGATATTCAACCCAGGCGGGATAGACACCTCTCACATAACACGATTAAATCAGCCAACCTAGCGTTGAGGGAAGAAACCTCGCTGACTGCGTTGAGGAAAGAAACTCTCTAATAGGGTGTCTAATCTCAAATGAACAGCCCTGCGATAATAGTCCGTCAAGGATTAAATGTATCATTGGTTTGTGTACTCCAAGAAAATGAATACACCTAGAAGATGAAAATTTGAATCACTAGTAAAAGATGTTTGTTTTTTTTCGCTATTCATTTTGACTCTCTCCACCATCCAAACCCCCCTTTGATACTTATCCTGTCTCCTTTCGCCTTAAATTCATTGCCTATCGCTGTCTTTGTTTCACAGATTAACTACTGAGAATTTTCCAAAAGCACGAATCTTGATAGTTTTATCAGTGTGCTTGCTACGAATGGCAATGACAAGAACGTCCCTGCAATCCTATTTGAACATGGCAAATGAACGAGTAAAAAAGTTGCGTAAGGAGACTGGCAAGATAACCAATGTTCAGCTGCAGAGCAAGGTACGTTAGCCTCTTATTCTACCTAAAGTAAAGATGTCATTGGACTCCCGGTGTACCACCTTGAAAATAATACACTTTTGTGCTTAGAGCTGGATTGATTATCAGTTATTGATTGCATTATGCATGAAGCTTGGAATAGAAATTTAGCTACTTACCAACAAAGCTTGTACTGCGCTGTTAACATGGTGTCGTCGATCTTTCTGCAGCATCCCGGTTAACAGTAATCTGTATTCGTTAAAGATACTTTTGTATGGTAGCTGTGTGTGACTGACGTAGAGCAAGTTCTAGTGTCCTCTTAACAAGATATAAGGAAATGATGTACTTAGGAAGTAAAAGTCAAATTATGGCCTACATCTACCTGTTTTTAGTTTTTTTCTCGCAAATTAGATACACCCCACTAGATTCTTTGTTCTTTATCACCCCCTCCCTTAAAATCCACATTTTTTGTTAAGCATCTGTGAAAGTTTTTAGTTATCCAAATAGCTGTTTAAATTCAATTAATTTTTGTTTTACACTTATGATTTCACCGGCACATGCATTTTTTTCTGGACATTGAAATCCTATCATTTTTATTGAATCTTAAAATCGGATGTGACCAGCCTCGATTATTTCGAGCTACAGCGCACACGATAGCTTAGCCTGCGTGTAGACTCTGCGCGCTGTTTAACGATTACTCGCATTTTCACTGGGTATAAGGAGCATGTCCCTTCCTGAATTTAGAACGCTTGACATGCCCAAATTTTTCTCAGCGTTGAATTGACAGAATTTTCCCGTTTGTCTTACAGGTTGCAAGAATATTTTTCTACATGTCAACAGTTGCATTACAGTATCTTGCTCCAGTAATTTTGATTTTCTTTTTATCGTTATCCTGGTTATCAGTTGGTAAGTGAATTTTTAAAAATTAATTTATTTAACAATTTATGCTTGAAAAGTTTGAGTTGCTTTTCATATTTTGAAATTCAATTTCCAAATGTAAGTTTCTTTAGTCAGAACCAGATGTTTTTGTGATCAGTTATCCAATCAGAGGCAGTTTTTTGCGGGATGGTAACGAGGCAGGCCACGCGGATTGTTTCTTTCTTGAACAGATGCCGGAGAACTGAAAAGGTTTTCATACGAATACGTCCAAAAAGTGGTTTCCCGAAAATCTTGATATACAGAGTAGATTTTTCACTGAAACGATTTTGGTTGACGAGACCCGAAGAGTAATAACGCGATGATGGCTTCTCAGATCTTCCTTGTTTGGGATTATTTGTGTTTATTTAAGTGTCAGCAATATCACGTTGGAAGAGGAGATGTACATTTTCAAGATTTTCGGAGGAGCAAGAAAACTCAGCTGTATTTGGTTCTCATAACTTTGAACGCTTGGAAATTCCATCCTATTTTTTCTGCAATCATTTATCCCTCTGTGCAAGGACCTTGTTTTTTACATCAATACTTGGCATTTACCATTTCAATTTTATAGCATTTATATCTGAAACTTTTTGCTATATTGACGAAATGTTTCCCCGCGTTTGGTTCATGCTTGGATACTTGATGCTAAGGTGCTTAATTGCGCTGTGAATTGCGTGCGGTTCTTTCTCACATTTCATAAATTTCTTCAACTTGCCAAACTTATGTTGAAGTAGTATCATATCTTGTTTGGCAGCATCATTCCACAAATATATCAATCTTGCTTACTTACTTTGGCATTTTTTTATTTATGATTTAACTTTGTAGCATCGCAGGGCTTCTTTGTTTTCAAAGCACTTCCAAAGTGTCTCAAAGCGTCTTATTAAAAACAGCTTTTCTGCAATCACAAATTAGAAATTTTCGCTTGAAGATGAAATTTGAATCAATGCCACTTTATATCTACAGCATCTCTTCGACACTACTTTCACAAAATATTCATTCTATGTTCTTTATTATTCAAAGAGAGATATTTTCTTAATCATTGATTGAAACATTGGCTAACTCCGCACACTGCCATGTAATACTTACATTGCAACCATGCAAAAATACTGTATCATATAAACACGTAAGCTGTCGCCCTGAAGTACCACTATTGCTTTTTTAGATGCTGCAGGCTCAACCCCCGCGTCTGTTGCTTTAAATGCCACTAGCAATTCAACGGTCTTCTCAGAAGGAACTAGATACGTAGCCGTCCTTCGCAGGGCATTTTACTGCGGGGAACTCATAAAAGGACTTGTCTCGTATTTCACATGGTGGACATCGCTTACATGGTTAAGCACATCACTGTTCGGTGTTTGCTATTTACGAACCTTTAATAGTTAATGCTAAACATAAAATCTGTAGCGCCATACGTTTTAGAAGACTCGTTTTGTAAAGGTTTTGTAAAGTCATCTGAAGAAACTTTTAAATTATTGTCTAGATCTTGATTACCACACAGTGTGTCATACTTCTCACGTATCGATGATTTTAGCCTATATTTTTGAGGGAAACGTCTTACCTACTTGATTCTTACTGTGATGGCTTTTTCTTTGAATCATGTCTTCAAAATGACGGTACGACGGCGAGTCTAAGAAATCGCTTTTTCAAAATGGCGACTGCATACAGACCCCCAGAGCCTGAAGTTATGACACAGAAAGAGTTGTGTTAGAGAGTCATCGAGATAACATCTTGTTACCTTCCCTGTCATACGAAGTGTAAGGGGACTGTATTCTTCAACAGGGAATGCCATTTTTACCACCCATGTTGCACAAAACTGTTTTATAGCTCATACAACCAAATCTAAATTTTTGATCACTAAAACTTTCTTCTCAAGTCTTAACTCGCATGGTCCTATCACTATTCGTAGTTGACTCACAGTAATTGTTGTAACTTATATGCAGGCTTGGTTTTGTACTGGTTCAAAGTTTATCTCTATTATTTATCGACCAGTCAATTATAAGTCCGATTCACTTTCTCTCAAGTACAGTCAAATTTTTATCATTCCTGCCAATTAAACTACAGTTTTTTGAAATATAAGTGTCAGAACAGCGTTTTATTCTTGTGCAAACACATTTTGTAAATTAAATTCTTCCGCATTTGGTAATACATTTTAATGTCACGTGATATTTTCATCAAAAAATCGCATCCAAAAAAATATTTCAAAGCCAAATTATCTCACCACGTGGCAGCAGAATCTTTGCAACAGCGATTCTTCAATTTGTTGTCAAGAAATGTGACTTAATTGTGGGAAAAGGCCGCTGTGTCTATTGGGGTCATCCACGTGTTGGTCGAACATCAAGTATGCAGAAGGAAACAAACAAATAGTTTTTTTGTATCAATAACATCTATTTTGCAAATGAGTCAAGCTCTATACAAAACTAAGCGTGTGACATGCAAAAACATGTTAAAATGGTCTTTGCAAGGACCCTAGAGAGTCTTCACCGAAAAGAGATCTGTGACCAGACGTCGGGTAGCCTTGCAAAGCAGCGAAAGGCCGTTGTTGCGATGACGACATCTGTTGTGGTGGCTGTATGGGTTGCATTTGATGTGTTTGGTACTGGCTCCCTTGCATCATCTGGCCTTGGTAAAAATGTTGTTGATGTTGTTGTTGCTGCAGTTGTGTCTGCCGAGCAGCATCGATTCGGTCCACTAGTCGACCGGAAGGTAAAACTTCCCCGCGTTTGATAACTTCCAAAGCAGTACCGATGTTTCCTAAAGCAGATGAAGAATGCATTTTTTTAGAAATGTCGCCTCTATTTTTTGAGAGCAAAACAATTATAGAAAAAGGCACATACTGGCAAGGATGTGCATACCGTGTTTTTAAAGCCCTTACTCAAGTTTTGAAAGCAATTGACAATGTTAACAAAAGAAAAAAGATACGAAAATTTTCACACAAAAACTGTCTGAGAAAAATTCTTTAGATGACAATTGTATGTTCGTTCTTAACCGCTTGTTGAGGCTATAGAGACTAAGAGACTAAGATGGTCCTGCCTGTGAGACCATAATGTTTTTTTACGATTCAGTGTCCTCTGACGTAATTGAGCATAAACAAGGCAGCGGGCCCTAATGGGGGCTCTTGAGGCCTATTCTTGAGCAATTTAACAAGTCGTGGGAGGGTGACCAAAACATTTAGAAAGTAGGTTTTATTGTGAAAAATGGTTACTCTACCAGTAACGAATGAAATATCGCAAGCATAGAAAATTGCAATAATCCTTTTTGCGTATATTTGAAAAACTATAGCCGCGTGTGCAAATAACGGATATACTTATTAATTTTCGTATCACGATTTTTTGCAAATTTTTTTAGAAAATTAGGCCTCAGGCCAAAAAATGTTGAATTTGTTCAACAACTTTTCAACAAGTACAAACCTGTTTGCAGCTCTATGTAGGCTGAGAGCAAAATCGCATGTGTAGAAATGAAATCTGGAATTCTTGAATTCACAAGCTACAATGACAAAAAAAATATGCTTATTCAGTTGAAGATTTAACCGTGAACTAAATCTAGTTGCAATTGTGATATACACAACCATATTATCAACAGGAAAAGATGTTTTAAGAACTTTTTGTCATGATAAAACTAAAAACCAATAGCTTTTTAAGCACAAATAGAAGCCTACCAACAGCAGAGACAGAAATGTCACTTTTTCAAATATATGCTGCTAAAAGCGACATATTAGTACCTTTATAAATAAACTAAGTATGCATGAAGGATAAAATTATATCGTGGTTACATTTCAAGTCAAGGGCGAGTACTGTCAGAAACCGAAAGAAGTATGTCGCTCAAGTTTCTTTGGTCATGTGTAAAAGAATCCATTTACTATTAACCACACCAGTAATACTTTGACATAGGGCGTAGGCTAGGCTGCATGCTAGTTCAGTATTTTTAGAATTTTTTTGATCCACGGCACATTTTTTTGAAAAAATCATGAGGAACACATCCAACAGAAACATTCAAAAAATGAACTCTTTTGCTTATATTCACAATATAAAGTCGTTCTCATGGAACTTTCCTCACAGTGTGAAATCTTCCTAGCCTTTCTTTAAAGATGAAGCAGCTTATTGTGCGTAACTTACTTCTTAGAATCTTAATCCTTAGACTATTGCAATACGTCGACCAACAAATAGCGCAGGCTGCCAGATAAGATCAAGTAAGTGGAAACTGATTCGGGACAAGGGCCTCGGCTATGTAGTGTATCCCTTAAGTGGAAGGACATTTGATGTTTGTTAAAGATCGCGAGCTCGGCGAAGTAAAACGTTGAAAATACCTGTTGAAGCATTCGCTTTGCTTTGTCAAACTCGTTTCGGAGACTGCAAGCGCATGCCAGATTGATGTACATCACAGCACGAGCCTCTTGTACATTGTTTGGGAATAATTCTTTCTTTTGCTCTGCAAAGAAACGCTGAATCAGTGAGAACGTTTCATTGCTTGCTCACAATTTGATTGGAGTTCTTCTTAATAAGCAGTGTGTATCATCACTCATTACTTTGTATAATATTGTGTATCATTACTAATGTAGCATCAAGGACTTGTTAAGAAAATATTTATCTTGGCCTACTGGGATAAATTTCCCAGAGTAAACTAAAAGGTCAAATACAGGTGAACTTGACGTTCAAAAAAACATTCTTAAACTGAAGTTAATTGTAGTGGATGTCAGTATACCTTTTTTAGAATCTATTGGGTTAGACTCCAAAGACGTTGAGATGTCTGTAATCTTTTCCGGTGATAATTCTGCGATAGCTTCTGAAATTCTGTCTAATTTTATCAACGATTCGGCTGCATATAAATGTCCAAGGTATCTAAGAATCAAGCAATAATAAACAAATTATGAACCTCAGACATAAAGCTTTGGACACAGTCAAAGTGATCTATTTTACAACAGAAAAAACGAGTAAAAGACAGGGGTAAAATAGTGCCCCCACATGTTTATCTCTGCAGATGTTCCTTAAGGGATTTTATCATATCATCACTATTAAGCTCTCTTGTGTGCTACCCAAAAGAGATACACAGCAAACATTCTTACGGGGGTTTTTCGACAGGGAAAAATTCTTGAGAATTCTGAAACTTTGAATATAAACAATAATTTGCAGTATTATGTCTTTCGGTTGCAGGATCATTGATTTATAGGTAGTATGTTTAGAAATACATGCCATGAACCAAATCAACAGTATTTTCATATTTAACTGAAAAAACCTCATGTAGACAGAAGGTTTATTTTGGGTCCTATTGGTAATATTTTCAATAGGCAAGTGGCCCTGCTCGGGCAACCTTAACATTTATGTGCCCTCCTTTCTGATCGGCCTTTTTCGATCCGAAACTGGTTATAGATATTTTCTAGCTTAAGAGTTTTCGATCCATATGCTGACACATTATGCTCTGAAGAGTGTCAGACGAAAAGTTTAGTATATTTCAAAATGATTGCTTTTTAAAGCCATTTTGTTTTAAACGTTAAAGGACAACGTTGTTCAGTGCTTCGACTTACTTGTAGGCCCCCGGCAGCATCGACTGGGAAAGTAGCTCTCTCGCATAATCTAGCGACTTGACATGGTCACCAAGACCGAGCGATATATAGGCACGACATGCGATGACGGAAAGCCTGAAAAAGAAAGGCACATCAATCAAATGAAGGGAAACTTGGGACAAAAAATGTACTCCTGTATAGATGGTTTATAGTTGTTGTATTTTAAATGCATTTACCGAACCTCTCGAGTTAATGAAAAGGGAGACGCGTTCTTTCATATGCATGTTACTCGGCAAGTTTTTAGTTTTTTGTCCGTAAAAATCAATAGTGTTTTGACTGCTAATAAATGTTCTTTGTATTTGAATATTATTAATAGTCTAAACAGCCCAGATAACACAGGCCTAAATGATAGTAGTAGTTTATTGTTAATAGAATAAAATAGATATTTTTAATTAATCAAATAGAAAACGGTATTTTGAAATCCGGAACATAATTTATTTAATAACTTTATACACGCTTTCAGACGGCTACTGTGAAAATCATTGTGTATTGCACAGAATTTTGTCAAATGCCTAGGACCCTCTTAACCTTCAAACAATGTTGTTTTATATAAATCTCAGAGTGTCAATTCTGCCAAATACTCGCCTCTGATACAGTTATGATATTACACTCTACAGCTTACCAATGTTTCGGGGGAGAGGGTGCTGTAACTGTTATTCTAACCGGAAACTAAACATTTCCCAGGGTTTTCAAGCTTGCAACACCTTTTGAAGGTCCTATCTATACCGTATACAGTATTGTAGCATGTTGCTACAGGGGCGGATCCAGAGCAAATTTGAAGAAGGGGCAGTTGGTAGTTGGGGCGCTGAAAAATTTTCAAAAATTGATGACGAGAGTACGCTGTATACAACAAAGATTAGATCCATTTTCGGAATAAACATCATAACTTTGAGGTAATCCTTGAAGCAAATTAACTTATCGGTCTCAAAAACTTTTTCACCAGATTCCCATTCTTCAAAAGGGGCGCACAATTTCCAAAGAAAAGGCGCCAGACTTGCTTCAACTCGTTGAAGGAGGGGCAACTGCCCCAGCTGCCCCCTTCAAATACGCAAATACGTCACTGTGTTGCTAGGTCCTAATGAATAAAGATGTAACTGAGTGATAAATAAGCACCTCATTTTGTGGAGTTCTTGAATAGATATCGGTTCGCCTGGTAGGTCTTTAGCCAAATGTGCACCAAGAGCAAAAGATTTTCTAAGGAGAGGAGCAAAAAAGACTGTTAATGGGTTATTTTAGACATGAGAGGGAAGTGTGGTTTACCGGTAAATTCTGATTTTGCTGTTGCTATACCAAACACAAACTGGAGGAATGGCAAGCTTCAGTACTTTTAATTATCAAACCGTTCTTTTAACATAAAACTGTTGTAAACTGACGTCACTGTGCAGGCTATTTGACAAAAATACGGGGAATAGCGCAGTCAATTCAATAACAGCAGTTCTTTGTTCTTCTACAACAAGAAAGTTAAAACGACGACATTGTCACAGCTCTGGGGTTACCACTAACCTTAATCTACTTTGGTTTGATGCTTGAAAATAGGTTACTTCATTCTTTACAATAAACCGAAAAAACCCTTTAAGATTTAAGGCATGATGATAAAAGAGGCAAATATAAGCAACTAAAGGTTAAAGAGTAACCACGTTTAATAAAATAAATTTTGCAGACAGGGTACTGAGCAAAGCTAAAATCAATATGACTTTCAATAAAGTATTATTATTATTACAATTATTATTATAAAGAACGCATGATATCTTATTAGAGCCACTGATTTTTACCACACTCCAGACCTAAACACACATGCTGTTCGCCATTGAATAAGGAAAAATATTCAGGTACCATTGGGCAGCTACAAAAAAACTTACTCTTTCTCTTTTTCGGCACCTTCTGCTTCCTGCATCGATGCTGCTAGCTGCCGAAAGGCATCATCAATGTCAGTTGCTTTTGGCAGCAGTTTCATCGCATTAGATAAACAAATGCTTCCGAATTCTATTGTTGGAGCTGGCATCGCTGAAGACTGACTTTCGTGTCTGAAACAGAATATTCAATTGAATGTTGCTATAAAAAACCAAAACACCAAATCTTTGAACTGAATAGGCAGTAAACATTCACTAAGTCAAACAGGAGACCCATGTGTAAAACAACTGCAGAAATCTTTAGAGGAAACTTTAAAAGTCGATAATGGCGCCCAACCTTTACGCTATAAATTGGTAGTGATTGGGGTGATAAGTCTATTGAAGATGAATACATAATAAAATTTGTTTTTGACAACAAAACTCTTTCTGTTAGAAATTTTTGCACTACTAATGGAAAGCATTTGGTGACACAATAAAAATGGAGATAGATTTTCATCATCATATCAAGATTGTTAGCAGTCAATTATTCAATGTAAAATTGTTAGGAGAAAAAACTTTTAGTTTATTTGGCAATGATTGGCTTTGAATTTTATAAAATGTAGTGTTTATTTACCTATGAATTTTGTTTACGTCGTGAACAGGGGATAAGACTATCTTCCTGTGTGTGCCAGCTCCTATCACGCCGCGAACATAGCTGCTTTTCTTGACCGGACTTCTGATAATGTCCCTTTGAAACTGGCGATCATAGAAGAAAAAGTTAAGTATCATCCAAATTTATTGCCAAATCAGGGCCGCTTGCCTATAGAAAATATTACCAATAAAGTCCAAGGTTGAAAATGGACTGTCTACATGCAAATGGAATTGTGGTTTTGCCATTTTCATGTGCATCAACTTTAAAACTGCTGGGTGGAAAAAGACCAAATATCTGCTTAATATTTATATGCTCAGTTTTTGGTTGGCCTATTTCGATCAACAACTGGGTATACATATTCTATAGCTTAATTATTATTCTAATGTTTTATTCTAATCATTATTCTTGCGTTTTGTTCTCTGAAGAATGTCAGACGAAAAGCTCCAATATGTTTAAAAATTTTTGTCTATCAAAAGCCATTTCTAAAATTTTGTATCAAAAAAATTCATAAAAGTTATATACTCTATGGTAGAATTCTGGTAATAAAGTTGAAATTTAATTTTGGTCTAAAATTAGAGTTACATTTGTAGTAACTATAGGTGATGCCCCTTTCCATCCTGTTTTCTTAATCTTTGCTTAACTTCAAAGGTCATGGCTCTGAAAAGAATATTAAACTTTGCGAAAGTTTCTTCTTTGTTTCACTTTGTAACACAACTAAATAAACGTTCCCCGTGATTACCTGCTGATGGACCATGATGCAAGACTCAGCCAGTCTGAGCCAGAACCTTGGGTGACACTCGAATAGATCATTTGATTCCATGAAGCAATCGAATGCAGCCACAGGTCTACCTGCAAATAACAGTTGAACGCCCATGTTGTACATAATCTCACTTCTCTTGTTCATGGCTAATGTCTGCAGAGGCCGTCCAGATAACTGATGATCTAAAGTGGAGAATTACACATAATTAAACTATCCTTGCTGGTTCTTACAAAAAATATACCAGGCAAAGAACGAGAAAAGAGGCCAGGTCTAATGCTACGTAAGGCAAGGTAAAATCCACATTACAGTTTTCACTCATGACACACCACGAATTATTTTTTAGAAACGCAACTGCCTGCTTCATCTCTTGCAGCTTTGAAGAGGCATGGTTAAATTACATGCTCGTTGTGCTCGCAAAAAAATTTGCAGACTGTGTGAAATACTGGGATACCAGATCACATGTGTTCTCAATGAAGCACAATAGAAATATTAAAACATACTTTTTTCAATTGATGGTAGACTCCTCATTGCTAATATATTTTCCTCCAACGCTTTTCGGGCGTAGAATATGCCAAGGTTGTATTTCCCCAATTTGAAATGAATACAACTCATATTGTTGTAGTAAAGGGTGACAAGAGATTGTCCTCGCATTGCCACTATTGTCTGCAATGGCACACTGTTAAGTAATTTGATCGCCTTGGGGTAGTTTTCTCGAGTATATTCGTAATTGCTTTTCAGAAACAATGCATCTGAGTTCTACAAGAAAGGGGAAATCAGCAATCGTTACCTACGATTTGATAGAGGAAAAAGAAAAATGAATTCATCAAGACCGAAACATTCTCCCATAAAATAGTGAAAAAGAGACATTTTCCAATAAGAATACCACATCCATTCTTAATCTCTTCTATAAACTAGAAACACTCTACACTGGAGTGTCAGTTAAGACTATCATATAAATATGATGCTGACGAGATGTGAGGTCTTTTTAACGTAACCATAACATTGTCAATTACACAACTACCTCCAACAAATCAATGTGTGTATGCAGTAAAACCAAAAAGGTATGGAAATATACTAGGATTATTAATACCACCCATGCGATGGCTTATTCCATAATTTTGTTACTGACTCAGTAAAGTTTAGCTGATCGTGATTAGACATGAAACACTCATATGAAGTAGTAAAATATGATATATGACATAATTTATCTAATTTAAAAAAGAAATAAACCAATACTTACATTTGCGTTCATGTTTAGAACAGATTTGATCTCACGTTTACATTCTTTCAAAGCCTTTCTAATTAAATACATTTTTGCCTTTGCCTACAGAAAACAAAATGAATAAATGAGCTCGATTTTAAATTATATCTCAAAACCACTGTCATACTAAAAAATGGGTTTCAATAGCAGAGATGTCAGCACTGACATATTGAATGCTGGTATAACAAATTAACCCACACACATAGCATTGAATCAGAAGAATAACAGTTTTACCGTTCTGTCATAAATACTCAATGCTGTATAGGAAGAGCTGTTTGTGTATAGAACAGGACAATTTTAAGTTGCCACTCCGAGTTTCACGATTAATGAGATCATCAGGCAACTGTTTTAGTATTGAATTTATGTTGTTTCTGTTTTTCCCTTGGTGGATTGCAGACATCATTTCCCCCCTTTCATTTATATATGGTGGAAGAATTTATAGAGAGTGTAGAGGTACTGTAATCTTTTCAATAATAAAAAATGTCTAGGACTGTAATTTTTAGTAATCTCAGTGGCTGGCAACAGACACATTATATATTATGCATAATAATTATTGTAAATCCTCAAATTAACCCCTCAGATGGCAAAAATCAACAAATCGAGGGAGGCCAATTCAAGGATTTATGGTAGAAGAAAGGGCTTATTTGAGCAGGGGCTTATTGAAAATTTGTAGTTCTGGGGTGGGGCTTATTCAAAGGGGGGATTTTTTGATAAGGGGAAATTTGAGGATTTACGCTACATATAAAAAAATCTTCATAGAAGATGGAGTTCAACATTACCATATATATATGCATTTTGAACTCCTCTGGCATTTCTTTGCTGGTTGTAGACTGAGAAACTGACTGGCTGTTCTCATTATCACCTTGCTGTTTGTTGTCATTTGACTGAAGATGACTGAAGGTTTTTGGAGCAAACAATACATCTTCTATATACTTCAGCATCCCATTTGCTTGATCAGTCTGAAATAAATTAGAAAATCATTATCAGACTTGTTGATTTGAAACTGTTTAAAGTTTAATGTTATAATCATTAAGAAACTGTGAATCTTTTTAATAATTCAAAATCATAATTTTTCACGTAACAAATGAATTTCAAGAATATTTAAAGTGCCTTGGCTCTTTATTATTTGGAGATAGAGCCACATACTCCTAATAAAATAAAGCAACATCACTCTTGAAAGAATAAACTCTTACATGCAAAATAATTATTTCAGTAATAAACATTTTAGAGGATGAAGCAAGGGATTACAGTAACCCTTTTTTAATCTATAGAGGCAAAGGGCCCAACCAAGGGTGTGTATGTTTATCAATAAAAACATGATATAAAACTAATACTGAGTGAGTAATTTTACCTTGAATGTTGAAAGATACAATTCAACAAGAAAAAAGCAGACTTTCACAGCAAGATGGTCATCTAAAAAGAAAAGGATTGCTGTTATAATAAAGTTGTGATGTTGGATAAAATAGATAAATACATTTATTCAAAAGTTATTAGAGTCTAATTATCAAAACATTGATGGCCAAAATAACTGCAAAGGTTTTTTCTTAGGCCTAATCAAGGCTTTGATTGACCATTCTATACTAGTGACAGGATTTAGATGTGATTTGTAATACTTTGTGCAGATTTTCAGCATTTCTATAATTTTTTAACCATAACCTTCAGCAAGGTACTAATTTGAAATTTTGTGCGAGGATGGCTCAGTTGCTAGAGGAGCTGACTACAGACCCAAGAGTCCATGGTTTGAGTTCTTGACATGACAAAACTTTCTCTTAGAGTGAGGAGAGTCACCAGCTCTTTGTAATTCTGGGTGTAGAAATCATGAGGTGTGGTTACAGGGGAAGGACCAAGACACTGCTTGATGTCCTAAAACTACCTTCGGAAGCTAGGTAGCAAACGATACAATGTATAGTTGCCACATGCCTGAGTTACATATGCCTGGTGAATTAATATGCAGATAGATATGGTGTTAGCAGTGCAACAAAGAGAATTAGTTTGTTATCTTGTAAAACTACAATTTTGAAAAATAAATGATAACAGTCCTAGTAATTTTATGTGTGCCAACACAGGCACACACTTCCACAGATGCCTGAAATTTCCCAGACATGCTTTTAATTGCACACTCAGCACCACATTTTGACTGACAATTCCTTTTTTCACTTTTTTTGCATTCAAATCTTGTAAATTTTCCCTACAGTAGTTTTTTAATTTCTTTTGTGTGAGTTATCTTGGAAGCATTTAAGGAGGGGGGCATAATCACCCTCTGAAGCACTTTTGTTGAACTGTTTCCAATACTCCAGTCCACTCTGTTTTGGTCAAATGAAAATAAGTGATTCAATATTGCATGTTTATTCATTCTCATATCATTGGTTCAAGCTCTTTTTGAAACTGAGAATGAATGACTCCATTTTGAATGCCTCTGTTTTTGCTGTACCTAATACATATGACCATAAATATTTTTTCTGTTCCCAATATATATGTTCCCAATTTCACTGACTCTATTTTGAATGACTTTACTTTGAACTGGGATCCAATAACTCAATTTTTGAGAGTTTCAATCGGAAAACAAAATTTAAAACAGATCGATTCAAATCTGTTCTCATACAAAAACAGAAAACTTCTTCTATAATCCTGTAACAATTGTTTGGTTTCTAAAAACCTCATACACATTTTCAAACAGTGATACAGCCTTGAAATACACATGTTATACATTTCAGTGGCTACATCAGATCTTCGTAAAAAATCATGAAGGTCTCTGTTTTGTGGAGCACACACAATTGCACGCAATACACCAATTCGACTTACGACCTCGTTTTGGAAATTTCTCCAAACTTGGTTATACGACTTTTCTAAGCTCAGATTTGGTTCTATCGTCATAATTTTAGGCGGGATACCATTTTTCATATTGTTTTAAACTTGTATTTTAGATTTTACAGAGAAATGAAGTTTGAAAACCTGTAAGGGATTTTACCGCAAAAATCGTTTAGGGGGGAAACTTTACCCCCCTAGTTGCCAATCACGGTCAAATCCTTTATAAAATTTTCATCTTTATGTCGTCATAAAATCAATATCGTGAGCAATATCATAATGAAAACTCACAAGTAGACTAAAATCATTGCTGTCAATCCGAATCTGAGGTCGAGAATTTTGTACAAAAGAATTCGAAGAATTTTTCAAAACGAGGCCGTAAGTCGAATTGGTGTATTACACACCTAAACTTTTCAAGCATGGGATTACCAGCATTCCAACTAATTTCATATTACCAGGACTGTGATTATGATCCTTTATGTGTCATGAAAGAGTGAACTAAATTTATAAACCCTGACAGAACTGAAGAGAGCCAAACAAACTCAAAATAGGAACCTACCTAAAGGTTCTATAATTTTGAATAGTTTCTCAATTATATTAATTGCAGTCTTTGGCTGTTTGAGCTAGAAAAATAAGTATGATAACATCAACCAAGCTCCTTGAACAAATCTTTCCAGTCATGACAGGTAGAATTTCTGTTAATTATTCATTCTTGAATTATTGTATTTGTATACAGCAATTATAATTAATGTATCCTAAAATATAAGACAGGATGGACTCTTAAATTGAGAAAGAGAAAATAAAAAGTTTGTGTGAAATACAATTAGTATCCAGTATTTAAGCTTTGTTTCATTCAGATTTTTCTGAGCTATTAACATTCTTCAGTGTAGTAACATGAAAAGTAAAACTTGGCCAATATATATTGGATAAGGATTTGGATTAAAACATGAAAGGTAAGCAGGGAAGAGGGAAAAAATCAAGTCTTCAATGTGTAGTTCCAAATATGGAACTCCTCCTTTGGTACAATAGTACTACTAGAAATTAACCTACATGGTAGTGAATTATTCCCTCATTGTACAAAAGGAAACACAGTGATAGGTTCTCCAACTCATCACTTGTACCTCCAGCTGCTTGAGATAGCTATAGGAAACAAAACATAATTTTTAAATTCAAAAATAGGCAATAAGAATAATCTTCATCCCAAAGGTTGTGTTGCAGTTTATGGGGTTGTTCTTAAAACAACCTTATAAAATTGCAGCTAAGATTATGTTAGAAGTTTTTGTTTTTAACTAATAAACTAACAATGACACTACCCACACTGTCATAGGACAAGTTTACACGTTTCACTTCCAGCTGGCATTTCTGAGAAAGCTTATCTTCAAATAGCCTACTGAAAAGACTATCATGGCTCACATACAATCACTTCAAAAACCTCTCAAATTTTCAGTTTTTTAAGACCTTGTTAATTCGTATAGTGCAAAAATTTATAAAGCTTGTAAGAAACAGGACATTAAAGGGAAGAAAATTCAGAAACTGTAGGTCAAGAGCTGCTAAGCTGACATTTACAATATGACTTCGTTTTATGACTTCATAATATGATTTTATTATATGAAAACATTATGTAACCATCATTATAAGGAAATCATAATGTTTAGCCCTTTAACACATTACATAATATTTTATTTATTCATCACTGACATTTCAGTTTCAAATTCCTTTCAAATTATCACATTTTTAGAAACAAAAGGAATAAAAAAACATCTGCCAATCCTTCATATTCCTTCATTTATCAATTCATATAATTGGACGGGAAATTGCCCCCAATATACTAATCACTGCAGGTAGTACACCAAATGTGTAGAAACTTCTTTACGAGAAGGTAGGTCTCCTTTGTTTCAATTAATTCATGTTTATAATCATTTACATAATAATTCATGTTACCATACCTGCTTTTTTACAACTCCTATTTGTTTCCTCAACTCATCTGTCTTACAACAGTTTGACTGATAGAATTCTGTGATAGCTTTGTTTAACAAAATTCTGGAATCATTTGGCCTCAGTTCACCAAGCTTTTTGAGAAACCCAAGACATTCATCAAATTTTGAATTCTTGAATTCATTCAATGCTTGGTGTGAGAGTTGCTTCTCTTGCTCACTGTCAGCTGTGTTGTCCCTTGCCTGATCGGACATTTTAAAACCATTGATGGGGTCTTTGTTCACCTGTTGGAGATTTGATAGTTAAAGTTTAAGCCTCTTAATGTTGAATGGTTTTCGCCAATAATTTGTGGCACTTCCATAGCAACATAATCCATTCTGAAAGGGCATTCATAAAATGCATTCCCCTCTTTGTCATTCTGCCATTCACACTCTTTTTTAAAAACCAGCAAATTGAAGTTCAGGCTGTATTGTTTTTAATTTGTTCCTAACTTGTTAGGGTGTAAGCAGTGCAGTTACAAGCTAGTGTGGTCTAGGGGGTGGGGGGGAGAGGGGTTGATGAGGCTTCATTTGCCAATAAAGCAATCTTTGTAATATGAAAATGGGCTGTGTGCAGCGTTTTGCATGTCTTGATTACTTTGCATGTCCAATGCGAACCACTTTTTAATTGGTTGTTACTCATTCCTGTTGTCAAGAACTGGGTACTGCTTTGAAATCGCTGAGTTTTGACAGTTAATAAAGTATCAGGTGTTGATTGCAGATTACTCCCCCTTTGCAACCCCTTGACACCCCCTTGGCAACCCCTTGGTTAATTACTTTTTGAAGCCGTTGCTAAATAATCTAACTCTCTAACTAACGTGAATACTCTAACAGCACCTTCAAAAACTACAGATCTGCCTTGAATTTGTCTGCTGCTTCAGAAATCTTTGAAACAAGCAATTTTCAAGAAATTTTTATGGCAAGTTCTTTGTTTTGTATCTGGGCCTGTGTGGAGGTGTGCATGTGCAATCATAAGCCTCATATAACAAAGACTAATAAAGTGAGTGAGACATTCTATATTGTGTCCTTTATTTGTCAACAAGTTTGTAAATTTACTGAAAAAGCAACACTGGATGGTATAAAAACTCCTCCTTTATAAGATGAAATTTTTTATGGGTATTACTATTAAGGAAATTGTTTAAAGGGGTTACAAAACATGGTTCTAAATTACATTTTACTGTAGCTCAGCCTTTACTAGTTCTTAATTTGTTCTTGACTTTTGACCAATTTCAAAGCTTATGTTTTTATTTTTGTTCAAGTTCTGTTTGTGATGATACATGACATAGTCTCCCTGTATCATTTGTCATATATTTCAAGTCTAGTGATGTAGTGTGAGTGAAGAAGTTAGGCATGTGGTAACATATCATATAAGTTTATGTTGAATAAATAAAATTGTAATTTCAGCTTTTTATAGATACAAGCGGTAATTCAAGGTAATCTTGATTATAGATTTTGATTTCGAAAATATGCTCAGGTTTGAGAATCCTGTGGTACTTTATGTTCATTTTTTCTCTAGAAATAACAGGCATGGCCAGCAAAATAATTTGTATGAAGTGTCCCACCCTGTAAGCCATCATTTTTGTCAAGGAAGGTACCATCTAAATGTAAGAATTTAAAAGCAAGATCACATAGAAAAGGATTTTGTGGGACGTTTTTGATGCTTTAATGCATCTGGGGATTCCGGCATGGAGGAACTCTCCACATTGCAAAATTGTTAACTCACAGGAGAGCCTATAAGCAGACAGGAGCACAAGTTTCTGCTCATTTTCTACTCTCATAGTTGACAAAAGTGAAAATTCTGAGCTGTTAGAGTTGTTAGCATTGAAGATGCTTTCAGGTGTAAAGTTTCAGAAAGCTTGCGCTTGGGTCTACTGCATGCTCTGGTCCATAAAATCTGACTATACTGGCAAGCCTCATGACTTGAATGACGGAATGCAGATCATGACAAATAGACTATGCCAAAAATTTTTCTCTTTTTCATAGTCACAAAAAGTCAAAAAAGCAAAATGATAAGATCTGAAATAATATATCACGCAAAAAATATTTGCAAAAAGTAGCTTATAGAGGCTGGAAATGTTGAGGACTATAAAATATTTGGGAAAGCTTGCGCTCAGGCTGACCGCAAGCTCCAGTCCGGAAAATTCTAACTTCTTTCAGAAGCTGTACATGAGCAGCACTGAAGCTGCACTGGAGCATCACATGTTTCTTTTTATCATCGATGAAAAAAATAGACAGGCAAAAAGAGTGATGTGGAGGGGCTTCAGTATCTCAGATACTCAAATATCACAATTTTGTAGCAATCTGCTTTCTTGGAAAAATAACCAATAGGCATGTTTAGGCTGGAGGTCATTTATTGCAGAATATGTTATTCAATGACTTTAACATTAAACATACTTATTACCGGTAAAAATGTTGCAAGAATTTAAGAATTTGTCTAGAATTTTTTATGCTTGTGTTGCAAGCGTAGCATACATGGATGCTACGCCATTGTTCAAGTCTCAGATCCAAATGAAAGCAGGCATTACTTGGCAAAGCTTTCATTTGTTATACATTAGAAGAGTTAAGTCACACAGTCAGACTGGAAACTTTGTCGTGAGCCCGCGATATATTGCCCGCGCATTCAAATTTTCCATCTGCGCACTTTAAATACATTTCACACTAATAACAATACAAATTTCTTAAAAAGTTCGTAATTTCAGGCGCGCAGCCGTGCGGTCAGGCATGTGAACTTGCCCACGCAAGAAACAAAAGTTTCCAGTCTGCACACAGAGAAAAAATTACTGGAAAAACAACTGAAGGCTGGGGCACAGCCCTCCTCAACAACATCAGACCCGTCAACCCTCCCGGTTCTGCCGGGAGACTCCCGGCTTTGACTGCTTTCTCCCGGTCTCCCGGTTTTTTAAATTTTTCTCCCGGTTTTAAAGATGTATAGTAGAATGTCTAGGAAGATACTTCACCGAAAATCACGCATCTTATGCTTCAAAGACAGGTCCATTGTGTATGTTTTCTGTTTTTTACAGAGGTATAATTAAGATATAATGGTCACATTGACTTTCCACATGACAACAATTTTTTGTTAGTGCTTACTGATTAACGAAAAAGCACTAAAAGTTATTATGAAGATACTGCTCATGATCACTATGTCATAAACTGTTTGCCAAAGCACAACATTTTATCAGGTATATTTATTCCCTTAACGAATTACTGTGATCTCCCTGTTTTTGACCAAATCTCCCTGTTTTTCTTCAGGAAAGATCTAAAATCTCCAGGTTTTGAAAATTTAAGGTTGACAGGTCTGCAACATGGGTGAAAAAAGGGCTAGGGCCTTTAAATATGTTTATAACTTAAAATAAAGTATAGGCACAATTTTCAATCCAAAAACAATGATGTGATTTCAGAAGTCTGGTTTTCAAAGGAAAATATCTACGTTTAAGACTACCTACTTTAAAATACATGTTCTTCAACAAAACCCCGTGTGAACATGACGCCAAAGATTCAAAGATAAAAAATATACCTTTAACAAATCATTGTTTGGGGTCAATTCTCATGAGTTATTATGACTTCAGATTTTTCTGAAAACCAATCATTCTCCATATAAATTTACACGCGAACCACATCACCACAACACCATTTAGGCCATCAAGCCTCGTTTACAATCTATTGCTATCCCGTGATGCTCTGTATTTTCCATTTGGATCCTACTTCCACGAAAAGAGGAAGGTGCGTCATCGCGTCTTCAGCGGATTGAAATACAACAGGTAAGCGCATTAATCGAAATTTGTCGTTTTGTTTGGCATTTAGAGATATTTAAGTTTGCAGTTTTTATTAAAGGAACTTTTACTACATTGCTTTTTAGTTTAATTGAAAACAATGCCCGCCTGTTTGTCACTCTTTATTCTGTACCTAGTTTGTTTTTCCGCACAGTTTGATGATGTCATCACCCGTAATAAAACGTGTTTGAAACAAGGCATATTCACGAGAGACGAAATAAATACGGAATATGTTTCATGACAAGAGTCCACCACTTGCTAAAGAATGTCAACAACCTGTAAAATACAGCAACTTGTAAAATTTCAACAACTTGTAAGATTTCAGTTGTGAAAGCTTAGCTCGAATATCCACTAATTAGAAAACTCGGCGAGAATATCCACTTATCCAGACTGAACACAAAAATGCTCGTAAAACATTTTAGTATTATCATAGCTATGTGATTTACAAGCAAGAAAAGATACTGTATCTACGACATTGGCTTCATATTTCTGTTACTGAGTTGTGACGAAGGAGGGGGTTTGAGCTACAGATGCACCAAGTCATGACCCTTAGGCTGCAGTTTTAACGATTGACCTAAAATTGATCACATGCAATTGTAAAGCAACTTTTATGAAACAAGTCTCATATATGACTAGTTGTGACCACTGACTGCTTAAAAGCACACTGTAAAAACCAGACAATGTGCATTTGACAGTTGATGTGTCCTCACAGTGCAATGATGACAGTCAACTGTGATCAATGTCTTATCAGGGTGAAGACCCCTCTGGCGTTAAGGGTCCTTGTTAATGTTAGTACTTAAGGATCCTGGGTCTTGGGGTCTTAGGGTCTGGCTTTTTCAGTATGCCCTGCTTGAGGCCAGGGTGATGATGCAAGAAGCACATGACCCCAAACAAAAGAAGATGCCTGTTTTCCATGACTTAATGGATAATTTAAAAAAGAGGAAAATTGTTTATGTTTTTAAAAGTTTCACTTTCATTTTCCTTATCAGTTAAACCCAACTACAATACTTGTTGTTCAAGGATAAACCTCAGAATGGTAGCGAAATGAAATTGAAACAGATATGGCACAGTCAAGGGCTGCAAAACACACATTTTGTCCAGATGTATCTTTCAAAATCAGAATCAACAAACAGAAGCAATACTACTGGCAGACCCTATGATATATAAAAAGCCCTTGAATTGGAAGCCTTTTGCATTAATGTAAAGGATTTGAACATATCTGGCTGTGAACCCTTATTAGTATTAGCTTTGTTTTGATGACACATATCTATTTGGAACAGTGGAAGTTTCCAGCAACCTCAAAAGGAGACTCCCCAGCTAGTGTCAAAATATGATTAATCAGTTACTTTGGATATCTAGAAGAATTATTTAATCAATACTTTTCATATTTATGAATGAAAATGACACAATAAATGGTATGCAAAACAATTCTTGAACTCACATCCTTCCTATTTCTCCAGGTACTGCCACCATCAGCTTCTTTCAATTTAGGACACTGGGCTTGATAACTCTCCAGTTTTTCTCTGTCTTTTAGACAATGTATAGATATGTAACTCTTTCGTTGCTTCAAGTTAGCATTAGTTATAGAATCTTAATTTATAAAATATATTATTGCAGAGTTATGTTAATGAAACAAAACAAATTTAAATTTGAAATTTAAATTTTCTACATAGACATATCTTATTTTTCTACATAGTATATGCATTATGAGTTAACAAACTAAACCCCTAGACTGGAAACATCAATGATTTTGGGTCATTTCTTTGCTTTTGTTAACCCTAATAAAATAAACATTTAAAATAAACAATATAAGTTTTTAAAATTTGCATTCGTTCTTATCACATATTTTTACATTGTTCTTTCTGAACTGGTTAGAAGACATACAATTTACAAAGATGGCACAGTTCTGCTTGATTGGCATTTTGGTTTTTCTGCAGATAAGTGGTAAGTAGCATGAAGAGTGAACTTGCCATGGCAGTTATTTTCTTGTGCTTTACTGTAGAGAACACCAACAACACCCAACACAATATTTGGAAAGGTCATTCTAAATGTCAGCTATATCTTGGCTTGTATACATTTATTTGAAGACATCGATTGGTTCTGACAAAACAATGACACTTAAATCTTTAAAACAAAGTCATACTTCATTAGATGATTCAATGCATAGATAGAGGGATCAATGAAAAGAATGACCCCCCTTTCTAATGACTTAGTTTAAGCCCTTAATTTGATCTATCTGGTATGCCGCTTTCAAATTTGATAAAATTTTAAGGAATTTTTTTACAATAATTAGTCTCATAATTGCAAGAACCTCAAGATCTTTACCTCTCTACACTATGGAAGAGTCCTGATTATCCTGAAATCTCCAAGTCCTAGGATTTGAACTACCATGGTGCCCTCTTTGTTTTGTAATCTAACTACATAAGGACAAAGGGTCTAACCTTTTTTAAGGCTTGCCAAAAAGTATGAGTTTGTGACAGAATTCTCCAATACCTCAAAATGTTTCAATTTTTTTCTGAAGAATCCTAATTGTTTTAATATCTCAATGCTGGGAAGGTACTTGCAAATATTGCCTCCTAGCCAATTTGCACCTGGTTTAGACAGAGTTCGTTTTTGTTCAATCTCATTAATCATTTGAAAGTTGGCTGAAAGCCAATCAGATGAGAAATCAAATCAGCTTTTTGCATCAGACTTTTTGAATTAGTGGTTTGAAATTTTTACAGAGGACTCTCTATTTAACTGTTTTGGATACATATCCTATTTGACCTGTATCATTTTGCTTTTAGGAGCTGCTGCGAAAAATTCAACAACTACGCAAGTACCTCCTCAAAAGACCACTGTGCATACATCAGTGAATCCAACTGCTTCATCAACCTTCTCTGTATCTCCTTTACCAAGTTCGACCATACTATCATCCAGCTCTGAGCTTGTAGTGCCATCTTCCAGCTTTGACCCGTCCCCAGTTCCCTCAGCATCACCAACAATAAACAACTCATCTATGGCAGAGTCCTCTACAGTTGAGCCAAGCCCTTCTTCACATGAAATATCATCTTCAGAACCAGTTCCCGAATCTTCCTCCTCCCAAGCAGCAAGCACTAAAATTGTATCAACATCGTCTTTCAAGCCAACACCGAGCTCAAGAGTTACTCCAGAGCAAGGTCTGTTATATTATCTGTTTTTTAAAGCAGGGCATGCCATCAATGCTGCTCTTTCTCTTTTATCTTTTATTTCATTTACTTTGGTAAATGAGAATTAAGTCTAGCTGATATTTAGCTGATGTATTTTTAATCTTATAATATGCATACTTTAAAGCTAGCCTTTATATATACTTTCAACCACATTTATGTCCACATATCTTGCGCATAGAAGCGGAGATAATGACAATGTTTGAAGTCAATTGGAACACTCTATGTAGTGATTGTTTTTTAGTATATTATTTTCATCATGTTGTTTTGTCGTGTCTTTGTTTAATTCACTAATGGAAATCTATTATTTTTCAGTTGTTGTAATCAAATGTGGTGAGGAATGCAAAGCCTTAAAGAGACGGCTGTGGGCAGCCGGGGTGTTCGCTGTCATGTTTGGCTTCACAACGTTGATTTTTATTTTCTTGCTTTGCAGGCAATGTCGCATTGCCAAGGAATACAACGATCCAGCACTTTCACGTCTTATATAAAAGTTTATTTTACATCATTCACCATTTGGTTTGAAGATAGCTGAGTATTTTAGCACAAATAATTAAAGCATCAAGATAGAAATAGCATAGTGTTGGGTTTTAATGTTGCTGCTCTAGCGTATGACTAAGAGATTTTAAATGCCATTCTACGTGACTGTTTTAGATTACTGTTGATAGTGTATCACTTTAGACAGTTTAGAAGAAACGGAATTGATATAATGGGGATATCACCTGAGGGTCTACCTTGAAGAGAAATGATGTGGAAGTGCCCGCCAGAAAACATTTTCTGACCTTGTCCTGGGGTGAAGTTTGAAAACATGAAACCTTTTCAAGATTTACAGGAAACTGACGGATCGCCTAAAAACAATTTTACTAATAACGCATTTTGTGAATTGATATGGAAAGTTAATCTTCTTTCGACAGCTCTTTGAATTAGGAAACACTTTCATGTTCATGACAAATTTGACCTTATTTGGCCTTATTTGACCTGTCCTTCAATGGGCATACCTGTGCCGGAAAAATAGAGACAAAACATGTAATTCTGCCCCAGAATTTTCAACCCAAATTTGGCTGGCACATCCCCGGTATTGAATGTATTTAGCAGTCCACCCCAGTCGATATCAGCAATCTATTAATTGCGCTTAATTGAAGAACGCTTCCTTCTTTCAGTATAGTTTATTCATTTACGCTTGCTTTTCACATTTTAACGGTTGGCTATCGCAAACTTTCTTTTATATTATATAAGTTTAAAATGTCCTGAAATGAAGCATTAATTTGAAACATTAATAAGCTACTTTGCAAAATTGCCAATTAAATATTTAATATTAGCAGATCGAACGCGTCTATCTAACTGTACAAATTACATAAAAATACAATGAATGTCACAGCATTCCTGCATTTGATTTTTGTTGACGGACAAACTGTTCTTTATTTGAAATATTCCGAATTTTATTTTAAAGGACCGTTGACATATAATTTTATTTGATAGCATCATTGTCACGTTTTCATGGTTTGCATTAGCAAATGAGTTTTAAATCGTTTCTTTTATTATTTTAATTTTGTGTAGTTGAAGTGTGTTGTTTTTCTGTCCGTCTTCTATACACAGACGTGTGTGTGTCTTGACTCAATATATGACACAAAATCTGTTTTCACATCCCACGAAGACCTCAAACGATCATAACAGATTCAACTGAAGATTGCTTGAAACTTTTATTCTGTTTGTAATTAGAGGAGGCAGTAGTCAAAAGTTCTTGCTGTCTGCTTGCAAGAACTATCAAGTGGAAGTTAAAATTCATTTTGTTTGCTTAACTCATATGCTAAGATTGTTGCATTTGCTACACAACAGCTTAGATGAGTTGGTTCGCTGCCCGAGATACCTAAGACCCCATTTACACGGTATCGGATCACTTACAACAGTCTTTCTGACAGTCAGCCCTGGCCCTTGGTAGAACTCAGAACGAAGACTTGTAGCAAGTAAAGGTGTACTTTTCATTTAACTCGGCATCAGGTAAAGTTACCAAGAAAAATGTGAATAGTATTATTTCTATCAATCAGTTTGCAGCAATGGCCACACAAAATGTTGATCTACACCAGGTTGTATGATATGTATGATACCTTGTCACCATATACCTGCAAAGCGTGACCTTTATTACAGCTGCATTTGGATTTATACGATCAAGAAAACAAAGAACATCGAGCCTGGACCGCTAAGGTTAATATGATCTCTTTACCTTGCATCTTTAATCGTGAACTAACACGCGATCTTGAAAGAGGGGGGGGGGGCGAGCAGCTACAAAGACGTCGGAAGAATTCCAAAGGCATATGCTAGAAGGAGCACCATATTATGAAAAGGAGGCACTATTTCAAAGAGGTTACTTCTTAGAAAAGGGCTTTTTAAAAAAAGTTGGGGGTGGGGGAGTGTCCCTGGTGCATCCCCAGCTCTTACGTCCCTGATGATCCGAACGTCATTTAGTTATGTTATTTGGAAAGCGATTAGATTTTAAATAATATATTCATAATTGGTAGTCTTGTCTGAAATATCTAATGAGGCCTGTTACCCTGGTAAATATATAACGTGGAACAGTTTTTGACTGTCGCTACGAAAACTAAGCAGAAAATTTATATGTTTAACAAGATCAAACCAACTAAATTACTTTCTAGAGCTATTAATTTGCTTTTGACGCCTTCTTTACGCTTTTTAAGGAAATCCCAAAAATTTGACAATAACGTGAATTAGTTCATCAAGAAAACTCCCTCAAATTCCAAAAAAGAAGAGCAGAAACTTATATTCTAAACCCCCTGTTATTGTGAAACCTTTATCTGTAGAAGTTGACCGAGGCGTTATGATCAATAGCGATTTTAGTAGTATGTAGTTAGCAAGAAACATACTGAATGACTGTATTGTTTTGCAGGCATGGATAAAGGAGGCGGTTTCTTGACCGATGTTTCTCGTCGTAGTTGGTGTGCCACCTGGCTGCTGCTTCAAAAATGTCACCGTTTCATGGTTTGATCACAGGTAAAATGTGTTCTTGTTTTGGTAATAAAATTTGACTGTAGTAGAAAGAAATTCATATTGGTACTGTCCGTTCTGGTGCTTTCCTTTCAGTACTCTGTTATAAAGGAAACAACCATTTGGGAATTATCAAGGGGCTTTAGCCCTTCTCCCGCTCCCATCAGCCTTTTTTTTGTTAGGGAAAGGCTCATCAGCATATAGCTAGACCCTAATATGGGGAAAGGAGAAAGGATTAGGAAGCGAGAGAGGAAAAATAAAGTTTATTTACTTTTATTTTGAATAAAGACAGGTTTTAAGAGTCTGAGAAACAGGAAGGGGGTAGGGAGAGTTGGATCTAGGGAGGAAGGAAGAGTTGTGGGATTGAATTCGTGCGCTACGCAAGGAGACTTGAAAGAGGGAACACTGAAAGAGCGTCTGATATTGTGTGTACGTCTCAGAGGACCTGGGATCATGTCCCTGATCTCCTGAGAGCAATGGCCGTTGTGAGTAGATTGGACTTTGTCAAGGAGGTGCAAGGGAGATTTAGGAGCATTATTGTCTTTACCCCACTTCTCGATTTTTGCAAGGTCATCAGTGAAAAATGAAGCTGAAATGTTTCTTTGAAGGGGATGTTGATATTAGATATATGTGGAGAATTAAAGGAGAATGAAGAGCTCTGATATGTGTCGTCAGCAAAAGAATGAATACTTGTAGCGGTGGAGATTGGCAGATCGTTTATAAAGAGGATAAATAAAACAGGAGATATGACAGAACCATGTGGAGCACCAGCATTAATTGAGTGGGGACTAGAGCGCCGTCGACTCTAATGGCTATAGACCTGTCTGAGAGAAAGTTACTAATCCAATTTATTATAGAGACCATACATGGGGAGTTTGAAAAGGAGACCTTTGTACCAGACACGATCGAAGGCTTTTGAGATGCCAAAGAGATAACTATACTCTCGCCAAAGGATTCCAGGGCAGAGGACCAAATATGAGTAGCATAAGCGTAAAGATCACCGGTGAATCTTGCTTGGCGAAAGCCAAACTTGTGATCACAAAGGAGTATGTTGGTTTCAAGGACGGTGAGAAGTTGTTTGGTGGTGATTGTCTCCATTATTTTAAAAATGAGGGAATTGGTTGCAATTGGACGGTAGTTGGTTTGGTCAGACTCGCCCCCTTTTTTAAGAATAGGAAAAACGTGGGCTAGTTTCCTGGAGGTTGAAAAAATGCAAAGTAAAAAGAAGAGCTGGAAAAGTTTATTAAGAATTGTTGCGAGTTCCGGGGCACAAGTTTTGAGAACAGTTGCTGATATACTGTCATGTCCTGTAGACTTAGTAGTTGGGAGAGCTTTGCGCACCTTGCGGGTGGAGAACTTAATCTGTAACATTAAAAGATATGACGGGGGGGGGGGGTAATGACAGGGTTGTAACCCTTGATCATCAAGGTTTGAGTTGGTAGCAAAGGTTAATGAAAAGAGGTTGGCTTTGGCTGATGCAATGCTAGAAGAAGATGCTTTTCCTTTTTCCAAAGGAGGAAAGGAAGATGGACAGAAGAAGGATGGACAGAAGTTTTGGGAGACGACCTTGGCCATGAAGATCTTTTTGTTGATGCGACGGACAAAAGTAGCTTTTGCATTGTTGATAACTTTGGTGCATAAATTGCGAGCTTGGGAGTGCTTCCAATCTTTGAAGCGGTGGTTTTCGTTTTGGACAGCTTTGGAACGTTGTGAGTTGAAACACTTAGGAGAGAACTTTTATCCAGGTTTGAAGGAAGATGAAATGAAAAGGTCCATGCCAAGAAGAATTATTTGGTTATAAACGTAGCAGAAGCAGATGGGTCATTAGAGGAACCTGAAGACCAAGGGTATGGGAAATATTATTTCAGGATCAGAAATTTACTTCATTGGAGAAGTTTAGAGTTACCAAAATATTGTTCAATTCTGGTTAATATTCGATGTCTGCCAAAATTACTTAGAACACCCAGCAATTTGTGCTGCCTTTAAATGCTTTTTGTTTCTTTACTCAATTCTACAACATCTGGCCCCCTCACCCTAAGAACAATGTTTACAGTTCAGGCAAAATTTCATACAAGTCACACGAATAAAACATCCATCCTAATCTTCTAATTCCTTTTATAGCAAACCAAAATGTTTTAATGTGGAGAGGGGGTGGCTGAATTTGCCCTTGAGAACTGAATAAGTATTCCAAAATTTTTGCAGAGATTGTACATTGAAGGATTCATCAAAAGTCTTATAAATGGAAACCTAAAGAGCGGAGGGATGACGATTTTTCTTACTCAAGGTCATTTATGACGTCTGGAGTGAAAAATGAAGGACCAGTGGATGCTTTCCAGTGCACGGAGTAAGTTAATTTCTGTATGTTTCGTAAAATGAAATACCACAGAAATTTAAGACTTTTCTGTTATTTATAGAAATGATTCTAGAAAAATTGCATAAATGCATGCTTTGAAAGAGTTCAGCGACAGAAAAGACAAAAACAATTTCATCGAAACTAAGCCTTGTCTGATATACAAGAGCGCCCTGAATGTCTCTACATACCTACAACGACATTAAACTGAGTATGGTTATACTACATTTCCCACTTCTGCTATACATCTGTTGAATAGATATAATCAAATTGTCTCAAAGACTAGGTAGTTATTGTCATACATATACAGTCTGGGAAGTCTACTTATTATCTTATTTCACAAGGAAGTTTTGCTTAATGAAGTTGCTTTTCTGCTCATTTAAAAATTCCTTGCTTGATCCAAACAACACTAATAATTTACGAGGCATTAAAACCTTTCCAAAGACACAAGAATGAATAAATGTTAACCCAACTTAACACCTTTAAACCTACACTGATAATACAACTCAAAATACAAAACATAAGAAAGAAATATATTCTACATTTAACTGGAAAAAATATGGTATCTTTGCCACAACATATCTCTTGTGGCTACTTCATACCATTGTTAGCATTGTTCAGAATTCAATAAAACATTGCTTCGTGGCAGCAAAAGCAAGTGACTGACATCCATTCACTTTTTCCCACGGCCAGTAGCAAGTCTCAGTTCTCTTTCATTCTCCCATTTGCGATAGTCGACTCGTTGAAGAAATTCTTGTTTACTCAAAAACCTGATTTAAAAAAAATAAATAAGCTTGAAGGATTGCTAAGGAAACTATTTGGAATCATCTGTCTTTCAAACTAAACTATTTTGTATTTCAAAGAATGAAATTGAATTATCTTCTCCACTGCCTACATTTTCCACACCCTATTAATTGCTTGCAAGACCAGCTCTGGGCAAATGCCTGCACACTTGAGCCCAGTTGAGCAAATCACTCTGATGTGTCTGACAATATGCATTGATTTGATCCATTACAAAAAAACACAATTGGGCATGAAATCTGTTTATAAGAATAAAGAAGTTATGAGCAGTGGAAACATTGCACCTAGTTGGAATTCAGCTTAAGGTTAAAATACATACCCATCTTTGCTTTTGTTTCTTAGTTCGTCTTCAATACCCTGTTCCTTTTTGAATGAGTCCCAGTCCTTTTTGGATTTGTCCTGTATAAATACAAGAATGATATGAAAATAAATTTTATAAATGTATTTTACAACCATGTATTAAGAGGCTTTACCAAAGCAGTGGTGAAAGTTTTTAATGAAGTTGTTTTGAGTCTTTGTATCCAGCAATCAAGCATGAAGCAATATAAGCAAAGCATATAATCTTCAACTAAGATCAACATAGATCTATATGACAAAAATGATTTTGTTTTCAAATTCTCCAGAGCTGACATGTACAGAAAGAAGGAACAAAAACAAACAAACTGAAAATTAGAAGGTGTATTGCTTACTAGAGTGCTTATTTTCTGCTTTTTACTAATTGAGCCAAGTACATTGCTTAGGCCACCAGGTCGTTTCTTGCTGAAAACAAATAGAATAGGAACTCTGAAAAAATCTTCTACAAACATTTTGGTAAGACTATCAAAACAAACTTCACATTTTTCAAGGTGTGTAATCAAAAATTTCTTAATAAAAATAACTTCTCAATAACTCGAAGTGTAATGATAAGTAGCCAATTACAGTTTGTTTCTTCCAGAAAAACCTCTTCTTGATTTTCAATTTAAAATTGTGCTCTATGAATCAATCACAAAATGTTCATGTGTTACTGCACATTTTAATACCTTGCTGCACCAGGAATTTCTCTTGGGCTTTTCTCTGAATCTTGCTTCTCTGAAACAGTCTCTTTCTCTTCTATTTTTGTGGTTTCTTTAGGCTTGTTATCAGCAAGGGACCTAGAGATTTTCCTTTATCAGCATTGTAAACACAAGATACAATTTACATTTAACAAAAGATACAAGATACATTTAACAAGCTTTTTTGTATCTATATTGTTCTGTGCATTTCTAATATGCTGTGGAATATTTTAACAAAAAGTCTCAATAACAGGTCTACTTTTTGTAGCAAAAATTTTCTTTCACCTCTTGCTGAATGATTGGTTCACATGGCTCTAGTCAAGCTCCCCAATTTTATCATTGCCTTATTCTAACAAAAATCATGAGAACGCCTATCTCAGGCCTTTTTATAACGATAACAAAAACATTTTGATATGAAGTTTCTCTGAAATCTCAAATTTCTGCAGACAAAAGTATGCTCGAGCATAATGGTCTTTAATCTATTCCTAATTATCCTGCTGATTGTTGTCTTTTAGAAAAAAACAATTTTTGTTTACTGTTCATTGCAAAGTTTACTGTGATTTTTCACAAAATTTGAGAAATATATCGATAATTTCATTTTGATCTATTTATATATATATTTATATGATGATCTATTTATATATATATTTATATGATGGATGACATTACCCAAAGATAAATTTAGAATTGCCTTTAGAATTAAAAGCTAAAACCAAGTCTAGCTTTTCAAGAAAAATGTTTCAAACGCTGGATAGCTAAACATACTTCTCTGCAGAGTCTTTCTCTGTCTGTTCATTTACATCATTCTTTTCCTTGGGGTCTTCATCACCTGATACATCTTCCTTTTAATATAACATGTTTTAATTGTTGACTGTCTATCTTGATACATTTACAAGTTCTGAAAGCTTTTTTAACAATTTTACAAAACAGAAACAAAACCTTTTTGTAGAACATATGATAGAACCATGTAGTGAGGCACAGATGAATTATGCTTGTGCAAAGTCCTGCATATCAAATTATCCTTAACTTTACTTCTATTCAATTTGATGTTCATTTATCTACAATGAATAAATACACAGTTTACTTTTACTATGAATATAATAAATAATACAAAATTAAAGTAGTTAATGGATTCAAATCTAGCTAGTTCTGTCAATTATATCACAAATTGCTTGTTTAGTTAGCAATGAGATTCAAGCATTATGCTGGTCATAGCAATGTTACATAATAACAAGCCCTTTGATCTATTCAAGCTGGCATTACGCATCTGATAATAACAATGCATGTGCAACTCAAGCTGAAACATTAAAGTTGTTCTTTTTGACACCTTGAAGCAGATACAACTTTATCTGAATGACATTTATCAAAGTAAAACAGATAAAATGGCCTTGAAAAAAGAAAACATTTTGAGCCATACTAAAGTTTTTTGTCTGTCACTCTTCAGTCTGACACTTCTTCTCTCAAATTTGCACAATTAAAAGATTCTTTATAAAACAGATAGGTAAAAAGTTATTTTCATCTGCTAAGTTTAGTCATTATGTAACACATGCCTTTGGTTTAGACTTGTTGTTTGAGTTCCCATCTTGTTTCATTGATTCCCAAATATTAGTGATTCTTTTTTTCTCTTCTTCATTTTGTTCATTTTCAGCTTCGTTGTCGTCATCTTCTCCTGGTTCATTGTCTTCGTCTGACTCACTGCTAGCCAAAGGTTCTTCACTCTCTTCATCAGAGTCTGGTTCTCGCAATTTTATGCCTCCTCTTTTTCTTCTGGAGCTTAGTTTGAAAGTTAATAAAATAAACAATGTAATCTGATCTAAGGCTTGAATAGAGAAACTCAACCAAACATTAATGGCTATATATGTTTTGGACCAAATTTGATATCATACAATTTAAATTTCAAAGATTCAAAACTGCTTATTTCAAGAACAACTGTTTGTCTCATACTTTAGCCCAAATAAACTTTAACCACATTATACTTACCCTGAACTTTCCAAAAAAGCTTAAATTGTCCGTAAGTATCTCTTGCTTTTAAGGGATACTTTTATGAAAAATTCTCCCCTTTTTGGTAATTAGAAAACTTGTAATGCATTAATGCTTGTAGAATTTATATAATCTAACCTTCTGCGCAAAGGAGTAACTGTAGCTTTCTTCTTGGGTGTCCGTCCTTTCTTTTTCTTAGAGTTATAGTCTTCATCATCATCATCATCTGCACTTGCTCCTATAGTGATTTACACATCATTTATGAAGCTATTTACAAAAAATTATATATCTAGTTGTGCTTAGAAAAACTGTTTCTTTGAAAACTTGTAGTCTCTTTGTCTGTAGTACCTCTGCTTAGGCCTGTTTCAAATATTGTTTCTTCTCATTAATTCAATCACATTATCACAAAGCAGCACAAGCATTCTCTATGCCACTCTGGTATAATGTATTCCTTTATCCCTTCATTTCACTTATCACTTTAACCCTGTTCTCAGCTAGAACTTTCTTTTCCCTGGCTGTGTGTTCTCTACACCTTGAATATAGGACTCCCTGGGTTGGAAATACCTTAATTGTTGCTGATTTTCTTGATTTATGTGATTGCGTTAATAGTCAACAAAGAAAGTTCAAACTTACTGTTACTGCTTTACTTTCATTATGGACACATTTGAGGAAAAGGCACAGTATGTATTCGTAGATAAAAAGTATTTGTAAAATAAATTCACCCCATGCTATTAGTTCTTGTCTATTCTTAAATTTACAAATTTTGAATCTCAATATCCTTAAAAGTTTATTTTTACGAAAAAGTGTTTTGTTGTATCTGCATGATAATACAACAACAAACATTATCCTCATGCTGATTTCTTGGAAAAAGCTGCGTAAATAATGGACGATTGTAGCGATGGTTGGTTATCGAAGTAGCTTTGAGTGTGTAAGGAATGCATATCTTAAACTTTATATAGGTGTCTTTTTTGTCATCGAAATTGTCATACTTTTATAGGGAAATAAAATCAATATGAGTTGTATGGAAACAAAACAAAACAAAACAAAACAGAACAAAACCCAAATGACACGATTGGTTAGACAGCATTCATACTAGATCCAAACCTTCCGGGACGTAATCTTCGTCATCGCTACTTTGATAAGCTCCAACATCTTGATCAGAGTCATCTGAGTCCATCATTTCACGCGCTTTAGTTTGCTTCAACGAAAACCTTCTCAAGTATCTCAAAGCTTCGCCATCTGCAACAAACCATTCGCTAATCTCGGTCGTGCGTGGTAGTTGCAACCTCGTTTCAGTGTGAACTCACAGAAGCTCTGTCAGGAGTTTCTTCCATGTGGTGCAATCTGTGTTACGTAGAGTTGCACACAGTAAAGTCCATAATCTATTGAAAGTACCAGAAGATTGTTGGACATCATGGCTGTTAGAGCTCAGTTTGAAAACAGCAATGAGGTTGGCGTTTTTGCCACACTGACGAATAGTTACTGCCTGGTTGCTGTTGGTGGCTCAGAGAATTTTTATAGGTCAGTACTACATCACTACAATTACAATCGAAAGAAAGAAAAGAAAAGAAACAAAACTAAAACAGATGAATATTTTAATTTCTCTATTCAAAGTTGCAACTTTAATAGATATGATAAAGTACTCTGTCCTTTATAAAATAAAATAACCTAAACAATTCCAAAAACTTGGTACAAGCTTATTATATAACTGGACTCGAAATAACCTAGGTTTACAAATTATTCCTTATAGGGGGCTCCATCCAATGTAAATTAGAAAGTGGGATGGGGGCAAGGGTGAATCAGATAAATCATATATTTTAAACAAATTCTCCTTTGTTTTGCAAACAAGCTCCTTCCAAGAAAGCACAGGTTTTAGACTTTGTCATAACATGTTAATTAACGTGATGATTAAAAAATTTTACTTGGAGAGATGTAACATGTAAAACAAAGTGATTTTTCTTGTAGTTCTAAGGCACCAGTGTCACCAGCATTATTTGTGCCAAATATCAAAATATGACACTTTTTCCCTCCAATTTCATATATTTGAAACTCTCCTTTTTTAATTTTGAAATTACCATCCCAAAGTTCTCATCATCAGCATAATTTGCATAATTGCAGGTCATTCATCACTATCATCATTATCATTCATAAGACAAACAGTTTAATTGATGAAGGTATTGATGATGAGGGGTTGTAGTACCAGCGAAAGGAATTATGGGGGCATGTGGCCTCCAATCAATTTCTTGTCTAAGAAGTTGTGCTTTCATCAGATACTTGACAAACATCTAATGTCTAAGAATCATTGGCCTTCCTCTAAAAAAACCTGAGTTTTTGCCACTGTCTTATACCCTTCCCTGTGGCCCCCTCCCCTCAAGCAATACCAAGTGCTGGATGTTCCATTAAGGTGCACATGTTGCCTTCCTCCAGATAGATAGAGACAAATAAAGAGGGTTGCATCTAAATACAAAGGCATTTACTTTTGCAGATTGTGATTTAAGCAATCAAGGTCTTATTTCACGTTTGTAGAGCACACACAGTCCATGAGAGAATGTTTGTCTTAAAATTGACCACTAGAAGCCAAAAAACTGGGAACGCCAATTATCTCCAAAGTGTGACTAATTGTTGGAACGTAAAGACAGTTTGAAGATCACAGGATTTCATCACAAAAAGTATGCTGTCAAAATATGATCCATCCCCCGACATTTTCTCATCAAAATATGACCCATCCCCCAACATCAATGAAATTTAGACGTCATCTCATCAAATTTGGACAAAATGCAAAAGTGATTCTTCCAAGACTAGCAGCTGTGTTTTAGATTGGTACCAATAAGAGGGGGATACTTTCATTTAGCTAACTATATTGGGCAACCCAACAAAAGTAAAAACTAAAAACAAAACTAAAGCTAAAAAGAGGATAAATAGCAGGGGTGTAAAATGGTGGGACTACACTGTGGATATATTGTCAATTTGTGATATAAATATAATACAAGAATGTGGCCAACTGTTGCCAAAATATGCAAATTATTAACCCAGCAAATAAGCAAATGCCAAAGGTATGTATTCTGCATGCAAAATTTGGCTTAGAAGCATAATGAAGAGTGTCCAAAAGAGGACAGTGCCTCAAACACAAAAAAGGCAAAGAAATAACTGCTATGAAAATCTTTCATGAGGATAATGCTGAAGTACTAGGTTCAGCAAGAAGTTTTGGAAATTGACAGCTCTAAACGTCTTGTTTTGAAACACTGTATGGTATACCAAGAACATGTTGAAATGTTATAATTAATAGGTGATTATTGCTGGAATTCTGTTTAAAAGGAAATCAATTTCATGAACTGCATATTCTGCATCAAAATATCAAAACAGAGATAAGCCCCTCTTGGCATCTTGATCTGTTTTCTGACATTTTTCTTACCTCATGTAATAGTTTACACTGAAGCATTACTAACTAACAAGCTACTATGCAACCCTACAAAGGCAATACCAGGAATAGCAAAGTATCATGACTAACACAGGCCTTTTCATAAGAAATATCCCACGCAAGTGGCCCAGCACCCACATGATTTCTCTTGCGTGAGCGATTGCTCTAAAAATGGCAATTCTAAAAGTGTCCGTAAAATAAAAACTGTATGATCCTTTTTTTATGGTAATATCAAATGAAAACGAACTATTACAATGACCTTTAATGCAGTCTAAAAAGTTTAAATAAATGTGCTTTGTTTATGAACTTTATGTTATTTATGTTATGTCATATAAACGTTATTTCAGAATGATCTCAAAATGTTATTCTTTTTAAAAACGGTTTAACTGTTCAGAAGATGTTCCAAATGCTATTGTAGTTCAGAAACCAAGTGCTCTGTGGCTTTGATTTTCAAATGCATTTTTTCTTTGAGATGTAGTTACATCAGCTTATTTATATTTCCTGTCTTTTGTTGTATTGGCTATATATTGCTGATTTTATCCACTCTTAATATGATGAACTTTTTAATTGTAATGCTTTTTAGTAAATCAATACAATTATTTAAATAAAGGACCCTCATGAAAAGTACCCCCGAGTAACTGAGGCCTTCCTCTGTAAATATTTGTATTATTATTATTATTATTTTATTATTTGTGTCACTTACTGGGGTCTTAAAAGATGACTAGAAATGTGTTGATTTATGACACATTTATTTCTCAAAATTTACCGTTTTGCTCGAGCAATCAAACGCTTGCTTGGTTGGGTTTGAGTAAGTGCTGACACGATAGCAAGTAAACATACAGAATGTCATTTGCTGGTCTTTGCATAAGATGCTGCTGCTGACTGGTTTGCTTTGGATATACAAATTATTGTTTGGTATTAACAGAATAAGACTTTTTGAAAGTTTAAATGTTCTTTAAAAAATTTGCAACAAAAGGTTAATCAGCTTCATTTAATAAATGTCCCTGTGTCATGACATTTCTGGAATTAATCCCTTAACAGAAATGTATAATATGTGTTAAACTATCATGTTTGTTCTTATTTTAGTTTTCTGTAATTAAGGTCTCAATTCTAAGTTTTTTAATGTCTAAAGAGTAAAATATTACCTTTTTGTTGTAGTGTCTTTGAAGGGGAGCTTGTAGATACCATCCCAGTTATTCACACATCAGTTGCAAATTGTAATATAATTGGCAGAATGTCAGCTGGTAAGTTATGATTTTCTTCAGCAAATTTCTACTCGAACTTGTGAGTGGATTTGTACTTGCATCCATATGGAGTAACACTGGCCCTTATAAGACGATTTCAATAAAAATGGTTTTTCCCAGCTTGTTAGTACTTGCTAATAAAATCAACATTCTACAATCACATTACTTTGCGGTATAACATACATGTTTGTGTAAAGTCCTTTTTAAAGTCAAGATTCTCCAAAAAGACCTTTCTTCGATGCATTTACTCAATCGTGCAACCTAAATGCATCATATTGTATTAAAATGCATCTATCTATTAGAAAACTAAAAATAACTGGAGCTGGAGCTTACCTTTTATCTCCATTTGTCTCCAAGAAAGAAATCAGATTTCCTTTTCTAACTCATGGATGTACACTACCAGGACAAAAGTATTGCAACACCCAAATGAAAATGGCATAAAAAAATTGCAAACTTATAACTTATATGCTGAAATATTCCCCTTAAAAAAGAAAATAATCATGCTAAACCTGTAGTCAAACTCTTTTAAATTTATTAAGGATTTCGCAGTACTTAGAATTACAATATTAACGTAAGAAAGTTTGCAGTTATAAAATATAGACAGGATAAGTAGCTAATAGTTGTGGTAAAACTTCATGTAACTAGTCTTTTACTTCTAAACATTTCAAAATTTTTCATAGAAAATGATAGCAAAATAGTGAGAGATCAGGAAACAACAAATAGAGTCATTATTCCAGACTTCTTTAGCCCTCAAATCTTCCAACTCAACTTGGGTAATTCTTTGGGTACAGTTAGGCATATAAGTTGGTAAATCATCAATTAGCGATGTGCGGGTTAATGCAGTGAAATATTGCAAAATAATGCAAAACAGTCTCTTTGGTAGAACCAAATCAATGCTAGGGAAATAAGGAAGGCAGCGTTTTTCAAAAACACAATACATCCCCCTTACAAGGTCATTTTTACTCAAATTTACCTGAAAATCTGCAGACTCTTATGTCCTTTCTCGGCCATCACAAAGTCCTAACCTTAAAATAAGCGAAAATTTCTTGTTGCCAATGAAAATGATCTGATTTGAAGTCCGTAAGGTTCTCTAAGATCCAAACAAGAAATAACTTAGAGAGTTTATGGAGGATGCAGGAGAATCCCAGTGCATTCCATCAACAAATTTTGTGCATAAATTCCAAAGCAATTTTCCACACTTATCAAAGCCAGAAACACCTACACGAAATGTTTGTTTATTTACAAGTTACTTGAATTGCTGCTATATACTTCGCTTTATTTGCAGGCCATTGGCTGATTAAACAATAGCTTAATCAGACAACAACAAAAGTTATTCCGTGATCCATCATTAATCACCTTGACAGGAGTTGCAATATTTTTGCCCTGATAGTGTACATCCAGCAGGCCCCCAATGCAACCTTTTGCTGCCAAATATGCATTTTTTACTATAAATCAATCAAGAGTTATCAATGCAGGGTAATTTTAGCTATCAGACACCATATTTATTTCTAAACATCATAACTTGGCAATTTTTCATTTGGAAACTAAGCCCAGGAAAGCAGGATGTTACAAACAGTTTTGATAGATTAATGGCATGGTGTTTAAATGATAGGTTGATAAATAGTTTATCAAATTTATGGCCAGTGTCAGACACTTGGTCCCCAGGTATTAATTTGTATTGTAATAATTGTATTAATTTTCAAAAATGGTTTGATCCTTTATTTTTATATCTCAAGGAAACAGACATGGTCTCATTCTTCCAAACACGACAACTGATCAGGTATTTTGTTTTTGTTTTTAATCCTTAAATTTCCTGTTTAGCCCATATTACCCAATACCAATGCAATTAATCTACTTTTGATGCATAGAATATACAGTATTGTCATTGTTGGCAGTATCTTGTTGACAAATTGATGCCAAGTATAAATTGCCATTTTGCAGTCTCTGGGTTTCTTACTTCCTGCAAATCATTGTACAAAATTTGAAGGAGAACTTCAAAGCCTAAAAAATTTTTAAAATATTATTAAAATGTTAAAGTACAATTCTCACTGATCAAGAATAAAACAGAAAAAAGATTTGAACCACTTAATTTCATTTTCCTTGTGACATGTAGCCCTAAGTACATCCCTTTTCTATTATTCTCCATAAAAAAATCATTGTAAACATATTTTGTTACTACCGAATATGGGCTATTTTTGTATTTTCATAGTAGAGTGTCCCTAGAATTATCTGAACCATTTTTTTCTAAGGAATTCTTTTCTCTTATTTATAAAACTGCTTTATCTTTTAGGAACTTCAGCACATAAGAAATTCCCTTCCAGAAAGTGTACAGGTCCAAAGAGTGGAAGAAAGGCTGTCAGCTCTTGGAAATGTTGTAGTTTGTAATGACTATGTGGCTTTAGTACATCCGGATATTGACAAGGTCAGTATTTATTTTGTGGTTTAACCATTTTGTGTTCTAAAGGACCACCCAAGGTATAATCTACCTTATTGAAGCAAATACAGCTAAGCTTATGAGAATATCAAGTTTACGTTTTTGCTTTTCATTAATTATAACTAATTAAGGTAATTTGCTTTTTATTAGTAACTTTTCTACACTTCCATTTAAAAAATATTGGGACAAATTCGATAAACGAATTATGGCGTTGCGTTGGATTCAATTTTGCAACAAAAACTTTTTCAGATTTGGGCAGTCTTTCTCCAAATAATCTAGGCCTACGTATCCCCAAAGTGGAATAAAAAGTTAAGAAAATGCTTCAACTTATAAAGTATAACCTTGAAAACACAGGATTTTCCTGAATATAACAACAAAATATGCATAAGGGTTGAATGGCCTAATAGCGGCAAAGTCACATGACCTTCACAAAATTCTAGAGATGTCCAAACAAATTCAACTTTTTAATTTCTTGTTTCCATAGCAAAGAAATTTATAAAAGAAATTAGAAAATCAAAATTTGAGGCTTCAAATATAGTTTGCTACATCAACAAAAACACTTCAATTTTATTAAATTATTGCATTTACTCGAGTCACTTTTAAAACTGTGTAACATTCAAGGAGAAGCCATTCTATTCGTTGGCAATTTTGTTATGAGAGAGCATTTTCTTCCTATAAAGCTGGAAAATTGGTATTTTTCATGATTTTTATAGTTTTTGCTTATGTTCCAATATTTAGCTTCTTTTACATGACAACATAATTTCTAGTAAGGATTCAAACCTATTACTTCGCATTTCCCTCAGTAAAGACCTTTTGTCCAACGGCGTGGTAAACTTCTTTGGTCTGCCATCCCTTGGTAAATTTTTTACTGATCTTGTACAGAAAATCTTTTTACACACCAGGAAAGCTGCACTCAATTAGCAGCCGACAATTGATGCAATTTCACAAAATCAATTTGCTTTATTTTAGTAGAGAGCAATTTCTAAGCGCTTCTCAGTTCTTGAATTTCAAAAGCCTCCAGGTTTTTGTCTTAAGGCCTATAGAAATTTTATGGTCGATGTTTTTTTAATTGTTTGGCATACATAAAATGCTTTGAAAAATCAGCAATGTCTTGTGAAAGTTTCATGGAAATATCTGCTGTACTTATTTAATGAGAAAGATTTTAAAAAAATCTATCCAAATTTGTTGCATAAAATGTCTATGAAATTTGGAAGTTTATCCTAATACTTTTTTAACGTTAGTGTACTTTCAAGTTCCAAATATCTTATTTCTGAGATAAAGTTTTCAAGATAAAATGAATAGAGAGAGAAAGGGGTTGGGGAATCACTACATTCCCCAAGCTTCCCATAATTTATGCCACTGTGGTAAGCCATTGAAGTATTGTGAGGCTTTACTTCAGTTATAAGCTGAAGGGGCACTCCATCTTAAAGGGGCACTCCAGCCCAAAATTCTTATTTCAGAACACAATGTAATCAGACCTTCTGAAAATGAAGCTGCTATTAATTTCTTCATATCGCTAACAGTTTTGTAGTTAAAAGCGTTTGTAAATTTGGTCATTGAGTTGAATTGTTTTTTAATCGCGTTATCGGAGCATTTCGGATTGCATCACAAACATTGTCTGCCTTGGTATTTGCACGGCAAGTATCATCAAATGTCCAAAGGTACAATGAGAACCTAGCAAAATGGCAGAAAGAGCCCAGCAGCGGCATGCTTATTAGAATGCCAAACTTTTATCTGAAATCAATTTAAAGAGACAAATATTGATGACCAGTCTTGATATTTTGATCGAGTATGAAGTATCTTATTGCCAAATCTATCTGAAAGAGCAGTCAAATTGTCAAATTAGGCCAACAAGACAGAAACATGAGGATGTTGACAGACTGCCATGGAGTTTGATGCAGTCTGTATTGACAGGTCAGTTTCCTGTTTTTAAAGAGAAGATTCACTTATTTTCATCAGCTCTACCTTCAGTGCAACAGGTAAAAAAGCAATCACAAAAATTTATTCAGGAGGGAGGACCAAAACAAAACCAGTACCAATACCAGGAATCAAAGCTGTATGAATTTATACAGTAGATTCATTAGGGTGAAGAGCTTTATATCATCATGAATTATTGGACAAAAACCAGGACAATCAAGGACATGGAAGTATACAAACTTTCAAGACAAGACTAAACAACCAACCATAGTCATAGTCAGAAAACTTTTAACTATAAACTTGTTCTCAAACAAAGAAAGTAAAGGATTTGAGATGATATTAATATTTAAACTTTTCCAATAAACTTGTGTAAATATATTTTTTTGTATTTAATCTTAAAACTTAGGCAGAGGCCTTGTCAGCTCCTTGAAGCTGTCAGAATTTTAACCTGCTATATCAATGAATAACCAATGCATGTTGGTATTATTGAATTGTATTTATAAATACCAATGAACTAACTAGCAAATTCACAATTTCAGTTGCACTTGAAAATTTCTTATAAAAGTATCATGAAGCAATAATCTATTGCAAAGTTGCTAGAAAATATTTAGTACTGAAAATTTCAATTTGTCACTACTAGTTTGAAATAATAACAGTGGATTTGCAAACTATATATAGATAGCAACCAAATTATCTATTAACTTAAGATTATTTTAAAAATAGTCTCGTTTGTAAACATTTTCATACAAAAACAGTTGTCTTTTTGAACAATTTGTTGAGGTCTTTGTGGTAGCACTTTCAGGGGAAAATGGGGGCAAGTTATCACTCCCCCAAAGCCAGTGGCCAATGGCCAGATAACAGGATACATGGAATCTCCAACCAGTGGCGGCGCCAGGGGGTGGTATGGGGGGGGGTAATTACCCCCTCCACTTTTTTCGAAACATGGTCTACATATTTCGTTTAAAAACGGGTTAAAAAGCACTAGGTCATATTTCCTAAGGAAATTTGAACTGGTACAATGCACTGAAACGAGGCGATTAGGGCGTGGTCTCACTGGCTACGCCCATTACCCTCCCACTCGGCAGTAGCTGGCGCCGCCACTGTCTCCAACCTACTTCTAGCATTGTCCAATATTTCTGCTGATCCATGAAAGAATTTGGTACCTTTTTATGCCTAAAATAATAATGTTGACAGGGATAAATAGATATCACTACCTTGCACACTCAGAGGCATTTAGGTATTTAGATAATAGATATTTAAAAGGGTAAAAAAGAAATTGAGAAAGGCAACCTCTGTCACTATAGCAAATAGCATTTAAGGTTCATATTCATTTGAAGAAACACAAAGATAAATTCAAATGATATACTCTAGTGTCTCTAATAGAAGGGGGATGTAATAAAAGTGGGGTGTTCATCACGGCCAGTTTTCAATAGAAGGGGGGTGCTAATAGAAAGGGATGTTCATGTCGGCCAGTTTTTAATAGAAGGGGTTGCTATTAGAAGGGGGCTGTCCAGGTTGGTCAATTTTCAATAAAATATTAGCAAATTTCAATAGCAAAGGGGAGCTAATAGAAGGAAGGATGTTGGTAAATCTTTTGAATAAACGGCAATAGAATTAGTAGGATGGCGACACTGGGTACTTGATAATGGATAGATGGTTAGAGATAAAGATAGACAAACAAAACAAGGGGAATTATGACAATTAAAAAATAACTACATAACATAACAAGGGGAATTATTGACAAATGAAAATTGCGTGTTCTGGTCATGACAGATTTGTAAAATTTAATAGAAGGGGGTGCTAATTAGCGACGGGGGGAGGGCAAATTCTTCTGAAATTGATACACGGGGGCCCGTCTATTAGAGACGCTAGAGTAGACCATGCTTATATGAATCATTGCTAGAATAACAAAGGTATATTTTACAAATATAAAGAATTCTGCGTGAAAATCCCATTTTTTATCTTTGGGGTTGTAGGAGACTTTTGCCCTGTGAAATTGAATTTTGATTTGACAAAATTTTGTAAAATTATGCAATTATGGTAGATTAAAAAGATCAATAATACAATGAAATAGCCAGAACTCCAACATTGAAGGGGAAACATGGTAGAATACCAAGACAAGGGCTTCAGGAGACCATCCTCTGAAAATTTTTACACCTCTGCACCTTGGGCAAGGGTTCAGTGCACAGATCATTGGCAGTGGTTGAGTGCTCCTTGTTGATTTGCAAATTTCTATTTTTGTTTTATGCAACTTTTTGCTTGAGAGCCCCAATTGTACTTTTCATAGTACCACATCTCTGGGCAGTGGCGGTTTTTGGAACTGTGGGTCGCGGAGCCAAGAACATCTAAGGGGCCTTTGTTCTTTACAATGTCTATCTTTTTTCTTAGGTGTGGGGCCCCTTTTGTCTACCATAAGCGCAGGAACTGGAGCCATGACCCCCGTTAAAACCACCACTGCCATTGGTGGGCATTTCATGAGTCTAGCTGTTAGAAATCTTACATTTAGAAGAAAAATTTCTCAAAGCCCAGCAAACTGAGTGTTTAACTTAAAGTTTAAGAATGGAGGGTTAGAATCACACTCCACTAAACCCCCTCAGAACCTCTACACCCTGTAGTTTCCTCAAATGCTCAAAATGGTAAAATAATAAGGATGAATTGTGGAAATGGATTATGTACTGGAAAGATTGCATCTTGTGAATGAACAATTAGCTATCTTCTTTCCAATTTCGTAAGCCTGGGGGTTCTACTTCAATTGGAGTCAAGTCATCAATTATTTTTCAGCTTCTTGGAAATACCTGTCATGGGGCTTGAGTTTTACATGCAATTTTTCGTAGTAAAGGATTTATTGATCAACCATAAATCGTCTGGAGATAATTTTCCTAGCTTTCTGTCAATACAGCTCATACAGAAAGTTAATCTACAACAACGTCATATAGATAAAGAGTTTTGATCGGCTTAAAAATTAATAATGGCAAACCTATATAAATATTGTCATACCAGGTATTTTTATGTCAATATATTCATAACAGGTATTACATTTGTATGTCAATATATTCAGTTAGCCTGCTTCTTTGATGTCATATGAATGTCTTACAGTACCATGCGATTTTGAAGACGTCATTTAAAAATCATAACATTTTGACATATTCAAATTATTCAAAGCCAAGCTAGTCATCTTTTTTGAATAACATCGAGGTAAATTTTCACAGTAATTCTGCACAAGATTACTTATTTTGTAATAAATTACAATATGACAAGTGCTTGGAGATGCTTACGTTGTAAGCGTAGGGTTGACCTAAGAAATGTTAGCTTGCTTTAAAAAGTCATAAAAACTAGTCAAATAGGTCTTTATTATACAAGCGGGATGCAAATACGCTCTAACCTTTTTAAACTATGCTCAGTGTTCAAGGTTTTTGAATTGATCAGTTTTTATGTCTTTAGGAAACAGAAGAAATTTTGGCCGACACACTGAAAGTAGAAGTATTCCGACAGACGATAGCTGGTAACGTTTTGGTCGGGTCGTACTGCAAAATAACGAATCAAGGAGGACTGGTAAGTTTTAGTTGCACGTATACCGTAAACAAGAGGCGTAAATCTTGTTAATATCGTCCAGCGCCAGCCATCTTGATCTGAAGCTGTTTTAAAGACATGGGAAATTTCTTTCGACGTTTTGCAGAAGTTATGTCTGTACAAAACCTGGTGAATGTAGGAGGATTGCGGTAAGACAAAACGGATCTAGGTTCTGCTATGAGGATTCTTACCTGGCTAGTTTAAAATTCGAATCACCAACTGTGCATAGTTTCTTTTGTCATTAGACCTTAAAGAGGCACCAACTCAAATTTCGACCCCCGAAAGTTGCAAAAAGACTTTGGCCATATGAAGTGGGGATAAAAGTTCTACCGAAAAATGGTTTTAAATGCTTTGTATCACATACATGTTGCGAGAAACAAGGGAGAGAAACCAGTACGACTGAATTTTTGGTAACCTAGTGTTTCTACGGTCCGATGGTCATCAACAGAAATTGATTGATCATGTGAAATTCGAAAGTAATTGAGAAAGCTCTCGGTCGATGGGGATTTCTCGGTACAAGGCAAGCTTCTGCCTAACGATAATGGCTGCTCACGTCGATGAAATTAAAAAGGTTGATATAACCAAGAAAGAATTAAATCAGTCAAAAATAAAGTTTCGAACCGCTCCCAACCAACCTCTTCTACGCCTACTAGGTATTAGATGCTAACTTTCCCGTTATAAAAATTGCATTCAAACCATGTATGATAGAATTATACTACTTGCTAACCCTTACTAGTGAGAGCTTGTCCAGAATAGAAAACGTTTTTTCCTCTTTCATCCTTTCTGTGCCATGTTCGTTCAAAATTGGTTTGTTTTCAATTTTCATCGATCGTGACGCAATCACGCCTTCGTTCAAGTCTTCCGGCATCGGCCTCCAGACGACCCGCTTGCAGGCACTCATACTCTTGCTCGCTTCAACTTTCTTCCCCTAAATTCTGTGCCTAAATTAGAACCCCTTCCTGTATTCAAGACAACATTGAGCCTATTTGTGATAGTCTTTGCTGTTCACATAACAAACTAGAACGACGAAAAGTGTTTTTGGCGATGCCAATTTCTTTGCGTTTATGGCTCTTTAAGCATTCAAATTTTAATAAGGGTGAACCTGATGTTAATATCGATGGCTGATAGCACTGAAGTCACGAAAGACATTCTGTCTGCAATAAATCTTCAGAGCAATGTCTTGGTTTTTTTCTACCTAGCACAGTAAAAAAGGTTAGCTGCACCGCGGCCAACAATCATAGGAAAGTCAATGGAAACAAAATAATTGCATTTGTTATGTCCAGAACACGCCATATTTCTATTGTTTGGATAAAAGGTTTCAAAATTTTACTTATCTGGAGGAATGATGATTACTGTTCTGGACACTGCCCAGAGGAGTGCCCCTGAAAGAAATTTGAATTCAATCTTCCAAGCTCCATTGCGTGAACTAGATAAGAAGGGTTTGACGCTGAGTATGGCTGATTCTGTTTCCAAATTAAGAGTTTTAAGCAAGAATCTAGCGGTTATAGCTGAACCATGTAGCTTTTTGCATTTTCAGACGCATTTTTAAAGCTCAAAAGTGCTAAGCATCTTTGAAGGGGATGATTTATGCCTTATTTTCGCCTTCTTGCCAAGTTTTATTTTGTAAAACCCTTATTAGTGTCTCATCGTTATCTTCATTTAATTAGAGATAATTAAGAACTAAATATAAAACATATAAGTAGATGATTATTTAAATACTTGATTCGGTATTTAGGCTTAAAAATTTAATTCATAGCATGGGTTTTGATATCTACAGATAAAATTGCTGTTTTGGTTAATCAGCCATAGTTGTTGAATAACACATCTGTATGTTGTTTTTTAATATATTTAATGGTTTCAATAATAACTGCTGCTGGCTAATTTCGTGTAATGCTTTAGCAGTGTAGGCGCTGTTTAGAAGTATTTGATGTATAGTAAAAAACAGTTCTACGTTGCTTCACAAGTTTCGTTTTCTGAGAACAAGACGACAGACGAAGACGCATTTCAATAATTGATTTCTGACGATGAATTGTTATAGTTATGTGTTCTTGCAAATAATTAAATACTGGTGAACATCGGCTAAATGAAACTCGCTTTAGTAATGATTTTATATTGCGTGATGATCTTCATTCGGCGACTTTAATTAAAAACAGCATCTTGTTTGAGGCAAATGAGGTGATAACTTAATGATAAGAAAGACTTCACTTTACATTTCATAAGCACAGAGTAATTTAATATAATAGGAAGTATTTTCAGAGCTGGACAAACCAACCTTGACGAAGTGGGACTTTTCCCCTTGTGACCCCAAAACACATACAAGTAGATCTCTACAGTGTATTCTACAGCGCTTTTGTACGTGCCCATATACCTTTTTTAATCTCATCATCATAG